GCTATCTATCACAGCTCCGGTTCTCAGAATCGGTCCTTTGGCGTCCCAGACCACAAACTCAACTCTTGAACCCAGCTCTTCTTCGGAACCGCGACTATTCCCTCCCTCTGCTGTCCCTGTTCACCGTCACCTCTCACCTTGCCCTTCTCCTGCCCGTTATCTTCGCTCTCCGACACTTGCTGGCCCCCCTCTCCGGTCACTTCAACCCTGTGATATCTCGTCTCAGGCACCATCAACACCACAGTCACAAAGTTAATCCCAGTCAGCATAGCAGCAATCCATTTGTGCCACCTCCAACTCAACCCCTAATTACATCACAGTCAGCTCTTGAACAACCCCCCTTTGATCAAGAAAAACACTCACAGTAACAACAAACCCACAAACCAACGGGCCAACCGTATTCCCCCCACTAATAAAATTCATATAAACCCCCATCTTCCCCCCGCGCTCATGGACGAAAAACAAATCATTCACCATCGCCGCCCCCAACGCCTCGGTCGAGCTCCCCGCAAAAGCAGCAACGATATTACTCCATAGCAAACTCTCAAAACTCTTCGCCAAAGCCCCCCAGATGTAACTCGCGAAAAGTAACCCACAACTTAGCACAAACACGGGGCGTTTACCAAAGTAATTAGCCAGGGGGACCCAAAAAAAGTTGAAGAGGCCCAAGACGAGGATAGGCCAGAGGAGGAGGGCGGATGTTTCCGGGAGGGACTTTTCGAACTCGAGGGAGATGAGGTAAAAGGCGGAGGTTAGGCCGCCGATGCCAAAGTTTGTGAGGAAGGTGAAGGTGCAGATGGAGAGGAAGGCGGTGCGTTTCTTTTGGGGGGGCCAGGATAAGGGGTCATTTGGGTCAAGGGGAGAAGGGGTGGGGACTAGGATTGGAGAGTCTGAGGAAGAGGAGTGGATTGTTACTGTGCCTGAGGTGGCGTAGAGGGAGTAGAGGGTTGTGAATGTGTGTTGTTTACGGGGGGTTGACATGGTTCTACGGGGTGCGGGTTGGGTTCGGGTAGAGGTGGGTTTGGGGAGGGTGTGGAAGGATATATTTGCGCTGTTGGGGAAGATGGCGGAGGAGAAGGGTGTGAAGGCGTAGAATGACATTGTTGTCCTGGCAGCTGCCAGTTGGGTGGGTGTTTGTTATGTATGAGGAGATCGGATAAAATATATATGTAGGACAACGAAGGCAGAAGGTTGAGGGGTACAAAAATGGCTGGTCGTGAGCATGGGATGAGAATACATGATATCCGGCGCCAAGATGGCAGTTATATACCTTCAACGGCTCACAATGCTTTTTACACTATGTCGCATAAAGTCTAGACTCACATCAACTGCCGGACGTCCGACGATCTCCTAGCGGGTTGCGTCCGGCCTGTTGGTAATGCTGATCTGTCTCGCCTAGTTCCAGCCAGTCGGGTCTGTGTCATGGCGCCGTCGTTACAATATTGGTCTGCAGGTATCGCTTTGGCTGCTGAGCTTAACGATGCTGTGTAACAGCTGGAGCCTCGGGCGCGAAGTTTATGGGAAGACCGGCGTCTGATGTGACACGAGATATGGGCATGTCTCAAGTTTTCGTCTTTGGACACCCGGGACTTTGCTCCATGAGAAGGCAACATCTATCAAACGAATTGAAGCTGCACTAGTATTTAGACTAACCGTCCTCTGGGTAGCTTAGAGCCACCCAACGCGTACCAAACATCCACCCAAAACCCGAATTGCTCACACCACTAACTGCAAAGACGAACTGAAAGCTGTTGCCATGGTGATCCAGGAGACATCAAACATCGACAAATGATGCGCTCCACGGAACCATTTGACTTGATGAAATTGGCATTCGATTGGCAACAGGGATTATCATTAAACAAAGACGGGTATCTTTCGCTTGAACAACAACATGCTCCCTTTCTCATCAATCTGAAACTTAGAATTCTCTATGTGTACAAAATTAGCACACGCACCTCGCCAGAGTCCAATGAACCTCAGAGAAGGTCAACATAAACTGGCTCGAGTAGACCCTCTGTACAGCCGACTGGAAGCCGGGGGTGTATTGAAGGGTGGCAGGAGCGGTGGTGGCAGGGGCCGCGGGGGCATCCTTACCGACGGTGACAGTGGCAGTGACGGTGGCAGTGACAGTAGAGACGGAGTTATCGCAGGTGGGCTCGGGGGTGGCGGTCACGGTGTAGGCCTCGCAGGTGGTCTGCTGGAGGGAGTCGGTGATCACGGGAATGGGGACCTCCTCCTCGGGCTCATCGCAGGAACCCTCGCCAACGTAGAACTTGGGGGTCTGAGCGTGGATGACATAGACGTTGGTGCCGTTGATGGCATTGCTGCAAAGATGTTTAGCTTTGCGCTCAAAGCACGTCCAGACACACAAATACTCACAATTGGTAGCCCCAGGAGGCGTCAACAAGGCAGGGAACGGTCACCTCATACTCGCCAGACTCGGTGGAAACACCGCCGGCGAGTTGGGTGTAAAAGGGGGGCCAGTTGACAAAGTTGACGAGGTAAATGCTGAAAGTGGAAGGATCCGTGTCGACGGAATCCCATTTGACCTTGTACGAGTTGCCCTTGCTCAAGGTCGAGTTGCCGGCGGGCGAGGTGAACTGGATGGCCGAGGCCAGGGGGAGGGCCGCAGCGGCGAGCGAAAAGAGGGAGAGGACGCGCATATTGATTGTTGTAGTCGCCGTGAGCGCGGCGGTTGTTTTTACTGCTAAAAGAATGGACTGTTGCGAAAGAGCAACGTTTGGTGTTTAGGGCTGAATGACGACTTGGCAAGAAGAAATGGATAAAAGAAGAGCACCCGTTGGAAGTGTTTCATGTCTTCCTTATGTACTTTCGGGTCGTGGTCCCTTGTGCCTGGGAGGGAACCTCCCCACATGTCAAGGGTTCGAATTGGGACTATATTGACAAGGGTGATGCTGGCTGAATGTCCATTTAGTGGGAAATCATGGTGGAGCCATGCTGGAAAGTGGGCACCTTCTGGGGTATTTTTGGGGGATGCAGAAATTGGACATCTGCCTTGTTCCTGATGCCATGGCTTGACCCAAGAGCGACAAGACGGATTCGCGATGCCGTCTATCGCAAAAATCTTGGTAAAAAGTCTTGGTGACCTCTTGTCCATCAGCCGCCGTGACCAGCGGGATTTAGCACACGAACGGTTATTTTTTTTATTCGTATTTCAGCCCCTTTTCAGACTGCCTGGAACTTGTGTCAGCACTATCACTATTCATTACTGAAGCGCCAACATGCCGTTAATTGCTACCTTTCATGATGTGCGGCACGTGTCTTGGCATCCTCGACAGCACCCACACAAGATCCGGGGAAAGAAATCGCATCTTATCAACACGAATATGAGACAATATGGTGGAAGTGCTAGTATCTAGCGAAGTTTGGATATAAGCGATATCGTGCAGACTCAATCAAAGTGGAATTGGACGTTGAACCCATCTGTGCGTTTCAGGGACCGTCGCTCATCAACGGTTCCCGCAGAGGTGGGCCTGTTCTAGTCCTGGGATCCATGTCACCATGTCTCAGGAAACCTACACCAACATCAGCCTCAGTTTGCATCAGAACTACCTGCCTAGCACACCTCGGTCAGTCATTTTCTGCACCTTGGAAGTTGCCTTATCGTAAGACTCCAACTTGTGCAACGCATTATTGGAGCCTCGAGCTTGTTGAATGGAAAATGATACAGGAAAATGCACATTGTCGGAGTGCCGACATGCTCAAAGAGCACGATGATTGGCGAATATCAACAAACATTTCTCCCTCCCTGGGGCATCCTAGGCAAACAACCTGTGCTCTGTTTCTGCTCAGGTTCGCCCACAAAAATGACTGGAGAAAAGCACCGCCCCCTCAATCTCTGCGGTCTGATAGAAAACGATGCCCAACTTACTGTGAATTGACACCATCAAGAAGCCCTTGCCCTCAATCATTCTTCACGGAACTCTTTCTCTAGATAATCAGCACTTCGGGCCTTCTTTGCCTCGGTAACTCTTTACAGTACCTAGAATCATGGAAATCGTCGGAGTTGTTGGTACAATACCAGCACTGATCAAGATGGTACGGCAGGTTGCAACTGAGACCACCAAGCTCATAGCAAAACCCGCACCGCATTAGTCGCCCGCGGAGTTCAATCGGAACTGAATCTCCTCGACAAGACACTCGAAGGCGTCTTCCAAAGAGTCAAAGCTGATCCGGCGAATTTGACCGATGATGCGGAAATCGAGCGACTGCTTCGAGAAGCTAAAGACGAAGTCTCCAGTTTGGCCCGCTTTCTGGGCGAGGTCAATGGCAAAAATGGAGGGCCTGGAATAATGAAGAGGGCACTCCTTATTCTTAAGAGATTTGAGAAAGACTTTCAAGAACAGGCCAAACGCCTCCACAGCCTCCAGGCCTCCTTGCAGGCCTGCCTTTTGGAGCGCCAAACACAGTTCTTACAGCAAACCCAGCTTCAGAAGCTCCTCAGGCCCTCCGACACTCATTTCATTCCTGACAGGTTACCCGGTACACTCGAATGGATATGGGCGCACCCGGCATTTTCTCGGTGGTTGGATCCGAGAAGCGATGCTCAGTCAACCAATGCCCCTCTGGACAGCGAAGGGAAAACTCTCATCATCCACGGCGCCAAGGGTAGCGGAAAGTCTGTTCTCGCTAGTTCCGTGGCCGAGGGGCTTCAAAAACAGGGGAAGGATACCCTATTCTTTTCCTTTTGGGCAGGCAATGAGAAAGACCGGCGAGTTAATGCGATGATGCACACTATCTTGTCCCAACTGCTAAAGGGTTTGCCAGCCGTGGATCGGATTCCGCTGATACCACACCTTTTGGCTCGCGAAGCCCTCACGAGCTTCAAAGAGCTTCTCATCCAAATTAAAAAAAACGTTGTAATCAGCGCCAACATCCGATATTCTGCATTCTGGACGGCATTGACGAGTCACTTGATGACCGGAACGACCCGAATAGCGATGCCTTGGGGTGCTTGACTGAGTTACTTGAACAAACCGAGCACTTTCGCTGTCTCCTTGTTGGTCGCCAGTCAAGTTTACGGAGGGTGCTGAAGAGATGGCCTCCTCATATCGAACTGACACTGGACTTGCTCCAGAGCGATTTGGCCAAGCTCATATCTTTTGGGCTGGAAAGTTGCATTGACATCAAAGACGATGCTGTGCGCAACAGCATCAGATCAGACCTGGAGGCTGGATCAACCGTCATGTTCCTACGGATCAAAGGCATCTTCAAGGAGTTACGGTCAGCCTTCTGTCCTACTGAGATTGAGTCTATTTTACAAAGAGCACCCGACGAGCTTGACCAGAAATACGCCCGGCTGTTCTCCTTGCTCATGTCAAGACTTCATGGACGACCAAACAACATATATGTCGGGATGGAACGCAAGCGAGGGCTTCTTGCTCTCATTGTCGGCGCATCAAGACCTCTCACCCTCGAAGAACTTCGGATCGCTTACTCGTTCTCTCTGCCCCATCTGGCAACCTCCGATCCGGAAAGAATCTAATTGGCAAAGACGCAATCATTGCTTCACGCGGGGATTTCTCAACTGTTCAAGATAGTCATGTGTACTTGGCGGTGGGTAGAGTCTCGACAACCGGAAAAGACGCTTGCTCTATACCCGTTACTAGAGTACACCGCTGTCTACTTGACATCAAATCTTCTGGACTCAGGTCTGCATCCTGAGGAGTATTCAGATCACTTACGGCGTTTCCAGGTGTCCCACGGGTACACATCCTGGATTGATTTTATCGCACTTGCCGACAATTGATACGGGATTTGGTCCTGTCTAGGAATTCAAGCTGTTTAAAAGGATTGAATTGACTGATAGAGAAGAAAAGAGAACAGGTCCGATGAGTGGGAGCGGACTCCCATACATACATGTGGAAAAGGACACCTTGCCGGACCACTGGCCTTTGGAAAAGCCACGTGGAAAGCCACCTCCTCAGACACTTCGTATTGCCGTGTCCTTCAAACCTTCAAATCCACATACCAGGCCCTAGGCCCATAACAACAGCGACCAGGAAAATAACGAGCCACTCTTCACACAGTTTTGGGATGAGACTGTCGAACTCTGGACTACGTGGGATTTGGGTGGCATTCCGATATCCAACAGTAACCATTGTCAGCAGCTAACACTGGTCCCATTATCAAGCCCCGAAAATAACTCCATCACGTTTCTCTTGACAGAAAGCCAGCATCCTGTAGGGCCGGTTACCGGCCCCCCTCCAGAGCATCGGAATCAAGGACAGCTCTCCGCTGCTCTGAGACGCGGCTTCGAGGCATTTTTCGAGAGATACGGGATCACATCGGCTCACTTGAGTGGTGATACTCTCGACGAAGAGAAGATCTCCGGCAGTACTAATCTGAAATAGCCATATAAAATAATAGATGAAATAATAGATTAATAATCAATGAAATTATAAATAAAATGAATAAACTATGTAAAAAAGATTTCAGGTCACGGCAATATGCATTGTGTTGGGGCGTGATCTTTCGTTTAGAAATAGGCCCTCTGAATGTATTCATTCGGAACCTTTTCAGAGCCAGGCCATAGTCAGGTCTAAACGGAATTCTGAAAGCCTTGCTAAGCTAGTTGATCCACTCATTCAGAGGGCTATTTCAGAGCCGTGATCTTTGACGTGGTGGCCAGGTGGTGGTGGCTGAAGTGTAAATAAGGCCCTGTTAGAAAGAAGGGCTTCGGAGCTAGTTCTGAACTCCAATATCTCGCAGGGCATTGCAATATACCAGATGTGTTCACGGCTTTGCGATTTTCGGTCTGGTTGTTTGTCTCCCTACCAGTGATGAAGGGGCTACTGGATAACGTTAGAAGGCTTCATGGTCAGGTCTATATGCAGGGTACGGGAGTGAGACGTATTCTGTGCGAACTGGAAACTCTGAGGCCTCCGTTGTACATTTGTAAGTTCGGTTTTCCAGACATGAGCTTGATAATGAAACCCTAACACGGTACTAGTCAGAGAAGATACTGCGGCACTGAACAAGTGGAGGGTCGCCAACAGGGTTGGTATTCCCGTTTCGAACAACAAAGAACCTCGGAGGAGAGAAGAGCCAGATCCGGTAGGCCACTTGATAATCCCTTCACATACACCCTGATACTAATACGCATCTCGACCCCAGGCTAAAGATGGAAGCGGCCGCGCATGCGTATTTACAGGGCTGAAAGACCCCCCTGGAGCACACATCGTGCCATTCAGCATAACAAGCTCAGTGGCGGATCGGAACACCATGGGTAATGCATTACGTGATATCTACAGGATCTTCCCATGGAAATACGGGAGTCCCCAAGAATATTACGACGACTTGCAAGACGACGTCGACTAGTCGTGGAACATCATCCCAATAAACCCGTACTTGCATGATTGCTGGGACCGAAAGAAGTTCTCATTGGAAGTTGTAGGAACCTCACCGGACGAAACCGACTCCAACTATACCATGGTTCACCTCAGATGGCACTGGTTCCCGATATACCCGCGACAGGGCGATATAGACCCTATCACCGACAAAGAGTTCAACCATGGCCCCCTGCGCTGGGTAGACGTCAACGAGCGTCTCGACTCTGATCTTCCATGCCCGCCGCTTCTCAGTAACAAACCAACTTTCGGCAGCGCATATCTGCTGGACAACAACAACCTTTCCGCACAAATCAACGACAGGACAGGCCAACTGATTTTCTCCGGAGATCTATTTATGGTTAGTTTTCCAAGAGAAACGATAGGGAAAACGCCGCGGATGTTGCATACGTCTTGGGTTCTCCTCCAAATTGCACATATGTCAGGAGGGGCGGGAGACTGGAGCTACCTAAAGCCCGGTCCCTCTCACCCTGATAATGAGGGCAATCTTCTCCCCATTTATGCTCAGAATCCGGTGTTTCATCGAACGGTTGCCGAACAACGGCTACACACGCCTGCTGTGAGTGGGGGAGAGATATGGCCGGACAGAAATACAGGATCAGGATCTGGGGCGTATTCTTCACACACAAGTACGGGGGACGGGCCGGACAACAACAGGGTTTGGTTTTAGTCGGATGGCAGGATCCGAGGAAACTTCTCGGAAACCCGATCATCGATTGTGGTCTTTATTAGAAAGCTGGGCAGGATCCTGTCGCGAGTACGTCAATCATAGGACTGACGGAACCGCTGCTGTGAACTTCTTCTGGAAACCATTTCCTGTTGACATACTTTTGGGATTTCAGCAGTAAATTCTGGTCTCTAAGTGAGTGGCTTATGTAATCTCAGAAAGGTGGTTCGGAATGGACCCAGAGCATAGAGTCAAATAGATACCTATTCTCATTGTTTATGATGATGAAAAAACTCAGCATTGTCGGAACGCCGTATGTGCTTGACATGAACCTTGCCCTACTCCCACCGTGGAAAAAGTAATCAATACTGCAAGTAAAAAGAATATACAATAACTAATTCGCTGACATACACTTTTAAATAATAGATAATCTTACTGATGATCTTTTCAAGCCTATTAACTATCCTTCGAAACTTGTTGACTTTCTTTTAAAACCTATTAACTATCTTATAAAACTTATTAACTATCTTTTAAGATCTATTAATTATCCTTTTAGGTGTGGTTCAGAGGTTGATACGCATTGGTTTGCTTTACAGGACCTGTTATTTATGTTCACAAACGTGCTAGTCTAAAAGACTTGCAAGACGCTTAGATCCTTATTAGTTATATATTATAAATCGATCAATTACCAAGTCAGTGGTTGATGCCCGCGAACTTTGGTCTCATCATCGTGAAGGAATTGTGACTGTGTATGGCAGCCTTGAAAACTGGAAACTGATGGTGCCGAAAAAAGGTCCGCTTGAATATCCATGCTGCAGCTTCTGTGGTTGATTGTGATCATCGTGATAGGGGGGATGCTTCACATTGATATTTCTGTTCAGCAAAACGATGCACACCTTGAGCATGGCCCATGCCTGACCACAAATTTGGAACCAAAACACAAATGAAGTAACGCAAATTCAGGGTTGCCTAAAACTAACGCTTTGTTTAATACTTCTCGGTATATTCTTGGAAGTTTCTACGCATCATATATGCGACGGCTTCAATCATATACACCTATTCTCCCATCCAGCTTTCCTCCCACCTCAACAATGTACAACCCCCCCCTTACAAGCACTGCGAATACCAGTTATTTCCAAAAGTGCAAGTCGATCCCGCAGCGCAAACAGTGCACCCAGTCCACCCCTGACCACCGCACTGTCCCCACTTGGGCGAAGTGCAACCCGCAGGGGTAGTCGCAACAGGAGGAGCAGAGGTAGTAGTGGTCCTGACAGAAGTGACCAGAGTGCTAGACGACACAGGAGTGGTGGTAGGACCGCTGGCTGAAGAAGTAGTGGCGGGCTGGCCAGTGATGCCGAACCACTCGAGGTCGAGGGCACCGTTGATCTGGATGTTGTGGGTGATGCCGGTACCGTAGATGCCAACGAGGTCGTCGCCGTAGACGTACTTGGTGTAGGGGGCGGAGGGGCTGTTGGGGATGGTCTGGCGGGGCGAGCCGTAGGTATAGCCCAGTACACCAGCCCACTGCTTCATCGTCTCGTTGAAGTTCTGTAGCAAAAATAGTTTGTAAATGCTCACAAGTTTGGGCAGAAAAAAGGTAGTGAGGGGGACTTACTCTGGGGTAGATAATGTCATCAGCAGAGCCGTGGTAGATCATCATCTTCGGCCTGGGGCCGGTGTAGCCAGGATACATGTTGCGAGCAGTCTGGGCCCAGTGCTCCTGGGTCGTAATCGACTGGCCGTTCGCGCAGGTGTTGTTCCAGCCGGCGACGGTGCCGGTGTAGAAGCATCCAGCAGGGACGCCCGCATAGGCGCTGGCAGCCTTGAAGACATCAGGATACGTCGCAGCAAGAACGTTGGTCATCATGGCGCCCGAGCTGAGCCCGGCGAGGAAGACACGGTTTCTGTCGGCGCCGTAGCGCTCAATGGTCCAGTTCACCATGTTGACAATGGCATGGCTGTTGGCGCCGCTGTTGCGGGTGTAAGCAGCGTTAGAAGAGACATCCCAGCAGCCACCCGAGTTCGGTGATTCAGGGTACACGACAATGAAGCCGTGAGTATCGGCCAGCCGGGCGTACGGGCTGCCATTGTAGAAGGCGCTGGCGGTACCGCTGCAGTAGTGCACGGCGGTGATGATGGCCGGGTTCGAGGCCAGTCTATCGGGAACGTAGATGTAAAAGCGCGCGCCGCTTGGGTTGGAACCAAAGTTAGTGATCTGGGTAAGGGAGGCGGCGTTCGAGAGACCGACAAGGGCGAGGAAGCCCGAGGTAATACTTGAGAGCCTCATCTTGGAGTACAGCTAGGTTGATCCGACTGGAGAGGGTGGCCTGCAGTCTCACGAAGCATATTGTCTTGGTGGCGCCCCTCTTATACTTCATTCTCGACCCATCCCGCCTTCTCCTCCATTCCATGGCATTGTTGAGCTACCCACCATGTCGCTTCGTTGCCATGGGCGGGTTTTACGCGGACAGTGAAGTTCCGGATACACCGTGGAGACTTCAAGGGAACCGGGGTGCCAACCTTTTCGGGACCCTTCCCGATGAAGTGCACGCGCGTTCTAGAAAATGGTTAGTTGATGGGCCGCCATTCGTAAGCCCTCAAAAATGAAGATAATCCCATTGGGAACATGCGACGAGCGAATATAGGCGTCGAAATTTGTTGAGAACTGGTGCTCAAGTTGAATCTGTGGGAAAGAAGTTGCCATGAAGTTCACCAGCCAATCATATGCCAAGACTCAACGGCTGGCGGTCTCCGCCCCAGTTCACATGAAATCCGTCTTCCCATTTTATTTCTCCATCACTTCAAGATCATGCCTCATTGAGCTCCAATATTACGGGTTTTCTAAGGATTTCGACTGCATTTTTCCTCCCATGTAGCCCGCTCCGGCTTTGGAAGTAGTCCGGCCCGCCCCTCACGACACGCCACCATCGCGTTCGATCGCCGGACGAGAGGAACCCGGGAAGACGACCTCTGCATCCGTCTGCAACAGTCCCTTCGTGGTCCAGTGGCCAAGAAGGATGGATACAGTGACATAGCGGCTCTCGATATAGCGGACTCCCCGGTACCTGGTAGCTGTCCTCCCCGCACTCCCGCTTTTTGCCTGAATGCCCTAGCGCGAGCCTCTTCACTTTTGCCTGCCTTCACTACCACCCTCATCTTCACTGGGCTGCAGTTCGCGCCTCGAATCGAACACATCATGCACGAGAAAAGCCTCGATTAATATCTACACTCACATGGCTATGTAACGCTTCCACCACGTGGCCCCCTTGGACTCGCTTAAACGCCTCGAACGCCATGCCAAAATCGATATGCTTGTCTTTTCACTCAAAGAAGAATTTCATCGAGTTGCCTCCCTTCTTTTCCCCTTTGGACTCCTTGGGAAGTTTCTTGGAGTTCCCTTCTGGAACCCTCTGTTCCTCGTCTAGACCACCATCGACCGGCAGTCGAGGCTTTTCCTGCTCCTTGGCAGCCTTCATGTCCTTCAGTCCTGTTTTGTGTATTTGGTGGTCGTTGCTCAGCTTGCGGGATCCAACAAAGAAGGAGACGATCAATCCCACTCCCGCGAACACAACATACATGATGTACATGGTTCTCAGACTCTTGAAGTAGGCTTCTTGGGCAACTCGTCGACTACGCTCAGGCAGGCTCATGGCAAAGCCAATGCTGGAAGCCGCGTTGCTCCCAGAGAGCATGTTCGCAGCATCGGGTCCGATTTCCTCTAGCAGTCTGGGATACTGCTCCTCCATCCCATTTTGGAAGACAACACCCCCAATCACAACAGATATCGCGGTGAACAACTGCCTGATAAATCCAAAAGTTGCCGTCGCTGATGCCATATCTCGAGGCCCAACGGTTGTTTGAAGCGCAATAAGCGGTGCCTGGAAGTTTGGCCCCACACCGATGCCAGCTATCAGCTGGAAGACGACGATCTTGGCCCAGTTGGCCTGCGGTTCAAGAGCAATAAAAAGCCCGAAACCCAGAGTCATGATTGACATGCCAAAGATAATACAAGGCAAGTATTTTCCTGTCTTCTTGATGACCACGCCAGTTATGGCAGAGACAACCGAGAGAGACAAGACAAAAGGCAGGACGTAGATGCCGGACATCAATGGCGAGGCGCCGAGGACCGCTTGGAAGTACAGCGGCAGGTAGTAACTTCCCGAGATGAAGACAATGCCCTGAAAAGCAGCAACACCCAAACTGGCAATGCTGGATCGCCGACGAAACAGACGCAACGGCATCAGTGGAAATTTGGCCACCTTCCATTCGATCAAGACGAATATGCCAGCCGTCACCACACCGAAAACGATCAAGCAGATGACGGTGGGCGACGACCATGGGTAGGTCACGCCTCCAAACTCGAGGCCGAAAAGGACCATCAGCGTTCCGCCGATAACCGCAAGCGAACCCAACCAGTCGACGGCAGCGAGCCCCTGGCGCATCGGGGTGCGAGGGTTGTGCAGCTTCAGCACCCAAGCCAGCACCGCAAACCCAACGCCAGATACTGGCAGATTGATCCAGAAACACCACCGCCAGGTAACCTGACTTGTAAAGACACCGCCAAGAACAGGACCGACGGCGCTGGCCACTGCCCAAACGATTCCCATTACACCAAAGTAGATACCTAATAAGACCGTTAACACGCTTGGTTTCTCGAAACGAAAACTCTTAACTTACCTCGTTTTCGCATGGAGAACAGGTCGCTGATGCAAACGTTGACAAGAATGATGATGCCGCCACCACCAATGCCCTGGATCGCCCGAGCAGCAATGAGCATGCCAATATTCTTGCTGAGAGCACTCAGCAGGGACCCAATCCAAAAAATGCCGACGGCAATGAGCATGATGGGCTTCCGGCCCCAGATATCAGATATCTTCCCCCACATCGGCGCGCCGGCCGCGCTGGCGAGCATGTATACCGATCCAATCCATGTGTACCCAGCGGTCGAGCCGAATTCCTCCGCAATTGTTGGAATGGCTACACTGACGATGGTGATATCGAGTGCGCCAAGGAAGAGCGCGCTCGCCAGTGCGGTGATGACCAGTGTCGTTTCTAACTTGGTACGTGACTCCTCTGGCGCTGGTCCCGAGGCTGCGACAGGCGGCACATCGGCCTTGGAGGAGAGCTCGCCCACTTCATCCTTCGACGTTGATGATGACTGCGCCAACTGGTTTTCGCTTCTGTCGACTCGGATGGTGCTCGCGGGACTTGTCCCACTGCTTGGCGTTGTGCGCTTTTCTGGGTCGTCAGCAACGCCAGCCATGATGCTGTTGGGCAGTTTGGACGTGATGTTATAGGTCGGTAAGCAAGTGATGGCGATAATGTTTCGTGGCCAGCGCCTACAGTGGGAGCTTGTCAGTCGAGATTATTCGACCCAGTGTGGCGATGTGGGCAAATCGCAAGACTATAGCTAGCCCTTCGAGTCGCAGAGTTCTCAACTACTGGGCCTAGATGGGACGACCAGTCCCGGGATCGAGGGAAGCACCTCTCACTAACAACGTTTTTGTCGAACAATGCCGTCAGTTCTACCGCCTCAACGGCCAGGATCTGTCGGCAATGGGGACCACAAAGCTTATTTTGACTGCCAGATGCGCGGTGATGCAAACGGATGCGGGTCCAAGGCAGAGCTCGGCGGATGCAGAGCTGTCAAGTATCGAGGTAGATATTAGTTCTCCGTGGGAAAGAACAAAAAGCCCCATCAATTGTTGAAAGATGACAAGACGTTCCAAAAACTGCGAGAAGGCTGGGAGCAATGTCTTGATGAATGACGGCACCACTAGGCCCAAAGACGCTATCGATTAATAACAACTACCCAGGGTTTTCTAAACTCCGGAGGCAAAGCAAAGATGGGAAAGTCTACCCATTACGCAAGGCAGAAAGAAAGGGCTGTGGGTCAATCCCACATACCGAACAGTTGGAAAAAGAGTGGTGATCAGAAGGTGACATTCTGTTAAGCCGAATCGGCAAAAAACGACACATCAGACGCAGCAGCAAACCATGGGGGGCGGCGGCCGGTGCCGATGCTCGACAACGCGGGGAACAAGAGCCTTCTACAAAAGACATCGTCATCATTGACTTTTGGTCCCCCTTCTGATCCCTCATTTTAGTTTTTCCTCTCAGGATGTAGACAGCCTCATGTACAACCCCCAATCTCAGACTACCACGTTCTCAACCTTTACACAACTTGTCTCACAATGTGCGGCTTGCTCTCTCCCTAAAGAACTCCCCTAACCCATTCGCCAACAAACCAACCCCTCAAAAAGGGAAAAGAAGCAGAAAAAAAGAACAATCGGTGTGACTTGACACTGTCCCTCACCGCTCACCAAACAAGCAAGCCCACCCACCGCCATCATCTTCGCGCCTTCGCGACTAACCACGCTTCTTATTTCCGGGCCACTTTCCCATCTCCTTAGGCTGCAAGTGGTGGTGGTGGTGGTATGTATTTCTTTGTCGCACACCTCGTGGCAAGGCTTTCAACAGCTGCCGCCTCACTCACACTGGGCTCGGTTCCCGATGATCCATCCTGCTGTGACACCAAATTAGCAAGACTTTCTCATCCAAAGCCACAGCAGTCAGCAGAAAACCACAGCAGCTGGAAAACGGCCCCTGTGTTTAAAAAAAAAAAACTTTTTCGCCTCTCATAAAATAGCCAGCCTAAACCATACACGGGCAAGCACAGTGCAATCAATGTCTGACAGTGCCTCAAGGCAAAAGAAGTGTACGAGGTGGTCTCAATGGAACGACCTGATCCGTTTCAGGACATTTGTAAATCCGAGTAGGTAATTCGGAGATATCAGAATCCCATCATTGGGTTCAACCATTCCTGTGAATACACCACTCAAAATTCTCCTCACCTCTTCCAAAACAACCCCCCTAGCACAAACGCACATGCAGAACGCGTCACTGGCTACCTATGAGAATAGGAAGCGCATGAGAAACTCGAAACCTTCTCTTTTGAAAAAGTTCGCGAGTTTTGCTTGTTTGCAACAAAAATAGTATTAACCGCCACAAATATCACTACAGTGGCCAGTCCGAATTTTATGTCTATATCTACACACAACATCTCCCTCCACAACCCCTCAGTTGACCATGTCTAAACTTATATACAGAGAATAAACGTCAAGACACACCTCAGCGCCTCGACCGCTCAATCGCAGCCGCGCTCAGCGCCGTGGTCGACGCCGCCCGCTCAAACCCGCTCGTCATGGGAGCTGGTGTTGTGCTCCTTGTGGGAGGAGCGGAGCGGTTATGTTGCATGTGTGCCTTGACAAGATGCCCGGCAGCGAGAGCACTGCAGAGCGAGAGCTCACCGGCCAGAACAGCGGCAGCGACAATGCGAGCCAACCGCCTGGCGTTCTCTCCTGGGCTGGTGGGATGAGGGCCACGGACGCCGAGAAGGTCAAGCATCGAACCTTGGGGGTCGAGGATGGTGCCGCCGCCAAGAGTGCCGACTTCGATGGAAGGCATGGAGACGGATATTTGCAGAGACCCACGCAGGCTAGAGACAGAGTCGTTAGCATTTTGTGTATTCACAACAATAAAATCAGGCCAAAACTTACTTCTTCATGATGGTGATGCAGTTGGCGCTCTCAACCACCTGCGCGGGATCCTGACCTGTTGCGAGGAAAATAGCGGCGACGATGTTGGCAGCGTGGGCGTTGAAACCACCGACAGAACCGGCCATGGCGGAACCAATCAAGTTCTTGTCGACATTGAGGGCAACCATGGTGTCAACATCAGTCTTCAGTACGCTCTTCACAACCTCGGCAGGAATGATGGCCTCAGCGACAACACTCTTGCCACGGCCCTCGATCCAGTTGATGGCAGCAGGCTTCTTGTCGGTGCAGTAGTTACCGCTGACAGTGACAATGTTCATATCCTCGAAGCCTTCGTTGCGCATGACACTGAGGGCGTGTTCGACACCCTTGGAAATCATGTTCATGCCCATGGCATCACCGGTTGTGGTCTTGAAACGGATGTACAGGTTCGTACCGGCAATAGCGGTCTTCATAGTCTCAAGACGAGCGAAGCGACTGGTAGAGTTGAAAGCCTTCTTCATAACATTCTGACCCTTCTCGGAATCAAGCCAGAGCTTGGCGTAACCGGCTCTCTCAAGCGTCTCGAAGCTGACGCAAGGACCACGGGTCATGCCATCGGCGGTAAGAACGGTGACAGCACCACCACCAGAGTTGATAGCCTTGCAGCCTCTGCTTGCACTGGCCACCAAGACACCTTCAGTAGTAGCCATGGGAATGAAGTAGCTCTGTCCGTCAATGACAAGGGGGCCGGCAACACCGACCGGGAGGGGCATGTATCCAATAACATTTTCGCAGCAAGCACCGTGCACCTGAGCCCAGTTGTAGTTCTGGTACGGGAGCTTGGATCGTTCCAAAAGGTTGGTGAGCTCTGAAGTAGCCTTGGTGCGAGAAATAATGGAGCGGCGGACCTTGACAGCGCGGGTGAAATCCTTGAGCGTCTTCTCCAAAGCATAACCAGGGATCTTGCCACGAAGGGAAAGAGCAACGATCTCGGCATCGGTGAGTTCATGTGCGCGCTTCTCGGCAACCATCTTCTCGAGCTCGGCCTGGGTGCGAGGGACAGCGGGAGCTTGAGGTTCCGAACCGGACTCCTTAGAGGGTTCGGCCTCGTCATCCGTCAAAGCAGGAGTAGGCGGGATTGAAGGGGCGGGCGTTGGCGAGGTGCGAATGTATTCGCCCAGAGGGAGGGTTGCAGACTCGGTATCGTTGAACCTCTGCGCATCAGCCAGCTCCTTGGGGTCGATGGGGTGAGTTGGGACATTGGGGTCCTTGATGCCCCACCTGGCGGCGTTGAAAAGGTATCCGTTGAGAGCCACACTGAGAGCCAAAGCCACGACAATCCACTTGGACAGGATTGGGTCTTCCAAGCTCTTGAGGATGCCGCCCACCATGCGACCACCGTAGCCCAGCTCGGTGATATCATCACCACCAACGTTGTCGAGCTGCTGGGGCAAGTCGTAGTGAACAGAGGGGAACTCGAGCTCGTAGCGAATCGGGGTAAGAACAGTGACGACAGTCTCACGACCCTCAGCCTTGGCAGATTCCAATACAAACTCGAGACCGTTGGAGGCAACCTTGAAAGGGTCAACAGGGGGTGACGTAACGACCCCGCCAAGACCGCGAGCCCATGAAGAGATGTTCGAAATAGAATCGGCGCTGCGGAAGGGAATCGAGGCCAAGTTGAGGGCATTGATAAGAACAAACCCAGAAACCATGAGCACCTTGAATTTGGGGATATGGGTGCTCTTGATCTGACGGCCGAAGATGGTGGTGCCAGGCTTGTCTTGACCATCTGCTCTGGGCCAATCGTTGCTCTGAGCCACATTCTCAGCGACGCGGTGGCTGACACCATCATCCTCCAAAGCCTTGCGCATCTCAACGTGGCGTTTGATCCTGTTGATTTCCAACTTGATGCAGAGAATAGCCGTATAGAAGGAAAAGAGCAGGATGCAGTCAAAGAACAGAATCCACGCGGCCAAGAAGCAGAATTGCTGAAGGCCACCCTGAACACCAGAGGCGGCGCCCAGCACCAAGATGCCGACCTCGATAGCATAGTCCTTGACAATATCGAAGCCCTTCTCCTTGATCGCAAGGTAAATGGCTGACTGAATGGCGCTCGAGGCATCAATCGCGGATTGCTTGCCACCCTTGACGGGTCTGCGATGCTCGATGGCATGCGAGAGAACCGCTCTTGTCAGGACGATGTTCTTCTCAAAGCCAATTGTCACGACAAGGAATGGAAGTCCCTCAGACAGGAGAACCATGGAGATCGGGACACCGAGCTTGGTGGTGACAAACAGACCGAAGAGGAACGAGAAGACGGACGAGAAGATGACGCTGGTGGCAAGCCAGAAGTTGGAGCCCATGCGGCGCATCGAAAGGAAGAGCGAGACGAAGGTCAGGTGCATCGAGATATAGCCGAGAGCCATGATGACGATATCGAGCGTCTCGGCATTCTTGAGAAGGTCGGTAAACTCAACCCAAGCGTTGTGTACCCATCTGATGAGACTGCTCCGAGTCTGGACTCTGGCAGCCTTCATGATCCACATCTTTTGTTCCCGGCCATGCTCAGTCTCCCTGCTCTCTTGCGCGGACTCGTCGTTGGGAATTTCCTGGGCGACAGAGAGGAATTCGGGGGCCTGGCTGTAGGGAATCGAAAAGGCGAGGGCGCTATCCTGGGCGTAGGTGCTGAAAGAGTTGGATGTTGACGGAAGCGACTTGATCGACAGATTCTGAGGAATTGGAACGGCGTTGACGACGGGAGGAACACGGGAAGCATCGGAAGACATGGTCTCAGGGAAGACAAGAGTCAAGAGGGCGAGGTGGTCGGCGCCCTCGGGAATGGGCGCTTCCGAGTCATCGTTCTGCCACTTCCAAGCGGTGTCTTCGCCAACCCTGAGGCGACGGCTCCCCTCGACAAGAGATGACCATTCCGCCTTCCTTACACTTATGCTCGCATCAAACAGGCTGTCCTCCAAAAGGCCGATATACGAAGAGCTGGCAAGCAGCGCAACCACGACAATGGTGTGAATTGGGTGGGTTGAGGTAAGCTTCGACAGAACCTGAAGAAGCGGTGTGACTTTTTTGTTGAACCAGGATGGCGCAGCAGCCTGGGAGGCGGGCTGCTCCCCGCGAAACCTCGCGGGCAGTAGGCTTGCAGCAATCATGACGGCCTTGGAGAGTATACGACTATCGTTGCTCGGCGGGCATTGGACGGATGTGTTGGCGATGTGACAGGAAGCTGGGCCTGAGAAGAGAGAGTTAGTGACATGCTAGTTTCAACGGGCCGATCATGGCCCCCCTTTATGAAGCAAGACCACTTCGGATGACAACGCACTTGACAAGTTGTCCACGAGCATCATGGGAGAGGACGTGGCACCAATCTCCCGTTGCGGCATCATGGCCAGCCCAACCTGGGTGGTGGAGTTGCGTGGGCGTCGGTCGGTGTGTGTGGGCAAGGAGGAGAGAGGAAGTCACATACTGTCTAGCAACTGGCAGTTGCACTGTTTGCCCGAGAGAGCCGCGATGGCTTTGAGTGTGGTTTGGCGCAACGCCGAAGTTATGTCACGCGAAGCTTGTTGCGTGCACGGAGCGTTGGGAGGTTTGGCCGAGATTTCCTGGCTGGGGAAGCTTCGGGATGGCGCGACCTGGGAAGGGTGTCGGTGCAAGCGAATCCACCAGGAAACGGATGCTGGCGCCGATGTTGAAAGGGGATGGTCGTGTGTTGTCCAAGGACAGCAACAACAACAATGTTGAATTGGGCAGATGGAGTGGCGGCGAAGAAAGGAAAGAAAGAAAAGAAAAAAAGAGGACGGCAGGGTGTCCTTGGGGGTTGGGGAGACAAATCTTGCTCCTTATCGGTGAGGTAGGCACGAAGGATACCACAACTCGGGGCTCCGAGGCGGTGATCGAATTAAAAAAGAATTTCAAGATGATGGGGCCATCACAAGCCAAGCCCCACCGTTTTGGTGAAACTTGGCACGCTTCGGCCAAACAGCTGATCGAGCGCAACCCCCCAGTGCCCCCCAGGGTTCCAGATCCCCGGCTGGACGCTGCATGCTGCTATAACCCCATTGGAACGGGGGACGCTCGATGGGGAAACGGACCGCTTGGCATTACCGTCATCCAATTCACGGGGCAGCTGGCACCTTTTGCGATGCACCTCCTGGCACCCACATGGCATCTGTTCAGTGTTGGCGATGCTGGACCCCCTTTTTCGCTCACAGGCTTGACCCTTGGGGGTCTAGTGCTGGCCAGCGTGTGCAATTCCGTAGTCGGCGGGAGGCAGTGGCCACCGTTTTAGGTTATTTCCTTGTTGCGACGGACTGTGATTGTGCGGGAACTCCTACGATTGTTCATGATCTTCGTTTGTTACGAGATCTCGGTTGGGGGATTTGCAGATGACCTCAGTGTCTTTGGCCCGCTTTCATCAGCCGCCCAATGCCGCCCATGTATCTCTGCGCCGCCTCTGCCAGTTGACGGTAATATTTCAAGGTACAGAAAGTATTGAGGCCTCAGAGGCCGGGAACCAGGTAATTGGAGATTAAATTACCCGTTGGCCCGTGCAATTGTCCACCTTGATGTCCACGCGCTGTCCTTGGTGTTAGAATTTTGAACAGCTTGTTGGTTTCGTCGGAACTGCTAAGGTAGCTAGTAACGTAGATCAAGGCACTACTGTCAAGCCCGTCACCAGTGCGAGTATGAACCATCACCATCAAGGAGACCACAAGCTGTTCAGGCAACTCTTTTCGTCCGGCATCTTGACCGAACAATTGCACGAGACGAACTGGGCAGTGGTGAAAACGGTTCCCCCCTGCACCGGTATTACTGCGTACATTCATGGCCCCACCACGAACCGGAGGGTGAAGGGCGGGCCCGACAGTGTGGGTGGGACTTCCACACTTCCTGTCATTCGGTGCCTCTTGAACCTGTACCTGGCGTTCTTTGTACTTGCCACAAGAAAAAGGGTATGTCACTCAAAAATAGAGAGGCTCAGTCGCTCCAGGATCGGAAATTTCCCGACCCCAACAACCTTCACCGTATTTAAGCAAAAAAAGTACTAGTCAATGCCGTTGGATGCTGGCAGTGATGAATTGGCCAATTCGCTGGCGATCCTTGGCAAATGGAGAAGAGCAAGGAGTTGGCCCAAGCTCAATTCCGCATTTTTCTTATCTGATCCGATGCGTGGGTCCATCTGATGCTTGAACTGGGCCTGGCAGTTTGGAAAAAAACTCAATTCTGACGTTCCTTGCTCAAACCCCACGTTTTCATCGGGCCTGCCCCGAACTAGACATCACCGTCCGGATGTGTCAATGAGGTCAGCTCTGTTTCACCACACTTGTCGTTGTGTTTGTCTACTGCGGCTGTGGCCTTCATCTGATCTGTTGTCTCGCCGAGCTGCTTGATGTGCATATGTTGGCGTCGGGCGTCAAAAAATGGTAGCACTCCAAACGGGGTTTCTGGAAAAAATGAAACTCCCCTTCAGAACGGGAGAATTCGACGGGCATCTGCTGACAGTGATTGCCAAGAGATCTCCCACTCGACCTTGCATTATCTCTTATCGCCGTGGGTGGCTTGTCTCTCTCAGAGTGCCTCGCTGCCTCTTGTGTGGCTGACGAAAGGCTCACAGCACCTGACAAGCTCCCTCCGTCCTCATTACTGGTCATTGTCAGCCAAGTATCAGGTGGCTTTGATTCGTGTATAAGTGACCCAGCTGCTTGAATAGTCTACGGTCAGTCAATTCAGCCTCGGAATACAACGAACAGCAAACGTAGTCATGGCGGACTCTCAGTCAAGCTTCCGGCCAGCACTGCTGGTGGTGGACATGCAGGAGGACTTTTGCCCACCAGTAAGCACCGACCTGCTATTTCTCACGCTATCTTCCGCATTTGCATATAATGAACACAGTCTTTTGCAATACTATTTCATTTCCTCAAGTGCATGTGGAATTATGGCTGGTTACATCTTTCACATGTCGAATCCCAAAAATCTCCTGAGCGGGGTCGTGTCCCATCACACATGCTCTCACAAGCTCACTTTCACCTCTCACGCTCACCATTCCTGACCTCGACTCACCTCTCACACCTCGCTCTCACAACACCCTCTCACTACCTCATTGACCATCACCTCACACAACATTCCCACATACACATTCCTCCCCATATCTCCCATCTACACAACATCTACTAACAACCCACCACCCTAGTCCGGCTCCCTCGCCGTCCCCCTCGGCCGCACAATAACCCCCCTAATCAACACCCTCCTCACCCTCCCCCCCCGCACCCTCCCCCTCAAAATCGCAACCCAAGACTGGCACCCCCCAAACCACATCTCCTTCGCCCCCAACCACCCCTCCAACCCCCCTCCCTTCGTCACCTCCCACACAATCACCAACCCCCTCAACCCCTCCCAATCCTACACCACCCTTCTCTGGCCCCCCCACTGCATCCAATCCACCCCCGGCGCCTCTCTCATCCCCGAGCTCTCCTCCCAAAACTTCACCCACATCATCAAAAAGGGCCTCGACCCCAGAGTGGAGATGTACTCCGCCTTCTTCGACCCTTTCCCCCCCACCCTCACCGGCGAACGAGTCTGCGATTCCGGACTGGCCAAGCTGCTCCACGACGAAAAGGTGACGCACGTCTATGTTGTCGGGCTGGCGGGGGATTACTGCGTCAAGCACACGGCGTATGATGCTGCAAAGGAAGGGTTCCAGACGGTGATTATCGAGGAGGGGACCAAGACCGTTAACCCGGGCGGGTGGGAGGAGTGCAAAAAGGAGATGGAGAGTATTGGTGGGGTGAGGGTCGTGAGCGTGGAGAGTGAGGAGGTGCAGAGGCTGTTTAAGAAGGATTGAGGCGGTGGAGGATACCCATGGGGAAAGAAGAGTCGGGAGGCGTTTGTGACGGCGTCATATAAGATGGCTTTTATGGCAGCACGCTGAGCCGGCCATGTCATCGAACCATTTAGGTCGGACCTAGAATGGGCTTCAACTTATGAACAGCTTTGTCGGTGTCCCATGTCCGTTCATCGTGACACTATACAAGCTCCATTTCCACCCATCAAACGTGTGACGATCATCAGTCCCCTAAACATTTCCAAAAGGAAAATCCCCGTTGATCAACGTCACCATCTGAAACAGTCACACAGTCACCAACAAAATAAAGTCATGACTTTTAACAGATGTCTCATTGTTCTGTCAGAATGCCATGTCTCCTAGAGCACAGTGCAAAATCGTTTCTCATGCAACTCATTAACGACCAGATATCACTTTAAAACCCCAGAAATTATAGTTCAGGAATTAAACACCCTACTCCATCACGAAGCCCATCCAACCCATTCTTTACCTACCCACGCGAATAACACCGGCGGCCATCAGCTTCTGGATCTTGGTGCGAACCGTAGGGTTTCTCATGTGCTCGTTCAGAGCAGCAGGATCCGACTGCGCTTGCTGTAGGATAGCTTGCATGACTGGGTCTGCCATGATGCCCATGATCTGTTCCCAAATGTTAGTCAAGATATCACGAAACTGCCAAACTAGCGGCCAGAAAAACTCACCTCAGGGTCACGGGCCAGACGCTCTCTGGTCTGCTCCTCAGTCTCATTCTCGCGCGCCGAGTACATGGCAGTGAACGCCTTTTGCTGCTGCTGCTCAATCTCCTTAGCATTGGCACCCTTGTGGTGCTCATTGTCCACGGTATGGGCCTCAGTGCATGCGTCAACACACTTGCTGTACTCGCGCATGCCATAGTAGGCCTGAGCCTTGCGAATGTAGGCGCGGATGAACTTGGGGTCCTTCTTGATGGCGGCGTCGCAGTCATCAAGAGCACTGGGGAACTCGAGCAGCTTGATGAAGGCAGCCGCGCGGTTGCTGTATCCGCGAGGGTCATCCGGCGCACGCTTGATCATCTCTGAGTAGGCAGCAACGGCCCCTGGCCAGTCCGACTCTTTGAACTTCGTGTTGCCCTCCACGCGAGCCTCTTCAGCCTTTTCTGGGTCGATGTACGCCTTGCGCGCAGCCTCAATCTTGTTGCGCTCGGCGTTCCGGACCTTGGTGACCACATCTGGTGTCCGGTGCTCACGAAGAGACATGTTGTAGTAGTCGACAGCCTGCGCAAGATCGCCCAGCTTCTCATAAGCAGTACCAACACGGGCGTACGACTTGGCAATGAGCTTGAAATCGGCATAGAGAGCACGACCTTCTTCAGCAGCCTTGGTGCAAGTATCGATGCAGGCCTGGTAGTCACCCTTCTCGAAGTAAGCCGCACCGAGGTTGTTGAGGTAGGTGATGTCCTTATGGAGATCCCACGCAGCCTGGTAGTGCTTGATAGCCTCGTCAAAGTTGCGCTTCTTGTAGTTCTCGGTACCGAGCTGCTTTTCCTTATCGGCAGCCTCCTTTGCCTTCTTCTTCTCCAGGGCCTCCTCGTTTTCAGGCTCCGGCTCCGGCTCCGGCTCAGGGGCCTTCTTTGGTTCGGCAGGCTTAGCATCCGGCATTGGCACATCCTCCTCGGCCTCCTTAGCAGAGCCGGAGGCACCCGGTTGGAAGCCAGGATCGGCCATCGTCATATCAACACCCATCAAGACGCCCAGCACTTGGATAAACCTGGGGTCGCTGAAGAGCTCTTGTGTGTTGTTGGGGTTCTGCTTGATAGCCTGCAGCTTGGCCATAAAGCTCGGGTCGGCAAGTAAGGCACTGGTCTTTGGGTTGCTCGCAAGCTTCTGGATCAGGTTCGGGTCGCTGAACATCTGCCCAATACCGCCAGTTGGGTCACCGCCGAAACCTAAGACATTTATCAACATCCCGTTTTCCATGCCGAGTGACAATGCCAACACTTACCAGGTCCCGCCTCTGCCTCCATTGCACGCTTGACCGAAGCAAGATCATTCTTCATGCCAGCATTGTTGGGATCGATCTTGAGACCCTCCTCGTAGGCATCGTGGGCACCAAGAAGGTCGCCCTTGCCATACAGCGCGGTGCCCTTACGGCCCCACCCCTTTGGCCAGTCTGGCTTCAGTTCTGTGGTCTTCTGGGCATCCTCGAGGGCGTGGTCCCAGTCCTTCTTCGAAGCATAAGCAGCCGAGCGGTTGCTGTAGAGGATGTGGTTTTGTGGGTCGATGGCGATAGCCTGTGTGAACTTGTCACTGCAGCCAGCAGGTTAGCAACAGTCCTTCCTCTTTCCACCAGAAGTATTCTGTGCCAAGGCGATGGGGTCTTTGGGAGCCTTACATGGCCTCGTCGAAGTTCTTCGCGGCAATGGCCTTGTTGCCCAGAGCCTTGAGCTCGTCGGCTGTGGACATGGTGCTGAGTTACTGTGGTGGGGTATCGCTGGGAAAGAAAAGCAGGTAAGGGTATCTCTTGGTGTGCTTGGTGTTATGGTCTGAAGAGTTGTTGACTGTTGGGAGAGAAACAGTCTACAAATAGGCAGGTCAAGCTGCAGAAGAAGGTTTTCAGCACCAAAGGGCAGGAGTCTATCTGGAGACCTCGCACAAGGCTCATGGAAAGCTCTGGACTTTCGATGTCTTTCGATGGGAATCCGAGCTTGTGATTGGCCAGAATATGGGGAAGCTCTGCCCCGCACCGATTTTCCGTCGACGTTGAAGGCGGGGTTCTAGAACAGACCCCACTATGCGCTAACAACGCCATCTCAGTGACAACATCCAGCGCTTCGAGGCCTGGTTCGGTCATCAAACGAGTGTTCATGAACCATTATTGAGCTTACAATTCTTCATTGCTCGTCTACTCCAGGACATTTAGACAAACTGGCACACTTGCAGAGCCTTGTTTAGCAATAATTAACACCAGAACAAGCCAAGTGTCGCGATGGTATGCCTACGCTCCAAATCTAGTGATGCAGAATAATATTCTCACCAGTTAACAGGAGTAAATGCCCTGTCTCTCTTTCTATAAGCTGTATGGGCCTGCTGGTACACAGACAAACCACGTCGCTGTTCATCTATGAGCCCTTGTGCTACACATGATCCCCACCATTTGATGCGATCCTGGCGCCAGGTTCCCCAAGTCTCTATGCCTTCCCTTTTCTCTTGTTTCCCTCGCTTTTGCGGCCCATCATTGGCCCGCCACTGGCCCGCCAAGCATCATGATGGCTGCACACCACTTACAAGTCCTCAGGTGCCCCCAGAACTCAAATCACTCATAGAGCACACTTCGCCCACCTTCACTATTCCATCCCGTCTCATCATGAAGAAAAACGCGGGCTGTCATCTGTCTCACAGTGTTATTTGTTACGTCAAATTTAGCTAAATCAGTCAGGGGCAATTGGTGCCCGTTCCCGCCCCTCCATCATGATCACTGCTCAACCCCGATATCACCTCATCCCCTTTCCCAAGCCATCTCCTCGGGGAAGCATGCCGAACGCTGAGTTCCGCCGCCAATCTTTTCGCTTTCAAGCTGAAGCACAGCATGACCGAAGTACCGGTTGTGGAAGTACCGATTCCCGAGGGAGTCTGTGTCACGATGAACTGTCCAAGTCCACGAGGCAGTTCTGAGTTATGAACGGTGGCGCGGATTGCACCAGCACCATTATGGCCCGACCATGGGCAGCACCCATTGTTACGCCTGTCCTTCTTCAAATACCATCCATCCCAACCTTTCTGTACCCATGGCTCGCCCTCTTTCTCGTCAACGTTTTGGCGTTGAACCTGACTCTCAAATAATTCTGGGTTGCTGAAACCAGCTGCCCTGTGTGACGCTGCATTTTGGACCCACGGATTGTCTGGTCCTGCTCACTATATTTATATACTCTCGATCATCGGGAGCACTCCTATCCAGCTTGATCATGGCAGCTGTCGACCCCAACGATTCTCCCCACGCTGGCCCTCCTGCTACCTCTGTCATTCTCGCCATCATGATCGCCATTCTCATCCTAGGTTGCGTCTTCGTCGCCCAGCGATCCTCAACCCTCGAAGTAATTCGCGAGACTATCACCGAGCGGATACGAGGGGGGAGAGCTGGCGTTGGGGAAGAAACCCTGCAGTCGATGCCGGTCGTCAAGTACAACGAAGCCCTCATCGACGAGCTGGAGAGTCCGGGACGAGCAAAATCTGTTTCGGTATGGACGAGGACAAGGTTGAGATTTTGGAGCTGGGCTCAGAAGAAGAAGGACAGGGCAGCGACTCCATCAACTGAACACAGTGATGGCGCGTTGTAAGTTGCAGATTGCTCGTTGTCTACCACTGAAACATGACAACTAATCTGTCGCAGAGAAAGCGGCACGCTGAGGCCCGAAAAGAAACGATCATCAACAAGAAGTCATAGCTGCGCCATCTGCACCGAGGACTTTGTCGAAGGAGGTGATGTTCGGAAGTTGTCATGTGGACATATCTTTCACCCGTCGTGCGTTGACCCGTGGCTGCTGCAGTTTGCGGTTACATGTCCATTATGGTGAGCAGATTTTGGATTTTTCCACGAGAAGTTCAAAGCTGTTTTCTAACTTGCTGTGTAGCCGAGTTGATCTCCAGGCCAAGACGGCAGTCAATGCTGTGACGAGACCTCAACGAGCGTTACAGCGAGACACAAGCAGAGTTGAGTGAGAAGCAGGGAACCTTGGAAGATATGTCAGGCTACCAGGATGGTAGAGCTACACATAAAAAGCGAGAGTTGTTGACAGGCTGGGCCCAAGAGATAGTTGACTCAAAACACATAAGTAGGTAGGTTGAATCAGCACAATCTGTACCGATTCGTCTTGCTCTCTCTTGATCTTCTCAACCCGCCGCAGGCGGCTGAGGGAACTTCTCCAACACCACCTCCTCCCCAACCAACTCGATCACAACCCTATCCCTCCCCCCCTCCACATCCAGCAGAAACTCATACTTCCCCGGAAACAAAACCCTATTCCCCCCCAAATCCACCCTAGCCAAATCCCCCACCACCACCCCCACCGGCGCCGCCCCCGTAGTCCCCGGCTCGATATCCCTTATCCGCTTGTACCCCACCAGCGTCTTGATCGGGTACGGCTCCGGTCCGTACTCACCCCTGACAAAAACAAGGGCGACATAGTCAGATTTGAGTTCTCCCGTATTCGACACCCAGACGGACACCTGCGGGAACCGGCAGAGGTCGAGGTATCGTTCGTTACAGTTGGAAACGAGTTCGGCAATGTTGATGGTGAGGGACTCAAAGACGCCGAATTTGGCGGTAAAGGTTGTGTAGTGGAGGCCGTGGCCGAAGGGGAGCACGGGGGAGGGGTACCACCTGTAAGTCCGGCCTGGGCGGGCGGAGGTTGGGCGGAGGGACATGGCTGTCAGGGGGATGAGGGAGGTGTAAGTTTCTGGGTAGACTGTGACGGGCAGTCGAGCGGCGGGGGAGCTGACTCCGGTGATGATGTTCAAGAGGGCTGTTCCGCCTGATTGGCCTGGGTAGCCTACCCATAGGATGGAGGAGATGTTTGGGTTGGAGAGCAGGGGGGTGTCGTCTACTTGGTCGCCTAGTCTTGCTACGATTGTGGGTTTTCCCATCTGGGCGAGGGAGGTTAACAAGGAAAGTTGAGCGGATGGCCAGGCGATGGAGTCTCTGTCTCGGTCTTCGGCTGCGATGGAGAGGTCGGTGCCGCCGAGGTAGAGGATGATATCCGATTTGGAAGCCGCGGAGAGGGCGGGGGAGGTCCAGGTGTCATTTGTGGAGGGAGATGACTGGTTCACCGGTCCTGGGGCGTGATGAAAAGTGACGTTGAGCTGGGTGGCTGCATAGATTGGGTTGGCGTAGTAAGGGGGGATACCGCTGTAGCCGCCTAGCATTTGGCGGGTTGCATTGGCCCAGTGGCCTATGAGGGCTATGGTTTTGTTGGTGAGGTCTAGGGGAAGGAGGCCGTTGTTTTTGAGAAGGACTATCCCGTCGGTGGCGGACTGGAGAGCCAGGGCTTGGGCTTTGGGGGTGTTTACTTGGGACCATGAGATTTTGGTGTATGGATGTGGGGAGGCTGAGTCGAGATAGCCAGCTCGGATGAGGCCTTCGTATAATCTGCGAAGTGCTCGGTCGATAATTTCCTCTGACAGCAGAGACTGATTGTATGCTCCGATTACATCTGTGAGTGGGGGGTATCCAGGCACCTCACAGACGGTGTCTGTACCGGCGTTATAAGCATCAGCGGCGGCTTGAGCTGGAGTTTGGCTGAAGTTGTGAAAGTTGGGGAGGAAGTCCTGTCAACATGTCAGAGGCATAAATTAGAAACCACAACTCCGGCAAGTTCATACCTGAATAGCATTACAGTCGCTCGTTATATAGTTGTTGTGCTCGGTCCAATTCCAGTGTTTTCGAAGGATGTCGTCCATCAAATACGTGCTTGCACATGCCGGTGTTCCGTTGAGCGCATTATATGAGCACATGAAAGACCCGACCTTGCTGTCTCGAGCGCATTGTTGAAACGGTTGGAGGTAGTACTCCGAAAGATCCTGCGAGGTCACAACAGCATTGAACCTGTATCTAAGAGCCCCTTGCCATCTCTCCAAATCATAGGCTGCAAAGTGTTTACAAGTGGCAATCACCTTTCTGATCTTGTCTCTCCCTTCTAGACCCTCGAGAAGTGCTTGGACGTAGCCTTTGATGTGTACCGGATCTTCTCCGGGTGTCTTTTGAGTTCTCAGCAACTGCACGGCACGGAAAAGAAGGCTAAGGTAACAAACCTCATGGCCCCTCCCCCATCTCGGATCTTTGTACGGGTTGATGTTAGGCGTCCAGTAATCCAGTCCAGCGAGCTCGGCATTGCTGAACGCTCGCGCTTCAGTGCTGATGGTATCCGCCACCTCGTAAACCAGGTCATTGTCAAAGGCGGCTGCTAGCGTAATAGTATTCGCAAATGAAGTAGCGTGTGAGAATTCTTGTCCGGCCTGATTGAAGGAGACCCCAGGCGACGCGGCAACACCATGAAGAGCTTCGTTCCACCAAGCATAAGCTGGAAGGCCGATCCTTTCTGCACCGAGGCTCATGCTATGAGGAGTGATTAGCTGAATTGAAATCCCTAAAGGAGCTTCTCTTGACTTGACATACTCCACTAGATTCACAAGCTTTTCCGTGATATTTAAAGCCTGCACAAGAGCAGCTGCTCGCGCAGGAGGTGACGCCGTTGTATCACATGCCAAGGTCTTTGCCAGCGGACCACTGATGCAATCCGGAGTTTTCGAAGCCTCGGCCAAGTTGAAAGCCAAATAAATGGCCAGGAATGGCTTATTGAGTTTCATGATTGGCTTTCACGTCGACACTTGTGTCCAGGACAACAAAAGGGGTAATGCATGAGACCTGATGATTGAAGTCTTATGTAGACGCCAGGTTTGACGGTCTGGATGTGGAAAACGAGAATGAAATGGCAGAGATACGAGGATGGATTCCGTGTGGTCGATAATACACGCCGGTACCCCTCGTTGATCCAAAGCCATAATATAGGAAGCCGACCCGATTGGAGCGGCACGTAGATTGAGTTGTTGTGAGCGGAGCAGGTTGCGGCAACTATAGAAATGACGACAGATATTACCCGCATTTGAAAGCTTGAATGGCGGGAGCTACCACCTATTGTCGATCTGGTTAATCTTTAATATGACCTCTAAAGTACATTGAACCGGAAATGGTCGCCCAGATACCTACATGACTCGCAACAACACCAAACGAACCAACAGTAGAATATTAGATGAGATAGGAAATGTAACATGCGTTGTAGGCCTAAAATAATCTGATGGAGGTGACGTGACCGGCTCAAAAAAACCTATTATGAAGGTAAGGTAGGGAGGGCAGTCTGGTGATAATAGGGTGCGACTCGCCTCTCAAAGCTAGCAACTTCGACCACACTCTTTATGCCCAATTCCCAAGTATCCAACTCCACGTAAGTTCATGATATTTGTGTTAATAACGCTCCCAGAAGTATTATGCCGGTAGCTCCAAGGTGCGCCGGTGCACATCTCGATTCCATAGTTCATGTCTTGCGCCCGCGACCTCTGCAACCTCTGGCTCGGCCGGTTTTTCGTGCATTATTCTCGGCCCCCCAACTTGATTGTTGTCATTCTGCGGAGGTGACAGGTTTTCTACCGCGCCGTATCTGTCCGTGTTTGCCTTGTTCTGCCGTTTTCTGTACATGATCAGCGCCGCAGCGATCACAACAGCAGCGACAGTTGCAACACCCCCCACAACTATTCCAACAATCGCTCCAGTAGAGATTTGGCCTATGAGCAAACAAAAGGTTAGCCATCGCTTTGATAATCTCACCGACAGTGCCAGGACCAGATAAGGTAACCTACCTGTTTCGGGTTCTCCGGTTTGGATGTCTGTCTGGGAGGGTCCAACAGCGATGCTTGTGGTTGTCACTGATGAATCAACGGTGGCTCCCTCAGTGATGGCCACCAACGACAACCCAGCACTCCCACAATAATCCCCCCATGCCCTCAATGCCTCAGTCAAGATTCCATCTTGGCTTGTCCCGCACCGGCTAGCTATACACTCGGTCATGAAAGCTTTCCCCCTTGTTATTCTCTCTTCGTTGTTCTCCCTATCACACAAACACCCATTGTCCCAAGGTTCCCCACACCCCATTTGTGGCATTAAATCATAAGTGTCCCTATTTGCACGCCAGAAGCACAGACGGCCGCACTGCGGCAGGGCACTGTACGCATCAAAGCTCCAGATCGACGCGACGGTTGGTATAGGCAGCCCGTTTTCCTGGCAGTAGGAGTTGTAAACACTCAAACCACTAGCAACAGGGCCGCTCGAGGGAGCAATCTCCTGTGGACTCCCGCATCGACTGGCTACGCAGTTGGAGATGAACGTGGAGGCCTTGCCGGCCAGCTCCCTCTGGCAGAAGCATTCGTTAACCCATGGTTCGGCGCACCCGATACCGACTGCCACATCTCTCGAGCTCGTAACTGGTTGCCAAAGACAAAGTTGGACGCATTGGCGTTGCTGAAGAAAAAGTGAGAAGGATTTGATGGTGATGGGGTTGTCGGCGGTGGAGAAAGAAAGGAGCAACAATAATACGGTAATAATAGCAAACATCATAGCGGCCGGCGGTATCGAGTCTGGTTTTGGTTTAAGGTGGAAACCAACGCGGGGAAAAGATGGTCAGGAACAGAAAACAGAAAACCTGAAGTCCGAGGAAGGTACTTGGCATTTTGGCTATGCAACAGAAGGAAGGCACGTACCCGAGGTCGAGTCCGAGATTGTGTAACCTTGCAGTGGCACAAAATAAAACGAAGAACCCAAAAGAGGCTATGATTGACCAGGCAAGGCGCCGAGTAACGATAAGTGGGATTGTTCGATCTACCGCAAGGTTAGGGTGATACTATTCCTCTGGTCCAACTGGTCGACTTTATATAACCCAACAACGACTCTTGCTTGTCCGTATCCATACTCGGAACTTCTTACTCTGACTCTACGTTAGCATCGAATAAGGCACGCCGATTTAAAAAATAATCCCAACAAGCCTTCACAAGTAAAGATCGACCCTTGGAATACAACGTACGGTTTTGCTTTTAAATGAATTGTATTCAAATCCGGCCTCAGAATACAAAGTTCACGCTTATTTCTAGGTTCAAGAGATAGGTTCTGATGCCAGCTTAGAGAGAATCTGGGTCTAGAACGGTGAAGAGGCAGGTGTAACATGTTGGTGGCATCTGTGGCTGGCTTACGGACCGTTCGAGGTTATCCACCCGCACCACCCCGTCCTTCATGGCATCACTCACGTCTCAACTTCCCCTAATCATAAACATTGTTGGAAGACGGTATACCTAGTCAACACATGCCGCAGCTGTGGGAGAGGGCCGTAAGGTGTCCCAACCTCGGAAGCTTTCCGGTCTTCTATAAAGATGGAGAGCACTTGGAGAGCACTTGGAGACTGCACATTGGCTCACATCCCTCGACTTATGCGGCAGCAACAAGAGGCAAACAGATGGCAAGTAGCCGGTGGGATACATCGTACACAAACCATGCTGGCCAAGACGACCGAGAAGCAGAAAGCAAGGAACCCAGGCCAGGCTGCGTGTGAGATGCTCAAAGGTTGGTACTCACTCCTCCCCAGTATCTTCCTTTGCAGTTGGAACGAGGGTGATGGAGTTGGCACGGCGTCCAAAGATCTCGATACCTAACAAGCTCTAGAACCCCAACTCCGATCCACGACCAGTCGGCACAATCTCAATCCAAGAACAAGGGTCGCTGCAGCTGTCAAGAAAGGCCAAGCTCTAGCACAGACAAGACCACCACCAGCTTGAAGTATGGTTCAGCTCACGAAGCTAGCAGCAACTGCGCCTTCTGTCGCCTCCAAGATTGAGGCACATAAAGACTGCCGAGGTGCCTAGACATGGAATGTCATGATGGAGCAGAAAATGACCCAGAGTGTGGTCAAGGCTCAGGGTTCAAGGCCCTGCCGTGAGGTGTTGATTCTCCTGATCCAGGAATGCCACTGATGGCGTCATTTGCGGCTTTGTTGTAGCATAGAAATTGGGCAGGTTGCATTCCTAGCGAGGGGGTGCTGAGTAATCAAGTGACTTGCCTCTTCATCGACTGTTTTGCTTAACTGGCTCGAGACTGGCTCACCTCATCGGATGATGGGTGAGGTTTCCAATTGGCTGATCGGGGTTAATTTCCTGATCGGCCATAAATCAGGGTCCAAACCCCTGAAACAACCTGCTATCTTTTGAGTCGTTGCATGTAGGGGCCGGATATCTCCGTGGGCTCGATGTACAGAGCTCAATCTCGACGGGCAACAGATAAGAGGCACTTTTTCTTCAACCACAATGTGTTAATTCATGGTTATTAAGGGCTTGGATACCACGGTACCAAAGGAGAATACAAAGACGTGTCCAAGGCCGATACGTCTGGTATGGAAGGAAACAACGTATGTACATGAGCCTAGAGCTTAGAGTGAAAAAAAAAGATTCTGTCAGATGTATGGCCCGAGGGATCTTCTCCCCTCGTCTGCATCAACCCCGCCTTTGAGGTGATCTCTCCCTGGCCACAGCTGCTTGGCGAAACGTACAATATTTTCACACTGGCAAAGTAGGAAAAACATTTGAGTACCGGTCTCGAATTGAGCTTCACATGACAAACAGTATCGAGCGCTCGCCTCTGGCTCCACGTTGGAGAAATGCTCCGGACGACGACAGCGCCTGCCAAGGGAGCACTGCCAATGCCCGCTGACTCACGTAACGAGCCATGGCATTTAAAGTTAAAGCACGCGGGATGATCTGTGCTGTCCGTGTCATTCCCAAGCAGATCGCGGTTGCGATCTTGCTAGCTACGTATCCGACTCTTACAAAATAAGTCGATATAAAAGGGTGAGAACCTCCCAGATTCTTCTCGGAGGTGCCACATTGTATTCATGTACCTAGTAAACCTGGATTGGTATCATCTTGTGGTGAGTGAGAGTTCTTGTCCACCAACGGACCGACAGAGACCCCCACTGCAGTTCAAAAGTGTTCATTGCCGGGCGTGCGGGGGTGAACATCCAATTGGTGGACCGCCCAGGGCACCCCTTCAGTCCATTGGAGGGATTGCTTCCAGAATCTCCCATTGGTCAGCCGTCCCTGCCGTGAGAGCTGGTTGGCTGTTCTCAGTTCTCACCCTCGCAGCCACACGACACAAAGAAGACAAGGTCTGTAGTGTCATCTTGGACTGACCAATGCAACCCCTTTATCTGAAATCGGTCAAGCCACAGGGGGGCTTATGATGACGAGCCTCGCCTTCGATGAGTTGCACCCGGCATGGCGGCAATATGTAGAGTCCATCTCAATAGTACTTGAGAAATGTCTTGACTTATGCAATGCCACAACGACCAGGAATGGTATCTAGTCGGCTGATGACAGTGCACTCATATGTATGGGAGTCCAGCCATGTCCAGTCCGTGATAACCCCAAACTCCTCTCCACTTGCTGGGGCAAGTGTTGCCGCCGAGACCTATCATCAACCGCCTGTCATTGCTTGTCTACCTATGCACCCCTCTCTGGTTCCAGTCTCATCCAAGAAATTCAGTTCGGCTCCGTTCCTTGGCCCACGACTTGTTGATCCTTGGGCCTTGACCAGGCGCGCACTCGCGCGGTATACCACTTCTCGTCCGCTTCAAAGCGCCCGCTGACTCGGTATTCAAGTCGAGCTGTTAGGTGCTGGCCTGGCACCTCGAAACCGATGTCGGAGCAACCTGGCCAGACCAAAGTGGCGGGTTCAGGCTGCCACCCAATATATACCACACCTCCATTGACCCCAAGTCCAATGAACGACGGCCAAGAGGGCCTCAATACTTCAGGGACTCCTTCGGTTCTTTCCTTATCCGCCGGCGTTTCTCAGGGCGACGGCTTCTCATCCACAGCACCCGCCTTTCCCACGAGCGGAATCCCACAAAGTGGCATAAGCTATGATGGACACCACTGGGATAACTGGCCATCCGCCCTTAGCGACACCTTCAATGGATTGGATAACGCTCCCGGCACCTTCGATGGGCTGGATAACGCTCCCGTCGCGCTCTACCAGAACCACGGACCGCTAAATTGGGCAACGTCTGAACTCTCCCATGTCTTCAACACAAAGATAGAGTTAGACCAGGAACAGAGCTCTTCTCACCCAGCTGCGCCGCCTTTTTGGCTTCCACCGCATGCCTCTCAAAGCAGCGTCGTTTACCCAACAGCACAGCATTCCCCCGATAACCCGCCGAGCTTCTTTTCTGATTATTCCAATACCGCCGACCCTGTAAAACGCCAAAATACGTTTGACGCTTCTTACCTTCACGCCCAAAATGAGCCGGCGTACTCTTTGACTGGACCCGTCGATCAACCTCAATTGAATCTGAATTCAGTCCCCCCGCCGGCACCTTACTGTCTTCAACATCAACACGGATTGGTACCCAACGCACAGCAGTCCAACCACGGGCTCACAATCGATCATGACTACGACAACATAGGAGCCCCAATACCGGAGACGCACCCATCACCAGCAGCAGTAATAACAACACCCGCCGCCCACTCCACAAGCTTGACTCGCAGACAGGATTTTACACTCGTTGTGCCCCCGAAACGCCGGCGAGGCCGCCCACCTAAACACGACGTGAACTTTCCCCCAGGCCAGCTCTTAACCCTAAGCTCCACCAGTGCTCCCAGCAGCATCCTCTCCCCGGCCACAATCCCCACAACCGCTGGAAGCCTAGCATTCTCATCTTCCTACCCCGGCAAACAAACACCAACTGGCGTCTCCCACCCCACCGAAACTGGCGACGATGGTACAAAACAACAACAAGAACAACAACCCAAAAAACGACCACGAGGCTCCGTCTCTGGAGCCAATGACAACAACAACAGCACCGCTGAAGGGACCAACCTCCGCTTCCGCAACCGACAAGCCGCGATCCGGTACAGAGTCAAGACCCAGGCCGCCGCCGCCCAGCTAGAGGCAGAAGAGCAAGAGATTAGCAGTCGGAGAAAGAGCTTATTGACCAGCGTGGGACAATTGAAGGACGAGGTGTATAACTTGAAGAATGAGGTGTTGAAGCACGCGGATTGTGACTGTCCGTTGATCCAGGCTTATTTGGCTCATGCGGCGCGGCAGGTTTATTCTGGGTTGATGGGGGGCCACCACCGACGACGGGAAGGATAATGGAGGTTGGGATGATAGGGGGTGGTCAAGGGGGGCTTGATTATGGGGGGAGTAGTGTGAGTGGTGGGAGTAGTGGGGGAGTATAAGTGCTGGGGGCTCAGTACACCTGGGACGATAATAACGACGACGACGACGGCAATGACGACGCCGACGATGACGTCGCCGATAACTGGAAACAGTGAGGATTTCAAGGGTGGGGACTACTATGGGGTGGTTGATACTGGGGAGAATTAGGACATCAGATGAAGGGGGCGAGGTGCTGGGTGTGCTGGGTGTGCTCTACAGATTGGACTTTGGGGCAAGTAGAAGACAATTATCTTGTCTGTGGCTGACAGACTGGTCTGTTTGCTGAGAGAGAGAAAGTGGGGTGCGAATGAAGAAGGAGCAAGGGAAGAGGAACCACATAACGAATAATGACGACATGACCGAAATGGCCAAAGCGAGCAATAATTTTGCGGGCGTCTTTTCATGGGGCGATTCCAACCCAAAGTTAGAAAGCTCTCTAGTTATGGATAGGAGAGCAAAGCTGTTTGATCTGCTTTTCTGATCCACTGGATATGGCTCAAAGCCATAGCATTGTTGTTACCTGTATGATTGGGAAGGAGCTGCATGGTCACACCAAAGGGCAACCACAAGAACTGCAGTATGGAGGACCGTGCTTTAATACTTATTGAAATTTGAAACAAGTGGTGTTAAAGTTTATTTCCCTTACAACCTTACCGAAAGCATCAGCTCTCGACCGCTCAATCTGAACCCAGCATCACCCATCCAGGTCATTGTCTTTCCCACAAACTTGTGAACCATTCACCACCGCACGGCTCAAACACCTCATCAACAGGATTTCCCCCGCATTCCCTATCACAGCGCCAGTCGTCTGCTGGTATCATTCTGGAAACTGATTCACCACACATGCATTCTATTGCCTTGTTAGCCAGAATGCTCGAGTTCATCAGGGACTCAAGGAGGTTGAAACATACGGTGGTGGAATTCTGTTCCAAAATACTTGTATCTCTGGTCGGTACAGATGTTGGCGCAGAGGCTATTTGTCATATCGTTCCGTTGCTTGAAATCACCCATCAAAATGCGGTCCCCGGAATCTTCAAAGCACCCGACATAGCTCCACCCAGCAATTCGCTTCTTCATCATGGTGGTTTCAGTCGCGATGACAGCGCTTATGGTTCTCGATGGTGTTTGCTGAGCCTTGATCACTTCTCCTGCCGTGGACGGCATTGTACTCGCCTGGGCGGATCGAGTTTCGCTGACAAGAACACTAGTTCCGGCCTCAGTTGCTTTGGTTGCCTCTTGACTCGTGCTTTCAGTCGTGCGGGTGCTGACACTGACCGTCGTACTTTTGGCTGTACTGGCAGTCGTCTTTTGGACGGAGGCATTGACGCTTCTGCCTGTGATGGAGTGGCCCCTTTCTTCGCCATCAGAGATGGTATTTGTCGTCAAAAAGTCATCCACACGGGTGTCATTTGAGACAACCCCCCCCGTCACATCATTTTTGTTTGACTCAACATCAGATCGCGCTTGTTGTGTTGTTTCTGGTGGCATTGTGGCTTCAAGCTTGGCAACTTTGGACCCCAACAATGCCGCAGCAACAGCAACGCCCACAAACAATAAGGCCACAGCACATGAAAGCAAGAATATCGAAAGGTTCAGGCCGCAAATCTTTCGTCTTGGCATGTGCCGAGCTGCTTGCTTTTTTGGCTCGTAAACACTCTTACTCCGGTCGTACCGACTCTGAGAGTATTCGCTGGGCTTGTCGTCTTCCGTTTCGCCGTATCCTTGCCATTGTTCCTGTGGCTGCCACTCTCGACGCCAGGAATATGGTACAGCGGATATGGGTCTTTGAGGATACCAATGAGATGGCACAACCTCTAGCTCGCCGCCTTCGTTGCGCTCGCGGTTGGGTATTGGCAAGTGGGCACTGGATTGCTGGCCTACGTCAGTAACCTCGGTCTTATTATAGATGGGAGCAACCACGTGGAAGTCAAACTTACATATGTCATGGTGAGTCAGTCCCTAGCGCCTGAGACTTTCAAGATGATGCTCGAAAAAGACTCTGGGATATTCGACTTGGACATGGACAAAGGCGAGAACTAATACCTCTGCGAGATAGTATGACGGTGTGACCACGCAACCCCTTATTGTCCGCCTACGGACCCAATGAATATACTAGACTCTCGGCTGATTGGTATTACAAAGTACAAATGGCTTGAATTCCTGCCGATTGGACCCAGTGTCAAATGACGTCGGTGAGGCTGAAGCAGCAGGTAAGCAATATGGAAAATGAGGTAAGCGTGGCGCTCTCGTTTGTATAAGTCAGTTCCACCAGTGGAAACTATGAAAGGTGCTGACTGATTGTGTAGTTCGAACCAAGAAATGACGCCCCCATCAGGCACACTGCATTAAACCTTTCTCGTGGCGTCTAAGCTTCTTGCTCGGTTAGCAACCGCATTCTTATTTGTGTTCCATTGGATGAGAAACATCCACCCCCTTTACAGCTCTTGAAAGCTGTCCTTTGACACGATCACAAAATCACACAAAACATGGCAGCGTCCGGAGGCAACCACGCCAAGGAAGCTCATCTTTTCTACCACATCTGGGCCAACCGTTAAGTCCCCCCCCTTATCTACGGTTGAACAAGCATCAGCCTTCAACTTGTCTGTTGTTTTCATTGGTTTCTTTCAGGATCAATAATCGAACGCCACTATCTCGGCACACACAGCTCAACATCACTTTGTGGACATGATGTAAGGAGCATTATTTATTAACTGAAAACCCCGTTGAAAACCCGTTGAAAACCCATTGAAAACCCCATTGTCCCCGCGGACATATATATACTCTTATCTCAGCTAATTGCAATTTCCAAAGGCCCGCTGGCAGTTGGCACCGCAGTACTCAGCGGTAGAGCCGCAGAAGCCCCATTGAGAGCAGCAGTTGCCGAACCCAGAGTTGAGGCAGTTCATATTGCCGTTTGTGCTGCCGCAGAGACCATTAGTCGAGGTGATGGGGCCGGGGTTGGGGTTGCCGCCGCTGCCACCACCGCCGCCGGTGCGAGCATTGCCAGTCGTGGCATCACGATACCAGTTGACGGGAGCATCACCAAGGCACTCGCCGACAGTCACCAGACGGTAGCCCCTGTTCTTGGCGGTCTGGATCAAACCCAGGGCAAGCTGCTGAACGGTCGCCTGGTGGACGTCGTGGGCGAGGGCGATGTACTTGTTGGCCGCGGCGTTGGTGCTGACGGCGCTGTTGAAGATGTTTTGGCTGTTGGGGATGTTGCCTTGGTAGTCGAGGGTGTCGATGTTCCAGTTGATGACGTGATAGCCGAGGTCGCCCAGGTCGGTGAGGCACTGGCCGGTGCAGCTGCCGTAAGGAGGGCGCATGTAGGTGGGGAAGTACCCGCCGAGGGCGTCCTTGAAGATCTTTTCGTTTTGCGCCATGTTGCTTCTGCGGGCGGCGGTGGTGAGGGTGTTGAGGTCTGGGTGGTTGTAGGTGTGGGAGCCGAGCTGGTGGCCGTCGTTTACAATGCGGCGCAGGACATCGGGGTATGGTGCTTGGGTTGCGTCTCCCCAGTTGAGGCCGTTGGTGAAGAAGGTGGCCTTGACTTGCTGCTGGGCGAGGAGGTCAAGGAGCTGGTTGGTGTAGAGGAAGGGGCCATCGTCGAACGTGAGGGCGATGGTGCCCGCGGCGTTGCAGTTGGTGATGGTGACGCCTTTGAAAAGTGTAAGTCATCTTGTTTTCATGTTTTCAAATTATCTCAGAGAGGGGCTTACCATAGGGGATGCTTCCAAATTTTGGCCGAGGAGTCGACAGAGTTTCTTCATTGTTTCCACCTCCACCACCTGTACAGGTTCCAAAGCCGCTTTGGCAACCAGTTCCGCAATGTTCAGAGGTGACGCCACACCAGCCGTATTGAGAGCAGCATTGACCGGAAGGGCAGTTTCCAATGCCAGCACCGCAGTTGGCACGCTTCTGGAGTGTATCTCTGGCATGTTGTCGTGGGCTTGGGTTAGGGCTGGTAGACTGGGAGTTGGCATCGGCCAAAGCAGCAGCCGTGGCTACCGCCGACAGCGAGAGGAGGGTCACTGGTACGTTGATCATATTGTCGATGGTCTCGTGAAGTCGTGAAGAATGGATAGTGACAACAACAACAGTATATACTGTCTCAAGACCTTCCAAGCAGACGGGGAGAGGCAAGGGCTGATGATGAAGGTGGATTGGGGTAGGACGAGGTAAGGGCCGCCATCTTTCTTATATCTTCAAGACAACACCCCTGATCCCGCTTGAGACTCCATGAAATGAGTAACGGGAATAGGATGGCGGCGCATGGGGATACCCCAAGATCCGGACGGTCACCGATGGGGTCTGAGGACAGTCACGAAAACGGTCCACTCAGTCCAGTGCCAACTCATGGTGCTTCTCGCCTTTTTTTTCTTCCCCAGCACAGTAAGGATCAAGAGAGGGTCACTCCAAGGGGTCAGTCCACTTGTTCCACATAAACGGAGTATTCCAAGACGGAGCACATGGACGGCGCTAGTGCAGAAACAAGCCAAGACCACAAGGTCTAAAAACGGAGAGAAACACCAAGACATCGACAGTTGGGATCCCTACTAGAGCCAACACTTGCGGCTCCCTCGGCAAACGCACAGGAACCACACCTCAGTGCTCGACGTGATCTCCTCTGGTCGCACAAATACTCGGTGAGGACTACACGTGAACAATTATTTCTGGAGACAAGCACCGGACGTGGCCGATACCGTTGGCCCGGGCGGACGCCGCATGCCATTTCCCCGAATATCAAAAGATCAATGCTGCTCTTTTCGCAGTGTTCTGCCTTACGGACTTCCAAGGTTCTGACGTGAGTGCAACGGTTGGAAGGGCGGTTGCGGCACCTCATTGTCTCCAGTTATACCCGACTCGGAGCTAGATCTTACAGTTGAAAACCAACGGCCGGGGCAACATGCGGCATAGTCGCCGAAGAGGTGCATATCATGACCGTTAGTATCCTCTGATATTACTCACCACCAACTGCCTGTTCGTAAATTTTGTCCAATGAGCAAGCAGCAGGTCAGCTTGGTAGTAGCGGTGGAAGTTCGTATTGAACGTAACTGTTGTCATGTTCGTATCCTTCGGCCTGGCCTCAGTGATAAATGCGAGATGGGAACCGTTTTCCCATGGCTGGATGTGATGCGATGCAATGCCGCCCTGGCTGCAAGGACGGTAAATTGTTCACAAACAAAAGAAGAAAAATGCGGCTGCTTTTCGACCGGGACGGCATCGGGTGCGGGATATGATTCGGAGCAATGTCTAGAAAAAGCCAAAAGGGCGTGGCTGGCACGGCGTTCCCTGTGTCTGTCTCTTCTCCCTTCCTTCTAATTTTCCTTCCATCCCATCACACCCGAAAAACCGGCCCTACGTCACACACCCAACCCCGCGTGTTAGCGATTGAAGTTGTGGAGGGGGCGCCACAGGTAGCCACAGTAGACTAAACTGATGGAAAACATGGCAAAATTGGATGTTGTGTTATCCATCTCGAGGCTCACGTACCGTCAAACCCAACCTCGTGTGTCTCAATGAGACAGAACTTTGCTCCTGATTTGTCCCTCGCCCGGGCACAAGGTGAAGAAGATGCTGCACACTGTCAATATTTTACTGCATGGCGTGCATCCTGCAGATCAGCTCCGCTGACAATCTTGCTTTCCCTTGGACCCTTCTTCTTTTCTTCTCTTTCTTTTTTTCTCACATACGAGATATTGAAGTCAGTCGGCCAGCCTGGCAGCGTGAAGCATGTAACATCGCACAAGATCAAGACATGTCAAACTTTATTTCCCCTTTTTGGCCTTTGCTGTTTGAAGAACAATTCCCGTGGTACACGGACACTATGTGTGTGCGCTATAAACCCACCATGGGTTCCCTGGACTTTATTCTCAAACCCGCACCTGCTAAAGAGGGGTTTATTTGCTTGTCCTTCTCGTATCGAGATGACCCCAAGATGCCTAACGTCCTCAAACCCCCACATCAGAACCATGTCGGGCCATGTGTTTGCGCTGCCTGCTTGGAAGATAGCTTGCCAAGAGTTCAATATCACGACAACAGGTCCAACTCCCAGGGTCGCGCCTGCTGGTCGATCATCCTCGTCCCGCGAAGCTTGCCAAGTTGCCAAGTTGCCAAGTTTACCCGGAAACCAGAAACCGTCCAGAAAAAAATCCCGACGCTGTGGACGACAAAAATAGGATTCATCAAGACAAGACACTGTCACGAGAGCTAAAAGGATAGTGCTGAGATTGAGAAGCTGGTTGAGAAGCAATTGAAGCAGATTGGACATCTTGAAAACGTTCGAGATTTATCGCTGATAGTCTTTTAGCAGCCTCGGTCTTAGCCTGCAAATATGTCCAGGTCGCTCTGCCCTACCAAGCCCTCGTGAGAACCCCGTGAGAAAAGGGTCCACTACCCAGCAATATGATTCCACTTCCACCGCCACCTCACCCTGCGCCCGGTTCCGCTCTCGCTCGCTTCTGTCCGATCCAAAGTTTTGGGGAGCTGTTGCCGAGTGACCTCACATCTTATTCTCTACAACCACCATGCCACCATGCCATTCACATCTATAAAAGCCTTTTCAGACTGAAAACGAGATGCAAGGAACTTGTTCCTAGGCAATTGCCTCGCTACTAGTAGTATTGGGAACATCTGTAAGCTATTTGCCTTCGAGAACTTCCCCAAGCCTCGCGCGCTATCGATTTCCCCTGGTTTGGGACTCCGTATTGGCGTCATCTTAACGCAACTGAGCCGCATGCAACGCAACCCTGCGCTGATGACAAAAAAGACCACAAAACGGGGCCAAGAGAAACGGTGCTGACCTCACTCATCAGTCGAAAAAGAAATCTCGTACCAACAAAATGATGCGGAGTGACTAGAGTTGTACCTGCCTGTTGTGTAGAAGATGTCCCCCATGTCGGTTTTTTTTGTTGTGTTCGGCCGAACAAACAGCAGCAGCAGCAACAGCAAGCCAGCATTTTTTTTTGGCCAGGCTCTCACTCAGCTGATTCTAGTCCGAGTACACTGATCCGAGCCTCGATATCCGTATCCCGAGTGTTCACGTGCGTGTGGGATGTTGTTGGTAAAAGGATTCCCGGCATTCCTTCCTCAATAACGAACTGTCGGTCAAGTTCGGGGCAAACTCAACCATACATCGCAGGCTGTTCATCAATCCGATGTCCCTGATACGCCGTGTTCTGACTCATGAAGCTCCGATCATGCCTCAACTCACCACTGCCACCATCACCACTGCCATCAACGGCATGGTATTCGCCTCGGCGAGCCGTTTCCGTCATAGCTGGCCCGTCCATCGCAGCAAAAGCCGGGGTTGTTCCGTCCTCAGGCTCGTACCCACTACTACCACTACCTCCTCCCGTCTCCACCTCCACCCCTAGCCTTCTCCTGTCCTGAGACTCCCATAACCCATTCCCCACAGAAACAGGCAGCACCCCGTAGTAGTATCTCCCACCGTTCTCTTCTATTCGTTTGCGCCTTGCGGCCCCGTCCATGGAGGATATCCCCTCCAAATCTGCCAGCAGGGTGGGTGACTGGGAGAGGTAGTACATCATCCCCGCGATGGACCTCGGGTCAGCGGGCATCGGGGGGTATTGGATCCAGAACGACCAGCCGAGCACGGCGAGCATCACTGCCAAGAAGAGACATGAAAGAACCGCGCAGGCGGTCGCCGCGGCGGAGGTTTGGTAGAGGCTGAAGGGGACGTTGGAGAGCAGCACCGGCAAGAACTCTGACATGATCGCAGCTATTGAGACCGCGAGCAGGAACATGTGTCTGTTTCTGATGGCGGAGTAGAGCCCCGAAAAGGGGTTCGTGTTCGGCGAGAAGAGGATGGAGCGCGAGGCCGGTTGGGTTGAGAGAGCCATTAGTTGGAAGGGGGTCATGGTGCTCACGCCTTTTGATTTGATTGTTAGTGAACACGATTCTCTTTTGGATGGAGATGAGAAAGGGGGACTTACTCAGAAAGAAGGACTGCCAACAAAACGCTACTATCACCCCAATAATCGCCGACAAGAACCTCACCCCAAAGGTGTTGGCGTTCATAAACGTCCAGAGCTTGCCATTGTCCTTGATCCCGCCGCGGTAGTAGGCATGGTAATAGATGATGAAAATGAAGACGGCAAGTTGAAATAGAATCAGCCCGACCCTCCACGGTATCCTTAACGTCATAAAAGGTAAATGACTCCCCGACACCCCCGTTTTCAAATCAGCTACCGCATCACTCCCATCCATGTCGTCACTCTCACTCTCAGAGGTAGGATATTGCTGCTGCTGCAACCCCTGACCAGCCTCATCCAACACTATCATTCCGTAATCCTCCCTCCCATCCTGATTCCGATACCACCCCATTCCATACCGTTTATACCTCATCTTTTTGCCATGCCCGCGTCCCAAATCACTCCTCACCCCCCCCAGGAGCGACCCCATCCCAGCCAAATTCCACGGATTCGCCCTCACCCCCGTGACCCCTTTCCGTCCCCAGTTCGTGAACCACATCACCACCCCTAGCAAAACAACCACGACAACCATCAGGCCAACAAGAACATACCCCGCCGTCCTGTTCACCCCCAGCGCCGGACCGCAGTTCTTACTCGCAGTGTTGAGATAACAATCCCCATGAAGCTTCAGCCCGATAGCCTCAGTCGCAAAAGGGACCATCAAACTCCCACAACCGACCATGAGCGTTGTCACGAATGGGACAGGGTGTTTAGCCTGCAAGAGGGTGATGACTGGCGTAACAAACGACAGGACGCCAGAGTATTGGACCAGTAGGGTGTTAGCACCCAGACTGCCAGTGGGGAGGGTAAGGGACTGGAAGGGTTGGTAGAGTTTTGCGTTTAGGTCTATGATGCGGAGGGGAATCACGATGGCAATGGCGAGGAGGGCGGGGAGGAAGGTGCCGAGGAAGATGTCGGTTTCGGACCAGAAGATTACCCTTGTTTGGGGGACGAGGGATTCGGATGGGGAGGAGGGGGTTGGGGTTGTGGTTGAGGTGTAGGTTAGGGTTGTGGGGAGGCGGGTTGAGAGGGAGGTGGTGGGGGAGGGGGTGGAGGTTATTGTCCTCAGGGAGCCGGAGATGGTGGTGAGAAAGGTGGTGGGGGGGATGGTGCTGGTGAAGGTGCTTAGGGTCTCGCGAGAGGTCGTGGCGAGGATGAGGGTGATGGGGGAGGTGTTGGTTGGGGTGGTGGTTAGGGTTAGGGTGGTGAGGGTGCCGTCTATGGTTGTGGTGAAGCTCGTCACTGGGGGGGTTGTCACGCGGGTTATGGTTGTGCCGTCGATGGTGGTGACAAAGGTTGTTGGGGCGGGGGTTATGGTGACGACGGTTGGGGTGCCGCCTATGTTGGTTGTGACGAGGTAGGTGATGGGCACGAAAGGGCCGTCAACGGAAGGTGTGGTGACGACGACTTGGGTCACCGGGGTTCCTCCTTCCATGTTAATGGCGGTATAGGTTATCGGCTGGCCTGGAGGGCCTGTTGGTGTGATTACTACGACTTGAGTCACAAGAGATCCTCCTTGCTCGCGGACAACAGTGTATGAAACCGGTTGATAAGGCGGCCCAGCGGGTGTAGTAACGACAACTTGCGAAACAAGCGAGCCCCCGACGTTGTCAACGACTGTGTAAGTTACCGGCTGTCCAACTTCGACTGGTGCCACAACCGCTTGAATGGTCCGGGGTGCACCATCGACATTAGTAACTTGGCCTATGGCGACGCCAGGGGTCGGTGTGATGACCACAACATTGGTCACGGCAGACCCGCCGACCCGAACGACACCAGTTCTGATCTCCTGCTCAACCACCCTAGTTTGGACTTCGTTTGTGGGGACAACGACCACAACAGGCCCCTGAGTTTTAAAAACCTCAATGACTGTCCCGTCAATGACTTCCACCCCCGTCACCTTGACCGGGTTAGGTGGCTCCGTGACTGGAACAGGCATGACAGTCTGGAAGTAAGTGATCGTAACCTGGCCCACGCTTGGAATCACCACTCCGGTAAGCGTGCTGGTAAAAACAGACGTCACAACATCTGTCGCCGTGGAAACATCTGCAACGGTCGTCGTCACCCCTGAAACGATTGTTGTAGGCTTCACGCCAGTGCCCATGCCAGTGGAAATAGGGACTGCGCCTTCTGATCCATCTGATGACCAGAATGACATGACCGTGGTTGGAGCCACATCGGTCACATCTGTCACAAATGTTGTGGTAAATGTAGAAGCACTGCTGAACGAAGACGTTCGAGTTCTGGTGAATGTTGAGGTGAAGAGAATTGTCGTGACAGGAACTGTAACGTTTCGTGTAAAATAAGATATGGAGACAGATATCGGTATCAACGACATGCCGCTCACGCTGGTCGCACTGGTGCTGGAACTGACAGGCTCTGAAGGGGGACCGGTTACAGACGATAAACCAGAGGCAGTTGCTGAGGTGTCTTGAGATATCGTGACTGACGGAACGCTTGATGGATTGCTTGTTTCAGGATCTGGCAACCTAAACGCGTTGTTATCCATCGTTTCTGAAGCTGAGAGAGACAGTCTTTCGGTCTCTGTGACGCCTGTCACGATGAAGATCGGGGACGTTGAGCCGGAAGAAGGTATAGACTGTGTTTCGGTAGACGACTGAAGCGTCGGTGTCACCTGAGACACAATCTCTGGGGAAGAACTGCTCTGAACAGCGACCCTGACCTCTTCCTCGAAACTCAGAGTGCTCTGTGACATCGAAGTCATGCCACTGAGTGGGGTCATGGTTGCTGTGTTGTTCGGGAGAACATCGCGAGCTAGCCGCACAGGTTGCGAAGCATTGGGATGTAGTCCCAAAAACCGAGCACTCGTGTCTGAGTTTGGCAGGCTCTTGTCGGCAAAAATGATAAGGGCGATGGCCACGACTAGCAGGACCATAAGACCGCTGATGAATGGCCATCGCAGTGGTTTTGGCTTGTAGTTGGGTGTGTCAGTCGGTCTCCATGCTGGTGGCTGCCATGTCGGCGCGACCTGCTCCTCTGTCCTCCTTGGTTCATAGTTGCAATCTTCCGTGGCCTGGATGCTGTACTCATAGGCGGCTCGGTCGTCTCTTGGTGTAATAAGGGGTTGCTGCATAGTTTTTGATGGCGTGGGCGCGGGGCACAGACGAAGTCCCCTGGCCTGGTAATGTCAGGTGTCTTCTCAATGGTGTTATCTTGAGGTTCTTTGTTGAGTGATAAATAGGTTTGTATCAGTCAGGTCCTCCAGGATCATGTTTTATGAACGTTGTGTGTTGACTCGGGTCTTGGAGAGGCAGGTCAATATTCCCTCTTCCGGAGCCCATTGGAAAGGCAGCAGATCGGACATGCATGTGAACCATTCTGTGGCCGGGCATCGGTGCCCTCATATTGGGCACACAGAGAGAGCCAAACCCAACCTGGATCCCGCGAGGTCTCCCAGACCCGACTGTGTGCAGCTGCGGCTGAGATTAAGCCTCTCCGACTGCGTGTCCACCAAGCTTGTTTCAACCTCTCAGCAGCTCGCTTCATTGCCGATGGCGCCGCCCTGTGACTGGCCCCTCGAGCTATTGCAACTCGCTGCGCTTGTTTGTCAGGTCGGGATTGGTGAGGACCAAAACGCTGTTGAGCGTTGCTGGCCATGAGTGCAACCACACCCAGGCGGCATCACCATCAGGGAGTGCGGTGAGAATCCAAGCTGTATCGCGTCTAGCCGCTCGACATGCTTCCAATCAGATGCCGCGCAACCGAGTCCTTAAATCGGGTCATTTGTTTGGTCCTATACTGGAATGTGGTGGTTAATTCTCATATTAAATCTGTAATGGATCATACGAACTGAGCGCTCAAGACTGCAGCGAAGGGAAACCTGTTCTTCTACGGCGTTCGGGGGCTCTGGATACACAGCAAGAATGGGAGTGGGAAACGATGGTTGGAGTAGGTTTGGTGCGTCCACTTAATTTATTCAGCTTCAAAAAGACATTGGCCCGTTTTCTTGGCTAACGGGATGCCCAGTTCCCGCCCAACCTCACATTCGTCGTAGCCACCAGCCCCAACATGCGTACAAAACAGTTGCGGTCACTGCACCAAGGGCGCTTGTTCGGTCGTTGAAGTGTGAGGAAACTGGAAGCAGTGTTCGTGAAAAAGCGCAGACGAAACGCCCCGAGGATGGTATTGTTGCTTGTTGTCCCGCGACCGAAACCACCCATGCCCATGTACATGATCCTCTATGCCCGGTATTCCCATGTCAACATCGAAATCATATTGTGATGCTCCACGACATGGCGCGGCAAATTCCCATGCAGGCAAATCCCGAAAACCAGAGCCAATGTCCTCAAATCTTCACCACCCACATTTCCAGCCGGAGCGCATTTAGAAGACGAGGGCAGCACCCTTGGTCTTCTTGTCACCACTATAGCACAATCTGTCAGCACGTGTTCGGTCCAGCAACTGGTGCACCAAATTCGAGAGACTGCCGCAGAACCCTGTTCCATATCTTGACGTCGTATGACGTCGAGTATTTTGGGGATCGAAACATGCATCACAAATATTCTCGTGGTGTGATGTGTCTATGTCGAGATCGTGTTGCCGATATTCGGAGGTGATTGGTTCGAAACATCATCGCTGCCCATCGTCCGGTGTCATGCTGACCGCAACAGCTCGAAAACCTGAATATGATTCCCCCGGCGTTTTGTACCCCAAACATCGAATTCCCATTGTATATGTGACGAGTGTTGGATCAAACTTTCCGTATGATGGTGTCGTGAAGCGTGTTCGTACTCGGAGTGGTCCTGGTCGCAGATTCGCCGCCGCGGGGTAGTCGGAAGCTCGTGGTTCACACAATCGGTTTTCATCATGCCGGTCGGTTTCGCAGGAGTCTCTCGAATTCGTGATGCTGTCAAGGAAAAAGGCGAACAAAAACTTACCCAAGCTCGAAGTGCTTGCAGCGCTTGAGAGGGAGCTGCTTCTTGGCCTTGCACGCGGAGCATTCCTATTCCACCCGTTTTAGCATCCCTCCGTCCTCGATTCAGCGATCGGGCAATCTCACCAGTCTGAGAACGATCTTCTTGGTGGTCTTCGCCTTCTTGTGGAAGACGGGCTTGGTCTGACCACCGTAACCGCTCTGCTTGCGGTCGTAACGGCGCTTTCCCTGAGCGAAGGCCGAAGCCTTGCCGGCCTTGTACTGGGTGACCTTGTGGAGCTGGTGCTTGCCGCACTCCTTGCTCTTGCAGAAGGTCTTTCTGGTCTTGGGGACGTTCACCATTTTGACGGCTGGATGGGGTCGTGATGTGGTGTGGTTGACGTGTGGTGTCGTGGGCCAGCTGCCTCTCTCTTTGGTTTTCGCGAATTTGCAACAATTTCGCCCAGGGCTGCCGTGCAAGTGTGGGTGCACGGTCGAAATTTGACCCGGTCCCGTGACTTGCCGGCCTGTTGTGGGTTTTTGACGAGGGCAGGCCCCACCTTCAGCTTTTCTCCCCGCAACTCGCTCAAGCAGCTGAGTTCTGACACTCTTATCTTTTATCGGATTTCTTATCTTATCATCGTTGCTCGAAATGTGTTTGGTCCTGCGCAACGCTCATCAAACGCCTTTGCAGGTTGCAGCTCTCCCACGTGCTCGCAGCCTCATAACCTTTTTGCTGAAGCTTGTCTTATTGTTCTCTGGTCAAGATGCAGTCCCTACGCATAGGCGCCCGTACCAGGCCTAGAGCTTTCAAAATATCTTTTTTAACCTGCACTGCCCACAGTGAGAGCCACTACTGAATGGTTTCATGTTTGGTTCCGTGTCACATCCGGTAACCAGATCATCAGCCTCGGACTGCGCCTGCTGCGCCGCTCCCGACTTCTTCACCCAATGCTTCCGCGCTTCTACCCCTGAACTGGCTATGTTGCACAATGCAACCAACAGATGCGTAACCTCCAATAACCTTCTGCTACACGAAACTCGAAATGGTTTAGCCCCCAATTCAGCTCCCGGATCAGTGCGGGTTGCTCGCACTTGAGAGATTTGGCTCAGTCTTTCCGACATGTTATCACCGGGGGGGATAAAGCATCAGGTAGCTCAAACTGCCTCCACCATTCCGCCGTCACCTTCTCCATTTCTCTGTTATCCTTCTTCGCTTTTTCACGATGGTCTCAGTGATATCCTCTTGACAGCACCTGCCATCTCTCACCTTTACGTACCTGGATCCATCTCTCACTGTATCTGTCATGATGGCAACCCTTGCCATGACCTCCTTCCCCTTTCAACCGCTTACAACGACGTACTCGAGACCTCCTGCTTGCAATGGCATATACATGCCCGGAAATATTTGGGTCATGGATAACGACCCTACCTGCCTTCCTCCAGGATTCGACACCGAGTCAACCTCCTTTTTCTCCCCCGGCATCGCTTGTCCTAGCGGGTACTGGAGTGCTTGTTCGGATTCCAAGGGCGTCAGTACGATCACCACGGTGACCTGCTGCCCAATATACCGAAGCGACATCTCTCTGTCTTGTGTTCCTTCTAATGCTGTACTCTCCGCACCTTGGGTGGACCATTTTTGCACGTTCAAAGCGAAATGGACAGGCAACGTTGTCACGGTCACCACATCTAGGAACGGCGTGACCGCCACCGAAACCCAGACATTCATATCTCCGCAAGGCATCAATGCGTTTGGTGTTCGCATGGTACACCAGACGACCGACATATCGCCCTTAAACACGCAATCAACCTCAAACACAGACCCTCCAATAACGAATTCCTCGCCCACAAGTCAATTGGGATCCTTGGAGACATCTTCAAGCCCGGACACCGCGCCAATAGCTGAACCAGCAGGTTCAAGCCTCAGTACCGGAGCTATTGCCGCAATCGCAGTGGTCATACCGATACTCGCCATTCTTGCTGGTGTTGGATTTTTCTTATGGTGGAGGAGTCGAAGGGCGCTGGCTGCCTCCTCGTTGCCGGAATCTTCGCCATTGGGAGGCCCCGCGTCAGAATTACCTGGATTTGGAGCGGGTCATCCGCAACAGAGCGGTTATACGCAACAAACAAGCACTTATCATGGAGCCGGTGGTCCACTGCCGCCCCAGTATGGAGTGTTTTCAAAGGAGATGCCAACTGCATACAAGGCTGCTGTTGAGATGCCGGGTATGGGCAATAATCACGTGGAACTTCCCGCTACCTATGATATTGGTCCACAGGAATTACCGACAATGTCAAGGCAGGACAGAGAATAGCTGGCAGAGCAGTAACTGTAAATACAGCACAGTTCTTTGACAATAGAAGCGATAGAGGGTCGTTACCATGAAACTATTCATTCAATCCTGGTGTTTCCAACATAGCATAGCACGGTGAAGGTGAGGAGGTAGACGGACGCTGTATGGTGACTCCCAGGGGTTTTATTGCTGTATTGAGTTTCTCCAACTAGCAACTGATATCAAGTCTAGGTAGGTACCTGGCCACCAACATCATGACCAATAAATCAACGATACGTAATTCCATCAACAAATGCCCATGGCACGGGCAAAACAATGCAAGCAAACGATCCTCAGCTGCCATGCAGGAACCGTTTCCATAGCCCAAGTCCCACCACTGCGACCACAGTATTCATCATGAGCACCCACTCATGATTAAGTCTTCTTCAATATGACACTCGGCAAAGTGTGTTTGCCACAGTTACCCTCCTCCTGCGTCACCTTTTGACCTAAACACGGGCCACAATCTTTGCCGTGCTTTATGGCTGCGGGGCATTTGTTGATAGTGACGGACATCTCGGTTGCGCAGCCCGATGGGTCATTGCAGCACTTGTAATGCTTCGCGCACATGTTTGTGGAGGTGGCTCGTTGTCGGTGAGTAGTTTGAGGTAGTGTTGTGGGATGTTGAGTATATCTGGCAAGGCTGACTTGTCGTTGAAGTTTCGTGAGAATGTGTGTGGCAATTCTGACTTTTTGCCGGTAGCTTTGGTAGTCATGAAGGGTAAGACTTTGAAGTGGGAATCGGGCATTACATATACTAGAAGCTGCCGTCGGTTTAGTATCAAAGGTACACATGACGACTTACCAAGGGTCAGGTTTCAGAAACCAAGTGTATTCTTTGGATCGTCAACTCTATATTGTAGATATCTCATGATCTGATCATGTTGATGAAAAGCCTCCTCTTGACGTCAAGACACTCTTTCAACAGTTCAGTTGGGTGGTTATTCGCGGTTGATTATGGTGCTCAAATACAAACATCAAAATCTAATGAAAGAGACATCAATCAAAGACAGTCGAACGTAGATATCGTCACATTAACCAAAACTATAATGATGTTGGTCTCACTGATGTGGGCTCCAAAAACAACTAGTACCTAGGTACCTAGTGAAGACCTGTCTCCGGCACAGGAAGGTTCCCTTTTTTGGCACCCTCCCCCCAAAATAATCGGCATTGCAAGCCAGTAAAACGCGTAATTATTATTATCTACTTACTTTTGCGGTGCCATTTTTTGGAGAGGGTTTTTCCTTGGTAACGCCTGTAGTCTGCATCGTGAGAGCCATTAGACTGTTTGCTGGGTCCCAACGCTCTATCTGGGATTTCTCTGGCTCGTGTTTTGTCTCATGTGGCCGGATGCTGATTGTGCAGTTCAGGGACAACATGGCAATTATTTAGTTGCAACACTGAAATAATTCAAAAAATCCATTATACCAACAGAAACACGGGGACAATGATTCGGGCCTTGGCTGATTCGCCACCTTGATTTCGCATTCCTCTCCCACAACAAATGGATGTGGTCGTCATCGAAAGCATGCTTGTGAAACCTGAGATATACCGTGTCTGGAACCAACATGATCCAACCCACATGCCTGGGATATTCCCCGTGTTTTCCCCGTATCTTCCACATCGACAAATACCACTCAGTGGCTGACCCCATTGCCGTTGGTTCCATTGACACCATTGGCTTTATCTTCGTTCTCTTTCTCAGTTTTTAGCCTCTTTTGTCTCTCCAACCTTCCCTCGCTCTTCGGATCGAAGTATGCTGTTCAAGTTCACGTCAGCTATCAATTCGATCAACACTCCGACACAATGCACCAGTAGTACATACGCTTTTCTCCAAAAACAGTCGTTCTAATGCCTCTCCTAGGGGTCTCGTACGATCCGGGAATTACGCGATGAACCACGGCTCGGTTGTCCCACAACGCAACACTCCCCACCTCCCACTTGAATCGTACATAATGGTCATCCGCAGAATGGATGTGATAGTTCAAGAAGTCCAAAATCTTATCGCCTTCATATTTCTTCAACTCGGCGAAGCCCGTGACAAAGCCGGGGTTGACGTTCAGTGCCCGGAGGCCAGTGACTGGATGAGTCCGAACAGCGGGGTGGTGGGTGTCGATTGGGGCCCGGTTGGGAGGCACTTGCCAAAGGTCGAGGATGGTGTCGTATTGAAGACGAGAGGTGTGAACGGCGTGAAGACCGGACAAAAAGTTTCTGTTTACGCTTTGTCAGGACACAAAAGACATATGGGAGCAGTGACTACAATGAGCATACTTCATGGCATCCGACAGAGTATCGTACAGACCATAAGACGATACCCACGCCGTGTCACCACCAACAGGCGGGTGCTCTTCCATTCTGAGCATCGAGTAAGATGGCGGGTTGATCTCGAAAGAGGTGTCGGCATGGAAATCGCCGCTTGGCCAAGGGGTGTAGGCCAATATCTCCCTGTGATCTATGGTGCTGCCTCTGATGACATGATGGCGCGTGTCTTTCTGAGACGGGTGACGGTCGAGCTCTCCATAGTGTTCAAAGAGTTTGACCTGACCTTCAGTGGTCAGATCTTGAGAGCGGAAGAAGACCACACCGCGTTCGTTGACCAGCAGAGCAAGCTCATCGAGCTGTTGTGGTGTCAAGGCGGAGAGCTGGACATTCTCCAGGACGGTTCCAATCGATTCGGTCAATGGAACCACTTTGATACCGGGGATCGAGAGCAACGATGGCTTGTCGGGGTTGGCAAAGAGACCTCTGTCGGGCGCTGGGGTTCGCTCTTTGTGTGGTGGCTCTGGAGGGACATGATCTTTGATCTTGAGGTTGAAGTGTGGGTGGAGGGTGACTGGAAATCCCGAGTCCGGGGAAACATTGGCGCGTGCAGCAAGGTGGGCCATGTTTGCGGCCGAAACTTCCCAGTTTGATGTGGACTGTGGATATCTTTGGTCAGGAAGGTGCGTTCTAGAGTCTTGGATCGGGGTCGTCTTCAGCTCAAGTCAGTTCAGTTCTCCAGTCTTCATCAGTCCAACATGCCCAACGACGCATCTCGCCCTTCAAATATCGTCTCAAACACCCAGCTTTCGGCATTCTCCCCATGATGCAACTTTTGGACATCCTTTGCTATCACGATATTATGCCCGCTTAAATCCGAGGTTTCCATGATGGCTTGGAGTGCCATTCAAATGCCGTCCCAATCTGCTGGTCCAGGCCTTCAGTCACCCAACGCCGACGACAGAGAGCCATGAGACGATGCAGGCATCAAATGGCATTATCAGACGCCGAACCAATCCCACACCGTTCGTATGCATGATGCAGCACTAGGCCGGTGCCGTTACGGGAGTGTATACCGAGCGAGGGGGTTTTGGTGGTATTTCAAGAGACCGAAGGTGGAAACCCACGATGGTGACAGATGACGTGCCTCTCCATGTCGATGGCATCAAGCACGCCAAACTGGCGCAAACCCCTGCACATTTGCTGCACCACGCCTGCACCACCGCTTTCTTACGACATGTGAATTCAATTACAGGGTCGATATTCGTTGCAATGGCTCGTTTTCGTGTTTCCAGCTCACTGAAATTCAAGATGCTAACAAGTTAGGCGCATGAGGAAAGCCGAGGACGTACCTAAGTTTTAGTGAAAAAGAATGCTCCATCGAACTTGAACCCCATGTCGAATCGGTTGGGCCATGGATTCACATTTGGAGTATAGATAGGTAGCAAGACGTTGCGTTGCATGCAAGAAGTCGATCATCACTTTCCTCGGCGCCTTTTCAAGTGCTCAGCGTTTTCCTTTGCGCTATCTGTTTCACTTTTTTGTTTGATTTTGTTTGTGATACCCAGTCGACGCAAAATGGCCGACGAAAAGCAACTTGAGAAGGTGACAGCGAGCAGTGTGAGCCAGAGCTTCACCGACGACGATGGACAAGAAATCACCTGGACAGAGGAAGAGGAGAAGGCACTGCTTCGAAGGTACGCTTTCCATGTCCTTGAACTGACATCATGAACCATTGTTGACTTGACTCTTTCAGGGTTGACTTTCTCATCATGCCTCTCTTGATCCTTGGTTTCTTTGCCCTCCAAATAGATCGCGGAAACATGTAAGTTGAGCCATCATGCCCTTATTTCTATCACCATGACTAACATACGTTTAATCAAGCGGCAATGCCATGACGGATTTTTTCATGCAAGAAGTGGGAATCACACAGTTTCAGTTCAACATCGGCCAGCAGCTGCTGTCTACAGGCATCGTGCTTCTCGAAGTAGGTCACCATCAACCATATGTCTGAGCTTCAGACTAACAAGTCATAGATTCCCAGCAACATCATCCTGTATCGTGTTGGCCCAACCCTATGGATTGGCTGCCAGATTCTTGCCTGGGGTGCAGTCGCTACCTTTCAAGCCTTTATCAAGGGGAAGGGCTTGGGGCCATATCTGACGACCAGATTGCTTCTTGGGTATGTCCCTGCTACCTCGGGATATGCCACATTGAAAGAGAGACTAATCTTGATATTACAGTCTCTGTGAAGCTGGTTTTATTCCTGCCGGTCTTTACACCATGACCCGGTGGTACAAGCGCAGTGAGATTTCGAGGCGGTTCTCCTACTACTTCCTCGGCAACCTCTTTGCCGGCGCTTGCTCAGGTCTCATTGCTTATGGAATGTATGTTCGGCATGTTGACCGTCTTATTTGAAACTTTTCTGACCTTATCTACAGTTTGCACATGAGAGGTATTGCCGGTCTCTCTGGGTGGCAATGGCTGTTCCTTCTCGAAGGCCTCTTTACCATTGTCGTCGGCCTCATCTTCATCGCCTTCTTCCCCCAGTCCCCAGCCAACCCAAGATCCTTGATCGCAGGCAAGAGCTTCCGCTACTTCACCGAGAGAGAGTCTGCGATTCTGCAAGCACGCGTCTTCAAGGACGACCCGTCCAAGCTCCAGCCTAGACAACATGTCAGCTGGGGTGAAGTGAAGGATACTGTAAGTCCGGCCAATCTCACCTGGGCCAGCAACCAAGACTAACCAAAAACAACAGTTCACCAACTGGCGCATCCTCCCTCACTTCCTCACCACCATCCTCGGAATGGCTTCCGCTCATGCCCTGGGTGCCTATGCCCCCACCCTCGTCATCGGCTTCGGCTACGGCAGACTGCAGTCCAACGCCATGATGACAATCGGCGCATGGATTCTCTTGGTCCTCAACCTCCTCTGGGGCTGGCTCGCGGATAAGTACAGCAAGAGAGGGCTGATGGTGTTCCTTGGTGTCTTGGGTCTCTGGGTCTTCCAGCTTGGAAACCGCCTCCTGATCACCTCCCCTAATAGAGACCTCCGGTTCGGTTTCTTGACTATGGCTACTGCTTTTATGGCCAATTGGCGTATGTTACCCCCCCATCTCATTTCCAGTCGATATCACTGACAGATATGATTCAGACGCCGTCAACGGAGCCTGGCTCTCCCTCAACGCCAGATCTGCCGGCGAGCGCTCCATCACTATGGCTATCTTTGTCATGGGCGCGAACATTGCTGGTATTGCTGGCTCGCAAATCTTCCAAGCGCATGATGCGCCTGTTTATAGGACTGGGTGGACGATTATTGTTGCGCTTTGCTCAGCTTCGCTTTTCATGTCGATCGTGGCGAATGCGCAGTATTGGTTGTTGAATAAGTTTCAGAAGAGGGAGGGAGAGGATAGGTACAAGTACTAGATCGGGGGAGAGTAATGGTTTTGAATAAGCGATACCCTGGTTTGGATTTTGGGAGATGCCCGATTATAGATGAATGGAAAATGATGATATGACCAGAAAAAAAAAGGCTGTGCAGTGTGTGGCTCTAGTGGATGTTGTAGAGGATCGGTGGCGTAGATTTTGGCTCTGTTGTGTACGACTAGAGGGGCAGTGACTTCATAGCTTGAGTCGGTCCTTTCCCGATGGTCTAGGTGCTTTGGCTTTGAAGGAACCTCTGGAGAGTTAGATGACGTGTGAAATAAATGAGGGTGCCGCTTTGACCTTTTCGTGTTTCTGTACACCATCCTGAATACCTACCTAAGCGACCTACCACACAGTACGACACCAAGACCGTGTACCGGGTCACAATAAACTGCGGCACAGGCCCACGGGAAGGATGCCACTCTATCTATACTCGCCCCAATAGCGTCACTCCAAGCCGATGTGGCTAATGTTGTTGGGAACGGGAGCGGCACGGTTCGCTTACAACACCAACTACACCGGTTAACTACCACTATCAGTGTGATGGTATTCTGAAATGTTTTTTTTTTCATTTTACTTTTTTATATTTCGTAACTGGTCCATCGTGTACTTTGACACAGCCCACCGGGTATAATCCTCGTTCCTAACATATCCCATCCATCTATTACCAGAGCAAAACCTTTTTTGTACAAGAACAACAACAAAACAAAAGAAACTTAGAACCCCTCCTTGGTAACAACCAAATCATGCTTCACCTCAATCCCCCTACCCCACTGCGAACTCGGTACCGGTCTCGAAGAAGTCGACCCAGGTGTCCCGACCTTGATCTCCGTAGTGACCGAAGGCTTGAGACCCAGCTTGAGCTTGCTCACCGCATCCCCATACTGCGCGTGGTCCTCCACCCTGTCCACCCTGACCTCCTTGTCTGACCTGTCATCGCTCTGGAGCTCCACATCCTCGGGGTAGATGATGCTCCTCGTGCTCCCTGTCTCGTTGCGGGATCTCTTGCTCTTGCTTGGGGCCGTCCCATCACGGCCGGAGGACTTTTGATAGCTGCCGTAGCTGTCGTTGCTCGAGTTCATAGAGGGAAAGATCTTGGCGACTAGAGGGCGGAGAGTAGGGAGGCAGGCACAGGTGATGCCGGAGCAGAGCTCACCGACGGACCAGCATGAGGAGGCGACGTTGTCCCATGTGACATCCTCGCTGAGGCGGAGGTACTGGATGCGGATAACGGAGATGGCGCAGGTCTGTGGCCAAAAGGTCAGCAAAATGTGAGAAGAGCGGTGAGACGAGAGAGGGACTCACAAAGAAACCCAAGCAAAAGATACCGATCAATGCGACCTTTTGGTTCTTCTTCAGGTTCAGCTTGCTAAGAGCTGGCAAAGGAACGACAAAAACGATAACATCGGTAACAATGTTGCCGGCCGCGTTGATATACCAGAAAGGCAGGTTGGGAATGCAAGTTCCCGGCGTTTCTGGCAGCCAAAACTTCTCGATGGGCGTGCAGGTGAAGATGACGACGAGTAGTTGGGAGATGGACCACAAGGCAACAATGATTCCAGCAAACATCACCACCTTTCTCATCTGTGGTGTCCCGAGAATGCGCCAGTATTGGAGGAGGAAGGTGATTTTGATAGCTGTCAATGACCCGTTATAGAGGACGATGGAGGTGTAGAATGTCTATCAAGGTTGGTTAGAACATGTTGCTACCCAAAGTAGGTAATATGGCTTGGAGCAGACGTACCCTGAAATATTTCCACAGCTGAGACCCGTCCACGACCGCGATGTGTTTGCCATGTCCATAAATTGTATCTAAGAAGATGATGGTCAGTCAGGTATGTTGGCTTGAACCGGACATCTGCCCACGTACTTGAAGCGACCATGATCCCACTGCCCATCGCCAAAAGAAGGGCTACAATAGCAGCCCAATCGTCCATCCCGAATTGACGAATCAGTGTCGCACGGGAATAGGACCGCAACCCTACGGCAGTTGTGGCCGTCGTCAAGCAAACTGCCACGACGGCGATGACAACCCCGGCCCGCGATTCATACATCTCGGGTGCTAAACCCTCTGGTGGTGTAAAGGTATCCGACATCTTGTATGTGTGTGGTGATGTAGTCTGGTGAAAGAACGAAATGCCGAGTCGAGGGTGATCGCTGATACGATCAAGACGACCTGAAGGGAAGGTCCACAGCGGAAGCTATCGGCGGGAGCAGACTACCATGATATACCGTGACGGACCGGCGTCGCTTACGGGGGAAACCACGGACCTCTAGAGTCGGTCAGGGTCAGTGAGTGTGGTATGTGCCGTTGGTACACGGCCTGATGCAAGACGAACGGCAGAAGGAAGGGAAGGGGTTGTGTTCTCTGCAAGTATTGCGTCCTGAGCGATATAAGTCACAGCCGTTTGGGTTCTCGACTTGTTGGAGTGTTCCCCGGATTCTTACATTGTCCCGAACGTTCTGCACGCTCAGATCTCCTGGGATTCACCCTCGTCGATAACCCCATGTCTAGGTTGTCCCCCTAGGAGCTCTGATTTCATGGCAACTGGTATTCTGCTACGCTAGGAGTAGCATCGCCTAGGCCTTCGATTCCGCTCTAGTGCCGCAATGCTCGGCGGGCGAGCTCCGTCACTGGTGGCTGCATCAGTAGCTCGATTTCCGGGGACCTCGAGTTTATCCGGAGGGGGCTTCCCAGGTTTTCTTTGCAGAGTCCCTCTCGCCCCAATGCAAGTCAAGCCGGGGCGGCGGGACTGAGCATCCAGCAGGTATCAGATCTGGAAAGAGGTCCGGCTGAGTTTCCACTTTTGGCACCTGACAATCTCTTTGAGAGGTCGAGGTAGTGATCTGCTAACGTACAGTCTTAGTTGGTGTATCTATCAGTGTCATAAAAACACTCCGTCCTCCCAAAGGTATCCGACTCACATCATTCCCAGTCATGCGCTGTTCCTGGATCTGGGACACGGCTCGGTAGTGCGTAAAAGGTCTTCCCTCTTGCAGTGCTACCAGCTGCGTCCTCCAGCCATGAGTTTGGATCCGAGATGGCGGCCATCGTGTGATTGGTGGTGAGCAGAGCCAGAAGCAGAAGCTCAGAAGAGCAGGGATGGTGTTCCATGGTTCGTGGCCCCTGTCTCCCTAATGCGCGCCACGAACAGCGCACAGATCTCTTGTTGAGCAGTGTGATATTTGGCCGTTGAAAAAAAATGGAAATGATGTGCAACCCCCGCAGGCCCAGCCAGTCAGACAAAAGAAAACAAGTGGAAAGCCACACGCTAAGCCAAACCGGGCCCTGCGACGTTTCTCTTACTCTTCTCCGCTATTGTCTGTGCACACGGGACGGGACCCACCGACCATCTCGGCCCTCGACTCCAAAGAAGCTGAAGAAACGCGTTCTTCTCAACCTCGAAATCTTGTTGGTCTTCACAATTCTCATCACAGTACATACATACATACAGAGTCAATGCCAGTCTGTGCGTCCGCAGCAAAAGCTTGATCGTTTGAGAAGGTCGCCGTTTTACAAGTTTCTAGCAATCCTTCCAGCTTTCATCGTGTTCGAGAAATGCAGTGATGAGAGCCAAGGGGGGGTTGATCACCAAACCAGATGTGTGGCAACTCTGGCACAGGGAAATCATTGTTTGCGTTCCCTCCTGAGCTTTAACCAGCTAGAGATTGGCATCTTACAGCCCTCATTCAGCATGAAGATCGATCTCGTCTGCCGGACACACCGTGAGTGGGTGGCACAGGGGTTGCTGTCGATTTTCAGGGACACAGCAGTGCCGTGCAGCTCTTGGGAGAAGAAAATCCTTCGCAACAGCGTGGTTCAACGATAGTGAAGAAAGAAGCAACCACCAGACAACATCCATCTCTCGACAGCAGAAATGATGAGGAGGTTCTCGCCAAAACTTGGTCTTACATAAAGCCTGAAAGGGCCGAAACATCTGGCTGCAGGTACGGATACGACTTTGCTGACAGCCGCACACCTCCTCACCTCGCAAGCCAAACGAAGGCAACAACGGATGCTGCTGCCGACAAAGCTGAGAGGTTCGTGGGAGGGCAGGGCGTGCAGGCATCGCAATCGCTTCGACTTGTGTTTCGTTCACAAAACCTCAGTCTAACCCAAGATGTGATAGCTCGGTTGGGATAAGCCCTAAATCTCTTCGACTGTCTGCCCCCCTGCTTGGCCAAGGTGCCATTGATCGTGTCAGCGAATCTCGGGGGAGATCTCAGGATGGAATCCTTCTTCTGACCAGGAACCCCCGATTCCCTTATCGAGGATCTCATTCTAGCAGACCACTCGATAGTACATCATATATTTTTTCGTAGATGTGGTGAGAAGAGTTCGGCGGTCGCTTAAACCAAAACCCGGTGTGACTTGCAAAGAGGTTGAAAGAAATGCAACCCTTGGCACCCACCGGCTCGCTGGACAATTTATTCCGCCCGCCTCGCGGAGCATTTCCTTGACATGAGGGTTGCATCGCTTGGCCCCAAGAACACCACCAACACAATATTTCTGGTTCGCACCCGAAATTGTGCTCAGGATGCCGCTTTTTAATACGGATATCATATCTTTGATGAAATAGAGCTTTATGCTGGACGATAAAACAGGTGAGATAAAGGGACTTGCTTAGAATGACTTGCAACTCGGACCACCTCACCACCGGCTGCACAGACTACCCTACCCGCACTTAGCAATCAATTCAATTAATTAAATAACTAATTGGATTGCACAAAGTACTCGAGCGCGTATACATTATTGATTAATCAATTGGGACTTACCTACCCTATAAACTATTAAAATATATATAAGCGTAATAGGCTTTTTAAAAGTAAAAAAAGCTTCGATATTTTTTACTGTTTAAATAATTATATAGGAATGTCGTGCTTTTGATTTAAAAGTATGGCTTGCGTAGTAAATATTATGCTTAAAGTCCAAAATCGAGATCTAGTACCCGATTGGGCTTAGTGGATAGTATTAGCTTTAGCTAAATTAAGTGGGTAGTTAGGTGACTTATCTTATATAATATATGGGGAGGTAGTCATAGTTGCAAGTCATTTAAGAAAGTCCAGATAAAGTCCTTTGCGTTGAGCGGACAGCTAGCTTCGTGTTCGGGATAACGAGACCCAAAAAAAAGGGGGGGCAGCTCAGGATGTGAAAAAGTTTCAGGAGTAAGGGTCGCCAGAGGCGAGAGCGAAGGGAGATGACCGGGTTCTATTTTCAGGCCCAGTTGCTACTTGCATTGATCTTGGGTGATGCACGATCTGGATCAGTGGTGCCGTTCTGTCGGGCTTGCTGTTCGCTACCTGTTTTCCAGGCGATGCCATGAAATGAAACTTGTTGAGCTGGCTTGAATGAAACAAACTCATATGCGAGTGTGTCCAGAGGAATTAGAAGCATAATGCCAAGCTGCCAGTTCATGTGCTGTGTGGATCAGTATTCTATTCTGCGGCAATTCGGAGGACTAGATGCAGATGGTATTTGTATGGCTCTGGGAGTTATGTGGCAACCACATAATAGACAAATAGCTGGCACTTCCAGGGCATGGTTGCTTCCTCATCATGTTGCCAACAGCACATACTTAGCCGACGGGCCACATGCCTTACCTCGTCAAAAGCTCTTTCATAGTTCGTGATTTCAGTACTGGTAGCTAAATATCAAATCGAATGCATCTTAACTTCCTGATAAATTGGGCAAAGATCTACATGGCTGTCTAGTCAGCCATCACAACATAGCTGTCGTGTAACCCGATAGTAGTACAAGCTCAATATTAATCCGAGCATGCGCAAGCCGCAACACTTGGTTGGTGTAATGGAAGAATAGTCCGAAATCTTGCATTTAGAGGAGGGTAGGAGTGTGGAGGTGTCGCAGTCTCTCTCCAAAATTGACAGCTCTATCACCCAATCACAAGTGTATAGGTGATGTGTGTCTCTGTTCGGGTAAAGTAAGGTATGAGGGGGTCTTAGAGAGGGGTTCAACGCTCCCCAAGATAAGTCCTTGGGATTCTGTTGTTGAACGTGCCGGGCTTTTGTTCTTGAAATTCCAAGTTCTTGCATAGAGACTCAATCACCTTCATCATCAAACTTGCTCTGACAGCGGCTTCCCACAAGCTTCCCCATCACTCCACAATGTCCTCGCAAGACAAAGCCAAAACCTCTTACGCGCAAGTCGCAACAGCCTACGACGGCTACGCTCAAACCCCAGCCGGCATCATCGAAGCCCAACTCATCGCCCGTGCCCTCGGCCCCGGCGATCTCACCGGCCTTCACGTCCTAGACCTCGGTGGAGGCAGTGGTATCCACGCCAGAGAATGCATCGACTACGGCGCGGAATCAGTCGACATTGTCGACATCTCCCCCGAGATGCTCAAAATCGCTTCCAACATTGAAGAGTCCCTCGGCCGCGAGGGCAAGATCCGGTTCTTTGAAGCTGATGTCTCGAAGCCTTTGTCTGAGTACAACCACCCACTACGAGAAAAGTACGATGTCGTCATGGCGAACTGGATCTTCAGCCACGCCGACAAGAGGTCAACTCTGGAGGGCATGTTTGCCAATATTGGCGCCTATTTGAAGCCAGGGGGGATCTTTGTCGGGATTAGAGATGCGAATCCCTTCAGTCATGAGTTCAAGAGGGGGAAGTATGGGGCTCATACGGGCTGGGTCAAGGAGATTGAAGGAGGGGTGAAGTATTGGGCTGTTTTGCACTGCAAGCCTGAGCCGGTCGAATTTGAGGTTGCTTCGCTTGAGATTATCTATGGGGGGTCGAAGGAGCTGTATGAGAATGCTGGGTTGACAAAGATTGTGGAGATGTCACTGGAGAGTGCGCAGTGTGTGAAAGATGATCCGGAGTTTTGGGCTGATTTCTTGAAGGATCCTTTTTTGGCTGTTGTGCGTGCTGTGAAGACCTAGGTAGGTATGTTCCAGTCCGCTACTTGGGCCAGGAACTGATCTACTCTTCCTTGCAGACCCTGGTTCATATTGGAAAGCCCTCTGACAACCCTCTCTACCTCCCCTTGGCGTGCACGCTGAATGACGTTCAGAATATGCCGTGCTCTCCTTACTTTGTCCATCCCATATGCATCTGCCTTGTACCCTTCGTTGGAGTCCTTAACAAGCCAATATTCATGAGTCGAATCATAGATTGTCAGCAGAACAGTCGCTGTAATCGGAGCAACGGCTGTTGGTCGACTATCTAGAACATCAAAGACCCCAACCACAAGCCAGAACGCAGCTCTCTCTAAGAGTTCTTCTGTGGTGGAAATTTGCAACGGTGGTCGACGGCTCAAGAATATTTCCAACAGGCCGTCATCATGCTTCGCAGCTGCCTACAATGCACGATTTGGCACATGATTGACCTCCCTAGCTTCATGGTTGAGCACAAGTTTCAGCAAATCTGGGCTCCTCCAACGAGTTGCCCGTATGATTATTTCCTCTGTGATGAAGCATTCATCTCCTCTTTGCTCAAGCAGAAATTGTAGAACTTGCAAACCAAATTGAGACGGTAGCGTCTTTCCCGTGTCGTGAGTTGGAGGTCGAAAGTCATATGCCTTTTTACCCATGCTTTCAACGAGTGTTTCCTCACTTATCGTGATGTATTCGGCCGTTGGCTCGAAGATAGAAATAGATTCGACCAAAACAGCTGTTCTCAGTTCGATCTTATATCTTTTCCTTGCTCCATGTTTTTCTGAATAGAGGCTTGTATCCTTGTTGGTCAAGTCCAACTCGTCTTTATAGCAGGCCATTAAATCTCCCCTGCTTTTCAACGTGTCTGGATGCCGTGAACAATGTATTAGTGCCCTTGTCTGTGCCACATCTCGAAACACAGCTTCCGCAACATCAAATATCTTCTTTGCTTGCCACCTTTTTCCAAGAAATGTACACGTTGATAACGTTTAGGGGTCTTCTTTGCCAAATTTACTGGCACAGAAACCCAATAATCCTTGAAGTTCCACCGTCGCGTCTGGCTCGACCGCTGTCAAGATCTGAACCGCATCTTAGAATTTAGCACGGCGGCGATTGCGTGCCTCTGTATTTGCCGTAATTGGAAATTTCTTTTTGAGTGTCTGTTGAGTTTTCTCAGGTGTATGACGCCAGTTCCAGACGATCAGAGAATCGTGTTGCAAATTCAAGTTTTGCAAGCTAAGATCTCTGGGCGCGTCAAAGTTGTCGGGGGTGGTACTCATAATGACAAGGAAATAATATCCCTGAAGCCTTAATATGACAGGTTTTTGGACCCCTTCGATTGAGCAGAGCCAGTCCCCCGGCTCAACAACAGTGGTAGCCGGTACCACCCATCTTGACGTTGTCTGTTTACTGCTGTTCATCGACGACCAAGCAATCAACACCAATTTCCTGTTGTCGGCACCAACCATATCTTCCACAGATGTTAGCTGGCCGATTATTGTACCCTTGTTTCTGATGATCACCATGTCTTTTGCTGTAACAATGGTCACCGTCGCCTGAGTCCCAAATAGATATCTCACCACACTTCCCGGCAAAGTCTCCCATGGGGCTTGGTAATTTGGCATTCGTTCTTCTCCCAGAAACTCATCAGCGCACATGCCAAGCAATGCAAAGAGCTTGTCGCGGCGATCCGTTGCGTTATGGAGGCGGTACATCACGATCAAGTTGCCGAGTGAATACAAGTTAAGAGAAAAACGACTGTGGGAAGGTGGAATGGGCCCACTTTGGGTTGTTTAAATTGGGACTTTCGGAGCAAGACATAGCAGAGAAGATAGAACCAACTTCACCCCTGAGCAGCAGCCCGACGGATTTCTTCCAATGCTTCATCACTGTTATGGTCCGGCTCTCCAAGCCATACCACCACACGATCGGCCATGCTATAAATCTCGGCCATTCTTTGGACTTATTTTCCCTTTTTCTTGTCGTCTTCTTGATTGATGCAGATTGCATCTATCCAGAGAATTCGCTCAAAGAAGGCATCTCGGAGATGTGTAAGGGCGGCATGCAAGTTCGCTCCGATATTGGCGGGCATTTCGTCGATTGAGATGGAGTGAGCTTGTGTCGGATTGGTCGAAACTGCACGACTTCAGAGGGCTAACGCTACCTGTTCATTGGCTTTTGAAGATGTAAACAGAAGCAGTGTCCAACTGCTGGAATGATCATGGGAATTCACATATGCAGACGCAAATTAGATAAGAGGATTGGTCGTGGCGATCCCGTGGGGACTACCCAGCAGCAACCACTTACCCGGCTCTTGCCTACCTACCTACCTACCTACCAGGCGTGTCATCCAGCACCGCAGCCAATACACCTTGACTGTTCTCTGAAAATGGCATTGCCAAATCACCCTGGTCAGCTGCCCTGTACTCGTGCATTAGCATAATCAACTTGCAGCGAGCTAAATGCGGCAACATGACTTTCTTATGTTTCTTACACCACTCCACATGCATCACAACTCCTAAGCAGCCACCAAAGCTGACCAAGCATAAAAATATCAGGCAAGTGCTGACCTCAACCCGAAAGCACCAATCACAGACCCTGTTCGCATTTATATCAAACACACCCTCACAGCTGAATCTTACAGCTGAACCTTTCAGCCAAGGACATGATCGGTCTAGATCTCGCCAGCATCTTATGTTTGATGCATGGATAGCATGGTGATACAGCAGCCTGATTTGTGATCATGGTGGTTGTCCCGGATCCCTTTCTTATATAAAGCCGGGATTTGATGTCGTACTTGATCAGTCATTCCAGCAATGATTTACACATTTCTCCTATCTCGTTTTCTAGGAACTGCCCGCAAGCTCATCGATCAATATGAGTGCGAATCAGCACACACAACTCGGAGATAGGCTCTCAGGCCTTCAGCGGGCTGTCAAGAAAGCCCTCAATCCAGTGGCAGAATATCCTCATGCCCCTGGAAACTTGAACCTGAAGCTACACCCGATATCATAGGTGCCATCAAGTCGCTGGGGTTCAAGGATTATGAAACCCTGCTCGCCTTTCTGAACGCCGCTGTCCAAGGAGCTGTCGACGAAAATGAACTTTTGCTGGAACGGCTGATCCAGCTTCTGTCAAAGCTGCCCACTATCTCCAAGGAGCGCAAGCAAATCACGGATGGCCTCCTCACCCAGCTGTGGAATAGCCTCGACCATCCACCCGCCACATCACTAGGCCAAGAATTCCGCTATCGGTCTGCCGATGGCTCTGGGAACAATATCAATCACCCCGAACTTGGGGCTGCCAACAGACCTTATGCCAGAACTGTACCTCCCTTGACATTTCAAAATCCCAGCCAGCCCGACCCGTCGACAATCTTCGATATGCTGATGGCACGTGGTGACACTTTCCAACCACATCCCCAAGGTATCTCTAGCGTAATGTTTTACCTCGCAACTCTCATCATCCATGACTGTTTTCAGACGTCCTTCTCAGACTACAACATCAACCAGACTTCTTCTTATCTCGACTTATCACCCTCATACGGTCGAAATGAAGTGAAGCAAAAGGCCATGAGGACCTTCCAAAACGGTCTTCTCAAGCCGGATTGCTTCAGTTCCAAGAGAATTCTTGGGTTTCCTCCTGGATGCGGCGTCTTCCTGGTCATGTTCAACAGGTACCACAACTATGTGGTGACACAGCTTGCCAAGACCAACGAGAATGGCCGTTTCAACAAGCCAGGCACGGAAGCAGGAAGTGCCGCCTGGGAGAAGTACGACAATGACCTGTTTCAGACAGGCCGTCTCATCACTTGCGGTCTTTATGCCAACATCATTCTTCACGACTATACGAGGTCGATTCTTGCTCTCAATCATGTCGACACGACGTGGAGTCTCGACCCTCGCACCAAGTCTGGCAAAAACATGTTCAGTCAGCCATCCCCTCGTGGTGTCGGAAACCAAGTTTCGGTTGAGTTTAATCTTCTTTATCGGTGGCACAGCACTGTTTCTCAACGGGATGAGAAGTGGACCATCGATGAGTTAACTCGACTTCTGGACGGCAAGGACCCTGATGAGGCGGCGTTGCCAGAGGTACTGAGGGCTCTGGCAAAGTTTGATCGCGATATTCCTAGTGAACCTGAGAACCGGAATACACTCGGCGGGCTTGTTCGCCAGGCTGACGGCACATTCGAGGTTGATGGCTTAGTGAAGATACTCACCGAGTCCATTGAGGACATTGCCGGCTCTTTCGGTGCCAACCGGGTACCTAACGTGTTCAAGACGGTAGAGATCTTGGGCATCAAGCAAGCGCGTTACTGGAATGTGGCTACCCTCAATGAGTTCCGGGCTTTCATGGGTCTCACCAAGCACACCACTTTTGAGGATATCAACCCCGACCCTGTGGTGGCCAAGAAACTGCGGGACTTGTATGACTCGCCTGACTCTGTCGAGATGTATCCCGGGCTGGTTATCGAGAAAGCCAAGCCTCCTATCTCTCCTGGAAGTGGGCTTTGCACAAACTATACCACGAGTAAAGCAATTTTGTCTGATGCTGTCAGTCTCATTCGTGGAGACAGGTTCTACACTCTGGACTACACGCCTAAGAATCTTACAAACTGGGGGTAAGCACCACCACAATCTTAAAGCCATGTTCATGAAAACTAACACCGATCCAGCTACAACGAACCCAACTCCGACAACAAAATCAGCCAAGGCCACGTCATGCACAAGCTCATCTTCCGCGCCTTCCCCAACCACTTCCAGCACAACTCCATCTACGCCCACTACCCCTTTGTCATCCCCGCCAAGAACAAGCAGATCCACGACAACCTCGGGACCTCCCCCAACTACACCTGGGATGAACCCCAACGCCACGCCTCCCCGGTCGTGATCAGATTTTACCAAGTAGCCAAAACGATCCTTGCCAACAGCATTCCCGTCTCCTCCAACCCCCCCTGGAACAGCCCCCAAACAACACCATCCCCACCTCCCACTACTACCCCTATAGCCCTCACAGAATCCCAATCTGCTTCTCTGAATCGGTTCTGCCAAGAAAAAATAACCTACCACCTCCAAAAGAGCAGCATCCCTATCGTCTCTTCTTCCCTTGCTGACACCCGCAGCGAAGTCGACATAATCCGCGATGTCCTCTCCCCCGTCGCGACGCAGCTCTACGCGACAATCTTCAACCTCCCGCTTAAGACTTTGCAAAACCCTCATGGCGTCTACAGTGAGTACGAGCTCTTCACTGTGCTTGCCGCCATCGCGGGTAGTGTGTCCCCTGATGTGGATGGTCGTGCCAGTGAGTTTAGAGTCAGGCAGACGGCGAAAGGGATGGCGGGTAAGCTTGGGGGGTTGGTAGTCAAGGAGTTGAAGGATGAAAAGGGGGTGGTGGGGGGGTTGTTGGGGAGGGTGGAGGGGTTGGTTCACCGGCATGTTGGGGCTACTGAGGATGAGGTGGAGATTGGGAAACTTGGGAAGGGGGTTTTGGAGGGGGTTTTGAGACGGGAGGGAGGGGATTTGGAAAAGGTTGTTTATGGGGGGGAGGGGGTGGTGGTTGGGGTTGCGCTTGGGGTGGTGGAGCTGGTGAGGGTTTTGGGGGAGATTTTGGACTTCTATTTGGGGGAGGGGAGGGGGTATTTGGGGGATGTGGGGAGGGCTGTGAAGGCTGGGGATGAGGAGGAGGTGGTGATGTATTTGCTTGAGGGTTGGAGGTTGGGGGGTTCGGGGGCTGTGTTGAGGAGGTTGAAGGGTGATGTTGTTGTCGCACCCGGCGGGGCAACTGCGAACTTGAAGGCTGGGGAGAGGGTGGTTGTGGATTTGACGGCTGTGGGAAGAGATGGCGGTGTGTTTCCAGATCCGGAAAAAGTGAGGCTTGATAGAGATTTGGAGTCGTACTTGCTGCATAATATCGGGGGTGGGTTGCTAGGATCTGGCGTCAGTCGCGTGATTTTGGCGGCTATGTTCAAGGCGGTGGTTGGACTGGAGGGTCTACAGAGGGCGGATGGGACAAGAGGGCAGCTGAAAGGTTCCCAAGCTGGTCCGTCTTGGGATGGGCAGATTCGAGGCGAGATTGGTGAGAGTCAGAATGGAGGGAATGGACTGAGGACCTACATGACGGCTGATCAGAGGGCGTTCTCACCTATTCCGAGCACCATGAGGGTGAGATATGAGGGATGATGTAGAGAACAGATAGGAGGTATGGAGTGTTTCTATGTTTTTAACTCAGGCTGATATTGCTACGAGAATAGCTATCTGATAGCCGGACCAGTTTCAAAACCCTCTCATCCTTCTTCTTGCGTGGCTAACATGAAGGAGAATTGAACTAGGACCTGGATTACGGAAAGGTATCCTCATCTGCATCATTTATACCGCCGTAGCCAGGTTTGAAGATTGGTATTCCCTCCATGACGCTCAGCCTGTGGCATATTTGTTGGAATTCATTGCTCTTGGGATCAACGCCTGCGAGTTCTTTGCGATATTCTGGTCGGACCTTGTACAGACATTTGCTACAGAAGGTGTTCTCGATCAAAACTCCTTGCATGCAGAGTCTGAGGCAGCCCAGGATCCAAAAACGCTGGCAGGTGAATGGCTTGTGCACCACATCGCGCAAGCGCGGTGGCGTGTTGCTGTTGGCTTTTGAAGTTGTCAAGATAGGCGAGGTCTGCTCTTTACGTTGAGGCTTTTGTCTGTTGTGTTTCTGAGAGGTGCCGAGAGAGTAAAGGGGGAAAAAGGAGTGCGGAGAGACCCAAAGAGAGACAATGAGTGCTTCTGTGCTTGCTCACAAAATATTTTCGGCTTTTGTGGAATAAATATCTATCTGGATCAGGGGATGAAGCAGCAACTAAGTGAAAGTGGGTGAAAGGTTAATAGCATTGCAAGGGCTTATGAAACACCCGATATCTTGAGAGTTAGATCGTCAAGTCTTGTAAACATCATGGATTGTTCATAATAGGGATGACTATACTTGAGGCACCTGAGTTGACTCATTGACGCACTCCGGAGTGGAAGCTTCTATCTAACCTGGAAACCTGACAGAAAATCCCACGTTGCTTACACATAATGTTTGCTCCGCTATGATGTCAATACCAAGATAATATTGCTATGATCAAGGCTGTCCAGCGGCCATATTCAGTCCTGAAACTAAACTCGGTCAACTTGCTTCCTCCGCTATGGTAAATACTTGGACATCAGCCGACGTTTGACCTCCTGGTGTCTCTCTTTGTCCCCTACCCTTCGCAATCCGTTCTCCGTGTTTTCATTATTCTTATCCTCGATGGCGTCCCACGCGGAAAAGTCCTCCCTGAACAAAGGGACCCTCTCCTCATGCACCAGTTTATAGAGGGCGTCTTTCCATTCGGGTGAGTTAGGCATCAGCCCCGCCAATCTGTCGAGGTATTTCTCACTAAGCCTGCTCAAGCAATTTCCACAAAAGCGGTAATTCATGAACACCCAGCCTTTACAAGGCTTGGGACAGCTCAGAATGTAAAAGCGCTGGCACTTGAGCTTATCAAAACCCTCGCCGGTCGGCATGATTGCGGTTCTTGTAACAGAATTTGGCGCCTTTTGGTTTTTTAAATGGTTGCTGGAGAAAGCAATGGCAGGTTTGGATGTTACTGTCCAAGAAGGAAAGTCTAGAAACCTCATTCAGGGAAGGAGATTTATATAGATCTTCTGCTTTGACTACCTCGTCTTTCTTTTGCGAATGATCCCGTCACAATTTAAGGAACATCTGAGTTGGGTTTCAGACTCTGAGTCTCTTAGAAGGCCCATCTCTTTAGAAATATCTGTGTTGTCTGTGTTAGCTTCGTTCCCTTCCGTTGGTAGGTAGAGTCCATGACATCACACAATAGTGATACAGCCATCGCGTCTTTCAAGGTTGGCGTGGTACACCTCGTGATATTCCTTCATTGACGCCGTTGTAAGGTATCTAGCCATCATGGGCTGGGTTCCACGGCTCGTGGGCTTTCCACTGGGGGCCCGGCCCTTGGCATACCTCAGGCATCTTTATGTTGGCTCGGTTCCATTCCTTAGGTAAATTGTTTGCCTTGCGCCGTGCGATACACACCATCATCATGGCCTTGTTACAGAATCCTCAGAGTTTGCTTTGTTCCCTTCTTGAAGAACTTGGCTGCCAAATCTTGGCCCCCATTTGCATGCTTCCCCATTTTCAGTCGGAAACTCCCACGTCGCTTACAGAACCTCAACTCATCATCATCTACAGTCTGCTCGACTATTATTCCTCTGACCCCCACAAGTTGTCCCGTTGACAAAGATGACAAGCCAACAAGCAATATTCTCGCTCCAACCCCAGGATCCTGAAGCCCTATCTCAATCACGCTTCTGTACTCGCCAGAATCCGCCAACATCACCAAGACCCAACTGTCTGCAGCTCCTTCGAGATTACCCCCCTTTCGAGAGTATGTCCAGTCAAAGTCATCATCTCCAGTACCTTCAGTCTGTAACCTCTCAGCCCACACAACGTCACCACACCTCCCCGCAATGCGACAAATCGGTTGCGTCACTGCCCTCAAAAAGATATACCCCCCACTCAGTCCTCCATACATCGCCCCTTTCACAGCTGGTTCAACCCCCCATTCTTCCACAGCGGCATACTCCTCCACTTCATGCCGCCAGCTAGGCACCTTCACCACGCCATCAAGACTTGCCCACGACCAACTCGGTGCTCTGTATCTACCGCCAGGTGGTCTCTTGTTATCTCTTCCCTCAATCGAGTCAGGATACCACAACAACTGCTGCAACCACGTCCCCGGATTTGCTTCATCGACCAATAGCCCAGCCGCATAAATGGGCTTTTCTCCCCTGTGAGCACTAACTTGGACGATGTGGCTAGCAAGCGCGGAGATAGCCCATAGTTTGTCACCTGGTTGTGATAGAAAGCGTTGGGTATAAGTCTTGACGATGGAGTTCCACTGCAGGTAAACAGGCTGGTCGATCAGACTGCCTATGGGGTATACTCCTGGAACGAGGGACTCCATACCGGGGATGGTTCGGTTGGTTAAGTTGGTGATTTTGCCACCGCAGCCGGCGAAGGAATTGAGGCACGACCAGTACAGTTGGTTGACACCGTAGATGAGGATGCGGCGGGATAGGAGGGATTCTTGGAGGGTCCAGCCGCGGGTTGTTATTGGTTCTATAGTGGGGTTGGGGGACTGTTTGGCGAGGAGGATGTTGTGGACTTTATCGGGAGTGTCGTCATTGGTCTTGGTGTTATCAGATACGATTAACTGAGCGTGGGTGGGTGCCATGTCGAAGTCAGTTGCTGGTTGCCGTTTTTGTAGGAAACCATCCACGGCTCTAGAGGCGGAAGCGGCGAGGATTGTCAGGGTTGCTCGACCGTAGTAGGAGGCCATGCGGCTGATTTCATGGGCTTTGTCGGGGTTGTTTCCCTGGCCATCGAGATCATCTTGGGGGATACACAAAGCATCGATCCAGAGGTAGCGGATTCCTATCTGCCTGGCGACCCAGACCGCGTCTTGGAGAGACTGGTCTAGCTGGCCCAGCTTGATGCCTTCGGTCTTGTAGGTTTGAAGGTTGGAAGCGACTAGTTTGGAATTCTGATCACCGCCCCAGCAGTAGGAGAGAACTATGAAGCCTGTTTGGGCAATTTGCTCAATGAGCTGGCCGTCTTTGTCATCGACTGTGGTCTCGATCAGTTTGATGTATTCTGCATCAGCCCCAGGGGACGGTCCGGTGGCAATATCCAGGAGGCGGGTGGGTATGTCCCTGGGGTCTATCCTTTCGTAGGACAAGGCACCACCCGGCCAGCGGGACACGGTCATATGGTTGATCTGATCGGTTCTGCACCAGGGATGGCTTCTCATGCATGTTTCGAAAGATGACCTAGCGAAGTCGATCGACTGGGCTGATTTGACATCCTGCACGTAGGACCGCGACGACACGAGACTGAAAGACGGGTCATCGCCCGTATCCCAAGCATCAAAGTCTCCAAGGTCATGTCGTGTTTCGTGTTTGTTGCCATCATCATCAACCCAATGGCTGAAGAACTTGATATCTAGATTGGCTCTCCCAACCTCATTCGATATTCCGGAAAGTTCAAAACGTGACCTTTGCGTTAGAATTCCAACTGCTTTTTTGGACTTCCAGCCGCTTGGTGTTTCCTGGATCTTGAAGAAGCGAGTGACTCTGTGAATAACCCAGCGATAGAACTCGCAATGGTCAGACTCGGCAGCGGTCAGGGCCTGTGAGAGATCGTAAGGCAAGGTTGAGCAGTAGCGAAGATCTAAACCACTAATGCCTGAGAATGGGCGTGCACACTCGAAGCAGACATATTCGCCTTTATCTGTAGTCCTGCCTGGACCATTATACATACACCCGAAGCAGCAGAGAATCTGGGGTTTCAGTTCGAGATGAAGTTGTATGGCTGAGCAGTGGTAGCAGATATGTGGATTCTCAAAACTGAAAGGCGCCATGATGGTCTATTTTGAGTCTTGATTACCAGCAATAAATGGATAGCTGAGTGTTCGCGTTGGTTGATGCCCAAAGAAAAGGGGTTCAGGGGCAATTTCATGGTCCGTGCGCTGCCCAGAGCTCTTTTGTGGCTGACACAGCTCGTGGGGCGGCAGGCACGAGCCACATACGCCAGCCTCGAGCTCCCACCCTGGCCCTGGAAAGCCAAGCAACGCGCAGCTCCAGGCTGCCTGATGGAAGCTCTCTGTCCAGCAGCAGCTCGCAACGACGCAAGCCAGACTCCAACTCGACCATCACCAACCCTTGAACTCCCACCTTCGGCAGTGGAAACTAGTGACTTTTCCCACTCCCTCAAGCCCCGCCAATTCGACCGCTACAACAATAATAATAACCCAAGTTCGCATTCACAATGGTTAGTTGACCCCCCCCATCTCGCAACCGCAGCGAAACCTACCTTACCCACCACAACCCATACCCAAGCGAACCCCTCCAAAAAGCGACAATGACATGCTGACAGCGCGACCTCCTCCCGCAACAACAGACGTCGATAGGAACAGGCTACGATCTCTCCAACTCCATCTTCTCCCCCGATGGCCGCAACTTCCAAGTCGAGTACGCCGTGAAGGCGGTCGAGAACGGCGGCACCTCGATCGGCATCCGGTGCAAGGACGGCGTCGTGCTCGCGGTGGAAAAGATTGTCACATCCAAGCTCCTCAAGCCAGGTGCCAACAAGCGCATCGCGACCGTGGATAGACATTTGGGTGTTGTATGTTCCTCTCTATTTCGTTTCCTCTCTCTTCGTCCATCCCGCCCACTAACACGACCTTCCCCCTCCCAGGTATACTCCGGCATGCTCCCCGACGGCCGGCACTTTGTAGACCGAGCCCGCGACGAAGCCCGCTCATGGCGCGACAACTTCAAGACCCCCATCACAACCTCCGACCTGGCCTCCCGCATGGGCAACTACCTCCAAGCCCACACCCTCTACCAGTCCGTCCGCCCCTTCGGCATCACCGCCATCGTAGGCGGCTTCGACGCCCAGGAGGAGCTCCCCGTCGACGGCCAAGTCGGCTCCGGCCCCTCGTGCGGCGCCGGCGGCAAGAACCCCGACAAGAAGTACGGCGGTCCTTTTCTCTACATGATTGAGCCCTCGGGTCTGTACTGGGGGTACTATGGTGCCGCTACCGGCAAGGGGAGACAGGCGGCCAAGGCTGAGCTGGAGAAGCTGGACCTGACGGGCGAGGGGATCACCTTGGAGGAGGCGGTCAAGGAGGCGGCGAGGATTATCTATGTTGCGCACGATGACAGCAAGGATAAGGAGTTTGAGCTGGAGATGAGCTGGATCAGCGGGAGGGATGGCCCGACTAAGGGGTTGCATCAGGAGGTTCCCAAGGCGTTGAGGGAGGAGGCGGAGAGGTTGGCGAAGAAGTCGCTGGATGATAGTGATGATGAGGAGGAGGAGAAGAAGGAGGGGGATAAGATGGAGGAGTGAACATGATTAAAGAAGAACGGGCGAGGCGTTGCAGGTGGGAACAATCGGACTTGTATTTGTAAACATTTGGCAGCGATAAATTTATGGCTGGCGGGCAGACTGGAGGTAGAAGATACCCCATCTGTGGCCTGTAGGCCTGGAATTGCATTACGGACTTGCCCTGTTGGAGTGACAGATTGGAGGTTATGGTTAGTCGTGATAGGCATGTTCTTACCATATGATTTGCAGCAACATGTGGTTGGGGTGTTGGGAACAAAAATCAACATTTGGGTATTTATCCATCTCCCACACTCTCTACATACACCACATACACATCACTTCTCTACTTCTCTTCCTTCTTCTTCGCAGCAGCAGCACTAGCAGCAGCACTAGCATGAGCCTGGCACCAGTTGAGCCAGTCCGAAAAGAACGACGCTTGAATCTTGACCTCGCCACGGAACCACTTCAGCTGCGTCTCGGCATACAGGTTGAAAACCTTGGCCATGTCATCGCTCTCAGCATCATCATTGCACATGAGTGAAGCAACAGTCAAGCAGCACGTCGACACAGCCTTGGTGAACGCATGCGAGGGATCCCTGGCCGCCTCCTCGTGCAGCTTCCCCAACATCTCGTAGTGCTCGTCCCCTTCAATAGCAGGTGTTTTCCCCTCCGACCTCGCCTTCTTGATGCCCTTTGACAGGTTCTGAACCGCCTCGTGTGCCTTGTTGGCGAGCGGCTTGGCGGTTGTCGTGCGGATGAGGTTGAGCAAGGGGAGGACAGCCTCGAAGACGAGGGGGTTCGCCTGGGTGGATTCTTTCTTGACAAAGATACCCAACATGTCGAGAACGCGGTGCTTGAAGTTGATGACGGTCTCCTTGGCGTCCTTGTTCTCCTTCTTCTTGCTGGTGGCTTTGGCGCGGTGTCTGAAGATCTCGGCGAGTTTCTCGTCGACGGCTAGCATTTCCGAGTCGGTCATGTCTGAGCCGTCGTCCGAGGCTGCGTCGGCGTCCTGGTCTAGGCGGTGGGTGCCGAGGGCTGCGGAGAGTTCCTTGTCGAGGGCGTCGAGGGTTTCTTGGTTTTCCTTTTCGGCTTCGTCGTCTTCGTCGTCGGAGCCCGAGTTGTCCTCGCTGTCGGAGTCACCTTCATCGGAACCGGCGTCTTCGAGGTTGGCCATCTCGACGTCTGAGTCGAGGGCTGCGTCATCTTCGATTTCGCTCTCATCGTCGCTTCCGGCTTCGGCATCCATCATGTCTTCGTCTTCGGTGCTGAAAAGTGCTTGCTGGCCCTTGGCGCTTTCATCAGCAGCCAAGGGATCAGTCAACAGCTTGATGGCTTCTGCTGACATGAGAGGGGTGAATGCCTCGAATACCTGCCGGGACACCTGCTTCATTAGTGCTGAAGGTCGAGCAACCATGGCAAGCAGGACTTCGACAAGGAACTCTGAGATACCGCCCTCTTCCTCGTCGCTCTCGCCAACAAGCTTCTCATAGCACTCCTCAAGTTCATCAAACAAATCCATGACATCAGGATCCTGGTTGTAGAACTGAAGAATGCCAACAGCAAATAGCAAAGCCAACGCTTGTCGAGGACCTTTGGTTTCCTCTGTGGTCTTGTCGTGATCAAGCAAGTCTTTTAGCCTCTCAAAGGCACGGGGGAGGACAGTGAGGGCAAGCTCGTCCTCGGGATCCACCTCAGTCTCAATGGACAAAATGGCATCACAAAGATCACCAAAGGCATCTGACCTGCTGGTGAGCTTGGCAAACGCAGATGTTGCCCTTGTCCGCAGTGTTTCGCGGACCTTCTCAGGAACAGCATTATTAGAGTACGCAAGCTCAGCGAGAACCTTGATGGCCTTCTGGGCAACGCCTCTCTTGTTCGATTCCTTCGCATACTGTTCCTCTGACAACGCGCTGGAAAGTCTGAGGAGATAGTTGCCAAGGGCCTGGTAATACTGTTCGAGGTCTAGACCACTCTTGGATGGGTCCTTGAGCTGCAAGACCTTGAGAACAGGCTTGATAGTATCGGAAGTGGTGTTCTGGAGCAGCTTATCGATCGTCTTGGTGTTTGTTCGCTGGTCAAAGTTGTACGCACCATGCTTCCCGAACAGTCCCTTGAGAATTGTTGGCAGCCAGTTCGGGTTGTGATGAGCAGCGACCTCAAGGGCCTTGAGCGCTTTGATAGCCGCCCGATGCAAGTACCGATCCTCTTTGGCAGCCTGGTTCATCAAGCATGCCATCAAGTTCTTGCTGAACAATGTCTTGACAATGAACTCGCAATTCGGCGCGCCTTCGAGCATCTTCTGGAAGATCATGAAGCCTGAAAACTTCTGGCTGTCTGAAGAGTTCTTGGAGAAGAAGCCCTCTGCAATCGTGTTAGTAGACCTATACCTTGACAAACATCACTGCCAAACTCACCGTCAACAACCCGACTCCAGAACTGCTCAAACTGCTCCGAAGCCTCATTCTCCGACTTCTGCCCGGCCTTTGCAAAATGCGCCAGTATCAAATCCCACACAAAGTGCAACTGCGCCGTCCAATTTCCCGCCTTTGGCTTCTTCGCTCCTTCATCACTAGTCTGCTCCCGTCCACTATCCTTCAACGCAGCCGGCAGCGAAGCCAACGAGCTCCCCGCCAGCGGATTCCTCCACGGCTGCGCTGGAACCTTCATATCAGGAAACCTATCCAACGCCGTAACCCAAATCCCCACCCCCTCAGGCGTCTTCGCAAACCCTTCCTCGGCCAACCTCGCAAGCGTCTCCTCCGCCATCTTCTTCCCCATCTGCGCCACCGCTTGCACAATCACATACCCGCACTGCGTCTTCAACCAACTCTTCTTCATCGACAACCCAAGCAACAACCCCAAAATCTCCCCCCACTTCTTTTGGTCCTGAAACAAAACCCCACTCCGAACAAAACACTCCACGCCAAACAGCTGTCCAAACCAGTGGTTCCTCTCTTCTTGCCCAGCCAGGTTCCCAAAGGGTGTGGTGCTCTTGACGAGAATCTTCTTCACCTCCTCAAAGCTCAGCCCAGTGTATTTCTTCTCCGCTAGATTTTTCTTCCCGTATAACTGCCCCAAAATCTCTGTCAACACCAGACTGAATCCCAAACGGGAAGCATTCCTCCCGCTCGCCAACCCGCGAAAGAGACGCTTCTCGAGGTGCCGACGGAGAACGGGCTCGTCGACGCCATCCCCAGAGAGGAGGCTGGAGATGATGGAACTGGCGGCTTTGATGCGATCGGATTCGTCTTCGCGGCCGAGTTGGTCGTAGAGCTCCGCTTCGCGTTTGCGGTCTTCGCCCGTGGGGTGTTCGACGAAGAGGGTGGCCTTGGGGGTTTTTGATTTTGTTGATGTCGAGCCGTTGCTTACGGGAGCTGGTGGTTCTGTTGTTGTTGTCGTGGTGTCATCCTTCTTGGAGCGCTTCTGGATTGGTTGCTGAGCAGCGGCGGTGTCGTTTTGCGCCTCTTTGGGCGTTCTTTTTCTTTTGCTGCCCATGATGGGTGGGAGTTGGTGTAATGGAAAGGACAATTGATCTGTTCAGTAAGGTGAGAGGTGTGGTGGTGGTTGAGAGCGAAGGGTATTTTCTTCAATGCACCAAGCATCAACTGTCGCAACAGTAGCAATCGCAGAGCATGGACATGGGCTTCCATACAGCTCGAATCAAGCACTGCAGCCAGGAAATTTTTAGCGGGGCATCATTTTCTGCCTGTGTTTACCGCTTTCGATAACGAGAAACGGGGTTTCGGCTTTTGCGCTAGGGTCCCCTCGTTTAAGAGTTGCATGCGATAACCTGAAAGCTTGCAGAAAAAGAGGTACCCCGATTGATGCATCTTATATTGGACGAACTGTTTCTCAGCTGTTCGGGTTGACCAAAATGTGTTCTAGAAACTCTTGCAAGGGAATTCCGGTACAGTTGCTGCGGCATTATCCCTGCTGAGTGCAGATACCGACATGAGTCCGGACGAAAATTTTGAAGACGTGGGTTCTGTGGGTTGCTTTAAGCATTTGTGCTGGACATGGATCATGGATGGTTGTTTCAACGGTTTGTGAGGGCTCATGAGAGGGGCTGAGGTTGAGGCCATCATGGATATTCGATAATATTCCAACTGATCTTTTTGATTGACGAGGTGAGTCTTTTGCGCAGGTGTTATCCAAAGTGATGAAAACCAGTGGTCTGGTGTTGTGGTTGAGGTCATCCAGATATTCCCAATCCATATTCTCATAGTGCCGTTTGCCTTTTCACTACAGGACAAGAAATTATTTAGGTTTATAAGTTTTGACGTCAAAGCAGATCTCATTCTCTACCTGTTCTCCGGATGTGGTTTGTTGTCCCATATACTCTCTACATTACCTATGTAAAGAAGAGCGTCATAGCTGAGTTTGTAAATCCTCGTTGTACTCGGAGCAACACCGCTATGCTAGCGTGCCAACTTCAGGACAAGATTGCCAGAAATTTGGCCCTTTTCACATATCGAGCAGTTCAATATGTCAGAGAATATGAAGTCACATTCGGTCCCTTTACATATGCAATTCTACAGTTAGGCTATACTGTATAGGCATAGAAGCAGATGGTTGCGTAGCATCTAGTGAGCACTGGTTCTGTGGGAATAGATGAGTAGAAACGTCGTACTACCTCGGTCCTAGCCCGAATCCTAAAACCAGGAAGTTGGCTTCCTGCTTCCCGTACTTTGTTATGGTCTTACAACCATATGGTTTCTACGGGTGACAGCAGCTTTGCTCAACGTACCACTCCGTCAGACAAATACGTGTAAGTGAACATGCCCCATCCAGACAATCCCAATCTCTTCAAGTACTGGCTGACAAACTGTTCAAGACTCCAAGCGAAAGTCTAGTGTGTCGTTCCCCCAGCTCTTACTATTGTCCTCACCCATCATGGAATAGAAAGCGAGAAGCAAGTGAAACATTCCCGAATACCACTACCAGAATGCCAGCTTCTCGGTTCAGACATGCGCTCGCCATCTAAGACAGAAAGCCCAGACCGAGATGCCTTCTTCCTGCTCTCACGTACCTGCCTCATCAGTAGATATCACAGCATCCAGACTATGGTCATCTCTTCTGCCAGCGCGAATATAAAACCTCACTGTGGACAAGCCTCTAGCTTGAACAGTTCCTAGCCTCGTCGGCAAAGTCCTAGATCTTATCCTTCCTGCAGGGCCTCAGCTAGCATCTACTTGGCATAGCAGCCAGAGAAAGATTCCCATGGTTCCCCGAGCAACTGCATCCTCATTCAATCATTTTGAAGGCATCTTTTGTTCAGGCTGTGCGCCCGAGGAAATCTTTATTTCATCCAGCCGAACAGCGTCTCCATCATCCACTCTATCATGGATCCCCAAGAAGCCAACCAAGCCCAACGCCGCCGTTTTCTCACGACGAGCGGTTGACATGACACCCATGCTCGGCTGAGCATAGTGGAGTTGCTTTGGTCCCCGAATACTACCGACTTCTGTTAAAAGCAAAACCCTCGCCAGAACAGGTGACCAGTATCCTTGCGGGGGTCGTTGTAACTAGAGCACCGCCGCCGCCGCCGCGTTCATGTTCTACGGCAGCGAACCTGCGTTGTCATTGCTTGTACTCGCTGTCCAACTAAAGCTGTGCGCGCTAGCCGTAGCTGGCCGGTCTCTGAGGAAACCGAAGGACGGAATGGCAAACACGCCTCGCCGTTGGTGAGGCGGCGCTGACAGCGGGAAGCAGTATTGTGGGGAATAAGCATCGCCAGAGGGCCAGTTGGCCGCCGCGCCGCCCAGTGAGCCGAAATCCTGTGTTGTCGCCAAGAGATAATTCCTAGCGACCAGTGCTAGCGGAAAGTGTTGTCTCTAAGGAAGTGTGTAGGCCATACGACGTTGTGGCAGGCATCTTTATTGAGACACCTGTGGAATGGTGGTGGTTGTCTTTTCATGATACTGTAAGAGCTCCAAAAAAATTTCCGTTGGCTCTCGTTGTCTGAACATTAAAGAGCAAAATCTCGCTGAGAACTTACATGTCTTTGGGAGATACTGTCTCAACCAACCTCGAGCTCACCGAGGTGAGCGTCTGATACCCAAAGAGGCAATCAGCTCAGGGGAGCTCTGCTCGTTCATCAGGTGACACCGCGTCCCTCGAGCATGCGCGATAGCTACCCCGCGGCGAAGGCGGCACGAAATTTGTGTCTTGTGTGTTATGTGAAGTTGCTTCTCGCGTTTTCATTGTTTACTTTTACCCCGCGAACTGTAAATGCAACGGCGATGTGTTGGCAAGTTTCTCCCCAACAACCGAGCTTCACCTGTCGTACGCTGCACTCCGCAGAAGTCTCTAGTAACCTCACATGCAGCTTCTCAAACAGACCCATGACGAGAAAGGAGCCCAACCCCCTCATACGGTTCCATGGTGAAATCCGCTTTTGGCGGAGGAATGCGGGACTTTCTCAGCGTGGTCTTTTGTGGCGCGGCTGATGTGAGCTGGGCCGCAGCGAGTTGAAGACCGAAGCGGCAGTCCCGGCGCGTCTGGGCCTGCGCCGAGATGTCAGTCCGGATAACCATTGGATAGAGATCCGACCGCTTCTGCTTGAGCTGGCTTCTCCATCTTCAAAAGATTATGCGAGTCATTGGGCTGCCCTGCATCGAAACCACAGAGCGGGGTATGAAGACAGACAACGTTGTTGAAGTTGGCGATGGCATCTCCAAGTATGTAAACAAACGAGACGTCATTCATAACGCTGCTTGACTTTGTATTCTGGCTCTTGTTTGACCGTCCCTTCTTTCCTTGGTTCTTGGGCGGATCAGACAGATCTGAATGTCGCGATTTGACAAGGTCAAAGGAAAGAATGCTGAAAGGCGATTGGCAGAGAGGATGGGGATTCGAGACGCTATCGGGCGATCTTGTTCAGCTTGGGGAAAGCGCCGAAGCGCGCCCCAGCCCTGCCGAAGAGGATGACGTCTTTCCCAATTGGGCCATCAAGAAGGCTGAGGCTGGGCGGACTGCCCCTCACTCCAAGCAACGCTGTGCTATTTCCAGGCATTGCTCGATATGCCCTCTGGTCGCTCGACAGGAAGGAGACCGATGTTAACATTCGGTATATCGTTCGTTTCGTTAGAATATGTTCTTGGGAGCCGCATGAATTCTCCGAGGCGGAAACAAAACTGGGGTCATGGGCTGCTGTCTGACTAACCCCGCAACCTCATTTTTCCTCCCTTCCCGGAAACCGTGATTTGCTTCAGTTGTATTCTGCCGGCTGATTTGATGAGTCTGAGACGAGAGAACCCCTCACATACAGCCTGTCTCCCAGTAGGGTAGCCAATGGCAGGTGAGAGAGGCCCGCGGCTGGAGAGGGTTGATGTCCAACACGGCCACTTCAGAAGCGGGGCCAGGGCCCTCTGGCCGGGGTTGTAGCTGGAGCGAGCCTTGGCAAGCTTTTATCGAAGCGATTCTCTGACGCAATTCTCATCTCGAATCTTGGACAAATGCTTCCAGACATGGGACCGGTATCGTCATTGCCAAGATCAACATCCTGTTGTAGATTGGGGATCGTGATGATGCCGTTGCTGCCAGCAGAGTTGGACGCGGCCGGAGAAGCGCGTGTCTGGGTTTGGAGATATCGAGAGTTTGACAATAGCTAATGGACCAAAAAGGAACCGAGGGCAATCGGCAAGGGAAGGCGGGCAATTGGAGACGGTCATTGGTCTAAAGATGTGTGGAATTGTGAGGCACAGACAGTGATACTGTTTTGCCGCATGTTTATTGCTAGGGAGCTCCTGTTTGGTCTGTGCGTCGGCTTCGTTCGGTGATGCTTCCAATTGTTGCGACCATGAGCTTCAACGGTCAGGCAGGTCTTTGCATGCATTTCGCATATGGTTTCTTATTCCTGATGAGAGTCGTTGACATGTGGACGAAGCATTTGGCTGAATTGTGAATTCCACGATGAACTGCCGGCCGTCAGTCGATATTCCGACATCTCAATGGTCCGTTGCTCGCTGCTGGGCTAATTTTGAGATGCACTGTGATGGAGTAGAAGCGCTAACTTGCAGCGCTTGACCGCTAACAATACATACTGGATCCCAATGACCTTTCGGGCATGTCATTCGCTGGGAGTATCTTCCACGGCTTCTGAAACATTGTCCCAGGCACTGGGATGTTTACCCGAATAGGACGGTTGCTGGGTCAGCATCAAAAGCTGTAGGGAGGTTGATGGCTCCATGTACATACAACCCCCCTTTTCTCAGGCCGTTCCCAGTCACCTTGTGAACAAGCTTCAAGATCGGGTCCTGAGTCTGCAACAAAATATCCCAAGGGAGGACTGAGAGGTGCCGTGCGAGGGTCTTAGAGCTTTGGGACTTCTGAACGATATCTGGTGGCTTGAAGCCGACTTTTTAAAGATCTTCCTCCCTCGGAGATCTAGGAAATTATTTGGCGCTTTTTCTGACCGGCGACCGGCCAAAGCCTGTCGGGATATTGAAGACTCTCAGGCCGGTCAATGCCTATGGGTATGTGGGTAGAAATTTGGACTGTGGATAGCCTCAGGGAAGAATGGGATGACGAGAGGCCAGATGCCATCCACCCATGCCATTTGAACTGTTGCCCTGGCCAGGCTCTGGACGTCAAGACAATCTCTCAAACTGTCTCTTGTCTCCCAGATGTCTCATTGCATTTGCTGTCGTCGCGGTGTCATTGATCATGGCCATTACTGGCCCACTGCTTCCTCCACTTACATGGACGACCGACTTCCGCGCTTTTTGCTGTGCCTGCTAGCGACCCTTTCGCCAGGCCGCCGGCAGCTGCCCCAGAGCACGGTGTGGCGGGCCCATGAAGAAGCCACTGGGGGAAGCGGCGCATGGAGAGAGAATCGGAATCACGGAACATACAAAATGGAACAGCTGCCTACGGCGGCTGTTTTCATGCTGAAATGTACCTCGATTGTGTGAGGTTTTGCCGATGCTGGGCTCTCACAAGCACTGGTGTACTTTGGTACCTATCAAAAGTACTTTGTACCTTTTTCCATGGCCCTGCGGCGGGTACAGGGAAGCTGCTCCAGCGCTCCACAATTCCCAAAGCAGGGCCCCCGTTGCGCTTAAGCAGCTGCAGCAGCCAGGCTGGGTCCCAGTTGAGTCTCCCCTGACAACCCGTAAGAAAATCAACTGCCCTGCTTGATTGGGCTTCCCTGTCGATGCTGTGCACGACGCCGGCAAGGAAAATTCCTTCTTAACCACCTGCTGCCCATCTTGTAGCCTCGCCCTCGCCCCTCAACAGGCCCTTGGGTGTGTAACGTTGTCGTCGACATTGGTATACGGTGAACAGCTTTGGTTGTAGGAAGGGATACCTTATCCAGAAGCTCTCCTTTTCAGCAAAACAATATCCAGGGAGTAGAAGAACTTCCATTCTAGCCTCCACACCAGACCTTCTGTGGTCCGACACGCCCCGGCCAGTCAGCCTGCTGCTGCATATCACCCCCCCGGCCACCCCTTGTCCATAACTTGGCAGACCGTCCATCCTCTGCACCTGCAAAGAACCAGAACTTGGAGCTGAACAAGAAAGTGGGCGGCACGTCATAAAACTCTCAAAATCGACCTCGATCCGACCCCATTCCCTCTCCATTCACGAGTATCTGGTATACAGCAGCGTCGGCAACAGTTAGACGGGCAACTGGCGATCTCGACGAGAGCAACCGAGCACCTTCCCGGCGTCAGCTCCTTGCCCTGGCTGCACCCACCGGAGCGGAACCCCGCTATCACCTCGTTACTGACTGGCCTCAGCCATCCCGGTTCTGCCAAACGCACTTCACAGACCGCCCGCGTTGCACCGGACGACGAGAAAACTGAGGTCAACCCCAGCAACCAGTGCACCGAATTCAACCTTTAAACCTCAAGACATCCTTTTACACCTTGACGAATGCTCTCGTGATTTCAGTAAGAGAAAGTGGCAGCTCGCAGCATTGGCCAACCGCGACGGCTAGCTCAGAGCTTCACCATCCACCGTCTCGACACCCTCGACTGTTGGCTGCTGCTGCACCACCCACTGCACGACATCCAGACATTGTGCCTCCACGTCAAAAATAGCCACCCGATTTCACCTCTTGAGTTCTTCGATAGCATCATTCACCAACCCTCTCTGCTGTGTACATGCGATAAGAGAACCTTGGAGCCACCATGGAGACCTCTTCACCGTTGGCCGCCATCCGGCCGGCGCCTCCCACGTTTGGCCAGTCGAACTTGTTTGGTCCGCCCTTGGGTCCCAGCCCCTTGGGTCCTGGGTCTATGAATATCTTCCAACGTCAGAACCCGGAGTACTTTAACATCAAGGCCGTCCGAGGCTCTTCTCCCGCGGCCTCGTTGGCGGCGGACCTGTCACAAAACTTTAAGCTCAATGAAGCCAGGTGAGTGTTTGGACCTAGGCTTTGGACGGAAAGAGCATGGACGTCCAATAACTAATCGTGTACGCAATGTTGCAGTAGCCCCATGTTTCCGACGCCGCGTCGCGCCCTATTTACCACGGCCACCATGATGGACGGATTCAAGTCTCGTGGTAAGCCGGGTGTGGTTGAGAGACGTGCCACAAAGTGGTTGGACTGACGAATGTGTGTGCGTGCAGAATATCTTACCACGCCTCCATTGGCACCATCGTCGTCGCCTGGTAATGTCGACATGATGGACATGTCACCATTGCCGCAGAAGGGTGCCTTTGCGGGCCATGTCGAAGTGGCATCTCCAACACCGAGCATTCCTATGAGTGATGATATCATGATGGAGTCTCCCATCCCACAAAAGACTGTCATGGATACATCCAAGGCCGTTGGTGCCGAGTAAGTCTAATGACACGCGCTCCCAGCCCTGCGGATCCCCAGCTACAAGGTGCTAACGGTTTTGCGTTTTTAGAGCCCGCAGAAAGCTTGGTTTGATGCGGCCATCTCTCAGCCGTGCCAAAGGTTACACTACGGGGTCCATCCCGGGTCGTTCCAATGGTGATAACCAGTTCCCCTCCCTAAAGCTCGGGGGTGAGGTGCAGCTCGGCTCCTCCCCTTCGACCTCGATGTCGTTGAGCGAATGTTTTCAGGACTCGCCTCCTCAACAGAGGCGGTCCCTCAGTGCTAATAGCCCTTGCATGATCATGGCAAGCAATCGCCCAAGGCCCCAGTTCAACTTGCCTGGTCTTAGCGGTGTCCGCAACGGATCACCAATCAGCCACTCTCGCAAGTCTTCGAATCCTGCCGGCCGGCCGCGGAGGTGGACGACTCGTCGCTCACTGAGCATGTTTGAAAGCGCCGAGGAGATTATGAAACCCAAGGAGCCTGACGCTGCTCTGCCCGAAATCGAGGAAACCCAGGAGCCACTGCTACCGCATTTCATGCCCGAAGATGAACAAGATAACATTCCTCGCATTACCCGCGACACCATGCTTGAAGTGTTGGACGGCAAATACAGCGACCAGTACCAACACAAGATGATCGTCGACTGTCGCTTCGAGTACGAATATGAGGGTGGTCACATTGATGGCGCCATCAACTACAATGATAAGGATCTTCTGGCAGACCATCTGTTTCGCACTCCCATGCCAGGGCGCACCCTTCTCATCTTTCACTGCGAATACTCTGCTCACCGTGCTCCGCTCATGGCTCGCCATATCCGTTCCCAGGACCGACAACTGAACCAGGAGGCTTACCCGAGACTCACATACCCTGATGTTTACATTCTGGACGGGGGTTATAGTGGTTTCTTCTCTGAACACCAAGAACGCTGCTACCCTCGGGCGTATGTTGAGATGGGCGCCGCTGGGCACGAGAAGACTTGCGAGCGGCTGATGGGCCGCTTAAAGCAGCAGCGCAAAGGGCTGGGTCGTGCGCAAACGTATGCATTTGGTGATCGGATCCAGGATTCGCCAACTGGACCAGGTCGTGCCATCAGCCGTGATTGTGAGTTTGCGGACCTTGGACAATCGCCACTTGGAGCGGATCGTGGGCCTCCACGACGAATGGTCTCTTTCTAAAGACCAACATCACTCATGGGAATACTTGTTGGATTACACTGCATCCTTACCTATTCTTCAGCAGTTGTCACCTCTGCTCGCCAACCACAGCTTTCCCGGAGCAGGCTCATCCGCAGCCACTTTGTCTTCTATGTCACATACCTCATTCGTACACATGCTGCCCTCTCATCGCGACTGAGTAGGGTGCAGGTTTGTTTCCGGTAGGATTGATACCCTCACGATCGTCGACAAACCCAGCATACTTGTTTCTTCTTCTCGGCATTACTTGCCACCTTTTGGCATGTATCACTTCAGCAAAGGCCCATCATGTTTTGGATGCCTATCAGCTCTTCGGTACTGTCAAAGTGTCAGTCCGCATTGCGGCGTGGACTGGCATGTATTCATAATGTTTAGCGATCACGATGATACAGCAAAACGGTCTTGTTTTATCTTACTCGCCGCTCAAGAGCTGTTACGATTGCGCGTCATCAGCCCATTCGCGGGCACCTCATCTTCCCTTATCAACGTCTGTACGAAAAAGCACTTTACTGATCAGAATATCCCGGTTCGGTCCGACACACATCGAAACCACACCAAAATTGTTGTTTTTGTCTTTTTTTTCTTTGTAGCATTTACACACAAGATACCCCTCCTGGTAAACCGTTTTCGCACGGTGGATCCAGACGTCGATTCCACGAACATGCGTTCTGCAGTGGTTTGCAACAGGTTTATTTACCATGGAGGCCAGGGAAAATGGAGGAAGGGGTCATCTTTGGTGTTGTTTGCTGGTCCGAGGGGAGGAAGCATAAGATGGGAGGAGAAACCTTTACTTGCGACGGACTGCGGCTCACGACTTGATTGTCAGATGAGTTTTGTTCAAGTTCCTGCCAGGATCAGATGGAAGAAATATGGGATGGGACAGAAGAATAACGGCTTTAGAAAGCCCTGGGATCTTGGTGAACAAGATATCCCTGTGGTAAAAAGTCATCCTCGTCTGCTCCCCTTGCCTGGACATCATGGGAAACTCCTGTACTGCTTTTGTGTGGGTGATTGCCATCGCTCCCCTCTGGCAACATACAGCAATTGGATGGATGATTGGGTTTTTATTGGCGAGCCATCAATCAGCATGATACGCGATGATGGAGAACTCGAACCGAGAAACCGCCCTTCCTTTTTTTTTCACTGTTTGGGAATATCAGAACAAAAAAAATCACGGCCACGGGTGCTTGTTACGAAGTAGCTTTGTACCTAGCGAGTTTACAGGCTGAAGCAAAAAACAAGAACAAAATGAAGTTTAAAAATTACTTGACGACTGTCGCACTTGTTGTGCTTTGACTTGCATGTCCGTCGTCATGTGGTCATCAAGTTTGTGACTTCATCTTTCATCAAGTTGTGACCCAGCATGGAAGCATAACTTGGACTCTGCATGTCAAACACTTGGGCCCTTTGCCAAGGATGGGTGTTTTGTGTTCAGGGGAAATTTGCAAAGCGGGTGGGAATGTAACGGTTTGGTGAGTAGAGGGTTGTCGGAGAACACCTAACCTAACCCGTTTCTTTGTATTGGTTTAAGACAGGGCAGGGTTGCGATATTGGATGACGGGATGGCCGCCGGTGGGGATGGATTTTTTTTTTGAACTGTCGGATCGGGTGATGGTTTCTGGGGTTCGCGGGGCAACGAGTGAGAGCGGGTGGGTTTTGATGGGCGGTGATGTGGCAAGGAATTTATGCTTGGTTGGCAAGAAGCAACAGCTGATGGAGAGTGTAGATCAGAGATGGACGGGGAAAGGCGTGCTGGTAGAATGAGAGGCTGCAATCTCAAAAAGTTTTTCACAACTACGATATGATGGGTATAAGAGTGTATAACACGGGATGTGTTATACCTCCGTTCCAAACTCTCCGGTTGTCATTTTACCTGTACCGTGGATATGGTTTTCATGTCGGCCATTACCGCATGGAAGAAAAGAACACATGTCAGAGTTTTCGTTGAGGTGAACGTTTCCCTGGAGACGATATAGCCGTGGGTAAGGGGTGAGGTTGTAACCAACTATGTACTAGAAAATTCCACCCCTTGTCCTGTCGTCGTTGAGATAGCCGTTCCGGGGTGGTGTGGTCCGGGCTTTGTGTGGAGCCCGGCGATGGCCTGGGATGGCGGAATGCGGACCGGAGCCCGGGTTGTGTGGGGTGTGGAGTTCTCGGATCGGATAGGTAGTGTGGGCTCCGCTTTTTCTTTTTGCGAGACAGGTGATCGGTTGCCTAAAGGGGGAAAATGTAAACAATGGGGGAATGCGAGAGAAAAGGGGGGTGGGACGGACGGGGATGGAAATGCTGGTGATTTGAGATGTTGCGGTGCGGTGTGCATTTGCATTAGGGGCGGGTGGTTTTGTGCATGGCTTGGGGGTGGGACCTTTCGTTTGTGAAATGGTGCTTCGAGAAGGTTGAGGTTGGAGGTTGGTGAACTGGTGGGTCTGCGGGTTGGGGTTGGAGGTGGGAGGATCAGGGTGCCAAGGCGGGAGAGAGCTTCGGTGGAAGATAAGCGATAAGAAATTTAGGGCGAGGCGCGTCATTGCTTGCTGAAGCGCGCCTGCTGTGAGTGAGATCGTGCCTTCCACTTATGACATTTGTGAGATGAGAGCGGTTCAAATCTACCAACCACGGAATCGAGATATCAACTTTCTTTGTTCAAGGATAAGAGGAAACCATCTCACAATTTTTCAAGATATCTTATTTAATTGGTAATTTTTGTGATCGGCGGTCAACATTTCGTCTCACAACAACCTCAGGGGGCCGGCAGCCTCTTATCCTCATCCTCTTTCTCAGAGCATCTGCTCTCATCACATATCATCTTTATCAATCAAGATGGCTGCCAAAATGTCAGTTCCCAGTACCCTTCAATTCAGCGACGCCACATCAACTGACCAAATCAGCTTCGTGTTCGGCAGCATTAACGGTCAACTCCAACCAGCCTTCAGCAAACTAGCTACACTCCATGCGAAAAACGCCTTCAGTTTTGCCATCGTGACGGGCAACCTGTTCAGTAGCGAACAGGATGATGAGCAGCTCACACAGATCTTGGATGGGCAGATTCAAATCCCTTGCCCAACGTACTTCACAGTTGGCACTGTTCCTCTTCCCCCACGTGTGGTCGAGAGAATCGAGAAAGACGAGGAAATTGCCCCTAATCTTCATTACCTCGGGAAGCGCTCAACCACAAAGACATCTGAAGGTGTCCGGATAGTCACACTCGGAGGCTTACTTGACTCGAACATTATTGCTGGTCTGTCTAAGGAACAGATCTCACCGTTTCACACCGAAGGCGATGCAAAGAGTCTCCGAGGAGCTAACAGTGCAGACATTCTCCTAACAACAACTTGGCCATCCGATGTCTGGAAGAATAGCTCAAAGGCTAAGGAGATGAGCATCAACAGCACCACAGCCCCTTCCAACCCAGCGGTTGCGGAACTCTGCGCCGCCCTCAAGCCCAAGTATCACCTGTCCATGTCACCAGATGACTTTTGCTTCGAGAGAGAGCCTTTCTTTCCTGAGAAGGCAGAGGAGGAACAGGACAAGGGTATTCAACTCACACGCTTTATCTCGTTGGCACCGTGGGGAAATACTGCCAAGGCCAAGTCGATGTACGCCTTTACCCTCAACAGAGATGCCATTATCACACCACCCGCCGGGAGCACAATGACCCCCTTCTACAAGCCTGCCACCACGAAGCGGTCTGCTGAAGATGCCGGATTCTCGAGATTCTCACATGCAGACTCGCGACATGAGCGCAAGAGTCACCGTCGCCACCGCGAGCGTTCTCCGCCACCCGGACCGGAGAAATGCTTTTTTTGCCTGTGCAATCCAAATCTCTCAACACACATGGTTGGGTGTATCGGCGAGGCTGCCTATCTTGCTACTGCCAAGGGCCCTCTCACGACCAGCGAAACTTACAAGGAGCACGGTTTGAACTTTCCTGGTCACTTCGTCATCACGCCCGTTGACCACGTAGCGACGCTTAGCAAGACCGAGCTAGGGGACGAGCAGGCCAAGACCACGTTTCAGGAGATGAAGCGGTTCCGGGAGTCACTTCAGAATATGGTATCAACACTTTCGAAGCACAAGCTCGGGGCTGTGACATGGGAAATCAGCCGATCAAGGAATATTCACGCTCACTGGCAGTTTTTGCCTGTGCCGATTGAGCTTGTCAGCAAGGGTCTGGTGGAGGCTGGGTTCCGCGTGTTGGCCGAGGATATGAAGCTGGGGAAGTTTGTGGTGAAGGATTTTGAGACCACGGATGAGGTGGAAGGGGATTATTTCCGGGTTTGGATCTGGGGGGAAGAAGATGATGAGGTCGAGGGCGGGAAGGTTATTGGCAAGAGTTTGTTGATGCAATTTGGAGATGAGATCAGGTTTGATCTGCAGTATCCGCGCAAGGTTATGGTGAAGTTGCTGAAACTGGAGAATCGGACTTTCTGGCAGGATGTGGTGCAGACTGAGGAGGAGGAGACGGCGGACGTTGCTGCGTTTAGGGAGGCGTTCAAGGAGTGGAACTTTACTTAGATGGGAGGTATTTGGTTTCATGCTTCATGAGAGCAGTTGATTGTAGGCAGGAGATAAATGGGATGGGGATTTGATTCATCTAGACGGAGATACCAATGCGATGATTTTTATTGCGCACACCCAACAATTCGTTTAGTTCTCAAGGAGTCCTCGTTACGGTGGTGGTGGACATGATGTCACAAGACGAGATATGTGTTTAAGCCCCCATTGGCGTACAACCGTATATGCATCTGTCCAGTATGCACATGGCAACAATGTCTACGGTACTTATGCAATAAAGCTACATGTCCTATTGCCCCCACCAACCCGCTCTTATCCGCATATCGGCTTATCTTAGCTTCAATGGCCCCAGACCCTTGCCAAAAAATTTCCAGAGGTCAAGGTGCTGTTTCGCGGTGGTGTTTTCGCGATTGAAGGCTTTCTTGGGCTCTCTTCGCAAACACCAACAGCCCAGATCACCACCCACCATGCCGTCCACAACTTCCGGACGCATTGTTAAGTCCCAAAGGGGCGTCAAGCGGACGCCTCACGAAAAGAATCACAGATGGGAATCATTCAGTACCAAAATCTCAAAGCTCCATTCGCTCGATCCGTTGCGCAAAGTGCGCCGCCATGACCTCGAAGCCGAAGATCTCGAAGCGAGTACCTCCTACCTCAGAAATGGCCTCGACAGATGGGCCGAACTCAACCTGTCAAAGACCTATGTGTCTTTCAGGCTAAAAGTCACCCGTTATACCGATTCCCTCGCTCAAATTCTCCATCATGAAGACAAGATTATGGACCTCTTGGCCGAGGCCATCTCGACGCACCAAAAGGATTCTTTAGAGCCGTTACTCGACCTGGTCACTGCGTTCGCCCATGATCTCGGTGTGCGATTCGAGAAACACTACCCCCGCGCTCTCGGCTTGATCGTGGAGCTTGCGAGCAAAGTTCACGATGTAGAAGCAATCGAATGGACCTTTGCGTCGCTCGCATTCCTCTTCAAATATCTTTCGAGACTAGTCGTTCCTGACCTCCGACCCACATACGATGCGGTCTCTCCTTTGATGGGCAAGGCGAAGATTCCGGGACATATTGCTCGGTTTGCGGCCGAGGCAATGAGCTTCTTGGTGAAGAAAGCGGCGGCGCCCAGCCACAAGGAGAAGGCTCTACCGCTCTTTGTGGAGCATGTGAGGAAGGATCTGGAGAGTGTGGCCGGGACGAGGCAGTATGAGCTCTATAGCCAGGGTATCATGACTATGTTTGCCGAGGCGCTCAAGGCTCCCAACAATGGCGTCCATTCGACTGCCCCGGAGGTCTTTGCAGCTATCGTGCGGGATGTGCCAGAAGGGGAAGCTGACCTTCCTGAGCAAACAGTATGGACGGATGTCTGCTGCGGTGTGCTTACCAGTATCATTCACCATACAACAATCGAGACTTTCAAGACGATCGAGACACGCATAGTGCAAGAGGCTACGGCTGGTACACGCCCAGTGTTATTTGTGCAGCTCCTAGGTGTTGCGGCTGGTGTACGGAGGGGAAACCGGATTCACGACTGGTCAGCTCTTGTAAAAGCTCTGGGACAACAGCTCACGCAGCTGGGTGAGGTCAAGGAAAGGATTGAGGCCATCTCGCCTCGCCAAGTATGGGACCGCCTAATCACCAAGATAGCTATAATTTGGGGGCAAGCACCAATAGACGCTTTGCTGCCATCATTGTCAACACTCAACAACACCACGACCAAGGAGCCATTAATGCGGTGGTACATTCCATTTTGCTCCTATCTGGCCGATCTCCACCCTGAACGGTTCAGAGGGCTCTTCCTGAAAGACTTTCAAAAGTGTGTATGACCCATTAACTTGGTGAAGGCTGATATACTGACCGTTTAATAGATTTGTCGTCGCCCATTGGTCCCGAAACTCAAACGAGGAGATGCTCTGCGTGCTTCTGCCTCATATGGTAGAAAATGGGGGCCTGCCGCGGGTCAAAGGGAAAGACGGCTTCCTTCTCCCACAATCCTGGCAAGATCAGATTGTCAACAAGTTTGTACGGCTTGAAGACACCCCTTTCCCGGAGAGTGGTGGTTTTGGGAAAGATGCGGAGACGTGGAGGGACAGATGTCTGCCAAAATATTCAGCACTTTTACGGGTGCTGGAGGTTACGACAGTCCATCCCTCCACCAATGCACGTATCGCCGAGGTTTTGCTTAAGAAGCTAAAGCTCGCCTTACGGCCCTCCTCCTCTTTACCAACCGATGAGGCCAACTTCATTATGAGCGATGGCTTCCGTGCCTATCTCAGAATGTGTGCTGCCCCTGGGTCGGTAGATCCAAGTCTGGCTCCTCTTCTCAGAGCAGCTACCCCGCGGTTCTGCCACTCTCCGGCATTCCTCGAGGCCCTGCTCGCGTATCTGATGGAGATCAAGGCGAAGGGACGCAGCAGCTCAGAAACCAGCAGTGGGAGTGACAGCATGCAGGAGGAGGAAGACCCATTAGTGAAGTCTCTCGTCAACAACTTGTCCGCGCCCTCTCATGAACTCCGGCTTGCGTCCTTGCGAATTCTGGAAATTCTGGAGTCAACCCCTGATTCCAACTCAGCCTTGGCAACGATGCTTCAGTGTGAAGAGCTGTCTCTGATTTTGGAAAACGTACGAACGATCGCTGTTCACGTTCGAAAACTGGGACAAATCTACGCTCATCTTGATCAAACTTCCTGGCTCATACGGGCAATCCCAGCCTTCTTGTTTGGTATGATGACCGTCCCTCTTGCTCCAGTTTGGGATGACTCGGTGGAAGCCATGAAAAAAATTGCCGAGTCTAAGCATGGCGAGGAAGTTTTGGCCGATTTGGCCTTTGACTGGTTGGATCAGCCTTCCGAACGGTGGTCAGGTGCATCCAAGCCCCAGGATCCACGTCGCCTCCCGCTCACCGACTTTGAATGCCTGAACATGAAAGGCCTGCATAGAACTGCTGAGCCAATCGCTCAGGCCTTGGAGGAGCCGTACAGGGGCATGATGGAAAAGTTCGAGGAGGGTCAGAAGAACGTTGATCCCCACTCGCAAAGGGCTCGCAGCATGGCTCTCAAAGCTTTGAACGCTATCCCGAGCTTGGCTGAGAAACGCTCAAGAAACCTAGTGCCATATCTATTTTCTTTCATGAGCGATGGCGAGACCCCGGCTGAAGACCAAGAAGACACCGAGGAAGAGGCTGAAGAAATGTTAGAAGCGAGTTGGTCGCTTCCTGACCGGAAAGCCTTAGTTGGTGTGTTTTCACAGTTCAACAATCCTCGAGTGCTTTATCAAGCCGACAAGGTCTATACGGCACTTCTGAAGCTCTTGGCAAATGGTGATATCGAGGTGCAAAAGCTTGCCTTGAAGGCCATTTTGGCATGGAAGAATGATGCGGTCAAGAAGAAGCAGGAGCATCTGGAGTACCTCCTTGATGAGGCCAGGTTTAAAAACGAGCTTACTGTCCTTTTCCAAGGCGACAACAAGATCCAGCCAAACGAGCGAGAGGCCGTTATGCCTGTTCTGCTTCACCTCTTGTACGGCCGTACGATCTCCAAGAAGGGCGCAGGCAGTGGCCGGCACGGTCTTCATGCGACACGTTTGGCAGTTATTCGGCAGCTTACTGTGGACGACATGGGCGACTTCCTGGACATTGCGCTTGGCCCACTGCGCAACATCCGTGTCGTTGATGCCAAGGGGCTGAATGAACGGCTCTTCTCTCAGGAAATCCTGCCCATTCGCAAGCAGGTCGGTCTGCTCAATATGCTTGAGGCTGTCATCACTGAGCTCGGCGGTGCGGTCTCCCCATACGTGGAGTCCCTTGCCAATGCAATTCTCCTCTGTCTCATCTCCGCCTGCCGGCAGGTTGGTGTTACGACAGGGGAGGAAGAGTCCGAGGAAACCGAAGAAACTGAGAACGTGAAGGATGCTTTGCTCTTGAAGGTTATCAGGACGATTTCTCTCAAGTGTCTCTGCAAGCTCTTCCAGAATGAGCAAAGCTTTGACTGGACGCCGTATCAAGACATTATGGTGAAGGAAATCATCAGTCCTCGGATTGAGAAGCTTGCCGTTGAGACTACCCAGGGCGTATCAGCTACTTGGAAGCTGCTCGGTACCTGGGCTGCTCTCCCCAAGACAGCCATGTTTTTGGCCATCGACGGGCGCATTGTGCCCAATGTCGTGGAGACGCTTGGTATGGAAAAGGCCAAGGCTGATGTCAAGATATACGCGCTTGAAATGATCAAGACCCTTGTCGGCCTTGCTCAGGCATCTGCGCAGGAGTCAGAGTTCAATGAACTCATAAGAGCTGAGCTCTTAGATCCAAATGTCGACCTCATTCTCGGAAAAATCAGCAGTCTTCTTCGTGACCAGCGCGATATTAGCAGAGACCTTTTGGGTTCTGCTGTTGATACCGTTGTTGTACTCTCTCCTATCGTCAAGACATCCACCAGCATCCAGGATATAGTGGAGATTTCCACGTTCTTGCTCAACCAACCCTCGCGGATGGTCAGCCCCAAGATCAAAGGTTCAATCCTGCTGATTCTCAAGGGTTTCATGGCTTTGGAAGATTTCCAGGGGAATGCTGAACTGAAGAGCAAGGTCTATCATACGGTGGCCTCTTTGTTTGGCTATTTCAAGGACAGGCAAAACAGGCAGACCTTGGCTGAAGTGCTCGCAGTGTTTGCATCCACAGAAACATGGGCACAAGAGATTGCGGATACCTGCCGCGATCTCAATGCTTACAAGCCAAGGCGTCTGGATGAGCCAGACTACAATGTCCGGTTGACCGCATTCAACTCCATCACCAGAGATCGGGAGACGCCCTTTACTCTGGACCAATGGATGCCTCTCCTTCACAACATGCTCTTCTACATCCAGCAGGATGAGGAATTTGGTGTCCTGTCGACAAACTCTGCCGATGGGTTGTGCAAGTTTATCTGGGCAGCCAAGGATGCTTGGGGCAGCGCCCAGCAACAAGCCTTTATCACTGTGGTTTCTGATATCCTGCTTCCAGCCATCTACGCTGGATCAAAGGAGGAGTCAGAGACTGTGAGACGCGAGATTCTACGCGTGTTTGGTGCCCTCGTGGCTGGCCTCCCAGAATGGGAGATGGTCTCCGATCTGACGCCCCTGGTTCCTTCGTCCGAGGACTCAGACCAGGCCTTCTTCTTCCACGTCCTCAGTCCGGCTGTCGCAAGGCAGTTGCAGGCCCTTCGCTTGCTGGAGTCGGTGAATGCCAAGACACCTCTCCGCAGCAAGCACATCAGCCAGTTTTTCATTCCCCTCTTTGAGCACTTCATCTTTGGTCATCCAGAGGGTGGCGACGATCATGGCCTCGGCGCGCAGGCCATTACCACTGTTTCTGGCCTGACCCTTTCTTTGGAATGGCAACAATACAGAGCTATTCTCAGACGATTCGTCTCGTTTGTGGAGTCAAAGCCTGACTCCCAGAAGCGAGTCATCCGTCTTCTGGAGAGGGAGGTGGACGCCCTCCGCACTGCCCTTGACCAGAAGTCAAGTGACGCTATGGAGGTGGATGGAGAGGTACAAAAGTGCCGCCTCGCGAGCACACTTCCTGACCAGGAGAAGCTCAGCACCGAGATTGTCGGCAGCTTCCTGCCTCCCCTCCTCAAGTACATCCACGAGAAGGATGAGACGGAGGTCAGCTCCAGAGTACCGGTGGGCGTTATCATTGCCAAGCTGCTCGTCCTTCTCCCGGATAACCTCTTGAACGAGAAGCTCCCCGGTGTCTTGACTGATATTTGCCATATCCTCAGGAGTAAGTCTGTCGAATCCCGCGATATGGCCAGAGACACGCTCGCCAAGATCTCCGGTGTCCTCGGTGCTCACAGGTTCGGGTTCATTCTGAAGGAGTTGCGTGGTGCTCTCGTCAGAGGCAACCAGCTTCATATCCTGTCCTACACCATGCACTCTCTGTTGTTGGTCGCTATCCCAGCTTTCGAGCAGGGTGATCTCGATTACTGCCTGCCTCAGATCATGGCTGTCATCATGGACGATATCTTCGGTGCCACAGGTCAAGAGAAGGATGCCGAAGGTTACACTGGCAAGATGAAGGAGGTCAAGGGCAGCAAGAGTCAGGATTCCATGGAGTTGGTCGCCAAGACAGCCTCCATCCGTCGCCTTAGCGATCTGACTATGCCTCTCCAGTCTTTGCTGTTGGAGAAGCTGGACGTCCGTACCGTCCGCAAGATTGATGAGCTGCTGACTCGTATCACCAAGGGTCTTCTTGAGAACCCTGCTGCCGCTTCGCAAGATGTCCTGATCTTCTGCTATGAGGTCATTCAGGAGGTCTACAAGTCTAACGAGCCCATGGAGCAACCTAAGATGGACCCCCGTCTCAAGAGATATATCGTGCAGAAGGCTGCGAAGAAGAGCGATGGCGGTGTCACGGCTAAGCACACCTACAAGCTTGTCAGGTTTGCCATCGATGTTCTCCGGACTGTGTTCAGAAAGCATGACCACCTCCGTACTGCTGCCAATATCGCCAAGTTGCTGCCCATCTTTGGTGATGCTGTACTCTCCGCGGAAGAAGATGTCAAGATCGCGGCATTCAAGATACTCACTGTCATTGTCAAGGTTCCCTTCAAGAACGACGACTCTGCCAATCTGTACAAAGTTGCGCTGAAGGAAGCTACCAAGGCCATATCCATGTCGCCTACCACCACCTCTGACTTGGCGCAAGCAGCTTTGAAGCTCATCTCTGTTATCCTGCGTGACAGGAGGGGGATTGTCATCAAGGATGCTGCTCTGGACATGCTCCTCGGAAAGCTGAAGGATGATCTCACCGAGCCCTTGTACCGGCATGTAACCTTCAACTTCTTGCGGTCAGTCCTGGACCGCAAGATGGAAACGGCTGTTGTTTACGACACACTCGACTACGTCGGCACTATCATGATCACCAACCCTGACAAGGACACCAGAGATCTCGCGCGCGGTGCATTTTTCCAATTCCTCCGAGACTATCCACAAAAGAGAAACAGGTGGGAAAAGCAGCTCCAGTTCATTGTTGCCAATCTCAAGTATGAGCGCGAAGGTGGACGAATCTCTGTTATGGAGGTTATCAATCTGTTGCTCAAGAAATCGGTGGATGAGTTCGCACAAGAAGTTGTGGCCACGTGCTTCGTTCCGTTGATTTTCGTCTTGGCCAACGATGACAGTGAAAAGTGCCGTCTTTCTGCGGGTGAGCTGCTCAAGGAATCTTTCCGGGTGGCTGACAAGGAAAGGTTGTCCAAGTTTATGCAGTTGTTGAGGACATGGATTCAACAGGATGACAAGCCTGCTGTTTCGAAGCTCGCGCTTCATGCTTGGGGTCTCTACTTTGAAGGCCGGGAGCCAAATTTCAACGATAAGAAGGACCTGGCTCTGGTTGTTGACAGAATTACTCAGGTTCTTGGGGATGACGACGCTCTGGAGGCCGACTGGGAGCTTGCCAACACTGCGCTCAACACTCTGCAAACGCTTGTTATCAAGCATCCTCAAAAGGCCCTCGCTCCGAGCACGTCCGAGCTGTGGACCGAAGTCCAGACTTGCCTCGCGCACTCCAACACAACCGTCAAACTCACAGCCACAAAACTCTTGTCCATGTACCTCACCGACTTTGCCAAAACCTCTGGCAGGGATGCGAAGCTCCCACTCAAGGGCTCGTATGGCCTCGAACTCGACGAAGACGACGTCACCGCTTTGGTGCGCCTTTCTCTCGGCATCCTCAACGTCGTCGAGCTAGACGAGACTCTCTCACAGGAAATTGTCCAAGTCCTCCAGTTCCTAGGCGGTTACCTCGAGTCCGGCAAGACCGAACAGGAAGACAGCGACGAGGAGGAAGACGAAGACGAAGAAGAAGACAAAGTGGACAAGTCTGTCTCCCGCAAGGCAGACATGAAGTACCTCTTCTGGAAGCTCTGCTCCATCATCAGAAAAGAACGCCAGCCCAAGCCCGAAGCGATGGTGTCCAAGCTTGCGGCGATGGATTTGCTCGAAGCGTTCTGCATCAAGTCCCCCAAGGAGACGGTCGAGGTTTCGGTCAGGACCATTCTCCGTCCGTTAAGGAACCTGACTGACCCGTCCATTCGCGCGCCGTTCTCGTTGAACGAGCTTTTCAAGACGAGGTATGAGGCTTTGAAGAGCAAGGCTGTGGCGGTGATGGAGGTGTTGCAGAGGAAGCTGGGGAGCGCGGAGTACACCAAGGCGTTGCTGGAGGTGGGCGACCAGATTAGGGAAAGGAGGCAGGCGAGGTTGAGCAAGAGGAGGATCGAGGCGGTGGCGGCGCCGGAGAGGTATGGGAGGGAGAAGAGGAAGAAGTTTGAGAAGAAGAAGGAGAGGAGGAAGATCAAGGGGCAGGAGCAGAGGGATGCCAGGAGGGCTTTTCAGGGGAATTAGGGGGTCATCTGAGTAATTGAAGGAGGTCGGCGGAGAATAATTCAAGGGTAGATAAAAAGCTGATAAAAGGGGGGTTTATACCATGTATTTGAAATTAATCGGATATATCATCAATTTTCTATTGTTGACATGTCGTGAGGTGTCTTGCGTTTAGCCCCTGAAATGCCAACAAAAATGCCAAACTTTTGGGTATGCCAACACCTATATCAAACCGGCCAAAGCACCCCATATAATACAGCGATATCGTACATCATTTTATCATGCCACCCGTCCAGACCTCCCTATTCCACCCTCCCCACTATTCCTTGCCCTCCGACTTAACACTCGTAAACGTACTCCCCGCCACCATCTCTCTCTCCCTCTCTTCAGCCTCCTTTTTCCTCCGTTCCCTCTCCTCCGCCTCCTTAGCGAGCGCTTCGTGATCCCTCACGGTGGTGGAGCCATCCTCCCAGAACTCTAGGTCGCCATCCTCGCCCAGTGTACCCTTTTTAACCAGCTCGCCTTTGGACTTTAGGATGTCCTCGACGGTGAGGGCCTTGTCGCCGAAGATCTTGAGGTGGTCGGAGATGACGTGGCGGTTTTTGCAGCCGGGGCAGGCGATGAGGACGGAGCCGTGGTGGTAGCCTTGTTTGGAGACTGTGTGGCGGGAGCGGGTGTTGCAGGGGACGCAGGTGAAGGTTAACTCGTAGGAGGGTTGGGGTGGCTTGGTTGAGGGGGAGGATGGGGGGGTTGTGGAGGGTGTTGATGGGGTCGAGGAGGAGGGGGTGGATGGTATGGGACTGGCTCGTGGTCGGGGGATGTTGTGGGCGAAACGGAGGGGTTGTAATTGAGAATTGAGGAGCTGGCGGGGGAGTGCTGATCGTGATATTGGTTGGGTGGTGAGTCGGGTAAGGGTGGATATCGAGGTGGTGAGGAGGCGTTTGGAGGCCATGGTTAGGGATAGGAGGGTATGAGTGGTGAGGAAAGAAGGGGTCGAAATCGGTAAGAATTTTGGTTGTCGCAAAAGGTGAAGCCGAACTGTAGAGAAGCAATTGGACCTTCGTCATCGTCAAGATGTTCAAGATCCCTGTCAGAGTTCTTATCGATAAGATTAGCTTGGAGCTAGCCAAGACGCGATAAACGCGCCAAGAATAGATGATTGGTAGCAAATCAGAGTCCAACCAGTGATGCGGTTTGGTGGGGCACGGTTTTTAGGTGGCAGCTGAAGCTGGCTGCAACTCCCCGCTGTCGCAGCTGATGGTGTGCTGTAGTCGGACCTCCTAGATGTCAAGGTTGTGCCTGAAGCTTCCCAAGCATTGTCGAGCTCGTGTATTTTTTTGAGGATTGTCTTGCTGGCCCCATCCTGTGTCTGTTTACTTTGTTCCAGGACAACGTCGAGTATGTGCCCAGTCCGGAGCTCGGTCGTTCGCCGCCTTTGCTTGCCTGCCATTTGACGGATTCCATCCCACCAACACAGCACGCATACCAAAATCGCCTCCTGCCATCCCGGGCTTTCTTCACCTACCCAACGAACTGAATTTGATCACAAGCTATTTAACAGTTTTTATCACCAGTTTAGTCCAATTCGGGCCATATTTCCCACTCCCTCACGAAACCTCGCGGACTGTTGACGTCCCCCCCCCCCTTCTCGACACCACCACCATCACCACTTTGCCTGCCCACCTTCTTGTGCCGAGTATAGAGCGCCAATATCGCACAATGGCTTCCAGGAATAGGCCGAGGCCAATACGAAGGGTATAACTACGTCATTCTCTGCTAGCTTCCTATTTGGCATGCTAACGTCTGTCTATCACAGCCCCTGATCAACAAGGACGCCGGTGGGTTTGATCAATGCTGGGCAACCCTCCAGAGTGCCATGACCGACATACACAACAAAAATGCGAGCAAGCTTTCCTTCGAAAACCTCTACCGAGCCTCATACAAGATCACACTGGTCAAGCGCGGCGAGGAGCTCTTTGAAAAGGTTAAAGAATTCGAGACGGAATGGTTCCACAAGCACATCATTCCCGGTGTCGACGAGCTGGTTAGGAACAATTTACCGAGCATCGCCTTGATACAATTGGCCACGTCAAGCTCCCACGAACGCCGCGAGGCTGGTGAGAGACTTCTTCGCGGAATTCGCAAGATTTGGGAGGACCATAACACATCAATGAACCTGATCGCGGATATGCTGATGTACCTGGAGAGGTCCTGTGTGGAAACCAAGCAAGCATCAGTATACGCAACAACGATCGGCCTTTTCCGAGATCATATCCTCAAGTATGGCCTAAAGGATGTTGACGGGTCGGATCAGCCATTCATCATTATGGACGTGGTCATTGCTGTCGTTCTCGACCTCATCAATATGGATAGAGATGGGGATATCGTCGACCGCAACCTTCTGCGTGACATAACCGGCATGCTAGAGCAGTTGTATGAGACGGACGAAGAGAAGGAAAACGAGAAGCTGTACACGACAATATTCGAGCCACGCTTCCTTGCCGCCAGCGAGGTCTTCTACAAAGCCGAATGTGAGAAGTTGCTCCGAGAGTCCGACGCCGGTTCGTGGTTGCGCCACACACGACGACGCCTGCTCGAAGAGGAAGAGAGGTGTGTTACTTCGGTTTCGAATTCCACAAAAGACAATATAGCAGCGGTCTTGGAAAAAGAGTTGATACTGGCCAAGATGGATGAATTCCTGGCGATGGAAGGGAGCGGGTTGAAGGCGATGGTGGACAATGACCGAGAAGAAGACCTTGGAATCCTGTATCAGCTGATTTCAAGGATCGACAAATCGAAGAATACCCTCAAAACGAGTTTGATGGGCCGGGTCATGGAACTGGGCCTTGAAATTGAGCAGACACTCAAGAACACAGACTTCTCTGCACCAGCAGCGGCCGGTGCTGCTGGGGAGGGCGAGGAGGGGGCCGAGGGGGCCGACAAACCCAAGGCTTTGAGTCCAGTCGCACAGCAAACAGCCGCTGCCATCAAATGGGTTGACGACGTCCTCAAGCTCAAGGGCAAGTTTGACTCAATGCTGGAAAATTGTTTCAGCAACGATCTTATCATCCAGTCGGCTATTACGAAGAGCTTTGCAGACTTCATCAACATGTTTGATCGAGGTGCCGAGTTTGTCTCGCTGTTCATTGACGATAGTCTCAAACGAGGGTTGAAAGGCAAATCTGACGAGGATGCGGAGGTTGTTCTACAAAAGGCCATTATTCTGGTCAGGTATCTTTCGGACCGTGACTTATTCGAGCGCTACTATCAAAAGCACCTAGGTCGCAGGTTACTGCACAACAAATCCGAAATCCACATCGAAAAGGAGCTCGTCCGACGAATGCGGGCTGAGTTGGGCAATCATTTCACTGCCAAATTCGAAGGCATGTTCAAGGACATGGAGCTCTCCAAAGATCTGTCAACCAACTACAAGGACCACATTCGCAATCTTGGGGACGATGATAGGAAGTCTACTGAACTTGCTATTCATGTTCTCACCACAAACTTCTGGCCTACTGATGTCATGGGGCGCGGTGTCCTCCAAGATGGCGATGCATCGCGGTCGGACTGTATCTTCCCACCATCTATCAAACGACTGCAAGAGAGTTTCTACAAATTCTACTGCCAGGATCGCAGTGGGAGAGTTCTCACCTGGGTACCTTCCACCGGCAGCGCAGACATCAAATGTTTCTTTCCCAAGGTTCCTGGCAAAGAGTCCGGGCCGTTGAGCAAAGACAGGCGCTATGAGCTCAATGTCTCCACTTACGGAATGATTGTTCTCATGCTTTTCAACGATCTGGCCAATGACGAGAGTCTCAGCTTCGAAGAGATCCAGCTGAAGACGAACATTCCCATCCCGGATCTGACCAAAACCTTGACTTCACTCTCGGTTCCGCCAAAATTCAGGGTTCTCGCCAAGGAGCCTCTGACAAAGTCCGTGAAGCCCACAGACAAGTTTTCTTTCAATGCTCAGTTCGTCAGCAAGCAAATCAAGATCAGGGTGCCTGTTATCAGCAGCACATCCAGGGTTGAGGGCACGGAGGAGCGCAAGGAGACGGAGAGGAAGAACGATCAGACGCGTGCTCACGTTGTGGATGCTGCTATTGTCAGAATCATGAAGTCAGTACATTTCATTGCTGCTCGTTTTTACTTGATGCTAACCGTCGATTATAGACAACGCAAGGAGCTCAGCCATACTCAGCTCACAACCGAGGTCATCAGCCAGCTCTCTGGTCGGTTCAAGCCTGAGATTTCTCTCATTAAGAAGCGGATCGAGGACTTGCTTGCGCGAGAATACTTGGAGCGGATGGAGGGCGATACGGCTGCCTATCGCTATCTGGCGTGAAGCCGCCACACAAAACATGGCTGGGACTTGTATGAACATGCATCTTCTTTCGCGTTTACACATCTTTCGGCGTTGAAGGCCCGGGAAGGCATGCATGGACTGGCTTGGGACCGGGACGGAAGCGTAAGCATTGGACTTTTTGCGATATCACTGGGTTATGACGCGTGTGGTTGTATGGGGTCTCCGTGGCTACTTTCTTGGTTGCTGAGGCCGTATTGTAGTACATTCTTAAACAGAAGCAATGTCACACACAGCCTCAGAACGATAGTGTCAATACCATCTTTGCCTAGATACGGATAACACGTTATAATCGCGGACCATTTTTCATCACGAATGCCATTATAACTTCAGGTTTCGGAGGCTATATTGGCCTAGTTAAACCGCCCTGTAGGTGATAACAATCTAACGACCTGCTGAAAACAGTGGAAATATGTTGTCCAATTACTCCATTACCCCGAATATTCCTCCCGAAAAACTTTCCAATCCCAAGAAATCGACAAGCAGCAGCCTGCACCATAACTGAAAGAGCTTCGGGGTCATGTTTAACATAACTATAGACCCGACAAAATGTAACTCGGCAAGGATACTTGTAAAAGATATTTTGCAAATATCATGTGTTTACGAACCGTAATATTATGCACCAGCTTCCAAGGGGAGAAAAGTGCACAGAGATATGCATAGAGCTTAAACTTGGTGTGATACTTGGTCACCGGTTCCAGGTCTCTCTTCATGTGCTGAGCTCCCATCCCAGGAGGGGCTTCAAGTGTCACGTTGCGCATCTGGTGACAGTCAGAGCCTTCCCAATCGTGCTGTAGAAAGGACGATGTTAGCCCGGAGACAATGACAGCTAAAATCCGAATTCGCCTGCCGCTTCACAAAACTCAAGAAACTCCTTCGCTGTCCACTCCGCCAGCTCGGCCGATCTCACCGACGGCTTGACCGTGTACACAGCGACACCCAACGTAACGAAGGCAAAAACGATTTTCCCAGCTTCGATGGCGTGTTCATGTTCCAGATGCCATTTCAAATATGCCATGACGATCCGATCTATCATTCTTGCCAATGCTTTCCAGTAAGGATGGGGTTCAACAGCGCGTTTGGGATCGGAGAACCACTTTAACAACCATGATACACACCGAGCCGAAAGCTGTGATTATCAGATTCATTCCTCCCCTTAGTCGTCTCCGAAAGGGATGAGACTCGGCGGGCCGCTCTTCCTCTCCGTCATCATCTCTAGCTGCTGGCTCAACTTCGGCTGGGACATCTTCGACTTCAATGGGCGGTGTATCGCAGCTTGGTGGGCGATCGTTGGCTGAAGGATTGGGGACCAAAGTATCCCAATATATCGCCACTTGCTCCTCCATGACGCTCATGTGTTTGTGTTTTGTAAAAGAAAAGGAGCGTTGCCGACCAGTCCTTGCCTACCAGACTAGAAGCTGCGTCTTGTGGCCTGGATGAGGATAATTTTGAGGGTCGAAAAAAGCAACATGGGAAATTTCCCAATGTGCAGTTGTCAACAATTGGCCGGTTGACTGACTGCCTTGTCAACTCAATATGCAAGGCTCTCAACGGCGGTGAGGACATAGACTGACTGGTCAGTGAAGTACCTCAAGCCTTGATAGAACGATAATCAGAACCCTGCCTAATTATCACTTCACCAACCTGGGACCGAAAAAACCCTTTTCCAAGTCACTCGAACTCGTCCCGTCCTAAGTATCCGATAACTCCATTTTTGTACGATTCTAAAATGGGGCATGCAAGTGTGTACAGACATGCCCCAACTACATACATGTAAAAACTGGCTTTCCTTGTCTTTAACTAGTAAAATAAACCCACAGTCCCACCCACCCAACCATCAACGCCTCCGCCATGATGCCAGCCAACCTGTCCATTTCCGATCCCAGCGTATCCTTGCCCCTTTCCCAGTCCAAAAGAGACCTCTCGAGCTATGGAAAAAAAGTAGCAACTGTGATAAAAGCAAAAAGAAAACGTAGCCTGATTACTTTAACTGAAGAAACCGAGGGAATTATCTCCTCGGACATAAGCGAGTCACTCAGAGAAGCTCCAACAACATCCTCGGCTTCCTCGCCGACCGCCTCACACTCGTATCGACAAAACTAAGATCCAGCTCCCCTTCTCCTTCCTCTTCACTATCCTCCTTGAGCTCCTCATCCCCCCCAGCTCCCAACGTCTCCTCGTCACTATCCTCGCTACCCTCACTCTCCCCACTGCTCTCAAGCCCCAAGGCTTCCTCCCCCTCTACCAACCTCCCCCGCCCCTTCAACGCCCCTTCCCGAACAGGACTTCGACTAACCCCCTAACTCATCTCCATCCCATCCTCCTCTTCCTCTCCATCCTCATGCCCATCACTCTCCATCACCCCTCTCCCACCCTCTTGATCACTCCCCCCACTCCCCACACTATCCTTCCTCCCCAGCCCCCCCCCCCTATCAATTCCGCCAACCCCAAACCCAACCTGCATCATATCCAGTTCCTCGCCCGCCACCACCCTCCCCTCACTATCCACCTCCTGGCTCAGCTCCACCAGCGCATTCCTCGGCAACCGCTGAAACCCAACCGTCCTCACGATCCTCCCCCAGTGCGTCATACAAAAGTTCGCTGCCCGCTTCCTCAACCACTCCTCGTTCGACAACCCCGCGCAATACCAGATAATGCACGCATGATCCACATCCAGCTCCTTTGACAATCTATTCACGCACAACAGTCTCAAGTGAGGAATGTTGTAAATATTCGACATGACCAACAAGCCCGCTACATCAGCCAAGTCGGCAGTGGTTTCGTTGCCGTTTTGATCAGGCGGATCGATCCGGTCAGTGTAGAGGTAGTACAAGAATGCTTTGACGACAGAGTATGGTTCAGGAATGTGCATTTTTTTGGTGTGAAACTCGGCCATCTGAGAAGACCACAGCCGGGCAAAGTGCGGCCAACGGGCTTGGAGGATGAGCCGATGAACGTGGATGGGTGGGGAGGTAGGCGTGTCTGGTGACAGCCAGGTCTGGTCGGGGTCCGTGTCGCCGACAGAGTCTACTTGGGCGTGGACGAGTGCCGAGCCCATAACCTCTTCCTCGTCAAAGTCCCTCGAGAGCGCGGTGACGATGAAATCCGTGCCGCTGCCTGATTCTGGGGGCTGGTTGAAGAGCTTCGCCAGATCATCACCAAGGCCCTTGGAAGGTGTTTCGACGTGCCGGGTGCGGGAGGACGGGCGGGTGGTGCGAGGCTCTGGAGCCATGTTGTTTCCTAGGAACCCGTAGCGCCGCAGATCAATTTCCATAATGTCCGAAAGATACTCCTCCAGGCCATTAGCCCCGAGATCAATAGCCCCTGGATCGGTAGGGCAGCCGAGCAGCCATGCTTTCGTGCCATCTTCATTCATAGTGCAGTAATGCCACCGATAGCCTGGCTTGAATATCTCTCGGCCTTCTGCAAGCTTCTGCCACCGTAAGGCTGCCAAATCTAAGGCTGATAGTGAGCATTCTTTTGACGTAATCGTAGCTGCTGGTGTTACAAAGTCCAGGAGTGTTCCTGAGGAGTAGACATGGAAATGGATGCCTTGCATCTGAGATGGGACATTAGGGCCGCTGACAAACTTGAGCGCAGAAATGGCCCCGGGTGCTTGTGGCGCATATGTCTTCAGGTGAAATGACGGTGGGTTGACCTGTGCAGTCCTAGAGTTGGCAGCATAACCGGAAGAGCCCACAGCTGTAGACTGGACGGAAGGGTACGATGGCCGTGGTGATGCCGCACTTCGAGATAAACCGGATCGATCGAGGGTGCCGATATGTGGAGGAGACTCAAACGCTGGGTTGCCCTTGAGATCCAGCCACCACAGGTCACTAACCTTGTCCATATCTTCACTCAAGCCACCAAACACCCAGACCCTGTCACTCCAAATGTATGCAGAGTGATCGAACCGCCCAACAAAACGCCACGACTTGGACCAGGTGAAAGTCTTAAGATCCAAATAACATATGTCGTCCAACACATAGTTGTCATGGCCTGTTATACCACCCACAATAAAGAGCTTGTCCTCATGTAGCACAGCAGCATGGCGAGCGCGGCCTTTGGGAATAGGTCCCGTCACTTGTGGCTGTGTCCAGTGGGCAGTCTTCAAGTCAAAGATGATAAGATCCGAGAGATAAGTTCGATGTTCGTTCTCGCCTCCAAAAACCAACAGCTTGTCTCCCTTGTACAGCGTCGCCGTGTGGCCTGTTCAGGGGTAATGTCAACACAGTATCACCAGCAACGGGCAAAATAGACAGGGGGCTTACCCATCCGAACACCGGGGATGTCCCCGTAGTTATCGACCAGGTTCCACTGGTGGCTGACAAGATCCAGTCGCAACACATGATTGTAAACCTCGTCGGTGTACTGGTCAAAGCCTCCGAAGGCATAAATCTGGTTGTTACCACAATACGTCACTGAGGCATTGACGAGACAGGCCGGGCGCTGGCCGAGAGTGCGTGTGACTTTGGGACGGTAGCCGTCCATGGCGGCGCGGTGCTTGAGCGGCGAGTTCGGCATGATGTAGGTATTGTTCGACGATGCGGCCGAAGCAGGTGTGAGTGCTGTCGAGAAGGACGAGAACGAAGACTGAGCGAGGAGGCCGGCGGGCTGTTGGAGGTGAGCGGGCCCGCCAAAGATGGAATTACCGGTGCCGGCGGGCGTTGAAGGCTGCTGATGTTGTTGTTGCGCCATGGTGGCTGCAAAGGCAAAATGGAGTTGTTCGTTTCGCTTCCTTGCTGCTGAGTGTCCAGTTAATTACTGCAAGAATGCCCTACGAGAACGCCAGGCAGACATTCAAGCCACCCTATACAGCAGAATAGGCCGAAAGATTCTTCCCTTAGGGTCAGAGCAAGTTCAGGCCGGTCAATGCAAGTCGGGCGCGGTCATGGTAGATTGAGAAGAGACAGTTGCTCGCCGAAAGTTTGTTGTTGCATGTGTCGTTGTTGGCGTGGGATGGTTCAAGGATGGTTTGCGGCGGCGGGTAGAAGAGTGCTTAACTCTTGGCGTTTCCTTATCGACATGCGACAGAACAGGGGCTTGCGGGGGCCAGGGCCTTGCTAACAGCGCCCCGTGCAGATCCCACAGACCAGGCCGGGCGCAGCCTTGTCATCAGGGGGTTGCAGCCAGCTGGCTCAAAAAAGGTGGGGAAGAGCAAGTGCAGAGAACAGCTGGCGGTCGTTGCCTGGACAACAACATGTAAACATTTAAATCACCATCCTTCCTTCCTCTCATGTCCCAGAGCTCTCCTTCCTCGTACCATCACACACAAAACATCACTTCATCTTTTTGGAGTTTTGCTTTGCACTGCATTCTAAATATTCCATCCGCTTCATCAGCAAACAACCCTAGAACATTGCAAGCCCCTATACGCAAGAATCACTTCGAGCCCGTCTGGTTGTCCCTATTCACCGAGGCTTCTTTTTTGGCACATTTTTGGTACCGATAATCGACAAATCGCAAAACAAAAAATCGATAATTGTAACCATTATCCGGGGTCACCTGAAGTACTCGACTGGTCGACACTCCACCCCATCTCCCAATAGCAGTCTATCACTGGCGCCTCCTTGAGATATTCGATACCAGCACGAGTACAGTCACCAACATGGCTACCGCTACAGTATCAACTCCCCTCAAGTCCCACACGGGTCTCTTCTCCTCCCGCACCGCCGGTGGTCGCATGCCCTTGACCCCCTCCCCTCGTCAGCGTGCCATCCCCATCAACCTCAACTCCTCTCCATTCACCCCCGAGAAGTCGAGCAATGAGCGTGGCGCTTCCAAGCCAGTCTACGGCGGCAACCTTGGTGCTCGCCTTGCCAGAGCTTCAAGCAAGAGCCATCACCGCGACTCTCCCAAGTCCAACATTGCCGCTGGTGTCTCGACCCCTCGCAAGGCGCTCGAGCTTGGTGTTTCCGACTTCACCTTGACTGGCACTGGTGTCCCCACCAAGGTCTCTCCCAAGGCCAGGAAGACCACGCACGTCAAGCAAAAGTCATCCAAGACCACCATCTCCTACAACGCCGATCGCTTCATTCCCAACCGGGGAGCTAGCTCGGCCATCGCCAATGTCGGTTCGGGAAAGCTCGACCTCCAGGAGAAGCAGCGCTCGAGAACTGGCCATAGCGAGGCCTCTTCCATCGTTGCCTCTGCTGCTGATGATGCTCTTTCTGCCCTCGAGGGTCTCAACATTGAAGAGGAGGAAGAGGAGTCCTATTCTCGCCCTTCGCCCAACAGCGTTGCCTATCAAGACTCTCTTGCCGATGCCTGTGGTGTCAACTTGAACACCCGTATCCTTCAGTTCAAGCCTGCCCCACCAGAGTCTTCAAAGCCTATTGATCTTCGTCAGCAATACAACCGGCCACTGAAGCCCGCGAATGCCCCTCCTCAGTTCAGACGGCGCATTGCGACAGCCCCCGAGCGTGTTCTCGATGCCCCTGGTCTCATTGACGACTACTACCTCAACCTGCTCGACTGGAGCTCAGGAAACCAGGTCGCCATTGGCTTGGAGCGCAACGTATATGTCTGGTCGGCCGATGAGGGTGCCGTCAGTTGTCTCCTCGAAACCACCCCCGATACCTATGTTAGCAGTGTCAAGTGGTCCGGTGATGGTGCTTACGTCGGTGTCGGTCTCGGCACAGGCGAGGTTCAGATCTGGGATGTCGCTGAGGGTGTCAAGATCCGCAGCATGCACGGCCATGAGACTCGTGTTGGCGTCATGGGCTGGAACAAGCATCTTTTGTCTACTGGTTCCCGCAGCGGCCTGGTCTTCAACCATGATGTCCGTATCGCGGAGCACAAGGTTGCCGAGCTCGCCTCTCACACCTCTGAGGTTTGCGGCCTTGAGTGGCGCTCTGATGGTGCCCAGCTTGCTACCGGCGGCAATGACAATCTTGTCTCCATCTGGGATGCTCGCTCTCTCGCCGTTCCCAAGTTCACCAAGACCAACCACAAGGCCGCCGTCAAGGCTCTTGCCTGGTGCCCATGGAACATGAACCTCCTTGCTACTGGTGGCGGCTCGTACGATCGCCACATCCACTTCTGGAACACCACTTCCGGTGCCCGCGTCAACAGCATCGACACCGGCTCTCAGGTCACCAGCCTCCGGTGGAGCCCTCACTACCGCGAGATCGTCAGCTCAAGCGGTTTCCCCGACAACTCTCTCAGCATCTGGAGCTACCCTACCCTCGTCCGCAACGTCGAGATTCCCGCCCACGAGAGCAGAGTCCTCCACAGCTGCCTCAGCCCTGATGGTCAGATGCTGGCTACCGCTGCTGCCGATGAGAGCTTGAAGTTCTGGAAGGTGTTTGAGAAGAAGGCCGGTGCTGGTGCTGGTGTCGGAAGCTCTGGGTCGTCGGCCAAGGCTGGGCTCAGCAAGCAGATGACGATCCGCTAAAGCAATACTACATGACGATACGACAACAACAACACAATGATCCTGTCTGATCATAGTCAATTGTTCAACCAACGGTAGGTATAACAACGGTTCCCTATGGGATTCCTGCACTTTGGTCGTTTCAGCGCGGCGTTGGGGTTGGGAAAGGAGCATTCACTCGGAGTTCTTACGGATACTCTCTCTCTCTTGCCCACACTCTGGCATTGTTTGAGGCGGCACTTTTTTCGAAGCGGGAATGAATGAAAATCGGCTTGGTCATGAGGTTTACGAACATCAACAACTGGGACATATTTGTTGGCATAAGATACCCCCCTTCTCTTGTTTCATGGCTATGGACTAGGGAACAAAACTGTACAAAAACAGTAGCATACTTGTAATTTTTCGGAGAATAGGAAACAGGCGTTGGAGTTTTTGTTTTAGATATGGGGTATGGAATAGTGACCAATTGGGATGAACTATGTGATGATATCCTTCAGGTTGATTTACTTTCGTGATAATGGTCGCTGAATTGATGCAGAGTTCCAGGGCAGGTAATGCTGTTTCTACTGCGGTTAAAAGTGCCGAGCGCCCTGAACTCACTAATAAAAGCGGGCTGGCCAATCAGAAGGCAGGTGCCGGGTGGCTGTTGGTGCTCGAGCCAGATGACTAATCAGGCCTCAGTACTTCAACAGGCCTCTGGCGGATTCGTTCAACTTGCCCAATACATCACTCCCAGGCGAAACAGCAACCCAGACCCGCGGCGCAACACGGGCATATCACACTGCAGAGTTATTGCTGAATCGCTGCACTTTCCATCTAGACAAGACAGGTGTCACGAGAAAGAGGGAGTTCCTCTCTTTTTTCAAAGCGACGTGGCAGGACAAGCAATCGAGGAATCAGAGTGCAAGAGAAAACGTCTAGCAGTTCAGACCGACTTCCCACCTCCCTCCCTTCGGGATATCTCATCCGCGAACCATCGACTCCGAATCATATTTTCCGCCGGCGCAACCCAGCCGACGCCCCGTTTTTGCCGTGCAAAACGTAGAGAGAAAGAAGGAGTCGGTAGAGAGAAACTGCTAGTCAATCTCACAAACGTCAAGGCAACCACCGTTTGACGAACCCACACGAAGAAAGTCATATCGATCGCAGATAGCCAAGCTTCGCTCGCTGTTGTTGTTTTCGCTGCAGCTTTTTTGACTCGTCAAGATGTCGAACGTTCACGTTGGCCAGGTTTACGAGGCTGTGATTCAGGGAGTCATCGACGCTGTGCGCGTTGATTTCGAGGAGAATGGTGTTGAGGATGGCGTGCTCGAGGACCTGAAGAAGGTGAGGCAAACCCGTATTCCTGTCCCTGTCTCCTTACCTGCTTGCGTGTCGATGCGCACCGTTTGTCGATTGAGATGAGAAGATGTTGGTGATGGTTGGTGGTGGTCGAGATTGAGGTTGAGGGGCGCGACAAGTGTCGGTCCCTTCGTTCGGGCGGTGTTGGCTGACGGGCTGGACTGCCTGGGCCTCCTGGGACGCAAAGAGGGGTGGAGAGCGAGCTGCCTCGGAGTGGGCGGCCCAGTGCTTTTGGGTCTCTTTTTAAGTCCCTTCCCCGCTGCTGCGAACTTACTCCATTCCCCAACACTGCCTTCCGATTGGATGGTCTCACGCTTGATCACGTGGCACCCTGCTAGAGGGCCCCCCCTCTCCTTCTGTTTTCTTATTGCCCCTCTTACAGGGAGCCATGTGTATGAATGAGACTAACACAAGCTGCAGAAATGGCAAATGAAGCTCTCGCAGCTCAATGTGGCCCAGTTTCCCTGGGACCCGAAGCCAGAGCAGCCCGCTCCTCCAGCTCAACCAGCCGCTCCCCCGGCTCCAGCGCCGCAAGCCGCTCCCCCACCGCAGGCGGCTTATACCCAGTCTACGTTGAGCCCTCAGACTTCAGCTCAACCTCTCTCGCTGCCAAATATCAACCAGCCTCATTCCAACGGGGTGCCCGTCAAGCAGGAGCCAGGGTTGGTCAGGTCTGAGCCGGTCGCTATCAAGCAGGAACCCGGCGCTGGCTCTCAGCCCGTGCATCCTGGTTATCAAAATGCCTCCCACCCTAGCCTGCCTACTGTCAACCCCAGCATAGCCGCTACCCGGGCTGTGCAGGCTTTGCAGAACAAGTACGGCGAGGGAGCTGCTGCCTCCATTGCCTCCATGTCCAACGGTAATGGTAAGGTCGGACAAGGGAACGTTGGCCAAGCCCAACAGCAGCAACAGCAGGTCCAGCAACAACATGCTCAACACCAGCAACATTCTCAACACCAGCAACACCCTCAGCAGCAGCAGTATCAGCAACACCCACAGCATCCTCAACAACAACGCCCCCAACACCCTCAGCAGATTCAGCAACAGCACATGCAACGGCCACAGCAGGGTGGACCTCAGCAGCTGACCCCAGAGCAGGTGTATCAACGACAGATGCAGCAACAGATGCAGCAACGCATGCAGCTACAGGCTCAACAGGCTCAGCAGCAGCGTGGGATTGCCCCTAACAACTTGCCTAATGCCCAGACTGATGGCCCTAGCGATGATTGCTGGGAGGCTGTCATGATGCGCCGCAACGCCGAAGGCCGGGCTGTCGAGATGGGCCGCGTCGAGATTGATGATCATCTTCACGCCCAGATCGCCGCCCGAGCCAAGCAGATGGAGGGCGGCGGCCTGATGCTTCCTCTGAAGCAGGCCACCAAGGTCCGCAGCCTTGACAATAGACGGAACCGCGCTGCTGGGGGTCCCTCCCAGGTTGATGGTGGGGAGGATGACATGAACGATGAGGATTTGGATGACGATGCGATCAACTCTGACTTGGACGACTCTGACGACAATAAGGAGGACGATGATGAAGATGATGACATGGGGCATATGATGCTTTGCATGTATGACAAGGTGCAGAGGGTGAAGAATAAGTGGTGCGTCTCTCTACTCCCACGAAACTTGTATAACATTTCAGATACTAATACCCTGGGCTACAGGAAGTGCACACTCAAGGATGGCGTCCTGACTGTGAACGGCAAGGAGTATGTCTTCCACAAGGCTACGGGGGAGTACGAGTGGTAATTTCTTCTTTCGGCGGGGACATCAACACCATCCATGCCTCCTTTTCTCGCTTTGCTCTGCGGGTAACCTTTTCTTTATCACGGGAATATTGTATACATTTTTTTTTTCGTTATGGCGACTTTGTCTCTGCCCTGGGACTGGGGTCTTGGTCATTTCATGGTTGTGGTCTTTCCCCTTCTATCTCATCAAGGGGGGATGTCTTTTTTTTTTTATAAAAAAAAACCATTTTATCACTGTTTCTCTTTGGGCGTCGGTTAGGGGGGCAAGAAACAGAAACGGGGGAAATTACAGAGATTGGCAGCGACGAATAAGGCCAGAGCAAGAGAGAAAGAAGGAGGCGAAAATAACATTCGATGAATTTCAGAGGGAAGGGACGAGAAGGATGGGGAAGGATGAGGGGTTTTTTAATTTTGTATGATATGGCTATCAAAGAACCAAACAGAGGCTATGAAAGTAGAACAGTCCTCTTTCCCTTTTTTTGCCTTTTTGGCCAGATGCCCAAGGTAGTGAATCCCAGGTTTTGAGTTTACTGCCATTATCATGTTATATGGTGAGGAGGCTCTTTCTTTGTCGTCCCATGTTTCAATATATGTTTCTGCGTTTTGCTCCACCAAAAGTGCAACATGGAAATCCATCCAAACTGGAGACACCACGCGACACTGACGTACATGTTCAGGACACGCGGCCTAGCCGTGCCTATCACATGCAAATTGTTCACCTCGTAGCAACTGTCCACACTTGTTGAGCCTACAATGGGTAACATCCCATGACCAACGGAATAGAACAACCAAACAGCACAATGTTCAAGATACCTCTCATTTAATACAACTATCAAAACCACACACACACACACACCCTTCCTCGTCACCACACAAGTCCCAAAATAAATCGCTCTTCCCCCCCCTTATCGCTTACAATACCCCCCAAATCCCCCCAAGCAAACAGAACAAAAGTACAATAATAATAGGAATTTCATTCCCATCGCTTCATCAAGAATAACTGATGCTCTGTATGGTGTCATCATCAACTCCAAAAAAGGAAAAAAAAACGCCATGACTTTGTTGTATGAAAAAGATTCTTTTCGTTAACCCGTTTCCCACTCCTTCCTATCCTTCCTTCGTTCCGTCATCCTCCCCCCCTCCCCCTTTGCCAAAAAAGAGATCGGACTCGCATCGGTAAGATATGCTGACGTTATGACCTTCGTCGCGGTACATCGAGTTCGTGGGATATTAATAGTCGGGTTTGTTGCTGCTGAAATACACACAAAAAAGAGAGAAAGGCTGTAATGCTGCTGTTGTTGTACGGTCTCAGAACGTCGTCTTCGCCTTCTTCACCCGCTTCGCATGCTTCACATTGCCCATCCAGAGTAAATCTTCAAGCGAGAGTCCCTGTCGAGGATTGTGGGCAGCCTGTTGTGAAGGATCTTGGTAATGCACAACCGGGTTTCCATTCATCACAGGGGCCCCGGTCAGGGGATTCACGTATACCATAGTTCCCGACTGCTTATCGTAGCGCGGCACTGGAGTCATCCTCGTCTTCCTAAACTCTTGTAAAATGATGGAAAGCTCTGGCTGAGAATGAGAGCGTCGGCTTGGATGCGCAGAAGCAGGAACCGGCTGTGCCGAGTGCGTACTGATAACAGGTCCAGGTATGACATTGGCCTCCTTCTAAGATTGGAACGTTGACTTCTGGAAGCTCTCCACGGTCACGTCGCCAACCTTGGTTGTCGGCATCGGGGGGGCCTTCAGGGGGTTCGTGCTGAGCGTGCCAGGGGCGCTGACGGAGCTGGTCAAGGAGCTAGTTCTACTGCTCTCGCTGGCGGGGGTGTTCTTGATGGCAGCGATGGGCTCGTTGGGCTTGCGCATAACTTCGAGGAAATTCGCAGGGAGATATCCAATTCTTCCATCGCGAGCGCGGCACTTCCACCACTCGCTTGGGTTGCCCATGGGATCGCTCTTGCTCAGGACGGCAACAAAGTCGCCCTTGTGCACCTGGATATCGACTCCCTGAACGGCAGCCGGACCGCTATTGGCAGGGGTAAAGTCGTAGAGCACGCGGCAGAAGACAAGATTGTTGGGGTCAACAACTTGCTGAGCAGCCATGATTTGGCGCTTGCGCTCCTCTTCTTCAGCGCTGGCAGCCAGCCCTCGGATAATCCTGCTCATGATCATCGGAAGGCCGAAGGCGGCGAGGAGGAAGAAGAAGAGAGGCTTGCGGCTGGGCTTGGGTGGGGCGCTGCCGTCGGGAAGCTTGCGGCCCTCGAAGCGGGCGAACGCAGCGGGCGTGAGGGCTGTGGCATCCACCGGTGGGGGTCTGCCTGTAATCCTGGCGATCAGGGTGCGAATCCAACGCATCAGGGTAAAGATACCCAAGACTGAGCCGAGGGTGTCACGTAGGTTTCCAAACTGTTCGGCCACAGATACCATGGCTATGATAACGTCAGTCTCGCGCCAATATCAATCTGTTGGCGACGTCACTTACCGAAGAAGCTGGAATGCGTGGCCATGTAAGTGCTCTCCAGCATCTGGGCAAATCCTCCGAAGGCGCCCACAATGCCTTCGAGCATCTGGAAGGTGGCCTGGGTGCTCATGTTGAAGCGGTTGGTGAGACTCTCCGGGTTGTTTGGGTCTCCTGGCATCCCGCCCCCGTACATGCCTCCTCCGTACATGCCGCCACCATATCCACCCATGCCTCCATACATGCTACTTCCATAGCCCCCATAACCACCCATACCGCCCATAGCGCCATATCTGTTGTATGGTGATGAGTAGGGCGACGAGTAGGCTGAACCGTAACCTCCGCCATAGGGCGAGGCGGCGTATGGCCTGCTGTAAGCAGCCGCGTTCTGTGTGACCGAAGAGGTCAGAGAGGCCGGAACTGGCGGTATCGGCGGGGTACCGGACGCGGTTGTGGTGGAAGTCGCCATGGCGGGATTGGAAAGTGCGTTGGGAGTCGCAGTTGTTGTCGCAGCTGGAGCGGCTGAGGATGGGGAAGAAAGAGTTGCTATTGTTGCGTGATTAGTAAGATGCTCTGAATGAATCCGAATGAGCGTATGATAATAAAGGAGGCACTAACCAGTCGTTCCAGACGCTGCGCCTGGTCTTTCCCACGGTTTTGGCGGCGATGCCATCGTGTTGCAAACGGGGGGAGAGTTGCTGTTGCTGGGATGTTGAGAAAAGCACAGAGGCGCGCTCAGCCGGCGGACAAGGGTTTCCGGGGTGGCAACAGCGGGTCACAGCGAACAGGTCGCAAACTGGTCGATGCCTGGCCTCGGTAGCCGCCCACACACACCAGCCCCACGCGTATTTGTCGGAGCAACAAAGAAGAGTCAGTCGTTGTTGGTGCGAGAATATCGTGTAGGTCGCTTCTGGCTTAAAATCAAAGAGGGAAGGATGGGTGGAGGCAATGCGTCCCAGGCGCAGAGAAGGGTGAAGGGGTGATTTTCAAGATGACGGCAGAGAAGGGTGGAGAGCCTTGGTTCTGGAGCGACCCTTCTTGGGTGGTCGAAAGCGCTCGTGAACCTCGGTATTTTCGTCTTCAGCCACCTGCCGAGCCTTCCCCCAATCCTCTCAAGCACGGGGCAACCTGGAACCTGGGAGAAGGCTCCACCTCCGGTCTGGGGAAGTCTGCACCGATGTTTAACCGACCCAAGCATCGTTCCCAATCCGGGGCCAGCATGATTTGCACAGGTTGAGAAGCTTCGACTTATCTGGACACCAGGCCAACTGGCATCTGTTTGCTGTAGAATCATTGCAAGTCGAGATGTTTCTGCTATAGACACACTTTGAGTATATCAACCGCCACAAACAAACTGTGAAACTCGGTCTGTTTGATGGATATCTACGGTAATCTGGTCCTAAACCAGGTCTCTGTTCAATATCCATCCTGACCAGCATGGAACTGGTACCCGGTCAAAACACAGTTCCAAGTACATTTCTACAACTCATCATGAATATCCGGCTCGTCATCGTAGCCAGCACCACTACCGCCAGACTCGGCGTACAGTTTGCTGGTGATGGGATAAGCCACATTCGACAGCCTTTCCTTCTGTTCTTCAAAGTCCTCCGCCGTCGCCGTAGCGGCATTCTCATCCAACCACCCCATCGCCTCGCTCAGGGCATCCATGATCTGGATTCATCGTTAGCACCAGTCCAAACAACAGGTCTGGGAACTCGACTTACAGTATCCTTATCATCACCATCAATCCTGCCACCCATGCCCTGTTCATCATTCACCTGGTTCTTGAGGCTAAAAGCGTAGTTCTCAAGCCCATTTCTGGCTTCGATCCGCTCTCGAATCTCCTTATCTTTCTCGGCATACCCCTCGGCCTCCAAGATCAAACGCTCGATTTCCTCGGCAGACAGCCGTCCTCGGTCGTTGGTAATCGTAACGCTCTCTGCCTTCCCGGTACCCTTGTCGTGGGCGGTGACTTCCAAGATACCATTGACGTCAATCGTAAACGAGACCTCGATCTGGGGGACACCTCTTGGTGCTGGTGGGATGCCGGTGAGTTCGAATTTGCCCAGGAGGTTGTTGTCCTTGGTCAGTGCGCGCTCGCCCTCGTAGACCTTGATCTGAACAACGTTTTGGTTGTCCGCTGCTGTTGAAAAGATTTGGGATTTTTTCTGCGGCCCGGTTAGTGAGACGGAGAGACTGCCATGAGTTCTGAGGACTTACCGTGGGAATCGCCGTGTTTCGCAAGATCAACTTGGTCTTCTCTCCTGTCAGCTCATGGAATCACTCTCCGTATGGCAATCAAGGTGAATGCGCCTACCATGACTCCACCTGTGGTCTCGATACCCAGCGTGAGGGGGGTGATGTCCAAAATAGCGTTCGTGATCATGAATTCCTCGCCGGCAATGATCTAACAGAAATATCAGCATCTTTCCCTTGCGGCTTTGAAATGTGAACGCTTACACCGCCCTGCAGCGCAGCTCCATGAGCAACAGCCTCATCGGGATTAACTCCCAGGCTAACCTTCTTCCCAAAGTACGCCTCGACCAACTCGCGAATCTTTGGAATCCTCGTCGACCCTCCCACCATCACGATATCAGTCACATCCTTCTTGTCAACCTTTGCATCTTTCAGCGCCTGCTCCACCGTCTTCAGCGTCTTCTTGAACATGGCCATATTCAACTTCTCAAAATTGGCCCTGGTGAGCGTGTACTCAAAGTCCAACCCCTTGTGCAACCCCTCAATCTCAACCCTAGCACTCATCTGCGAACTCAGCGTCCGTTTGGCTTTCTCAGCCTCCCTCTTCAGCTTGCCCATCGCTTTGACGTCGTTCGTCACATCGGCTCCACCATTGGCCTTGGAGAACTGGGTAGCGAGGTGCTTGATGACTTTGTTGTCGAAATCCTCGCCGCCCAGTCTTGTGTCGCCTGCTGTTGACAAGACTTCAAACACACCGTCCTCGAGCTGAAGCAACGAGACGTCAAATGTGCCGCCTCCGAGGTCGTAGACGAGGATGGTGCGTTCGCCATCAACTTTGTCGATGCCGTAGGCTAAAGCGGCGGCGGTGGGCTCGTTGATGACACGGACGATGTTGAGGCCGGCGATGAGGCCTGCGTCTTTGGTCGCCTGGCGTTGTTTGTCGCTGAAGTAGGCCGGGACGGTGACCACGGCGTGCTTGACTCTGAGAAAGGTCATGTCAGCACGTTTTTCCAACAGGGTGTGGAAAGAAGAAAATACTCACGGCACACCAAGAAACCCCTCGGCAACCTCCTTCATCTTCCCCAGCACCATCGCACTGATTTCCTCCGGAGTAAACGTCTTCATGTCCCCTTGTCCAGAAACGTCAACCTCCACCACCGGACCACCCGTCGTCCCGCTCTTCTTAACGGTAAAAGGCATATGTTTCGCATCCTCCTGCACCCCCTTGTCTGAAAACGACCTCCCGATCAACCGCTTGATATCAAATATCGTGTTCCTGGGGTTGCTCGCAAATTGGTTCTTGGCCCCCTCGCCCACCAACCTCTCCCCTTCTTTGGTCCAGGCTACGTAGCTTGGTGTGATTCGGCTTCCTTGGTCGTTGGCGATGATGTCGACTTTGCCATCTTTCATGACGCCCACGCAGGAGAAGGTGGTGCCGAGGTCGATGCCGATGATGGGTTCTCCTGGGGCGGGTTCATTGGAGACGGTGGATTTGGCGGAGGCTACGGGGAGGATGGCGAGGGGGAAGATGATGAGGGCTATGAGGCAGAGGGTGAGGGTGAGGTAGAGGGGGAGTTTGCGGTAGGAGCTTGGAGGAGGTGGGCGGAGGTGAGGGGGTTTGAGGGGTACTTTTCGGCGTGTTTTGCGGAGAAACATCTTGTGAGGTTGATGCTGTTACGAGTTGTTGGACTTGTGGTAGGTACCTATCTTCTGAATCCCCAAGATTGAAGTGATATGTATAAACAATGGGTATGAGTGGGGAAGGTATACTGATGACAAGAAAGCCTGAGGTGTGAAGCTGTTATAACAAAACCAATCGAAGCCGCCATTCAACTTCTGACAATCTGTCAACATCATGGATGATGGCACAGCATGATACCTCCCGGTTACAGACCTCACAATCGGCCTCATCAGAAGATGCTGGATTCAACGAGAACTCAGTACAGAACACATAGTCCTCTGTTGAAACCAGGAATACGAGAAAGAGTCACAGATGCCAATGTTCTGGTCCGGGTCTGAAACCATGAACCTAGCTGCGCGGGTCGAAGCTGGCCTACCACCATAACAACCCTCCCCCTCTGCGACCACTGCCTCCCCCAGCCCTGCCATTCGGATCCGGCAGTGTGGGTAGATCGGTGGTAGGGATCCAGGTACAGGGCTTAGCTCGGTATTTGCACTTGATTATGGTTGTCAGAAGCTTCAGATACTTTGCTGAACTGCGATTGTCCCATATTCAGCCATGTACGTGACCTTTCACCCCTGACCTGACCGATTCAGACACTGGAGCACCAACTACTTCATTCACATCCGACAGAACAGGCACAATTTTTCAAAATTTAAGCATCTGAGGCCCTAGGTTTTTCTCTTTCTGACCTTTAAAGTTGGTCTCTAAAGTCCAAGGTCACACCTCGGACTTATCGTCCTCATCCGCTTTGCCGCATCCTCAAACCGCCCCAGCCCAGGCCAACACACACACACCAGCAACCCACCGATGACTCTTTCATTTCTTGAAAAAGACACATCTCAGTTCCCAAAAACGGGATCATCACAACGAAGGTTCATCTTGTTCTCAATGGAGATGAGCTCTAACCCTCAACGGCCCTATGCTCATGCTAGCCGCCGGCCAGCTCACACAATGGATGACTCTTACAATACGAAAAAAGACAGATCGCAGAACCTCAGACGAGAAATGACTTCCATCTCATTCTTTCATCTTATCTTCACCACAGTAAACCATGCTAGTAGATCGTGAGCTGAAACTATCATTTTACCATGAGTCACCACTGTGATGAGAACAGCGTGTTCTCTACAGATTCCACACTAACACGAGCTTTGGAATGCGCCCGCTCCCAGCACTTTGGAACCGATCCTGTCTCGCGAACCTTTACCGAGTATCAATTGAAAGCCTCAGGCAGAACCATGCGATATCTTCAAAAAAAAAAAGATGCTTCACTTCCCAAAGTCCATCCAAATCGTGATCACATCAAAGTTGGACAAGCCAAGCTAGCCTTGGCTGGCGCTTACCCCACGATAACCAAGGTCCAAACCCCTGTCCGAGAGCCCCCCGTTGCCGAGCAACACGCGATGCTGCTCACAACAGCATTCAGACGACCAATCAGTGCGGGGGGTCACAACACCGCCCGTCATGGCAATCCAACTTGTTGAAGTGCATCCTGCAGCAGCTCCCCAGAAATATATTCAATGGAGCTTATGCACGCTTGTTGATCGTACATACTTCGGGAAGCCCACGATATCCACCGGCACGGGTTGAACTGCCTTTTGACTGTCAATTGTTCATTGTTGACTTTTGAAATCTTATCGGGCAGTATCAACAACGCCCAACAGGCAAAACTCGACACATTTCTTTGTTGGATTCGGTTTTGGACAAACACAAGAGTGTATGGCGACAATTGGCATCTGATTGCAAAGCCTCAGCGAGGGAGTCTCGTAGACTCGGATCGTCTGGTCTGTTTTTCAGGTAAGCACCCATTTCTGAAGCTATTCCCCCCCTTCAAACCCTCAACTAACCCCCCCAACCCCTCCAGTCCTCAAACCTACCCTAAAATGGGTCTCCTCTCCAGCCTCAACCCCCTCCGCCCACGAGGAAGCGACCTTAACAACAACAACAAACTCCCTTTATACAAGGAAGTCCCCCCAAAACACCATAAACACTCCTTCAGCACATCCTCCTCCCGCCGCCCCCTCCGCTCCCCAACAACAACAACAGCAGCAGCAGCAACAACCAAAGAGCGCTACTCCGACTCTGAACTCTCCCCCTCCTCCTCCGGCTCCGAAGCCGACGACGACAGCGACTACCCCACCACCTCCCCCAGCTCATCATCCCCAGACTCCCCCCGCCGCACCTCAACAATAAACATGCTCCTCCCCAAACATGGGCATCGTAAAACCCTACGGAGGGGGCCAGTAGCCCGGCCAAGGTTTCTATACCGTCTCCCGAACAAGGTTATTCGCTGGCTGTGCATCTTGATGATGTCAACCATAGTAATCTTCATCTTTGGCCTCATCCGCGCGTCGCAACTAGAAAATAAACGGATCGCGGAGGGGAAGACGGAAGCAATTAAAAAGCCCGTTCCTGCGGTGTGGGAGCAATTTGATTTTTTGACGAGGTATTACGGGGGGGTGAGGAGGTTGGTTGGGTTGGAGGGGAATGTGCCTGAGTATCCGAGATTAGGAGAGGAAAAGGGCTGGGATGGGGGGGAGGGGACAAGGGCGGGGAAGGGGGTGCCTGAGAGTAAGGGGTTTGAGGGGTACAAGGGGGGTGTTTTGCCCCAGAAGGGGGAGGTGGAGGAGTGTTTTTTGGAGGTGGGAGGGGGGAAAGTAAAAGTTCCTGGGGTGAGGTATCTGGAGGGGAGGCCGGATGGGTTTCCGGACAATGTGCTGGGGAGTTATGAGCTTTTGGCGTTGCCGGAGGATGTGTGCTTTGAGAGGTTTGGGAGGTATGGGCCTTATGGGTATGGGTATTCTATTAAGAAGGGGGGGCTTGGGGTGGGCGAGCACGGGGACAGGGAGGGGGCGGGGGAGTTTCGGGGGACGGGGCAGGAGGTGGATTATAGGAGGGTCGACTGGGCGGATGCGCAGAGACGGTGTTATGAAGCCAACGCCAAAAGGTATAAGCCTTTGGTGAGGAAGGAGGCGGCGCCGAGTGGGTTCTATATTGGGGATGGAATTAGGGGTGCGAAACTCGCTGCGCGCGAGGCCAAGACGCCCGTGGTTGAGAGCGTCAGGCCTACCGCGGCCGGACATAACAAGACTGCGACAGAGGAAGAGAAACCTCTGCAGGAAAATCCCCAAGGCGACCTCCCTCGCACCGCTGTCGTCCTCCGCTGCTGGGATGAGTTTCAGTGGAAGGAGGAAGACATCCTCAACCTCCGCGCCCTCATCGCCGAGCTCTCTCTTGCTTCTGGCGGCCGCTACGACGTTCACCTCCTCGTCCAAGTCCGCAACGACGCCCGCAACCCCGTCTGGGCCGACGACGAAGCCTACCGCGCCCGCATTAACGAGACCGTCCCCGAAGAGTTCCGCGGCATCGCCACCCTCTGGTCCCAAACCCAAATGCTCGCCGTCTACCAAGGCATCGTCGACCTCTTCACCCGCGGTCCCGACCTCCCCGTCCACGGCTCCTACCGCGGCCTCCAAATGGCCATGCAGCACTTCGCCTACAACCACCCGGAATACGAGTACTTTTGGCAATGGGAAATGGACATCCGTTACACAGGCCACTACTACGACCTCCTGACCAAGCTCGAGAATTGGTCCAAAACCCAACCTCGAAAAGGCCTCTGGGAGCGCAACAGCAGGTTCTACATGCCTTATGTCCACGGCTCATGGGAGGACTTCAAGCAAATGGCCCGCGTCCAAACCGAGCACGGGACCGTGACGGCAGATAACATGTGGGATAAACTCCCCGGCTCCATCAAATCCCCCTCTCCCCCAGTGACAAAACCCCAAACCGAAAGCTCGGTCTGGGGTCCCTTGCGGCCAGAAGATCCCAAAGATTGGTTCGAGCACGAGCACGACCCTGTCCCGCCTACTTCTTACGAAAGGGATAAATATACCTGGGGCGTCGGGGAAGAGCCCGATCTCATTACCTTGTCGCCCATTTTCGATCCCGAGGGAACATCCTGGAAGCTGGCGAGTGATATCACGGGGTACAACACCCAACGTGGCCTCCCGCCGAGAAGAGCTCAGATCATCACCGCGTCTAGAATGTCAAGACGACTACTCCTTCTCATGCACAGGGAGACAGCCTTCAAGAAACACCACGCGTTTCCGGAAATGTGGCCAGCCACGATGGCGCTTCACCACGGGTTTAAGGCTGTGTATGCACCTCACCCTGTGTTTGTCGACAGAGCCTGGCCGGCGGATTACCTCGCACGGGTCCTCAACGGGGGGAGGAATGGTGCCTCTGGTGGGGGCAGGACATCGGTTTACGGTGACAAGGAGCACAACATGAGGGGGCTGACGTGGTTCTACAACGCGGGGTTTAGTGGGAATTTGTATAGACGGTGGATGGGGCTCAAGGTGAATAATGATGGGGGGGAACAGTTCGAGTTGGAGGTGGACGAGACTGGGACAAAGGATGAGAAGACGCCCGGGGGGATGAGAGGTGGGGAGGGGAGGATGTGTTTACCGCCCATGTTGTTGCACCCGGTGAAGGAGGTGGAGTTGCCGGTGGAGGAGCATAGGAGGGAGGAGGATGAGGTTTTTGTGGAGGTTGATCCTTCTGCTTGAGATACCCATGGAGAGGGGAGGATATTATACATGGGTGGTTTCCTTGATTACCTACTTTGGTTGGGTTTCCGACGGCGTTGGGGATATAATTGGTTTACCTGCTTCTGTTGGCATATGAAGAGCATGAGCAAAGATCTGTTTCTAGACGAGTAGATGAATGAATCTGCTGTACATGATTGAAAATGCTTGTTTGACTGATGGTCCAGCAGCGTGACCAGTGAAAAGAGATGGCCTTTTCTAGCCACTGGGCACTCCATGCGATCAGCAGCGCTCCGAAACCAAAAACAAAGTGGTAGATCATGAATTATCGTGACATTGCATCTACAAGCACCTGTGCCTTCATGGCAGACAGTGACGGTACACCCTCTCCTTCTTACATCAAACCATTGCTGTGCTTCATGAGCCCCAAAGACAAAATTACCCCTGAATCCACTTTCGTATTCCGCACTGCCAGATCCTGCGCCCAAAATATGGATAACCCGTGTAGTAAAGGTGTATATATGCATTTATTCGAGCAATGCAAACCCCGAGGCTTTGCCTCCTCCTTAAACAACCCGCTTGACCTCAAAGAATCTCCTGAGCCACCAGACCTGGAAGACGCTCTCGCCAACGACAATACCGATAACAAACAAGTTCCACCACTTGACTCTGCTGTTGGTGCTCTCGGCCGTGTTACGGTGGGTGCGCTCACGAACAATGATATAGCCCTGCTCATCCTTGACCCGCTCCAGCATTTCTGACAGCTTGCGCACCTCCACCTCGAGGGGATCCTGGGGGGCATCGGCCTCGGAGACGTAGACGATGCCGTGAACGTTGAAGGAGACCTCTTTGGAGTGGGCACCCCAGTGCTCGTTGCCGAAGCAGTACAGGTACTTGCCGTCATGCTTGGCCTCGAAGGAGAAGTCGCCGTTGGAGATGGACTTTTCGTTTACTTCGAATCCGCCGACAGGGTTGGTGATCTGTGGATCGAAACAAAACTTGGTTAGTCGGCTGCTCCCCCTTCCGCCCATTGAGAACCAAGACATACCCAGAAATCAATATCAAGATTGCCAGAGCTTCCGAACTCCCTGTCGCCAACTTGGAAAGTGACCGTCATCCTGTCATCGCGGTGCAGGTTCTCGTGGAAGCATTCGCGCCCGTGGGCTGGGAGCTGGATGTTGTGTGCAAGAGCTGAGCTCACCAGCACGCTGGCTGAGAGCAGCAGCTTGGCTGCTGTGCGCAGAAACATTGTGTGTATCGTCGGTCGGGGGGGTCTCTCGCCGTCGGTGTCGTTATCCGTATCGTTTGGGGGGGTGGTGATGACGTGGAAGGACTCGCAAATGGCTAGAGCTTCACCCTAGATTTTCGCGGTGCTGGCTTCTTCTGACGGGACTTTGGTCTCAAGGGACACCTTGGCGATTCTGGCCGCGTGGAGTGTGAGTGGTCCACAGGTCGAACAAGAGCGGCTCCTCCTGGCAGGCCGACAACACAGTGACAGGGGCCCTTGCTACCACAACTCTGCTCCAGGGTTGGGGGTTGGCTGTTGGCTTGTGAAGAGAAAAATCGGAGCCACCTCAGAGGCAACAACTTCGCGGTCCAATGTTGTTCCAGAGGCTCGCACTGGCTGGGTACATGCAAAGTACCGTTGACGGTGTGCCTAAAAGGGGCTTGTGATAAGGTTGCCAGTGGGTATTCACGCAGACTGCGCCCGTGCGTCGCCCCTAACCCTTTGGAAGCAAAGTCCCCTGGCTTGCGGTGCCAGAGGGGCAAGACAGGACTGGCGTTCCCTGGACTGGCTGCATGTCCCGTGCCCGGCTCAGCTCAGCCCAGCCCAAGAACAACTTTCAAAATCCAAACCGTTCCCCCCAAAGAGTTTCCCTTCCCACACCGCCATCATAGCATCATAAGCCAGCACCCATCGCGACGGTAAACAACCGCGTCGCCATCTCCATCCATATTCGAGGACCGCCTTGAATAGTAAGTCATTTTCTTTATCCTGCCCGTCTCCTAAAAAGAGAGAGAGAGAGAGAGAGAGAGAGGAAAGGGGAGCTCGACCACCGACGACTCGACTGTATGTGCTGTGTGTCTGTGCATCCATCGCGGCATCGGCTTTCTGCCTCGGCCTGCCGCCCGCTGCCTTCCAATCATCACGACAACTGCTCCCAGCGGCTCTTGGCCCATCGAAACCCGTGCTGCTGACCAATTCGACGCTGCAGTCGTCGCTTCACTCGACGATTTGTCGCTTCCCGTTTGCACGCACTGGGGACATCGAGGCTGTAGGTTGGAAGCCTGGACGCCCGACTCGAACTCTGGAACGCTCCGCATATCTGTCCTCAGACCATCGGTCAGCTCTCTATACCTTTTGCCTCCCGGCTTCCTTTGTATCGCAACCATCGGCTCTCCCAACCTCACCGACGCTCTCAGCTCCGCATCTGATCACGCCCCTTTTTGCTGCTTATCTGCTCACACAACACTCTTTCCAGATAACAACTACTACTACCCCAGTTACCCAAAGTCTCCTTGTGAGCCAACACCGCCAAGATGGGTCTCGCAGCCTCCAAATTTCAGGACATGCTCAAGCAGCTGTTCGTCTTCAACAAGAAGGAAATGAGAATTCTCATGGTCGGTCTCGATGCCGCCGGCAAGACCACCATTCTTTACAAGCTCAAGCTTGGTGAGGTCGTCACCACCATCCCCACCATCGGTACGATTACACCATCCACCCCATCTCCAGTGTTCGGGCATCTCCGAACATGTCTAGTCCCATGACAACATCAAAACTGACACTCTCTCTAATATAGGCTTCAACGTCGAGACCGTCGAGTATGCCAACATTCAGTTCACCGTGTGGGATGTCGGTGGACAGGACAAGATCCGCCCCCTCTGGAGACATTACTTCCAGAACACCCAGGGCATCATTTTCGTCGTCGACTCCAACGATCGTGACCGTATTCCCGAGGCTCGCGAAGAGCTTCAGCGCATGCTCAACGAGGATGAGCTGCGGGATGCTCTTCTCCTTGTCTTCGCCAACAAGCAGGATTTGCCTGTAAGCAACGAGAATCAACCAATGGTTGTTGATCAACCTGACTGACGTGCTTGTAGAACGCCATGAGCGTTGCTGAGATCACAGACAAGCTTGGCCTCCACAGCTTGAGACAACGCGTTTGGGTATGTTTTTTTCCGTCACAGTATTCATGCAATGACTGGCCCTCCTCTAACATGTGCTCCAGTACATCCAATCTACCTGCGCCACTTCCGGTGACGGTCTGTTCGAGGGTCTCGACTGGCTCTCCAGCGAGCTCAAGAAGAAGTCATAAATGTAACGCAGAACACCACAGGCCGGTCCCCTTCACCGGTCAGTCAAGCATGGTTCGATTGTGCTCTCAAATATACCCAATTTTAGACGATCGACTGGTCCATGAACATTACACACGGCGGTTGCTGCCTCTATGGTGACAGCCGTTCACGATGAGAAGATGCAGAGGGAGAATCGACACTCTCTTTCAAACTTGGTCACTTTTCGGAAAGACAGGGGGCGTATTGGCTTGGAATCTTGTACAATTTGATACATCGTCAGGAGAGAGAACAACAGTCCATCTGCTACTTCCCCGAACGCCCCGACTCCTTCTCAAACTGGCTCTCCACGTCTACGTCTGATGATATGCCGAGGATGCGAAGGGATGAAAAGGGGGAATACGTTATACAGCGGGGAGGAAGTTATGGATGTTGTTTTTGTTCGGGAGAAGTGGTGGGCGTGCAAGGAGTGTTACGGGGGCTGTAAACACAGTTGCTAATCATCAATTTGATTTTCCGTTTTTCCAGTCTTGGCTTTTCCCTTTTCTGTTTCTCTCTCCTATACACGATTGTTATGAGTACTCTAGCATGCTTGGTGTAATGCGATTTGTGTTTTGCTTATAACGCTGGGATGGTGCAAACGAAATGAGGAATTGTGTGATGGCAATAGTGTTGCCTAGGTGAGCGTACGTAACAGTTGGGCATCATCTGGCGGCGGTTCAAGTTTACCTAGATGGTCACACGCAACACAAAGATGGGTTCGTCATCTGCAATTGACTGGCTAGCTCCAGGTATTGGTTTCGAGCTCCAGTTTGGTTCCATAGTTTGGATCGAGCTGTCTTTGTCTGGTTTGTTCAAGACGAAATGGGGCAGGTGAGCGTGTGAGGGTGGTTGCTCGCGGTGAGGGTTGGGGGGGCACAAAGAAAGGTTGTCTTGTCACATTGTTTGCTCATTCTTATGTCTTGAGGTACTTTGTGGAGCACGACTAGAACCCCAAGTGTCGTCCACCAGAATTTACAAGGGCAAGGGAAAATATTCACAGCTTGTTCTCATGTCTCATTTCCCAATCTACAATATGATGATACAAAAATATACAAAGTCCAAAAACCAACCCACCCCCTTCCAAAATGCTACCATGATATACATTCCCAGCGCCATAACTCATGCATGGACACGCCCCCCTTATCTCCTGTTAAACGATGGAGCGGCGTCTTCATCTGTAACTTTTCTTGCACAACAAACTTACACTTTTCTCCCCTTTACCCACAACTGTTGTTTACTTCTCCTTCCCTTCCTCCTTTCGACCCTCCTCCCCCTTCCCAGGCTGCCCCTCAATCACCAACCCCGTCTTCTCCTCATTCACCCTCACAACCGCATGATCCCCCTTCCTAATCTCCCCCCTGATAATCTTATCCGCCAGCCCGTTCCCAATCTCCGTCGTGATCAACCTGTTCAGCGGCCTCGCCCCAAACTTGGGATCATACCCCCTCTCCGCCAACCACTGCCTCACATCCCCCGGAACCTCGAGCGTGATCCGTCTGTCGTCCAGCCTCTGCTGCAGCTCCTTCAGCCGAATATCCACAATATCCCTCAGCGCCTCCAGCGCCAGCCTCTTGAAAATAATAAAGCTGTCGATCCTGTTGAGGAACTCGGGCGGGTATTGGGAGTGAACAACGTCCATGACGGCACGTTTGACGTCGGGGTGGATGTCCCCGTCCGGAGTCTCCTTGTAAGGGTGGAGCATGTCCGCTCCCACCAGGATCTCAGCGCCCAGGTTGGAGGTGAGCACGATGATGGTATTCTTAAAGTCGACCTTGTGGCCCTGGGCGTCGGTGAGGTAGCCTTCGTCAAGGACTTGGAGGAGCAGAGCCGAGATGTCACGGTGGGCTTTTTCGAATTCATCAAAGAGGAGGACGGCGTAGGGTTTCCTCCTGACGGCTTCCGTGAGCTGACCCGCGTCCTCGTACCCGACGTATCCAGAGGGAGCACCGATCAGACGAGAAATCGTGTGCTTCTCCTGGAACTCCGACATGTCAAACCTGACTACGGCCGACTCGGTCGAGAAGAGGAAACCGGCTAGTTTCTTGCAGAGTTCTGTTTTGCCTACACCGGTAGGCCCCAAGAAGAAGAAGGATGCCAGGGGGCGGTTCTCCCCGCTGAGCCCGGCGCGCTGCATCCGGACGGCGTCGGCGACGGCTTTGAGGGCTTCGTCTTGGCCGCGGATGGATTCCCGTAGGATGTCCTCCATGTGGATCAGGCGTTCGGTGTGGCCAGAGGTGAGCTTGGAAATTGGGATGCCCGTGATGCGGGACACGACGTTGGCGATGTCATCTGCCGTGACAGAGTCATGGATCAGGGTCGTCTCGCTCTTCTTCTCGTCTTCCTTGGGGAGCTTTTGTTCCAGCTGAGGGATGATGCCGAAGCGGAGCTCCGATGCGCGGCCAAAATTGCCAACGCGTTGGGCAACTTCAAGTTCGACTCTGGCTCTGTCGAGCTCGGCTTGGGCTTGCTTGATGGCGTCGAGCTCGGCCTTTTCCTTTTCCCACTTCTCGGTCAGAACCTTGACTTCATCTTCGTACGTCTTCAGATCAGCCTCGAGTTTTTCACGTCGTTCCTTGCTTGCAATGTCCTTTTCCTTGCGCAAGCTTTCGAGCTCGATCTGGATGGTCATGATCTTTTGGTCGAGGCGTTGGATGTCGTCTGGCTTGCTCTCTTGCTGCAGTCTGAGAGAGCTTGCTGCCTCATCCATCAGGTCGATTGCCTTGTCTGGGAGGAAACGGTCGGTGATGTAGCGGTTGGAATAAGTAGCTGCGGCGACCAGGGCACCGTCAGTGATGCGGACACCATGGTGCACCTCGTACTTGTCCTTGATACCTCGCAGAATGCTGATGGTATCTTGGACTGTTGGCTCGCTGACAATGATGGGTTGGAATCTCCGCGCGAGAGCGACGTCCTTTTCGATTAGACGGTATTCCGCGAGGGTCGTAGCGCCGCAGCACTGAAGCTCACCTCTTGAAAGGGCGGGTTTCAAGAGATTAGAAGCGTCGATAGACCCTTCGGCCTTTCCAAGACCCAGAAGGGTGTGAAGCTCATCGATGAAGAGGATAACTTCCCCATTCGCCTGTTCCACCTCGGTCAACACCTTCTTCAACCTCTCCTCAAAGTCACCCCTGAACTTGGCTCCCGCGATGAGCGAGCCAAGGTCCAGACTGATGACCCTTTTGTTCTTGATGCTCTCCGGAACAGCCCCCCGTACGATTTCCAGGGCCAGCCCCTCCAGAATCGCCGTCTTGCCTACACCAGCATTACCGATAAGCACCGGGTTGTTCTTTGTCCTTCTCGATAGAATTTGTATCGTTCGCTGAATCTCGGCCGATCTGCCAATAACGGGATCAAGCTTTCCATCCCTTGCCTTTGCCGTCAAGTCAACGCCGTATTGTTCCAGAGCAGGCTTCTCCGGCTCGCCTCCCATGTTCATGCGGTGAGTACCGCCCGGTGGGTGCGGTCTGCCATTGGAATAGTGCCGAGCTGCCACAGATGGCACTAGCCGTAGTGAGTTTACCAGAGCTGCCGTCTGCGGTGTGGTTGTAGCGAGGGCTTGGGGAAATTGTCGCTGTCGGGTAGCCCCCCTCGACACGGCAGCCATGCGCCGAGAGGCTGCTGTTAGTAGCCGTGATCGTGCTTGCATGGTGGTTTGTTTTGTATGTTTTGCGTTTTCCAACGTTGTTGTCGCCGGGCAACAGAGTTCAAATTGGGTTTGCCGACCGAGCCTCCCGTTGAATTTAACGTCTTTGTAGACAGACACCAGTGGCAAGTCTGTTTACTGATAGAGAAGCTCAGTCTGGGAGCTCGAAAGCTCTCGGTGATTCCATCATGGCCCCACATAAAGGCTTTATCTTATCGGAGCTTAACGCTGCAACAAGTGGATATTGAGCTTGTGTGGTCTGTGCACCAGCATTCTGCTTTTTTAAGCTGCAATTTCGAAGTTTCGACAAATTCTTCCTGGAAACATTTTTCTGGAGTCGCGACCGACATTTCCACTTCGACCTCCAGTATCTTTTTGACCTGGATGGCTTCAACGGTCTTCTGGGTGACTGCTGCTGTCAATTGCAACAGATGAATATCGCATTGCCAGCAGCAGTCGTGACACTGTCGTATGGGTAAGTTATCAGCACCTTCCTTGCTCTTTTACCTCTCCTTCTCTCATGATGATCAATTTTGGTCCGTGTTGCCTAGCGGCTTAAGACCCCGCAGATGACGACGAAACCCAGCATGCAAATGCGTTCTGACTTGATACCTACTCTCTGTCGCAATACTCGTTAGCAAGATCTAAAGCTTCGTGCTAACATGTTGCTTCCATAGTAAGAACAAGACTATCGAGGCTCAAATCAGACGAACGATTTGTTCAGAGATCCGATTATCAAGTCATCGCGAAGTCGAGAAAACTACCGAGATTGAGTGCTTGTCGTGGCAAAAGAATCTAGTTTCGGTTGACACATGCCTGTGTGTGATCTTTCGGCGAGCTTGGATGTGCCATGGTTATAGAAGAAATACATTTTTGAAGTCACAAACTTCGTCTCATGACTAGTGATTTGAGGACCTCCAGACTAATGTCCTCGTATGTCAATTATCGTTCTCTGGACTTTGCCGAGACTTTGCCAGTGACCAACATAGCTGGCAGTAGTCGAATCCAAATCTCTATGTATACGCAAATCTATCTCAACCTTGCCTGAGAGCAATAGACCTCGAAGACTGTTTTCATTGCTCATCTGATATCTTCACACTGGAGATCGTCGAGGTTCAATTAAAGTGGGACTATCGCGTCAAATACCCAATCATGTCTCTTACACAGACCACCTAAATGGGAGCCCGACGCGGCGCGACTTCCACTTGGTTTCTCACTCTCACCACTCTTCTTCTCACAACCAAGTACAACAAAATCTAGAGGAGCCTTTCACTTGAGCCAAATCTCTTACTTCTCACTACGACTCCAAATAAAACTCGCCAACTTATCCAAGATGCCGATGTACGGAGACCAGGGCAACAAATTGGTAAGTGAGAAACGTCTCATCAGTGACTTTAACACCCACTCACACATCTGATAGGTGCAACACGCCAAACGCATGCAGAACCTCGCCCACCTGCCACCATACCAGACAGAGCTCGTCCGCGCCGTGACACGTGAGGTGCGAGATTTGGACAAGGACGTGGCCAGCCTCCTCGAACCTTTTCAGGGGTCATTTGACCCCTCTGCAGACCAGTCCACGGCTTGCACCCTACTGGTCAACCATCTGTCTATGCGGAGAAACAAGCGGTGCCTCCTTGCCTACCACCGCACCAGGACAGATAAGCTGGAGGAGCTGGTATGGAACGGGTCAGATGTCCTGGACCTCGCTGGCCAGCAAGCGGGAGGTGGTGCCAATGGCGCAACTGCCGCGGCCGATGGTGGGGCGAGTAGCAGTCTGAGCCCACAAGAGGAGGACTATGTTCGACAATACGGCGACCTCCTCGCGGCCTACAAGGGCCAGTGGACAGATATTGACCTAACTGGCAGCCTCGAGCCGCCCAGAGATCTCTTCATTGACGTGCGGGTGCTCAAAGATGCGGGTGAGATCCAGACCGAATACGGGTAGGCATGCTGATCTCCGCGGATGGTCCCGCATGCATGTCATGAGACTAACAACCGCGTAGGGCTATCAATCTCACCAAGAACAGCCAGTTCTATGTTCGGCAAGGAGATGTTGAGCGCCTGATCGCCCAGGGCTACCTTCAGAAGCTTGGCTGAGGGGGCGTGGGCGAAGTGCAAGTATCATGTAAGAGTCCAACATGATCACGATTTTGCAGGTCAAAACAGATGCAGGGCCAAATTGCCCAGTATGCGACGGTCCCTCGGAAGTACTCCCATCGCTATTTTCCTCGCCATGATCACTGTCTGGGGAAGAAAGATAGGACGGTCCCGAGCGGTGTTCACAAGGCCACGGTCTTTTACCATTCGAGACTCCCATCGTCCCTCTTGTCCCACCAAATCATGACGAAAGTTCGCACCACCATGACGGCAAAAGGTGGCCTTCCGGTTCCAGTCAGGGAAGCGGAAATCAATATCAGAGAGCCTCTGGCAGAGCTGAAATCATCAAACTCGGCATGAGGGTCAGAATACCTCCTGCATGAACAGGGCTCAGCGGTCCATCTGAAGGCCCAATGCCGCAGCCGTCACAGCATGCATACGACGTTGGAGAATTTTGGAGAAATCAACCAGGTCATTAACCCAGGCGCCGCAACCCGCAACGGCTCCCACGGTGTGCGCCTGCAGGAAGTTGGCGCCTCAGCTCACATGGCGAGTTCAAATTTTTTCCGTCCGTCGTCGTCGAGGGGCGATGGACCACAGTGGCAATACTGTGCCGTGCCAAGGCATATATGGGTAGGAAAAGCCATCAGAGACTAGAGAATTTGAGCTTCAAATAGCTCGACAACATCACAAGACCGATCGTCGATTGAAATACAGAACTATAAACATCTCCACAAGACTCCTTGTACCATTTTCGATAGCTCTCTGGTGGATAAGGGATGTCTCCGCTGCCAGCTCAGAAAAGCGGGTGCGGTACGCGAGCACCGGAGCTGCCCGTGAAGGATGGAGCAAACCAATTCGCACTGTTCTTGCGTTGACCTGCATGGGGCTGATGACGACTTTGAAGCTTCTGGCCCCACCATTCAGAGCTATCCTTGCGTGTTCCAGACCATATCAGTGACGGCGCGGTCCAAACGGCACCTCTCTCGCGGACTTGGCTCTCCATCTTCTCAAGTCCACGCACCACGTTTACGAGCGACGCAAAAACTGCTGGAAAGACGTTACGACTGGGCGAGGCGCATAGCTTATTTCCTACGTGCCTTAGTGTTGCTTTGGAGCTGGAATCCCTGAGTTTTGGTGGGGCTGGTGTGGGGAAAAAATAAACGTACAAAAATACCGATTGCAGGCACCTTTTTCGTTCTGTGATATGTCGAGAACCCTCCTGGCCGCCCGCCGCTTCCAGTCTTCGACCGCTTTCTCTGTTGACCTCGATTCATGTACACGACCTTTTTGCAACTCTTTTTCTAGTACCGACCGGTGAATAACTCTGCGACTTATATTGGAGCGCATATCGTTTGTGCGAGTTACACTCTTCAGCCTGCATTGGAGTTTACCTATTCCAATCTTGTATCGCATACTACTTAACTGCCCACGGCCGGTCTCGCAACATCCCGTCTGCAGGACAACACCGCACACACCAGCCGACCTACATACATTTGCGCCTACACTTCCTTCGGTTTGAGCTCGTCATCGGGTTTCTTATTGGGGAAAAGTAAGGGGTCAAGGATCTAGTGCCATCTTGCAGTTTTGACTTTTGGTGGATCTGCAACATGCACGCTTCTGGGTAACCTGATCGTTGAACATTCCCGTCCATACACCCATCCCATCTTCTAGGGTACTCTCCGATTGCGCGCCCCCAGAAAGAGTCCGCAAGTCTCTAGGACCGCTTTGGAACCAGAAGAAATGTCTTCCCCTGTCTTTGGCCAGTTTTCCCCCTGGGCCAGAAGACGGTCGTCTACCGTCTCCAATGACTCTCAGGACCAGCCCGAAGACCAAACCATAACCTCAATCCCCCCAGAGCCAATACCAACATCCCAGAACCAGCAGAACAACAACAACAACAACAACAACAACAACAACAATGATGCAAGGTTTCTTTCCTCCTCTGTCGGTTCAGTGAGCCACCGTGAGCCTACAAGATCTTACATTCATGGTTCAATCAGGGACCCAGGTATGTTTACATTCCCCCTTATCCCCCTTATCCCACCCAAACCTCCGTAATATAAACTTACAAAACCCATGCGATAGCCCGCCTCGAAAACATCCAGTCAGCCCGCTCCGTCCGCGCTGACACGGCCGAACTCGCGGATTACTTCCTATCAGACAAGAAAGACGGACGCAGCGCCTCGTTCCTCTCCCGAGCACGCTCTCTCTCGTCATCGGCCCGACCCGATCACGCAATCACGGGTGGTAGTGGTGGTGGTCGCAACAACAACAACAACAACAACGAACCAGGCGTCACCAACAATAACAATATAGCAAACGACCTGCTCGGCGCATCGATCTCGGCCGAGACCATAGAGGAAGTCTCTGAGCCGCCTTCGCCGGAGCCGTTGGATGATAGCGCCGAGGTTGACTCTGGAGAGGGGCCTTCGATGATTGCTGCTATGCTGAGGAGGTCGCCGCCTGAGGAGAGGTATTTGCTGCCGCACCATAAGGAGGATCAGATAAGGGAGGATGATGTGGTGGAGGTTACGGGGGATGAGGATGAGGATGGGAATGAGGAGGATGATTTGAGCAGGCTGTCGACGAATGAGCCACGGCCGTTGCTGTCGAGGTGGGGCGCGGAGGAGGATGAGACATCGCCGTTGATGGTGTCGAGGTCTAGGGAGAGTAGGAGGAGTTATGGGATTAGCAATGGGAGGAATGGGAGTGTTGATTTGGAGAGCCAGAAGGGGCCGTCGAGGACGGGGTGGCTGCATAGGACTATTGACTCTGTCAAGGGGGGTAGGGGAAAGGTTGCTAGGGGGTTCAAGAGTTGGGATCGGCATGCGCTTTGGAAGAATGTTGTGGTTGCTCCTGTGGCGTGCCTGCCGGCGGTGGTGGTTGGGTTGTTGCTGAATATTTTGGATGCATTGTCATATGGTGAGGACTGTGGCTATCCTATCCTTTGCGGAATCGTTACTAACAGCTACCAGGTATGATTTTGTTCCCGCTGGGAAGTCCAATTTTCGCCAATTTAGGATCGGCGGGTATTTCCATCTTTTACGTGAGCACGATCATCTCGCAGTTGACATTCTCGACTGGGAGTATTTTCAGGGGCGGAGTCGGATCTGAATTGGTAAGCAAATGTAGACCTATTCCCATGCAACAATGCTAACATCCACCAGATCGAAGTTGTGCCCTTTTTTCACAACATGGCTGCCACCATCACCACTTTGGTAGGCGAGGACAAGCCTGATGCCGTCATTGCAACTACAATCACCTCTTACGCCCTCAGTTCGATGCTTACCGGAACTGTATTCTACCTCATGGGCAAGTTCGAGTTTGGGTATATCGTCGGTTTTATCCCCCGTCATATCCTGATCGGCTGCATCGGTGGTGTCGGTTGGTTCTTGGTTGCCACTGGCTTTGAGGTCACAGCGCGGATGGATGGCAGTCTGAACTACGATCTTGAAACCGTGAAGAAGCTTGCGCAGGCTGATACTGTCCCACTTTGGATCATTCCTTTGGTGCTTGCCATTGTTCTGTTTTGGGGCCAGTCCAAGATCACATCCAAGTTCTTCCTGCCGTTGTACATCCTCGTCATTCCTGCTGCGTTCTACGCGGTTGTCTCGATGCTTGGGGCTGTGGATACAGAGAGTCTGAGAGGGAAGGGCTGGGTGTTTCAAGGGCCTCCTGAGGGTGAGCCGTGGTGGTATTTCTGGACGCTTTACAGTACGTACTTTCCTACCGGTTTTTTTATGTGAACCTCCCGCTAACATGTCAACAGAATTCCACCTGGTTGACTGGAGCGCCATTGTGCAGTGTGTCCCCGCCATGTTCGCCCTCACCTTTTTCGGAATCTTGCACGTCCCCATCAACGTCCCAGCGCTCGCACTCAATGTGGGGGAGGATCATGCTGATCTTGACCACGAGCTCAAGCTTCACGGCTACTCGAACTTCCTCTCTGGATGCGTGGGCAGCATTCAAAACTACCTCGTCTACGCCAATAGCTTGTTCTTTATGCGCTCAGGCGGCGACAGTCGGCTGGCAGGTTACATACTTGCCGCCCTTACCTTTTTAGTCATGATGATCGGACCTTCGTTGATTGGTTTCATTCCCATCATGATGGTTGGTGTCCTCATCTTTGATCTTGGGTTTGAGCTGCTGCTGGAGGCCGTGTGGCAGCCGAGGAAGAAGCTCAAGCTGCTTGAATATCTTACTGTCATTGCTATCGTGTTGATTATGGGTATCTATGATTTTGTCGTGGGTATCGGGGTTGGTATCTTGCTGGCTTTTATCTCGTTGATTGTTCAGGCTTCGAGGGTGCCGGCTGTTCGAGCCAGTTATTCAGGAGAGGTGGTTGGCTCGACAGTGAGGAGAAACCCTACACAGCAACACTACCTGCGCCAGGTTGGTCGCCAGATCAACATCATCAAGCTTTCGGGGTATTTGTTTTTCGGCACCATCGTCAGCGTCGAGGAGAAGATCAGACACCTCATCACCGAGGACCAGTTCAAGAAGCGGCCTATCAAGTTCCTCATCTTGGACCTATGGCTAGTCACTGGGCTGGATTACTCGGCCGGCGAAGTCTTCAACACCATCAGCCGCCTCCTCAACGGCAAGGGCATCGAGCTCGTCATCAGCGGTGTTGGGCCCGAACGTTCCTTAGGCCGCTCCCTCCGCGCGGTCGGGTTGGGAGAGGACGGGATTGAAGTCAAGTTCCTCCCGGAACTGAATTCAGCCCTGGAATACTGCGAGAACGAGCTTCTCAAAACCCTCTATGCCAACCAGCAAGAGGAGGAGCAGCAGCAGCTCATTCAGCAACAGCAGCAGCAACCCTCGCCGAGACCTTCGGCAAACTTGGATGTGCCTTCTAGTCTGGGCCCGCATTTTTCGTCGTCTGACCTGTTGGGGTCGTCGCCGAGGAGGTCTCATCTGAGAGAAGCGGCCAAGAACTCTCTTGGCACGATGGAAGTACGCAAAAAACTCACGAGATGGCAGTCTTTCAAAGAGCCGCTGCGTCTCATCCTCCGCATCTTCCAAGACGTCTCGGATAAAAACGAGGACTTTTGGTTCCGGGCTGTGGGGTACTTTCAGAGAAAGGAATACGCCCACGGAACGGTCCTCTTCAAATCAGGGGAGCAAGCAGAAGGGTTTTACCTGCTGGAGTCGGGGATTTTGAGGGCCGAGTATGAGCACCCTCAGGGGATGCTGTACGAGAGTATCGTCGCGGGCACCACGTGCGGGGAGCTGCCGTTTTTCAGCGAGACGAACAGGACGGCGACGTGTGTGGTGGAGAGCGAGGGGGGTGTGGTGGTTTGGGTTATGGACCGGGAGGGGTGGGGGAGGATGCAGAGGGAGGAGGCGGAGGTGGCGAGGGAGCTGTTGAGGATTAGCCTCAAGTTGACGAGCGAGAGGATGGGGGTTATTACAAGTTATACGCTTACTATGGCTGGGTGAGGGAAGGGGGGGGAATCTTGAGCGAGTCGGTTTTTTTTGCTTCTGGTATTATACCGGGTTTAGGTATATTTGGGTTTGGGAGGGGGGTAACGAAAAGCGTTTGTGTTTTTGGGGAGGGATGTCTTGAGCCCGTAAGATAGAGGGGGTGGTTTGGGTATGAGGCAGGCCATGTGAGATTGGTGATACGTTGTAGATAGGGGGTACAGATGATACCAAGACAGAAAAGAAAATGTCCCGAGAATATCACCACCGTTGTTGTACATGTTATGCACCTTGCAAACACTTTGCAGACTAAGACGGGAAAATATAGTGAGATATGTTTATAGGGAGGATCGCCGAGACATGCAGCAAGTTTGTAGATTGGAAGAAATATGACAGATAAGAGTCGGAGTACTTTATTTCATGGGATGGCCGATGTGGAATTCCAAGGAGATAGAATATCCCGTTGGTATCTCCGGTAGCTGAACGCCTCGTCGGCCGAGTCAAAGTCTCACAGCCGATTATACTTGTCTCGGGTTTGGAAGATTTCAGAATGACACCAGACTATCTCCGGCTGGAGCATGAGATTCGTGGCTGTTTCATGGGGCACCCGACATCCATCAATCAACGTTCGTGGAGGTTGCTCCTTCCTTGTGACACTGCTGGTTGTGGTTCCTTCCTCAAATGGTGTTCCGGTAGGTCATCGGCAGGAGCAAGACTTTGTGCTGGGAAGGTGCGATGATTGAAGGAAAGAACAGCTCTGGAAGGTTACTGAGGGGGTGGACAGGGAAGGTGTTCAGGTGATGGAGATGATGATGGTTTTGCTGCTTGTTGAAAGGCAATTTACTGGTTGAGAGGGCCAAAGTATTTGAAGAATGGCTAGACAGTGGGTTTTATCCAGTTTGCTGAGATGTTGCCGGGATTTGAGTGACAAGCTGTTAAAGGGACTTACTTGCATCTTCTCCTTTAGCACATCAACACATTACCCGTTTAACACATCACCACAATCCCCCTTTACCACATCACCACATTACACTTTTCCCGCATCAACCCCTTCCAATGCTTACCACCCCGACACTAAAATATATTTAAGATCAGTCCTTCCTTCGTTCTATTCTCCTCGCGCAGCAAAAATGTCCCCCCCATCCCGTCCCTCTGTTTCGGCATATAACTAACCTTCAAATCTACATGTATATCATACCCCTTTCACCAGCTATATCGCGAGGTTTTTGGCTCCAACAAGGACCAGGGCTTCACCTACCCCAGGCCCCCTCAACCGAACTCCAAGACATGATGGCTCGTTTCCGGGGAAAGAAAAAGGGTTCGAGTTTTGGCTCAGCTGGGGGGGATCTGAAACATGTGTAGTTTTGTAGCTTAGGTGGTTCTTTGTTTTGAAGGGGTGAACCATGGTTTAGGTAAAAAGATATGGGCATAAATGCGTGCGTGATGTCTAGGCTCAGCCACATCTCAACGTGTGATATATACGAGGCGTGGAGTAAGACTCTCTCATTCAACTGCCTCGTGATCGAAGGCCGCGCCGAGGATAGACCTTCTTTGCCATGGGGCAGAGCAGAAACGTCTGGTTGAGTTTGATCTACCACATCCTACCAGAACTCAGAACCTGTCCCGATTCCCATGTCTTCCTATTATACCACACCCAGATTACCTATCAGGTGTGTGCCGCCCAGGCTATGGCACAGTTCCTTCCTACCCATCTCGCCCAAATGCCGGGTCAAGACGACGGCACAGCTCAAGAAACATGTATCATCAAACATCCAATAAACACGATGTTCCCGCGCCGTCAGGAAAACCGCTCTTATTCCCCTACCGGCTTTGTGCCACCCACCATTTACATCTCACACGAAATGCCGATTGCTGCCTCTTTAGACTTTGACATCTCTGCGAGATGGTGTGCAAGTGGGGGTTAGTTCCTGAAGGGACTGAGACAAACAATGGAATGTTTCCCTTTTTGCAAGGGCTCAATAAACTTGAGGCGATCGCCAAACTCGGAACCATACATGCACTTTCAACATCTCAAAAAGCTGGATTGTTACCCATGTTCCGATCGATCCTTAAGAATGAAGGGAAAATCTGCCAAGGTCCTCGATAAATATGTTTGCTGCCTTCCTTCCCCCCTCGGCAGAAACGCACTGGCATCGAAATTCGGACTTGCAGGTTGCATACGCACACATTTTATCAGTGCCCTCTCCTCGCAGCAGTTGGCGTCTCGGCGGGGGGCAACTCAAGTTCTGGCTAGCTACACCACAGAAAACCTTCAGCCTTTTCCCCCCTACAGGCACTCAAGGGAACTAGATAGTGTAGAGCTGTTTCAATAGAGGCTGAATAATTCAAGGCCCTAGAAAACACAACATCCCGTTCGCACAGGCCTCCTTCGTTGCGATCAGACTTGCCATCCCGCCGAGGGAGTATTATCGATCGAGATAACCCGTATGTAGGAAACAAGACACTAGTACTGTTGTGTAGTGTAAAAGGGGACCAACATCGGAAATGAAAGATTAACCACGGTAAGTAGTAACCGCAGGGAGACTACGCCAGGAACGGCAGAGGGACGATAACCGACGCAGCGTGCTGAGGGTATCTTGGGTGGTGTGAATGTACCTGCAGACTGCAGTAGTATCATGGTAGTCTGCTTTTTCGGTTCTATAGCCGTAACTCGTTACATTATTGCCGATCAGGAAAGTTGAATTCGGAGAGAATATGACCGGAGGATAATGTCTTGCCTTCTTGTTGCCCAGATATATAATAATAATCTGTATGGAGTGATTCCCGGATTGCCGGACGATGAAGATTGACGACATTTGAATTTGATTCAAGCCCTCCCTGGGAAGGCTTTCGCGAACCCAGGGCGATGGTACAGGCCAGTGGAGAACTGCTGCAGACAGGAAGCTCTTCAGCATTCCATTGAATGCAAGACATCGTGCGCCAACTTCTCGAACACTGGCGGAGGTCACAGTCGCATGGCCATGGCCATCATATGGTTACCGCAACGACCCCCTTTTTATCAGGCGAGCGTGGTTCGCGAGAGGTTGTGATTGGAACGGCACAGCACGGGGGTCACTGCAGCAGACTTCCGGGGCCCCTGTCGATAGTGAGCACAGACTTTGGTTGAAGGCCTGGTAGGGAAGACATCTCAGTTGCCGATGGAGGAGCAAAAAGTCTGGGGTTGACGAGATGGCGGACGAAATCTGACAGGTCTGCGGCGTTTTTGAATCCAAAACTGAGTTTGATTGCCTCAATCAGCTCGTGGCTTCGTCGAGTGCCTTTCAGCTTTGTGATTCGAGTGTTTTGTGTCTGGCTATTGGAGCCGCCGTGGGTGGGTTGTAGCGGCCACCTGATGCCCACCGCACCTCCTGCTTTTGGTACCGATCGTCATCCCCAGTTGTTGCCCAACTGGTGATAGGATTTGGTGTTTGTTTTTTTCGTCAGCCCGATGAGATGAGAGAGCCTTTTTGTGCCCCTCATCTAGGTGAGGAGGCCCTGTTGCGTGATGTGGCTGCCATCCTCCACCGGGGTATCAGCCCCTCACCACTCATCATCTCGACTGGATGTTTCTCTCAGATCGTGGAGCATGTGAAAAAATTGTCGCGCAAAAAGGTAGGTTACCATGGATGCGATGCACCAGCGCGATGTGATGATTAGGTGGGATCTCAAATCCTCCGCGCCGCCTCGTCACTGGTGGATGGGCGTCATCAACGGAAGAGTCGACGGTCGACTGTTACTGGCTGCTTGCTGCTGTCAGAAGGATGCGCCATGGCACAAAAGCTCAGAATCCGCGGCCCCTCGTGTTTCTCCAGCACATAAGTCACAGCTCGAGACACACAAAACACCGCGGCGCCGGCGAGGCGGACGTTGTCGTAAGGATGTCTCGAGCTTTTCGTCACACTTGTGAGCCTGTGAGATGGCTCAAAAGCCAGGTGCGCTAAGATTGCTCCTCAGTTCATGCCGGCATCCCTGGCCGACTTGGGGAAGCCAAGGGTCGCCAGGCCCAAAACGGTTTAAGCCCTCCAGGGTGGTGGGTGCAGGGATCAGCAGGGACCCGATGGTAGTCCGTCAAATTGCTCTCTCGCGAGGACGGCAACGGCCAGCAGAGAGACGACAGAAGAGAGAGCATCCAAAGTGCCATCGACAGGCATTTCGGGCAAGGCGCAAGGGTAAAAAAGAAGTGGAAGGGGCAACGGGGAGCCGAAGAAAAGCAACGGGACTCCCACTTGCCCATCCATCTCCAGCTTTCCAGGTTGTCACGGCTCTCTCCATCTCCAGTCTCCATTCCCTCGTTCATTCTCTTTTGTCTGTTCTGTCTTTTTCTCGTGGAGTGATCGATAGCCCATGTCGACATTACCTTACCTTACGCGTAGTCAACCTAATCGCAGCTGAGTGGGCGCCCTGCGATTGTTAGGTACCTACTATACTCATACTCAACAAGTTGAGACGAACTGTTTTGGCCACTCGTTTTTTTTTGTGCGTCCTACTACATGGTTGCACCTTTCACGCCAGGAACGACACGAGAGGCCAGGCCATCGATATAAGGCCCTACCGCAGTACTAATTGGAGCACACGCCCGCCTACCGCACCGCACCGCACCGCACCGCACCTACACTACCGACCTATCTATACCCAACCCCCGACCCCCGAGTCCAAGCAGCGACTCTCGACGTTCGTTTCTGTCCTTGGCTGCCCAAAGCACAAAGCCCACCGGCGCCGCCGCTCTCTCTTCGGTCCATTTGCGCTATTGTACGGAGACGGGGCGTCGCGCGCATAAACCCAGTCGCCCGCATAGCGCCTTGTCGTCCACTCATTTTTTTTGCTTCTGGTCCAGGGCTCTCAAATCTCTCCGCGAATCCCACACGCTACCGCCGGTACCCGTGCCTCTGCTCTTTTCAACGGGCTCCCGAACGCCAGCACCCGAGTGCAGTGCAGTCCGATATCGTGACGGCAACCACCGCATATCCCACGAACTTGTTTCTTTTTCCTAAGCCCTTTTGGTTTCGCCGCGATACGTCCGACCGACCAACCTATCAGCATTCCTCTGCACACTCGCTCGCCAATTGGTACGGTGCAATTCAATTCTAAACTTGCTAGCCATGAGCGGCCTCTTTTGAGCTGGCATTGACAATTGACTGTGGCGGACAGGCTCTTCGATACCACCCCGTTTCGGCCCGCGTTTTGACAGTGGAGGGTGAATCGGCGGTCGGTACTCTTTCTCCGGTGAAAGCAACACCCTACGCCCATGGACCTCGATCGACCCGAGCTCGAACTTTTGCTGTAAACAGAGGCGGAAGCCCCTGAAACCTTTGTTGCACAGTCCTCCCACTTCGCGGCCACTGCCAGTCACATCAACAACATGACAACCCTCCCGAGGCCATCGCGACCTTCGAACGCACCTCCTCAAATTGCCCTACCAGCGCTTCCCGTTGGAAAAACACGAAAAAGCATGGGTGGACTAGCAGTTCCACCGACCAGGTCTACACCAGCATCACCAAAAGCCCTTCGAACACCGTCCTCGAATCTCCTTCCGCCTGCCACTCCAGCCCCTTCCGGAGCCTTACCTACACCTAGAACCGCCTCGGGATACAATGCGACGGGCAAGACACTTAGGAAAACAGTCAGCATCAGCGCTTTCCCGCACCCCCCTCGCGGAGATGGTCGAATATCCAGCCTCCCACCGAGCCCACTATCCGCCGGCCTTTCGCGCAAGGTCAAGACGCCTACGACACCAACCTATCAGTTTTCTAATGGATCCTCGAGTTTTCTTGCGGGAGCAGGCGACCAGAAATCAGTCTCGCGAACAGGAGGGACGAGGAATTCGGACGGACTGATTAGTGTGTCTTCACCGCCCCAGAGCCGCAGTTCCTCTGCGCAGGACTCGTATTCTACTTCTGCCACCCAGTACGAAGATGCCACCGATGCCGCATCCAGGTCAGATGCTTCCCCCGGAAAACCTGCCTCCAAGTTTGATGGCAGGGGAAACGTCGTGGTCAGTGTCAGAGTCCGGCCAGATGCTGCCGGCAATGACCAGACGCCAGATGGGGAGTGGATGGTGGAGGGAAGAAAATCGTTGATCTCGTACCGCGGCAAGGAAGGGGGAGATTATATCTATGGTAAGAATTAATTCTACAAAGTAGACAGTTGAGTCTCGTAGCCGTCTGACCGTTTCTCAGATAACGTCTTTACGACACACGACGACAACGCCAAAGTCTACGACCACTGCGCGAAACGTTTGGTACGAAGAGTAATGGAGGGCTACCACGGGACAGTATTCGCCTACGGCATGACGGGCACTGGAAAAACCTTCTCGATGCAGGGAACTGCGTCATCCCCGGGTGTAATACCTCTCGCTATTACCGACATCTTCTCCTACATTCGCGAAACCCCGTCTCGAGAGTTCTTGCTCCGCGTCAGCTACCTGGAAATCTACAACGAGAAAATCCACGACCTGCTGAGCATGTCCACCAACAACGGCCCCGGCGCTAACCAGCAGCTGGAAGAGATCAAGCTACGTGAGGACAGCAAGAGGGGGGTTTATGCGAGCCCTCTCAAGGAGGAAATTGTGCAGAGTCCGACGCAGCTTCTGCGTGTGATTGCCCGTGGCGACCAGGCTCGTAGGACAGCAAGCACCCAATTCAACGCCAGGAGTTCCCGGAGTCACGCCGTGGTGCAGATTGTGGTGGAAAGCAGAGAGAGGGTCCCCGGAAGTGCTGCGGGGGATAGCAAACGCCAAGCGCTTCCGCCCGGTGGCGTCCGGGTGTCGACATTAAGTTTGATCGACTTGGCTGGTTCTGAGAAGGCGGCCGAGTCCAAGGAGAGGCGTCAAGAAGGGTCCCACATCAACAAAAGCTTACTCACTCTCGGAACGGTCATCGCCAAGCTCTCCGAGCAAAAGGCCGATGGCAAATCCGCCGACAAGGATGGGAAACACTTGCCGTACCGCGACAGCAAACTGACCAGATTACTCCAGGGCGCGCTGTCCGGTAACTCGTTGGTTAGCATTCTCTGCACAATTCAAATCGGCGCTCCTGCAAGCGCAACATCAGCAAACACGCACAACAACGAAACCCTCAACACATTAAAGTTTGCCTCTCGTGCCAAAAACAGCATTGTCAGCCACGCCAAGCGTGCCGAGGAGTCTTTGGGCGCTGGTGGCGACGGAGGCGCAAAGGTACTTTTGGAGCGGTACAGAATGGAGATTGCCGAGCTTCGAAAGGAGCTCGAAGCCCAAGCAAAGTCCAACAGCAAGAAGGAGGCCGAGATTGAGAAGGAGAGGGACGCCGAGGAGGAAAGGGCTCGTGAGAAGGAAGCCGAGTTGCGGCATGAAGAGCAGATGCTCGAAATGCAGCTTGCTAGAACCGCGCTGAAGGAGAGGATAGACCACCTCAACCGCCTCATACTCAGTTCAAAATCGATAGGGGTCAATGCGAGCGGGTCCTTCAGCTCGTTGGGCATTCATCCCCGATACTCGCAAGGTTCCATCCGGTCGTCGATGACTATCTCTAATGGAGGCAAGCTCAGCCTGGAGAGGACAGCGTCCATGACATCTAGTGCTTCAACAATTGGACGGAAGTCGAGTAGTCATCGGTCGTCTGGCGGTGCACCAGAAGCGGTACCACTGACAGAAGACGATGACAGCATGGGGGAGTACGGCGACGGGACGGCATCACTTGCCGCTCAGAACCGAGCCCTCCAAGCGGATCTTGTCGACAAGAACCGCTACATCCAAACGCTAGAGAAAAGATTGCTGCAAGCCCGCCGCGCGAGCTCCTCTCGGGCGTCGGTCGGCATTGCAACAGCAGGAAAGGGCATCATGGTTGGCGAGGACCATAGTGTGTCCGCTCTTCTCAAGGAGAAGGATGCCGAAATCGCGGAGCTCCGTGCCCGCCTCGACGACAAGGACCGGATGTTGACTGCGCTGCGGAGCGCGGCCAGGTCAAGAGACAATGCGGAACGAGTCGAGTCCCGGTCAGAGGCCCGCAACTCGCAAATTCTCGACAGCAACCCAGGGCCAGCACCGCTCGGCAGCCCGCCTGCCCCCAACTCGCTAGTTAGACAAGTCTCGCAGCTTCGGAAGCAGACGAAGAATGTCGATGAGATGAGCAAGATGCTCGATGAGATGCTTCACGAAAGGGTGGAGAGCGGGCAGGTTGTCAGGGGAAATCGGGGGAGCCTCAGGGTGGTTGGTCCAGAGAGGGAGCCGAGGGAGAGGGGGTCGTTGCTTAAGGAGTTGGTCCCTTCGCCACCGCCGACGATGCCATTACCTTCGCCGCAGATTCTCACGCAGAGCCCATCGCTTCCACCATCGATGCCACAACCTCCTCCACCACTGGGCGCGGGGCCATCTGGATCCCAGCCACCGATTCAGTTACAGTTGTTGTCCAAGCAGAGGACCTCGTTAAGCCAGGAGCCGAGCAAAGCAGTTGCGATGGAGGTGTAGGAAGGGGGCCGTGGCCTGTATAACATGACGGAACATGTATAAGTGTTTTTTTCGTTTTCCTTGGTTGGGTTTCACATGGAAGAAGGTGGGGGTAGGGAATACGGGGTACTTTTTTTTCATTTTCTGTCTTATACCCGACTTGTTGTTATTGGTATTTTTGCTTTTTGGTCTTTTCAAAATAGCCCACCGTTTCTCTGTTATGGTGGAGATCGGGAAATTGGGGGGGAGGGGATCAAGTTTACTTTTCTCATCGTCATTAGCAAGCCAGCGTCTTGTTGTTAATTTTGTACATTAGCTAGGAGTGAAGGGGGTGGTGGAAAGGGGAGAGTTTTGTATGGGGGATCCAACTAGTTTGGCAAACTTTCTTGTTGGAGATTGGAGGAGGGAAGGGTTGGTTGGTGATGGGGCTTTTTTTGTATCCAATTTTGGCCTGCCTGGTTGTTTGTTGTCGAGGAGCAGGGGAGAGCATTTGTTCATCATTTTTTTCATCATTGAGGCTATGGCATCATGAGACGACGTACGCGCAAAAAGGGGGGGGGGGGGTTAGGAGAGGTGGGAGGAGATGAGGTGGGATGGGAGAAAGAAAGAATGGAAAGCGATTTTTTGAAATGCCAAAAGAGATTATTCTAAACATTTGATGTGTTTTTTTTCCACGCGTGCGTGGGTTTCGAGGCGGGGCATGATGATGACTTGAGAGAGTTTTTGTTGAAGCCTGGGGGCGAGTATGTGTTGATTTTGGAGGCCTATGTGTGAATGGGCGAGGCGTATATAGATGTGATAGCATGAATGAGAGGTAGTTTTCATTTTTTGTATTATGTTTGAGACCTGATAAGAATGTGGTATAAACAAAACAAAAACCGAGAGAGGGGCTGCATATCCAATTCTTCACAGTGATCCAACACGAGGCTGAATATGGTTATATGAGTATCATGATGTAGAGGCTCAATATATTGGTTCAATTCAGAGTATCTACCTCAGAGACCGAGCCCTAGCACTGATATGCCTCTGGAGATGCCTTCAAGGTCAGAGTCCGCTTACCTTCTCGTTGCTGGAGGTCACACAAACTTCCCCACCTGCCGTTGGTGGTGGTTCTCCATGCCAAGCGGGAAGGCACCGGTGTGCCGGGAAGGGCGGGAGCCAGGCATCTGATTGGATGATTTCCCCGAAGCTAGTGCGTTTCAGAAGCGACAGGGGCTCAACTGCCACAAATGGTGATCGCCGCCTGCCCCGCCTCCGCCGACAAACTTGCCCTTTTTTCCAGCCCAAACGGAGGGGTAGGGGGAAATCCCTAGAACTTTTTGTCTGCTGAATTGCCTATCGTGCCGGCCATCTGGTGAGGTCGTCGAAAGGCCAGGGGGGCATGATGAACTCCAGATTCCGGGTCAAGACCTTTCTAGAACCTGGGGATGAAACCAGGAAGAGAGAATCACATCATTCATGCTGTTTGGTGTCTTGTAGATGGATCTCGCTTCCCGCTTCAAACAAGCTCCCGTTGGATATCGATAAGATTTGGTTTTGAGCTTTCCGGGGTATCGGTTCCTTGGGGCGCATGGGTTTGAGACCAAAACCAAGCGAAAGATCTGCTGTGTTTGCTGTTCTTCTTTGGCCTGTGATCTCATGGTGGGCCATAACCTCACCTGGCATTCTCCGTTGGCCCCCTGAACAACAGTTGCAGTGATCGACACAGAACAAGTCATCGGGGTCCATCCTCGAGGCGATCTTTTTCCCCTTCTCCCATTCTTCACCATGTACGTCAGTATATGAATTAAATTGTCGACTGTGACGCTGGGTGTCCGGTTGAACTTTGCTATTCTATTCTCGAAGCCAACGGTGGTTGTACCAGCTTCTGCTCTCGGCCACACCCCCTCCGAGCTGCGAATAGAAACTCGACGCAGTTCGCATCGCATACCGTTTTTCCGATATACCAACAGCGCCTCTTTTGTCAGCCTCGGTCTGACTTGCGCATTCTCTTGAGAGGAAGACTCCATAAGTGAGACTGAGACCCAGGTAAAGGTAGCACAACCTGGCCTGGTACCCCTCCAGTGCTCGTTGAACCGAACCCACACCCTCATTTCGGAGAGGGATATTTGGCCATTCTCATTTTCTGTCGAACACCGTTTGTCAATCCTCTAGATGATACTTCCAACACCTACCTAGTTCGTACTGGTGGCGATCTTTCGGCAGGTGGTCACTTCGGCTGTTCAAGCGGCCCGTCCACTTCAAGCAAGACCTCTTCTCCTCCGCCCTACCTCGAGAAGGGGGGGACACCGGCACTGCCGCTGATCTTCTTTGCTGGACCTGAAAATCCGGCTGGCCGCCCTCGCCATTCTATTCGATCAACATCTTGCATCTTTCACTCTGTCCTGCCCCCATATCGGCCTCCAACGGCCCATTCCGTCCACCACGTCGTCGTTGTCGCCTTGTAACAAGACCGCAAGCGCCTCGCTCCCTCTTGTACGTCTGTGTTCTGAAGGGGTCCTGATCCGTGCCCACGAAAGATACGATATCCCGGTGGCATAAACGTCACTTGTCTTTTCGGGATCAGGGCTTGGGAGTTGAGCTCTCCCTACAAGACAAAGATCCCGACATCAAGATCGCAACTCCCTTATGACTTCGACGATTCTCACCGGTCGGGTACCCCCACCAGAAATCCTTCAACTCTCCTCTGCCGGACACGGAGAGCAGCACGCCGGTGTCGACAGAGACGAACAGAACGCCGCTCCAAACGCTGGGCTTCAGGGCGGCGGCTCATTGTATTCCAAACGGTATACTTTTCCTGCGGTCGCCTTATCCAGTTCTTGATTTCGAACACTAGACTTTCCTTTCCTGGTTTCTGTTTCTGTTCTTCAACATGCCGCCAACACTTGACCTCAGTAGAACGGCGCATGCCAAAGCCATCTTGCCGCCCCGTATCAACCTTCGACGAGCAGCCTCGTACAATGTCGCCGAAAAGGGCCCTCTATCATCCACATCCTCTCGCTTCAGCTTCAACCACTTGGTATTCTCACCACCACCATCTCCAGGCCTTCCGTCACTCTCCCCACCGAAAAAGCCCCCCCAGAGGAAACTGATCCTAGGCGTACGCCCAATACGACTCATACGATATACGATCCGGATTTTGAGCATTCTTGCTGTCTTTTGGATCTCGCTCGAGGTTCTTACCTACCTCTTTGGACCGGAAATACCGATACCGGCTGATAACACACGACTGTCAGTCCCCGAGAAGCCGATAGTAACACCGCCAAAACGAAGCGATGGAGTTGAGATGGTATCGCAGAAGGGGGCGCCAGATTTCGCTACGCCTATCGTCATCACCGACCATCGAGGTAAGGCGAAATGGACAGTATCGATACCGCCAGGGACACCGTTTCCACTGTCCCAGAAGGGTTACGCAGACATGTGTGGGAGGTGTGAGCAGGTAGCGGCCAGGGCGGTGGAATTGCGATCTCAGGGGTCCGGGTTGCCGCAGGTCTCACTCAGCTTCGGGCCGGAGGCACCCGATCACGACTTCATTGATGTTCAAGAAGCTGAGAAAGCTGGTTATTTGCCAAAGAGGGGAGCGGGAGGAACAAACACGGGGAAGCCTGTCTGCAAGAAGAGCCTCACTTTTGTTCTCGAGTCCGGCGAGGCTGGCCTGGGAAAAACGCTCATGATGCTCTGGATCGCATATGGTCTCGCCGAAAAAGAAGGCCGTGGTTTCTTCATCGACGACACGAGATGGGCATACGGAGAGTACTCCGACATCTTTGAAGCGCCGCCCGCGCAAGACTGCTCCCCACCTCCTGACCATGAACGACTCCCCTGCCCACCTCAGGCACGTCACCTGGTCGTCTCAGCTGCCAACGCCCACAAAGTCTTTGCCAACCTCCTCCCTCCTTCAGCAGAGGGAATCTTCTCCAGTTCTTCCCCACCCCTCGAACCACTCGATTCCTCCCTCCTCAAGAAGCAATTCGCGCTCGCTCGCTCCGGGTTCAGAGCCCTCTTTCACCTCAACGCCGGAGACGCCCGCCACGTCGATACTCGCACTCGCAAGCTCCTCGCCAAGCGTCTCGTGCCCAAAACCAAGGGCACACAATCTGGTCTTTCCATCGGCCTTCACATCCGCCGCGGCGACCGCCACCCGTTTGAACCCCAATACAGGCGCTCGTACCTTCCTGTGAACGTCTACACCGACTTTGCGCAGGAGATCATCGCCTCCAAGTTCAACTCGTCCGGCAGCATCTTCCACGACACGGCAGAAGAAAACCGGCTTGCGCGTGAACACTCGTTCATGATCCTCGCGTCTGACGACCCGCTTGTGTATGACTCTGAGGAAGTGAAGGACAACCTCAACGGGAAGAGGGTGGTGAGAGCGCAGGATAGGATCAAGCTCGCTTCCAAGCATGAGCTGCTTCCCAAGGGGGGGAAGGAAGAGGAGCTGGATCGGAACGTGATGCACAAGTTTGTAGATGAGGCTTTTGGGTGGGAGGGTGGGTTTTATGCCGGCATGTTTTGGAATTTGGGGGTGCCGACGGCGAATAATGACAAGAAGGAGGAAAAGGGGGTGGGGGCTGAGTCGCTCCGGCTTAGGAGCTTGGTTGGGAGGGCTTACATGATGGATTTGGCGGTGCTGGCCGAGGCGAGCGATGTGGTGGTTTGCACGGTTAGTAGTTTGGGGTGTAGGTTGTTGGGGGTGATGATGGGGGAGGGGAGTGTCAAGCGGGGGAGATGGGTGAATGTGGATGGGGGCTTGGGTTGGTTGGGTCTTGATTGAAGGTGTTTGTTGTTGTTGTTGTTGTTGTTGTTGTTGTTTTTTGTTGTTGTCGGTTGCAGGAGTTTTCTCTTCTTGTTATGACACTGTTTTTGCTTTGGCGTTTAGGCTTGGGTAAAGGGGCATAAGAGAAAAGAAAAGAGGACATTCTTTTTATTGAAAAGGGGGGGGGGAGGAGTGGAAGAGGAGATGATACCATATACCACACACACATGGGAGCCATTCGTTGCATCTACCATCGTCATCATCATCATCATTAGCATGATTTTCTTTTCTCTTTTTCAAGTTGTACATACTTTCTATTCATTCGCTTTTTCGTTTACGTTTTGGGGGGTGTGCTCAGACTTTGCATGGAGCGGGAATAGTCATTCGCTGGTTGTTTTACAGGGAGAAGACGATAGATATGTCGTTGGTGTTGTTGTTGTTGTTGTTGCTGTTGTCATTTTAGCCAAGGATAGGAAATCACATGAAATGAATAAGCAGCAGTGTTATTACTACGTATCATTAGGCACTAGGCTACTTTGGAAACTGTAATCGATATCGCTTCATGCGCCTGTTCTCGAGAGGGTGTCTCGCCTTGTTCTCAGTCTTCACTACTTGTGATCCGAACAACGGAGCGGAACCCCAGACAAGTTGAAGTTCTCATGATCTTGGGAAACCCACTGACGAGGCACAACTCGCCGCTTTGGTGAGAAGATGCCGGGTGTAAGCGCACGGTCAGTATCGGTATGAAGCTCTCACCGAGAGTAAACTTGGGTCAAGTGACGAAGAGAGAGCGACATGTTCAATATCACCAACACCCTACCATCGCACATCCGCGATAGCACTTGTCAGCGGAGCCCACGGGCGTTGACACACCGCACTCCACAGCATGAGGTGGGTAGGGTTCATCCGATGACAGCACGCCCTGCAGGTACGAAGTACGGGACAACTGGTTAAGCCAAGCCACCATATCCCACAGGCGGTCTGTAACATGGAGAGCAGAGAAGACGGCCCTTCAGGAGAAGGAACGGTGAAACGAAAAACGAAGGCATTCGCTTACAGCCAGAATGCGCCCAGCTTCTCACGAGGTCGGCGCATATGTGGTGGTCAACGGTAATTGCCGTGGAATCATTGGCGCAACTTTGATCGGATGTTGCCTTTCTATCGCATGATGTGAGTAAACGGTGCGGTGGGAGCGTACGGATGCGAAGTACCCAGGTACCGTGCGAATGCGAATACGAAACCGCTCTTGGGGAGCGCCTGATTGGCCAATCTGGGCTGCCGTGGCAGGGGCAGATTACCTACCCAAAAGCCAATTCGCATCCCTTTTTTCTTGATGACATGAACTCTAGAAAAGTTCTTCGCTCCTTCTACTTAAAGGTCGCGAGATTTCTTCTCTTTCTTTCCCCGTGGGCTTTGATTGTTGGCATCTCGCACGCGCGCTTGTTGCATTTCCCAGCAGCCTTGGACACGTTCTTTTTCTCTACTTCTTTTTAATCTTCCCTCCCCGACAGAATGGGTTTCCTCCAGGATGTCGCGGGCCCTCTGCTCGAGGGCTTCTCGACGCTGGGACTGGCATCGCAAATCGGTGTCGCGACGGCCACCTTTGTGGTCGTGGCTGTCGTCCTCAATGTGCTCAAGCAGGTGCTGTTCAAGAGCCCCAACGAGCCACCGATGGTGTTCCACTGGTTCCCCATCATTGGAAGCACCATCACCTACGGCATGGATCCCCCCAAGTTCTTCCACGAGAACAGAAAGAAGGTGAGCAAGCTCCTATCGCCATCATATGCGCGCGCGTCTGGGTACTAACCGTTTCTGACGACAGCACGGCGACTGCTTCACCTTCATCCTTCTCGGCAAGAAGACCACCGTCTACGTCGGCCCCGAGGGCAACAACTTCATTCTCAACGGCAAGATTCGCGACGTGAATGCTGAGGAGATCTACACCGTTCTCACCACCCCTGTTTTCGGCAAGGATGTTGTCTACGACTGCCCCAATGCGAAGCTGATGGAGCAGAAGAAGGTTGGTCCAATCGAACGATGCTAGCTGCAAGACTCTGGTTAGCTGACACGCCGAAAAACAGTTCATGAAGATTGCCCTCACCACCGAAGCTTTCCGCTCCTATGTCCCCATCATCTCCGACGAGGTTACCAGCTACCTCAAGCGTACCCCCGACTTCAAGGGCCAATCTGGCGTTGTCAACATCTGCCCCAAGATGGCTCAGATCACCATCTTCACCGCCTCTCACGCGCTCCAGGGCAAGGAGATCCGCGACCAGTTCGACGAGAAGCTTGCCGACCTCTACCATGACTTGGATATGGGCTTTTCTCCCATTAACTTTATGCTTCACTGGGCTCCCCTCCCCTGGAACAACCGCCGTGATCACGCCCAGCGAACTGTCGCCAAGATCTACATGGACACAATGAAGCGCCGTCGCGCTCGCGGCGATGATGGCCAGAAGGATATGATGCAGCATCTCATGAACTCCACCTACAAGAACGGCACCAAGGTTCCCGATCACGAAATCGCCCACATGATGATTGCCTTGTTGATGGCCGGCCAGCACTCTTCTTCGTCCACTAGCTCCTGGATCATGTGCCGTCTCGCCTCCAGACCTGATGTTATGGAAGCTCTCTACCAGGAACAGATCGACAACCTTGGCAAGGATCTTCCCCCCCTCAAGTACGAGGATCTCGCCAAGCTCCCTCTCAACCAGGCCATCGTCAAGGAGACTCTCCGCCTCCACGCCCCTATCCACTCCATCATGCGCGCCGTCAAGTCTCCCATGCCCGTCCCCGGCACCAAGTATGTCATCCCTACCGACCACGTCCTCCTCGCCGCCCCCGGTGTCTCCGCGACCGACTCTCAGTACTTCCCCGAGCCCGACAAGTGGGAGCCCGCGCGCTGGCAGAAGGATCACCCTCTGGCCCCTAGCATGGTTCGCAATGAGGATGAGATCAACGAGGAAGAGGAAGAGAAGATCGATTACGGCTATGGTCTCGTCAGCAAGGGCTCCGCGTCTCCTTACCTTCCCTTCGGCGCCGGTAGACATCGTTGCATTGGCGAGCACTTTGCCAATGTGCAGCTTCAGACCATCACCGCTGAGATTGTCCGCGCTTTCAAGTTCAGAAACGTGGATGGCAGCGACAAGGTGATTGGCACAGATTATGCCTCTCTCTTCTCGAGACCATTGGAGCCAGCGAACATTTACTGGGAGAGGAGGAATTAGACTTATGTGTTGTTGTTGTTGTTGTTGTTGTTATTGTTGTTGGATGCGATGAGTTGTTGTTTCGTGGCGTTTGGGGTCTGCGGTCGTCATTGATGAACCAAGTTATAGTGAGTGCTTTCTTGGAACAAAAGGGAAAGCATTTGCATTGGGAGGAAGGGAAGGGAAAGCAAAAACACGGACACTGGGAAAGATGGGAAGGGGGGGTATGTGGACGACCAGTGATGACTTTGCAAAGTATATATACACTTAGTTAATACTAATATCACAAATCATAAGAGATCGTGGGTGTTGGTTGCACAATTAGTGTTGTGGGTTGGTGGTGGGTTGAGGGGGGTGATTGGTCTGGGGGGGCTTGAGGGGTTGGCCTAGGAAGTTGTTGGCTGAGAGGACGGACGATGGCCACTGGTGTAGAGCATCATCTTCAGGCATCGTTGCAAATATCACAACCAACTTATTATCCCCTCCAGGAATCATTGCGTATGGCAAGTCAGGTTGTGGACAAAATTTTAGGGGCTTCTATTGTGAATAATGGCTTTCGAGGGCAGTCGACAGGTCTTTCAACAAAAGTAAGGTTGATCGATCTTGAACATGTTATTACCCTACAACATGCAAGTGTATACCAGCTCCCATTCATTTCTCAACAACAACCAAACCAAGTTTTACCTTTCAGGTCGGGGTACAAGGCACCTATACAGAGCAGGCTAGGTAGGTAGCATCACGATATCCTGATTGGCAAAACCCACAGCTTTGTTTCTTATCCTCGGATAAAGGGTGTAAAGCAGGTGTGTGTGTGTAACCAACACAAGGAGTGACCCCTATTTCCACTCTAAACCACCTAGATAGTCAGTCAGCTCAGACACGGCCCATCATCATCATTACCTCCACACAGCCAACCAATTTTCATATCGCAGTTCCAGAATCATCACGCCCGTATTTTAAAACCGAGAGTAGAGTTTGATATTTCTATCTTTATCCCAAAACCCTGAAGCCACCGACAACATGAACAACAAGAACCTTTACATCAGCAAGCAAGCAAGCAAGCAGCAAATAGCAAATTGCAAGCAAGCAAAATCACCATACACAAAAAAAAGAAAAAGCCAAGTGCAACCTCCTTCATCTCCTGTTCCCCTCCACCCAAAACAAAAAAAAGACCCAAATCAAAAGAAAACAAAAAGAGAAACCGACGGAAATCAACAACCCACAAGTACTTTTCCCAACCGATTTTTTTGCACCACATTGCGCCAACTTGTACCACCTATCCCCCGCCCCCTCCCTTTCTTTCCCCCATCTTCTCAAACATATCTTGGGGGATAAAAACTCACGTCCAGGTTTTAGATACCTATCCCCTCCCTTCTACCATCATCATACCACACATTTCTCATACTTGTCTCCCTTCCATGAAACTTTTTGATACCTCATACGCCTCACCGTTTTGGGGTCCCATCCACAGAAAGCCAAAGAAATCACAAGGAAAATAAGAGAGAGAGAAAAAAGGAACACAAATAAAATCAGCAAACAAAAAAGCATACATCCCCCTTCTCCCCAACTCCTCGCTGGCTTGCTCGCTTCATCACTCGCGCACAACAGCCTGTTCTTTCCCGCCTCCTCGCACTCTCAAAATAAACCAAACACGCACCCCAAGCCCCCCTAAACCAGTCCAGCCCAGCTAGTCCAGCCGTAAGGTCCTCAATTAGTGATTATTACTGGTGAAATAACGAGTGTATAACGTTAGCTCCCCTTCTTCACCTCTCCGCGCCGAGTTTTTTTCCCTTGCCGCAACCATCCCAAATATCACCACCCCAATTTTGTTCCTCTCCCTCGCACTCTCTCAACACCATTTTTTGTTGTCGTCAGAACCCCCCGGTCTAATGGTATTCGTTCGGTTCGTGGTCTTCGGCTCTCTCCTTTCTCGCTCTAAAACGCTGTCTCGGTGGGGGGAAAAAGCAGGTCTCCTCTATGTTTTGCGTATCGTTATCGTCGACCAGTCTTTTGATTGGCCTCAAACCAGTCAACAGAAAAGACCAATGGGAGAAAGGGATAAAAATGAAAGAAACAAAAAGAGGACAACGGGGTATCAGTCTGAAATCCAGTCTATGCTTTGGGGTATATAGATCCGCAGACAGCCTTCCCGCGTGCGCTTTACTCGGAAAAAAAAAGTCGTCCCCTCCCACGCCCAGGACCACCAGGAAAACGCCGGACCGCATGATGCAGGAGAAATGCAAAAGTACCCGAACCAGGAAAAAATGGTGAAGAAGGCAAGTATGTTTATGCCGTAGGATAAGGAGGCGAATCGCTCAGCAGGATACCATTGTTGCATAAGAGATACTGAGTCGGAATGCCACACTTAATGATTGTTGTCTTCGTTGATATTGGGAAGATTCTGCTGTATGGCCATAAATCCTGCGGGATTCTGCATCATGCTGGAAAAGAGGTTCTGCTGCTGAGCTCGAAGTTCCGGGTCGCACGGTGGGGAGTGTTGCTTGTGCTGGACGAAGATACGTTAGTGTTCAGAGCTTTATAGACCTTGCTGTGAGGTGTTTGCTTACGTATTTTAGACCGTTCAGGTTCTTGTACCGCTTGCCGCAGACTTCGCACTTGAAGGGTTTCTCCTTTTCCATACCCAGGGTGCCTGGATAGGGCGCATGAGTCTCAGGATTGACGATGGAGAATGTGCCGTCGCCATTCTCGTGGAGCTGCTGCGTCGAATGCCCATGTGTCTTGTGATACCTAGAATTTGGGTCAGCAACACATCACCTGGATCGGTTGCACTGTTTTAACGGTTACTTACTTCAAGCCGTTTTGGTTCTTGTAGGCTTTCTCACAGCCGATGACGGGGCACTTGAACGGCTTGTGTTCTTCGGGTGGTGGCATCATCAGCGCAGTGAAGTGCTGAAGAAGCGTGGTTGGATCCATGCCCGGTGGCAGTTGGCTGTAGTCAAGATTCATGCTCACCAACTGCTGCTGGACTTGCTGCTGCATTTGCAACTGCTGTTCCATGGCTCGTTGCTGGCTGGTCATCTGAGCCGAAGAACCCCCGGGGCTGTAAAGGCGCTTCGCAGGGTCGTCGATGGTGTTGTTGATATTGAACTGAAAACCGCCTAGAGGCGCCAAGTTGTTGGTGTTAAGCTTCATGGGCAGGCCTGACATATCATCATCCTCCTCCATAGCGTTATCTTGTGAGAACTGTTGTCCGCGCTGGGGCAGGCCTTGGTGAGTCGTCAGTGTTGGTGTGTTGACCGAAGAGACGGTAGGATTGTTCTGGAATCCAAAGCTCTGAGCAGCTGGTGTTGGTGGCTGCGAAGTGCGCAACGCTTGATGAGGAAGCCCCGAGGCATTAAGATGAAGCTGGGGTCGCTGCTGCTGACCAAAGAGGTGACGGGTCTGCTGTATGCGTTGGCTGTCGTCCATATCCATGTGCCCGACAGCATCATCCATTTCCATGTCGCCAACTGCATCCATCTCGTCGTTGAGGTGAGACATGTGGTTGACCTTGGGTGCGACCGGAGCCGCCTGCTGTCGCATCATACCGAATCCGCCAGCGCCCAGGTTGCTGGCGCCAGTACCAGGCTGGCGCTGTTGCTGGAACCCATGCATCGGTTGTGTTGGCTGCTGTGGTCTGACTGAAGGTGCAACAGAAGTTGCACGACTGGCAGGACCACGCGTGAAGTTCCCGCCGAACCCAGGCCCCAACGTGGAGTTTCCCGTGAGGTTAGTATGCTGCTCCTCATAATGCTGGAGCAGATCATGAAGGGTATCCCACGTCGTCTCGCAGCAGATAAAGTCGCGCATAAAGGATGCTTCCAGCTTGGGCATATAGGACGATGAGTGGAACGATGGTGACTGATGTGTCGGATATGGAGAAGTGCCGGCCATCATTATCCTGCAAGGTATGTATCAGTCACACCTGATCGAAAGCATGATTCAAGTTTTCAGTTATAAGTGATGTAGACGCAGTGCCGGGGTGCGCCGCAACCAGCGTGCGCGAAAGAGGCCCCGTGAGAATGCTAACATGGATAACACTTACTCGTCCTTGACAAAACTCCCCAAAGAGATACCACCCCAGCTCATACCACCCATCAGACTGCCGGGTCCGATGTTATTCGAGTCCCGGCGAGTGCGGTTGGGGTTGGTCATGGAGATGGGCCTTGCGCCGACAAACGAGTCCTGTCGACTGCGGCCGAGGCCTGAGTCGTAGACGGAGCCGGTTGCCATGTCGATATCTGGTATACCTGGCGTGTTGCTTGTTGGTGTCGCTGCGTGGTTGGACAGGGCAGCAGAGGCGGCGACGTCGTCGCTGCAATCGAGCAGAAAATCAAAATCGGTATTCTGGGGATCTTGAGGCGGGAGCGATGCGATGTCAACGAAATGCGACTTTGGGGGCGCGGGGACAAAAAGGCCAGAGGCGGGAGATTTGGGAGTGGCCGGCTGAGGCGTCAAGGATGGTGAACGTGACGACGAATTGTTGAGAGAGGAAGGCGAATCACTGGAGGCAGAGGCCAAAGGTGATGCGCGATTGGGACAAATATTATTAGTGAGAGTTGTGAGAGTATTTTCGAGCCAGTCCCCGATGGCTCCGCAGGCTCGGGGCTCGCCTGTGGAATTGATGAGTGAACTCGACATGGGATGTTGCATGGCAAAAAGAGGGCCCTTTGTTGTGGGGAGCGCCTGCCTAGCCTCGGAATGCGGGCAGGGTTGTTTGACCTCCACTAGTTGCTCTAGTTAAGTTGCCCACTGGAAACGGGTGTGGACGACGGGGGTGCTGGCAGGCTGCTTTGATGCCCAAATACCCAAGGTGGGGGGAGAGCAGTTGCGGTTTTTGGGGGGGCTCTTTGGGGGGCGTTCAATGGAAAGGATGAGACGGAAGAACGAAGAAGAGCATATGGGGAGGGAACTGACCTCGAGTTATAATAATAATGCTCCTCTCGGCTCAATGCGAGACCTGAAGCTAGAGTTTCGGCACGCACTCTCAACCTGGAAGGTCAACCACCCAGTACTTCGTAGCCCACAGACACGGGGGCGTCGTTTTCTTTCTGGAGGCGTTTGACCCCAGTGGATTCAGGCTTGAAGGCTAGGGTCAGCGAGTTATAACGGCGTCGGTTCCGCTTGTTGGGGGTCGACCGTTCAGCGGCTCAGAATCGACCGCCAAGAAACAGAAATCGTGTGTAAGTGTTAGGCCTGTTAGGGGACCGTGGTACGGCCAATGACTAATTCCTGCTGTAGACAGAGGGTATCACAGAGCCATGCACGCCAGCCACAACAGCCCAGAGGAGTACCGTCGAGGATAAGATATGGTTCGGCGGTGCCTCGGTGGTGTTTATGAGGGTGTAATGGTGACTCTTTTTCACGCCCCTTTGAGGTAGCGATGGATATAAGACTCGGCGGTATTTGAGGGGCGCCCCTGGGCTTCTCGAAGTCGATGTCTTGGCAAATGGCGTGCAGATCAATCGCAGGCTCAGTATGCCCGAGAGCCGAAAGCACCTGCGAGAACAGACAGGCGTGGCGGTAGGGAACCGAGTACGGGATTCCTACACCTCGGTAATAATGTACTGTACAGCTGGAGACAGACAAGAGACAGGTGGAGGTGGGCAAACGGCGGCCTTGGGTGGTAGGTGGCGGGTTCAAAGAGGATACTGATGACGAGGAGGGAATGTACTAACAGCTGGAGGCAGACTGGAGTGATGGACCAGTATCAATGATGGTGGGGAGGGGGCCGTGAGAAGGGGAGACAGAGGACGAGAAGAAGATACAAGATGGGAGGCAGAGAGAGCTCAACCAGACAAGAGCATATGGCAGGAATGGAAAGAGTTCGAGGTCGTGCGGGCAGGCGCAACAAAGATATGGTTATGGCGGCAGGCTGGGAAGGCACTAACAGACCTGAGACGGACAGTGTACTTGCCATCTGCTAACGCCGACTACGGTAAACGGTACCTTGACCACAACACAACTCCAACAAGTTTGTTAGTTTATGACGAGCATTTCCAGCGATCCTGGCCACGTCTGGCAATTTGCTATACCGCCGTAGCCCGCTCCCATGTGTCACTGCCAAGTGCGTGGGATTACTTGCCATCGACAGATGCAGTGTAACTGTCTTCTCATCTCTCTTGCGGGTGTGCGGGTGTTGAGCGTGGAAATCAAACGGAAGCATGTCCAATGTTCTCCGGTACCAGCGGTTTGGAAGGTCGCTAGACAGGGGCACGATGTGGAGGCACCGTGATTGTTGGCCTTGGTCTTGCACTGTGCGGATTCATCGTGCCTTGTCGGTAGTCGTCGCGGACCTGGGACCTGCGCGTTGATCTCCCATCGATCTACAATTGTGCCACACAGCCATCAATCCCGTCACCCTTTTCCCCTCTTGTTCTCTCGAGATTCACTGGTAGCTTCTCCCGCCTCTTCAGCCATTGGTTCACTGTGAATAATTCATTGCCGCGCCAATCACTCGCATAAACGCCAGAGTTACCAAGCGTCCAAGTCGCTTGGTGTAACAAGCCGCTGGTGTCATGTGAATTCGGGCCACTCTCGAGACCCTGCTGTACACTCACCGCCCGCTGAAACTGGCAGGTCTAAAGTGGAGGGGCACCAACGAGACAACGAGGTCGTCCCATGCTCGACTTGCGGCATCACCATTCCAGAGATTCCACACCTTGTCGAAGTTTCCCCTGGGCCTCGGCTGGCGGAATATTCCCAGCCCTTTCTGATGTTCATCTCGATTCAAGCTTCTCGAAAACTCAACAAGTGCCGGCTTACACCCTCTCACTGATCAGTCGGTATGCCAACTGTCGGCCAAAGCTGAGATTGGATAGGTCCACTCCCGTCAAACGGGCTCAGATTCAAGGGCAGAGGCTTGAGGCTCAAAGTTACTGCAAGGTATGTTGCCGTCTTGCCCTTTGGTGGTGAGCGTGCCTAGACATCGGCAACATCCTGGTAGTCACGCTCACAACTGACTCAAGAATCAGGGTTGTTTTGACCACTTCCCTGCTCTTGGAAATGGGTCCCAGGAACCATCTCAGCTTGTTGAGACTGCTGGTTGAGACTGTGCCAAAGGTACACAGTAGTACACTGTAGCATAGGGTGTTGATTCTGTGATATCACCATTGGCCCCACTCCAATCATACTACCTATACCTAACAACTTCTTAGCACGCTTCTGCCGTTCTCGACACGGATTTGGCTCCTGAGGCTTGACATTGACAATAATAAGAGTCTAGAATGCGGTTCGGTGGAGAAATACGAAGTGCTGTCAATGCTTGTCTTGCTGGTGGAACACGGACAAGCACAGGCCAGGACAATACATGATGTCGAAGTCTTCGAGATGCACGGCACGTCTCACAGGGTACTCCCCAAAGAAGTGCTAACAGAACGACGATCGAGATTGTTCACCATTGCAATCACCTCACTAGCGATGTTATTGGAGCAACACCGGCCCAAAGGAAAAGGCCTACACCAGATTAAGTGCTCAATCTAGGTCGAGAACAGGAAGAAAATGCCTATTTCGTACAAGGCGTCCACCCCCTCACTCGGTTTGGCGCAAAACTGCAACCTTCATCTCAGACAGATCAACTCGAAACATGATATCGGCCTCTCCACCAATGTCGTCAGCATCTCGCAGCGCTTCTCTGCTGATCCGATGCTTTGCACACTAGCGAGCAGCATGCACGCTTCAACGGCCTGACGTCGCAACGTCTTATCAGCTTATCATCATTCGCAAGGTATGCTTCCAAAAAGAAGATTGCGTTTCCAACGGTGCCAAGGGTTGCGTTTGGCTCAAAAACCTGGTCATGATGATAATAGTCGGCCCTTGGCCCAAGGACAATGCAAGGAATTTGGAGATATCAGATCGGCTTTCACCCGGGTATTTGAGATGCCTGCCGAGTGAGGGGGGTTTGGTATGAATGGGCATGTTCCATCATCCAAACGTCAACTCGGTAGATATCACATATCCAGTAGCGTTACTCTCGAAATACAACCTTGTTTCGCGGGATGTCGTGTGAGCGCATTCTGACTTGACTTATACAACGGGAGGCAAACCTGCACTGTGTACCGAGTAGCTCATGTCTCTGGCTAAACAGTCTCTTGGCAGCCTGTGGGTGAGCTCTCACATGCAGATAGACTTTCTTTTTCTTACCCGTCAAAGTTGAGCACGTCAAAGTGTCCTCTAGGAGCTGGATTTGGCTCCTTGATATTTCCCAACCTAGGTTCTTAGCACAACGATGCAATGGAGCTACCTTTCGGGCAGTGACAGCTGAAGTTGGATGGAGCCACGAAGTTGTTTTTAGGAACCGTTCTTTCAAAGTCTCGCAAGCACGCGGAGGCTAATCCCGCTAGGGCGGGCACTGATGAACCCCTGCCTCCAAAGGTTCACCACATTTTCTCAAGCACTGCCGGATAAACTCAATTTAACGTAGCATTGGGCCAACCACTGAGAGAAATAGTTATGACCCCGAGCCGATCGTTTTTTGGGACATGTTCACCATCCGACAAACGCATGACTTTGGCCCACAGTCTACATACATGGGCATTGACAACGACAACGGGTCGATCTGGTACCATCAACCAGCAAAAGACGCCCGCGGAGCAAAGCAAACGGGTTGAATCGGAATCGGTCCGCTCAGCCGGCGAGCGTCCTGGGGCAAGAGAAGACACGGCAAGACCCCTATTTTGCCCGCGTACGGTGGGTGTTGTCCAGATTTCCATTTGTCACGGCAAACGCGGCCTTCCTGATGGTCTAGAGCGTCGGCCGCATTGTTTCCGGACCCCTAAAAATGTCCTGATGCTCCGGCAGGCGGACAGCACGGCAGCGGGAACGAAACACGCAGCTGACCTTTATTGACTGGTAATAGCTGCCAAACAAACATCTGGACCAGTCCTGTTGAGACATTCTGATGCTGCGTGGGGGCGAAGCTCAACATGACATCCAAGTTGATTTGGAGTTGAATGAATAGTCAGCAAGCCGACTGCCTGCCTGCCGGTGAAACAAAACACCCGATAGCGACCGGGGATGTGACCGAGCCGGTTGAGGTTTCACCGTCCGACAACCGCCAGCCGGCTTTTGCCGATCGGAATCGGAGCTGCTGCCCCGGCGGATCGGGCCTCTGAGGAACGGTTGCGCCGGGAGAAATTGTGCCCGGGGCGTCTGGCCTGACCGATGAGTCTTATGTCAAGCAAGTGTCACTGAGAGGCTCTCAAAGTCTCGGGAGCATTCGGGAACGCATTGATGGCCATGTCAGCAACAGGCTGCTTCTGAGTGACTTTTCGGACTTTGGCCGGCATGTTCAAAAGTGCTGGAATTGAACCCACCACTTAAAACCCCTCCATTTTCCAGGGACGTGGTCCGTGCTTCCTTCGACGGCGAGAGCCGGCGGGGAAGGCTCGGGAAATTTTGACAAAAGTCAGCAACGAACCGCTGACATCACCAAAACGTCTTGCTTGGCAGGAGCTGTCAATTGTGTCATTATCCCTGTGGCCATCTCCCAGCACTCGCGCCTTGGGCTTTTTGCGAGATATCTCGAAGAAGATGATACAAGAGCGATATCTAGCATTCAGATATCACTGCTAGACTTGGTGCATCATAGAAAGAGGCCATCGCCGCAACCCGCCTTTTTTTCCTTACCAAAGCAAAAAGTTAATAACAGGATCCACCTTTATTCCCACCGGAGATCCAATCGTCACTGCGCTGATTCTGCATCACGCAGTTGTCTCAAACGAGCTCCGGTCATACGATTTATTTTCTCACACGCCACCGCCTGCCAAAGAACAAAACCACCACCACAACCCTCACAGCCTTGTCGGTTTCTGAACCTACCTGCCTATTCACCTTCCTAAACCTCCAACTAATTACACCTGTCTTTGGACGGCGCGCAAACGGGCAATCACCTCTTAAAGGCACCCAATCACTTTTCCAACAACCACCTCTTCAGTCTCCACCCAACCACCCTTCCCCCCCAAAAAACCACCACCATGAAGATCATCTCCAAGGAAGAGGAAGACGCCCACTTCAAGGTCGTCCTCAAGGGTGGTCTCATCGGCGGCTCCGTCGGCCTCGCCCTCGGTCTGGGTGGTGTAATCGCCGGCTCAAAGCGCTACCCCACCATCCGCAACCTCACCCTCCCCTTCCGCTCCTTCCTCGTCACCTCGACCGGCACCTTTGGCGCCATCGTCTGGGCCGAGAGATACTCCATCGACTTCCAGCGCTCGCACGATTCCATGTACAACTACATGGACGCCTCCCACAAGGCGGCCGCCGAGGCTCGCGCCGCGGCCAAGAGTGACACGGAGAAGCTGATGGATTGGGGACGGGAGAACAGGTACTCTATTGTGTTCACATCTTGGATTGCGGCGATGGGTCTCGCGCTGGCGATGGTGGGGAAGAATAAGTATCTGAGCGGAAGCCAGAAGCTGGTGCAGGCGAGAATGTACGCCCAGGGGTTGACGCTGGCGGTGCTGATTGCTACCGCCGCGTTTGAGACGGCAGATGCGAAGGCGGGCAAGGGGAGGTGGGAGACTGTTATGGTTGTTGATCCGGAGGATCCGGAGCACAAGCATCTGATTGAGAAGAGGGTGAGGAAGGAGGATTATGAGGGGCAGAACTTGTGGCAGGGTATGTCTTTTTTTAATAAGAATCTGAATGGTTACGAAACGGAAAGCTAATATGGTAATAGATATGGTCGAGGCTGAGGAGCGCAGACTGGCCGAGCAGAAGAAGCACGTGGCTGCTCTTGAGAAGAAGGAGAAGGCCCCTGCTTCTTAAGCAGCTCCCTTCATTCTCAAATCTCACGACACGATCTATCCGGCTTTTCGGACTCGAATAATCCTTACGGTACAGCGACTCTTGATGATGCCCGTTCATCAACGCCGTCCACCTTTTAGGAGCCATCATGGCTTCTAGTCTTGTACAACAACGACAAAAAATCTCGCCCTTCTTCTTTTCCTTACATTACGGATCTGGATCTTTCTCTTTTTTGGTTTTATTGGGTGTTGAAGGAGGTTTACTACTTTTCCCCGGGTTGCTGTGGGCAAAAAGAAACGTTCTACCCAACACAGATAGACTTTGTCTCTTGGCGGCGTTCTGGGATTTGTTTGCTTTCTACCGTTTGTTCTTCCCTGTATGACTACTTGTTGTTATGAAATGATTATTGTTGGTCTTTTTTTTGGCCTTTTTGGGTGGGACAGAAGAAATGAATTGCATGGCATGGCGAGCAAAGTGAGGAGGATGGGGATACTATTCAAAAGGAGGATGGTTGTGCTTTGACTAGCAGCAGTAAATTTACAGAGATGACTACAATGTATAGGATATCTTTTGCAGTATTTCTAGTGTTTTATTGTTTCGTCTCTTGAATGAAGAGACTCTTAGACTGTGAGGCTCTCAGGAAAGTTACGGACATGATAAACAGTCTTTCAAATCAACCCTGCCCTGCCACCGACCTCTTTGCCCAGCCCATTTTCCCGAATCGCTGCTCTGCTCTTTTTCAGAAATGTAAACATGTAAAGGGGAAATAAATAAAAAGAAGACAACAAAACAATAAACTGTCCAAAAACAAAAAGGCCCAAAAAACATCTCGCTTTGATACATGGCCCCAAAACGAACAAAGCCTCTTTCCAATCCATAAGACTCTCCATCTTGGAAAAGCCTCTTCCCCTCCCTAAATCTCAATCGTAAAATGACTAATCTGACTATAGTAAGCGTGCACCGCCAGCTCCAAAACCCAAACATCCCCAAAAACCTCACTCCCGTCAAACCCCCCAATCATCAACAACCGACTGTCGTGCAGCACCGTCCCGTGATACCCCCTCCCGCTCGGCGGCAGCCCATACACCTTCCTCCTGTCCCACCCCATCGTCACCAGATTCAGCAGCAGCACATCATTACTGTATTCATTCCCGTCATGCCCCCCAATCACAAAGAGATAACTCCCCACTATCGTCGCCGTGTGGCTCAGCCGCCGGTACGTAACCGGGATGTTGACCTGCTTCCAAACGTGCGTTTCCACGTCGTAGACCCAAACATCGTTGAAACACTCCCCCCCGTCTGAGCCCCCGTAAATGATCAGTTTGGACCCGACCATGTTGGCAGTGTGGTAACCCCTAGCCTTGGGGCGGATTTCCCTGTCCGTCACTGATGTTGTTGACGAACTCGGAGACGGGCCAGACACCAGCTTCCAGCTCATCTTACCAAAGTCGCTCACGTCCAACCGCCAAATGTCATTCAACGCTCTTTCCCCGTCCCCACCGCCAAAAACATAAATCCCGCTTTTGTACAGACATGCCGTGTGGGCTCGACGTTTGGAGGGGACTCGTCCGGGCTGGTCAGACCCCATGATTTTGGGCTTTGACCACCGGTAGTTGACCGTGTCGAGGACGTAGACGTCATTGTAGTAAGCCGGGCCGTCGCCGCCTCCGAATATGACTAGTTTTTTGCCGACCGCCGTGCAAGTCATTGCGCGGAGGGGGACGGGGACGTCACCTACCACGTGGGGGGTGGACCAGTAAAAGGCGTCGGCGTCGAGGACGTATAGCTCGTTGAAGCAGGCTCTTGAGTCGCAGCCGCCAAAGACAAAGACGTTGCTCCCGACGAGGGTGGTGGTGTGAGCGCGGAGGGCGGTATGGGGGGTGCCCGAGGTGGGTGCGCGGGACCAGTACATTCCTGATGATGGGGCCGCGAGAACGTCGGGGGCGGTCTTGGGTTTTGTTAAAGGGGGGAAAGGGGTGAAGACTTCGGCGCCTTTGGCGGGTTGGCCGCGGCCGGTGCCGACTCGGGGGTGGGAAGGGGCGGCATGGCTTCCGCCTGGGGGACGACCGCCACTGGTTATGGCGGAGGTGGAGCGGAGGTTGGTTGGTCTTCGGGGGTGGGTGGTGGAGGTCGTGGATTCTTTGCCGCTTCCGGCCGAGGCGCCCGAATCGCCTCTGTCGCGGCCGAGGGTGAGGTTGACCGTGAGACTGCTGGTGCTATTGTTGTCGCCATTCTCGGTTATGGTTGGCTGGCGGGACGGGGGCGCTGAGTTGGGGGTAGGGGCTTTGCTTGCGGAAGGGTTGCTGGAGAAGGAGGTGGTTGAGTAGGAGTGTGGGATGCCTGCCGCAGCGGCTCGGGACGAGGTGTGGCCTGCTGCTGACTGGGAGCGCTGGCGGAGGGCGAGATCGCCAGACTGGTTTCGACGGTCTTGACTTCGAGACGAGAGGTGGCCTGGTGTATGGGAGCGGGGTATCGGCGGACGGTCCTGGACGGGGCTGTGGTCGTAGAGATCTCCCCCTAATGGGGTCGGAGAGCGCGGCTCTGTCGGCGACGTCACCTGGGATATCTTTTGTGAGCGCACAACCTTGTTCTTGCTGTGCGGTGACTGCGGCGTCTTGTCTCGTGATGTTGCTCTGGCCTGGTCAGCCATTGTGGGGTCGAATGATCATTGCTCGAGCATGGACGACACGGGGGGCGGCGGGGTTCGTCGTTTGAACGACACCACAGACGCTTGCAGGTGGTTTCAGTGACAGCTTCGATCGGCAGCTTATTTTCTTTTGGTGTCTTGTTGCAAATCGCGGGGAGTTTGGGGGAGAGAAGAGGCGATGGGCAATGACGCTGGCTAAGGTGGTGGCAGAGGTGGGCGATGCAGGACTGGATAAACCACGAATGGAATTGGAAGGTAGTCCGCAGCGGGAGCATGTCGCAGATGTCAGCCCTGAATGGCGCCGTCGTTTTCGCGTTTTCCCTAACTGAGACCCCCTGTATTGTTCGTACAACGTGGAGAACCCTAGGTGCCGCCCACACCGCCCGAGACGTAACCGGGCATTGAAGTGCCCCTGATTGGGTGTGGTACCCCCACCCCCGAGCAAGAGGACCATTCGTCTCGCGTTTGCGCAACATCGGCTCACGATCTGTGACAAGCTTCATTTTCTGGGGATGTCTGGATCAGAGAGGAATGCGAGGAACCTCTCTCAGATCGGGGATACAACTCCCCGAGTGCCCGTCTTCACATCACCTGCCAGGTCATCAGTAAGGCCAGAAGCAGGTTCCGGACCCCCACTCAGCGGCATATGGATCCAAGAACAGCGGAGGTCTGGCTACGGAGATGACATGCTATATCGGTCCTCATGCTGTTCGTCCCGTGGTTACACATGGCACCTTTGAAGATTCAGTTCGTATAAGCCTGGTTCCGGAACATCTTTTCACCTGGTTTGACAATTCTTGATCTCAAATCATTAGTGGCAAAGGCACACGACGACAGGAGCAAACGCTCGGTCTCGGTTCTTAGAAAGCCGTCCCGACGTGGGATCAAGATCTCTTTTACGGTACAATCTCTAAGCTGGCCCGCTTGGTGGACTGTTAGCTGCCAGTCTTCGGGAACTAAACCAATCGGCTGCCGTATCCATCAAGCGGCGTTTCAATTTGTTTTGTTCCAGATCCGATCCCGCTCCCTAAACTGACCCCGGCCGAAGGGTGAACTGCCGGCGAGCCGGGCGCACTGGGCGAGGCCGAAGTGTGGAGATGCCCGCCAGGGGAAAACAGCTAAAAGCTTCTTGTAAGGTTTCGTCCGACTTTTGCTTTTCATCCATAGAAGATTCGGCAGAACCTTCGATTTGGAGACATGCCCAATGAGCGGTGAGCTTCAAAATCGGCTTTTGAGATTCCTGGTTGCAAAAAAGATCTGGCCCCCACTCCAAGAGCAACTCCCACCTTCACAGCAGCAACGCAGGACCGCAAGTGTTGCACCCACCCAACTGCTTGTCAAACCCCGCTGTGGGGTAAAGTCTTTCAGAGCTCTGCAACTGCAAGCGTTCAGCCCACTTCCAGTGGACGGCAGAAAAAAAAAAGCAAGCTTGATCTCAGATTGGACAATTCGTCACCTCACGTTTGCCGGCGGAGACACAGTTGTTGACATCCGGGTCGAGAGAATCGCCAATCCGAAAAGCGATCATGGAGCCCCAGGAGTCAACGAAGCGGTCGCAGGATGAGATTCACGATACGGCCACCCCTCAGCAGCAGGAACCCACTCATGATGAGCCAGCTTCTAAGCGACAGAGGTTTGATGAGTCTGCTGAAACTCAAAACGGCACAACGAAAAAGTCGCCTGTGGACAGAGTGAAGGGTGTTGCCCCCATCAAGGCCGAGTACCTTATCGTTGCCCCTGGTCAGTCGGCAAAGGTTGTTGTGCCTGATGTCATTGATGATGATGAGGCTGAAGGAAGAGGCACCATTGAACACCAGCAGCAAGGAGATAGTCGCGATGCTGGGAAAGGAGGAAAGAGGAAAAAGAAGACAGGCCAAAACAAGGAGAGAACCTTTGGCACCTTTTCTGATGCTCAACGCCTTTGCAATTCCGTTGCCTGGACTCCCGAGTTCTCTCCCAGGTCTTGCAAGTTTGGTGAGCGGTGCAATGGCCTCCATGATATCCGAAAATACCTGAAGGAGGGCCGCCGTGCAGACCTGGAAACCTTTGGAGGAAAATGCCCTACTCTTGAGAAATTTGGAAAGTGCCCGTCTGGCTGGCGTTGCTTGTTTGTGTCAAGTCATAGCAAGGAGGTCGAGCACGAAGATGGGCGCAAGGAGCTAGTTCTCACAGACAAAGATGGCAACACTTACCCCGACGATGGGGATACCGGTGACGCCAATACCGAGGTGGTGAACAACGTGGAAGGCCAGATCAAGATTGACCTCTCACGGAAACGAGTCCAGTTTGAAAAGTCGGACAAGTATCTAAGATGGCTGGAAAAAGATACTCAGATTTTCCGTGACCATCACCACAAGCAAAAGGATGGCGGTGCTGAGGCGCTGGACTACAGGGCAATGTACGCCGAGCCACCTTTTAAGCCCTCGGAGAAGAAGAGGCTTTACTTTGGAAGGGAAACACCGGCTTTGGCGCCCTTGACAACCCAAGGGAACCTGCCATTCCGCCGTCTTTGCGTCGACTTGGGATGCGAGTTGACCTACTCGGAAATGGCCATGGGCATGCCCTTACTCCAGGGTGCCAAGTCTGACTGGACTCTGATGAGAGCCCACAAGAGTGAGACCACACCCCCTCGCTTCAATGGCGATGGGCCCGTTGCTCAAGGTTACGACAACTCGAAGGATCTCAAGTTTGGCGCTCAGATTGCAGCCAACGTTCCCTGGGTTGCCATCAAGTCTACCGAAGCCTTGGCTCGTTTCCTCCCACATCTCCGGCTGATCGACCTAAACTGCGGCTGCCCGATTGACATGCTCTACAAGTCGGGTGCTGGATCTGCCCTCTTGGATGCTCCCTCCAAGCTGGAGCGTATGATCAGAGGCATGAACGCCGTCTCTGATGACGTTCCCATCACGGCCAAAATCAGAATGGGCGTCCGTGATGACAAGTTCACGGCCCAAAAGAACATCGAGAGGCTCGCCCTTGGCAGTGAGGAGCATCGTGATATTCTGGGAGCTCCCGGCTGCGCGGCTGTGACACTTCACGGCCGAACAAGACAGCAACGGTACACCCGCGCGGCCAACTGGGAGTACATCGCTGAGACGGCCGCCATGATCAAGCGCTTGAACGAGAAAACTGACAGCCTCACCGACACCATTCGCGAAGTCGATGAACGAACTCTACCCAATGGCGGGAGGATGTTCTTCATTGGCAACGGCGATTGCTACTCGCACATTGACTACTTTGACCACGTCGACAACACCAAGGTGGACACGGTCATGATTGGCAGAGGAGCGATCATCAAGCCCTGGATCTACGAGGAGATCCAGACTGGTCAGTACTTGGACAAGTCGGCCACGGAGCGGTTAGGGTACATTGAGAAATTTGCCCGGTATGGAATGGAGGCTTGGGGGTCAGACGAGCTGGGGATCAACTACACGAGGAGGTTCCTGCTGGAGTTTTTGAGCTTCTTCAGCCGGTATGTTCCTGTTGGGCTGCTGGAGTATCTGCCGCCGAGTATCAATGAGAGGCCGCCGGCGTACAAGGGAAGAAATGAGCTTGAGACGTTGCTTGCGAGTAAGGATTATAAGGATTGGATCAAGATCAGGTTTGTTCATGTCAGTTTCGATCTGTTGGTGGGGCTGTTTGCTGATATTTTGTTTGATATTCTAGTGAGATGTTCCTCGGCCCGGCACCTGCTACGTTTTCTTTTACGCCTAAGCACAAGTCAAACTCGTATGAGATCGAGGCGGAGGGTTGAGAGGGCTTGTTTTATGGGTGGGGTGGGTGATGTAAAGGTTGTACGCTATGAGAAAAAGGGGGGGAAATCATGCCGAGGCTGAGGGTTATGGTTGCACATGACAGGTTTTTGGAACCTCAGATTTGGCAGCGAGATATGGCAAGTTGGATGTAATGTCAAAATAGACAGCATGTATGCAATGCACTCTTCTGCGGTGGTATTATCTGCTGTATCAAAACCCCCCTTTTCTTCTGTGAACCCAGTGGTGTGTGCGTTGTCCAGTTAAGATCCGAGACTGGGATTTGTTCTATATGTTCCATGTGGTCTTTCGATCCAAACGTGTTTTTGGTAGGACAACCGTCAGTGAGATGAGATGTTTCTGTTTCAACTTGAAGAGAGATAGAGAGAGAGAGGTGGGGGGGGAAGAGAAGCGGTGAGGCGGGCCGAGTGTATACAAGAGGAAAGAGAGACGAGACAAGGCGAAACAAGACATGGGGGCCAGGGGGGAGGGTTGTGGTGGTTACACTGCATCCTGGCAGAGATGGGGATATGTTGGAGATAGACGAGTGTGTTCTTCTGAGATGGCGATCAAGCTTGGATTAGTGGGATAGGTCCTTTGGAAGGGTTCATTGCGAAATGCAAAAGTCGGTGATCGGCTTGTCATCTTGTTGGTCTGTAAAGCCAAGCTAGGTGAGATCTGGGTATGTCGGTTTTGTGTAACACTCTCACTTGCTAGCTCCCCTTGACTAAAATCTCACAGCACCCGTCATATACCACCCACCTGTCTATGGTAAGATCTACCAAAGCTCCTGATTTGACTGCTCGGATCTAAAAGGCAAAGTATAGTAGATAGACGCGGGAAGGGAATCCGGGAGTTGAGGGGCGGTTCCTTCCCGTTTCTTCTTTTTTCTGCTTAGTTGTGTGTAACATTGTTTTAGACCAATGACAGAAAGGTACCAGCAGTGGGATGGGAAGTTGGGGCCATCTTATCATCACTACTAGATCCAGGACTTTGGGCATGGATGGGTAAAAGTACCAGAGAGAGGTGCGCTTGCATTGCATGAGATGCGAGGGTGCTGCTTACTGCGGTTGGTTCTCCATCTTGGGGGTATAGCTTCATGTCGTGGAGAGGGAATATATTGGCGCGGGCTTGGTATGGGGTGTGCAACGTGGGACAAAAGCTTACATGGTGGACGGGTAGGTCTGGCTTGATGCTGGAGGGGGCAAACATGGCGCTTGTTATTGTTTCTTGGTTCTGGAAAAGGCTGTGTGTGATGATGGGAGTTTTTTTCGTTTTTGCGAGCGGACCAGTGGAAGGTCGACAACGTGGTTTTGTGGTTGGGGTGGTGCTGATGTGCGGTTGCACGGGGCTTCTCCTCTTAAGTGATGATCTTTGTGGTGGTTATCTTGATGTAGTGCTCATGAATGTTGACTACATTCCAGTCAACCGTCAACCGACGAGTCTCCTAACCCAGAGCCCCGGGGTGAACCGGGAGAACTGAGACACAGTGGCGTTGTTGGGGTAACCCGGGCCATCATCATCTTCACTTCCCCTCTACTATACCGAGGAAAGAGTGTTATCATCATGCAGCCGATGGCATGCATCTGTTCCGCGATACACAGCAGCCCATAGTCACCATGGCCACGGGCAGAAGCATGGAAGGAAGGGGCGGGCATGCGTGTCTCTTGGCCTTATGCAGTGATTCCCTTCACCACCTTGCCTGTCCCTCTTTCCCACCTTTGCAAAGTTCCTTCCCTGGCAGAGTTCTTTTCTTGAATATCAGAATACATATATCTGCAAGGCAGCTACGTTAGGTTGCCCTGTGCTTTCCAGTTCTGAGGACTTCCCCTTGTATTCTTACATCCTTTCCAGGGCCTGTGTTCTTAGACTACCGGCAGTATCTAAGTTTTCCTGGCGTATTCATCCACTATATTTTTAGTTCGAATAGCAACACAATGGGTCTGTCCACATTTCCACCGCAGTCGAAAACGGACATCGAAAGTTACACCCACGAAAAGACCCGCGCATCAGACACCGGTGATGAAGGTTTCATCACCGCTTCCAGCAGCAGAGAAGGTGTTGTCCTTGAGAGCGACAAGAGCTGGTTCTTTTCTAGGCTTCAAAGGTTTGCCGGTAGTTATGGCGTGGAAGAGCGGGGTGTTGAGCGGGTGCCGGAGGATGAGAGGAGAGATACAAGGGCTTCCAAGATGGGCGGCGTGGTAGGTCCTGTCTTCTGTTAACCCAAATATCCGATACAAGTTCAAAGACTGACATAAGCTGTGAATATAGTGGCTGGCAGCCAACATGGGGATGCCTACTTTTGCTCTGGGGGCCGTGGCCGTGCCAATCTTTGGACTGGGCTTTGTGGATGCCGCGTTGATTATTGTACTCGTCAACATACTCGGAGTTCTCCCCGTTTGCTTCTTTGCACTTTTTGGGCCAAAGTTTGGGTTAAGACAGATTATTCTGTCCAGGTTTTGGTTTGGACATTATGCGGTCAAACTTAGTGAGTCGTCCAAGTTCTGTGTGAATAACCATAGCTGCTGACCCAAGGTAGTTGCGATATTTCAGATTATCACCTGTCTTGGGTGGGCATCTGTCAATGCCATCGTTGGAGCTCAGCTGTTGAAGGCCGTCAACCCTGATATTCCCGGCTGGGCCGGGATTCTCATTGTGTCTTTGGCAACGCTGATTATCTGCTTGTTGGGTTACAAAGCTGTTCACTTTTACGAACGGTACGCGTGGATTCCGTGCTTTGTGGTTTTTCTTGTTGTCATGGGGGCTTTCATAAAATCCGGAGAGTTCGACAGCCTCCTGCCTCTGGCCACGGGGCCAAGTGAGAGGGGAGCTGTTCTTTCATACATCGGAGCTGTCTTTGGGTTTGCTGTCGGTTGGTCGGCATACTCGGCTGATTATAGTGTCTATCAGCCCTCGACACGATCAACCAGGTCGACCTTTCTCTGGGTGTTTTCTGGGCTGACGTTTCCTCTTATATTTGTCATGCTCCTCGGGGCTGCTATTTCTACGGCTCTGGTCAAGAATGAGGAATACCAAAAGCACTATGAGAACGCAGGTGTTGGAGGTCTCATGGCGGCTGTGTTGACGCCGAATGTTGAACCTGGGTTTGACAAGGCCTGTCTTATCCTGGTGGCGCTCTCGATCATTGCGACCAACTGCCCCAATATCTACTCGGTCTCATTCTCGTTGCAGGCACTGGCGAGACAGACTCAGCAAGTGCCGCGCTTCGTGTGGACTATCTTTGGGACGGCAGTGTATGTTGGGATTGGTATTCCTGGGTACAACCTCTTCGAAACCTGGCTCGAGACGTTCGTGTTGAGCACGGGATATTGGCTTTCGATCTATGTTGCCATTGCCCTGGTGGAACACTTTTTATTCCGCGGAGGATTACGTGGATTTTCAGGGTATGATGTGGGGGATATTCACAAGCCAGAGCTTTTACCACCGGGGTTCGCAGCCATTGCTTCTTGCCTGGTTGGCGTTGTGGGTGTTGCTCTGGGGATGTCTCAGGAATGGTACACGGGAGTGATTGCTAGGTTGTGTGGCGGGGAGGGGCACGGCGCTGATGTGGGTGTTTGGCTGGGGTTTGCTTTTACTTTCATCACATATATTCCTCTGAGGGCTGTTGAAGGGAGTTGTTTTGGGAGATGAGTGCTGGAGTGTTTTGATGTATATGAACTATGATGAAACGAATCTGGAGGAGAATCTTTGAGGTATATGTGATAGCGGCGGTTAGTCTCCCTAGAATAACACATGATGTTCGGCCAAAAATGTTTCCAAACTTTTTCGTCGATATATCTTCTTGGAACTTTGAGCTCTGTGAGTGCTACTCTGTTGAAAAGCCAAGAGGAGTAAGAGAGTGTTGGCTGGAAGGAAATGTTCATTATTGGGAGAAGTCGGAATTTGCGAGCAATGAAGATTCAGTTCTCAGCTCAGCACAAATTTACTCTTTCCTCGTAAGTTGATGCCAGGCTCTAGGAGCCACTGGGAGCTCAAAGGGTGAGCTTGGAGGCTTGCCAGCTGCCTGTCCAGGTGGCACCTGCCAAGGAGCGCCAACCACCACTCATTCCCTGCAGCCTGTTGCCAGCAGCTTCACTTCACTCACTGAACAGCGCCCCATCAATCACTTACACCACGTTTACATTCTTTACTTATCCCAAAGTAGTAGATTGATACAGTCACCATGCCGCCGACTGTACTCCCAGCGTCGGGGAATCCCCTGTAAGTCCATGTTCTTTTTGTTTCCACTTTCCTCACCATTCACTGGGTTTCTTTGCAAGCGGTGGCTGAGCATTGAAGCCCATGTCATGATGGTGAACCCTTACCACGCCTGCTATCCATGGAATCTGACAACCTTCCACCCCATCCTCCACTCACTGCCTCACATTTGAACCCATACTGACCTCTCATCCAGCGTCTTCTTCGACATCACTCTTGGCGGTACTTGTCCCTTCCTTTTCGTCCCATCTGAGTGCTTGTGCTGACCCACTCACCAGGTGAACCCCTCGGCCGCATCACCTTCGAACTCTTTGCCAATGTGGTCCCCAGGACAGCCGAGAACTTCCGCCAGTTCTGCACCGGCGAGCACAAGAACAACCAAAACCGGCCCCAGGGCTACAAGGGCTCCAAGTTCCACAGAATCATCCCCAATTTCATGTGCCAGGGCGGTGACTTCCTCAATGGGGATGGCACCGGGTCGACGTGTATCTACGGGACCAAGTCCTTTGCGGATGAGAATTTTACGCTGAAGCATGATAAGGCTGGGTTGTTGAGTATGGCTGTAGGTGTCGCCCTGCTTTTATACTGGTGGTGAAGTGAAGGGCTGACATGAAAACAGAACGCAGGGCCAAATACAAACGGCAGCCAGTTCTTCATCACGACGGTGCCAACGCCATTTTTGGACAACAAGCATGTGGTGTTTGGGCAGGTGGTGGATGGGATGGATGTGGTCAAGAAAATGGAGAATACGAAAACGGGATACAAGGGGAAGGATGTGCCGAACCTGGACGTGGTTATCGCTCAGTGTGGAGAGATGTAGAGATGGAGTGTTTAGAAGCAGGATGACGAGTGCCCTATTGCCAACAATAGAAAACTTTTACATCAATGCAAAAAAGAGCCAAGATTGAAAGGGAGAAGTGTCGTCAAATAGACGGCAGAGGGGAGATCATACCGGGTGATATTCCACTCCACACATTGACGAGCGCATGACAGGCAGGGGGTGGTGGTGAGACATGGCAGATAAACCCTGGCAGAGATCAACGACTGGCTGCGGATAAAACCGTTTCTTTGGTGTCGTGTGTCTGTGCGAATGAAGCTTGATTCCGTCAAAGTTGTCAATCCAATGCTTATCATCTGTTCATCCGTGGGGAAAGCGGCAGTCTAGATCTGAAGAAGACCAAGAGGCAAATTGTCTAGTGCTATCCAGCGCCTCGGGGAGAGTCATAAATAAGAAAGTTCCAATCTCGCTTTGACGGGCGGCAAGCGGCAAAAGGGCTAAAATAGACAACAAAGGAACGTTGTTTCGTAGCGCGCTGTGCAACATCGCAAGATGAAAGAAAATGGGAAGAACAAGGGCAGCGCGCTTGATGATATTCTGTGGTACCAAAGGGCATTAGTGTGTTTCCAGTGTGGTGGTGTGCATCCAATCACTCGCAGCTCGGCTCTTGAAGTTGCAACCGCTCAGACCCGCTTTTCACCATCGCCAATCTGAGCTTTGCCGCGAGTGGATGGTTCGAGTGGCTGTCCTTGTGTCTACAAAAGTGGCCCCTGCGTTGGCAAGTCACTTTTCCTACTGGTTTTGCAGCAGAGGTACTTGTCGCCTTACAAAGAGCCTCGATGCAACACCATCCAATACATCGAGATGGTTCACCTTCCTCGCTGGCAACGACATGGGACGTGGACAGACAGCGCCTGCCGCTGCTCTGGGCTGCAACATGACCGTCCCGGCATATCGAATGAAGTGTGTTTCTTGCTCATCTCGCCAACCTGATCTGAGGCCTTCTTTTCGTTCGTTTTCGTCGCTTTTCGTCTGTTTCCTCGACTTCTTGGTCACGACCCCCTGCTGACTCCGGCGCGAGATGGCCCTGGAGAGTCTGCGGTCTGATGATAACTTCCGTTGCTTGCGCGTCTGTGTTGTGTGGTAGTGCCATGCTGCCGGTCCCTTTTACTCTCCGTCCCGGCCACATGGAACAAGTCCTTTGTTTCTCTCACCTTTGTTGCAACTCACATGTGTACTTTTGCCGCAAGGTTCCAAACGTCGGGGTAATTTGATATCTACCTTCTGCAGCCCCCAACTTTCTTACTCTTCTATTTTCTCGTCATATTTCCTTTTGGGTATCTTTTCTAAGTCTTTTGATCACGGTCACGGAGTACTACCTTGGTTGCTGACCTTTGAACTATCGCCAACTTCATTGTACCGCCAACAGCTTCACTGGCCTTCGTTATCAGAAGGAGCACCTTCCTTCTCGACTTGCAAGTTGGTGGCGGCGCAACCAAGCCGCTGTTCTTCTCCTTTGTTGTCCCTGACAAGGCCTTGACGCTGGTCGTGACAATGGAATTATAACCCATTGTTGGCGCCATTTCCCTCATTTTATTCAACACAAAGCCAGCTGGTCTGACTGCTATTGTGCTCGCTGGCCGCTTCGACTATCCCAGGATACTAAAGCATTCTAATCCTTTTTTCCTCTTGTCGGAATTCTTTCCGGTTTACGAACTTTCCTTACCGACACAACGAACACTGCAACGAACTACAACACCTTGAACACTCAGCTTTTTCAACATATCTCGAAGTTTGTCTCACTACGAGTTTGTTCCGCGAACCGCTTATACACCAGACGAAAACGACAGACCAACCATGAGGTTAACATCGCCAAGAAGCGGTCTCTTGACCGCAGCACTCCTCGCCCTCTTCGAGACAGCAAAAGGCCACTCCTGGCCAGAATCGACCCGTCGTATCGCTACTAACGGTACCTTCATCGGCGAGGAGGGCTTCGACAGAGCTCATATTGATCGGGAGAACCCCAGAGAGCAATTCGATTACCTCCTTCCCCCAAATGGCTTATCGACGGGAAAGCTCATCATGCACGACCACCCCATCGTCAGGAAAAGCCAAGGCCCACTCGGCAGCTCAAGCTATTCTGAAAAGTTTCCTATGCTCAAGGTCGCTCCTGGTGACTTTGTCTCCATCTTTTACCTCGAGAACGGCCACGTCACCAGAGCTGATGGCGCCAACCCCAACAAGCCTATCAACCGCGGCACTATCTACCTCTATGGCACATACGAGAACGATCTTTCCAAAACAACCCTGACCGATGTCCTCCACACCTGGACCGCCGATGGCAAAGGTGGTAACGGAAAGGGCCGTCTTCTCGCCACCCGCAACTACGACGACGGCCAGTGCCACGAGCCTATTCCAGCTACTGGCGACCCGGAAGGCATTTCCAGGTACCGCAAGGACGAAATCACCCAGTCCGAGGCCCTGAGATGCCAGTCCGACCTTCAAATCCCCCTCGACGCCAAGCCGGGCGATGTTCTCACCGTGCTCTGGATCTGGGACTGGCCCGACATGAACAAGCCCGGCGCTGCCGTCCCCCCAGCTAGCTTCCACGCCAATTCTTCCGACTTTGGAGAGTACTTTGTCACCGTTCCCGAGATCTACACCGGCGTCGTCGACTACAAAATTGTCGACCCCTGCGACGACTCCTTGGGTGCGGTCAAAGGGCCCACCTGCAGTAAGGGCGGCAAGTCCTCCTCCCCCTTTAGCGGTATCCTCAACAGCAAGAAGCGTTTCCGCAACAGGGTCAAGTTTGACTCGAAGCAGCCGGCCGAGTTCCGTGGTATCCAGAGGCAGATGGTCCAGCCGTTTATGGTGAAGGTACCCCAGGCTGGGTTCGGCGGTAGCAACAGGTCCTCGGCAAAGTTCTTTCCTGGCACACGAGAGGGGAGGGTGAGTGTCGACAAGGCGAATATTCCACTTGCGGGGCTGATCGGGAAGGAGACTAAGCCGCCGGTGCCGTTTTCGATGGAGATTTTGGACGGGCAGAGGAGGTATCTTGAGGAGGAGGCGGTGCCTGAGGGTGATGATGATGATGAGGAGGAGGAGGAGGAGAATGACGGACCGGCGCCGCCGACCTCTACTGTGGCTCCCACTCAGACCCAGACAACACCGACTTCTTCCCCGACGGTACCAACACCTACGGATGGAGCTGATTCTTCTTCTATCGCGCCAAAGCCTACGGAGGGTATTGAGACTATTGCTCCCAGCCCATCAAGCAGTCTTGAAACTAGCACCACATCACCAAAACCAACAGATGGTGCTGGTTCCAATCCAGGCAGGGAAGACGGCGTTTTTTACGTCACCGTGACTATACCCACGAGCTTCGTGACAGTGACAGTTCCCAAGACGGCGACTGCCTCCACCGCCACCGCCACAGCCAGTTAGGAGGTGTAACTCCCCCCCCCCCTTTTTTTTTTTTTGGGTGAAATCTTTTGGACATATAAAAAGAATGAGCACACGCACACGCAACAGCTTTGATGGGATTATGTCATGAAGGATGGGATATGGCTTATGGAGGATATACCACTACTCTCTTTTGTCTTTTTCTTTCCTAGTTTAGTTATCGAAATTTTTCTTTTGCTAAGGTATTTGGGAGGGTAAATTGCATTGATTGCATCGCATTAGGTGGAGTTATGGGATTGGAATTCAGTTAAAAATTGAGGACAAGATTGAATACACAAGGTTGATCATATATCACTGTGCAGGGTTGTCACTTATGAGGTATTGGTTGTTTTTTAATGATTTCATTATCATCATCCGCCCCCATTAATACCCTTAGAAGGGTCTGGGGGCAAGGCGATAATACGTGAGCTAATTACTTATCCCAACTTGCTTCGCTTCTTCGTTCATCATGATACATGATATAGCTTTAGGTAATAAGATGACCCATCATTAGACGTGAAAAAGGTAAGGTATGTCGTCCCCTGAAGATAGTAAAAAGCATAGCCAAGGGGCCAAGTTCCCAGAGAAAAAGAAAAGAGGAAAAAGGACCGCCCAGGATCAAAGCGGGAACGCCAGAGAATAATCAGCCAACCAGCCAACCGGACCAAAAAAAAAACCAAAAAACAAAAAAAAAAACTAACTAACATGCAGAAGGCTGAAAAAATCAAATAAAAGAAAAATCAACACTGCCTAAAACTCTTCCTCCTCCACTCACCCGAATCCAAATCCCCCTCCTCATCCCCCTCCTCATGTCTCCTCTTCAGGCTCTTCCTCTCTTCACCAACCACCGCCCCATTGCCGTTGGTATGGCCACCCATCACCGGCATCTCCATAGCAGCAGCGGCCTTCTCCAACCTCTGCGCCGCTGTATCCCCTGCCGTTGTCAGAGAGTTTACCGCCTCGGGCTGAGCGCCCGGGGCAGTCAAGTTGAGCGGAATAGGCGGCAAAATCTCCTCCCAGTTCTGCCCCAGTTCCTCCTCCCCTGTCTCCTGGGAGTTGCCGTTGGTGCCGTTACCAGTAGTAACCTGGTTCCAGTCCGTCGTGTCCTGAGATTCATGCTGCCCAGCTGTGATGGGATCAGGACCCAAAGCCGGCGCGGTGGTCGTCAAGGGAGTGTGCGTGGACGTGGCTGGGGTCCAGAGGTCGTGGTCGTCGGCTGTGGTGGTGACACCCCCCGCAACAGCGGTGGAGATCCAGGGCTGGGATTGCACATGGCTGTGGGTTTTATCATAGAGACTTCCCCTGTGGGATGGGGTGGGTTGGGTGTGGTTTGGCCAGGGGGCCAAGGGGGAGTGGGTGTATGTTGATGCTGCTGATTGATAAGGCTGGGACCAGACGTTACTCGAGCTGGTCAAGGTATTGGAGGTTGACCAGTGGGATTGGTCATACCCAAAGGAGGAGTTGCCGTTTGTGAGGAAGGGGTCTGTCACGGCGGCGAGGGTGTTGAGTGCCGAGTCGGCGTCCAGTCCGGCAGTTGTTGTGGTGACGGAGTGGGTGGACATGTAATTTGGCATGAGGTCAGGTTGGGTAGATGTGGTGTCAAAGTTGTGAGTGAAAGATGTGGGGAGGGATGCACTTGGGGGAGGGGTGGCGAGAGCGCGGTGGCTGCTGAAGCTGTCGAGGGGGCTGTAGCCGGGCATGGCTGACACATGGGACTGACTGGGCGCCATGAGATGAGCGCTATAGGCTTGCGTGGCTGACGTGGAAAGGGGGTTGAGCCCGGTGGGAGTATCCCATGCTGACGAAAAGTTCTCGCTCATGCTCGCGGTCAAGTGCTGCTGGTATGTGGGACTGGGGGACATGACCACATCCCGGGAGACAGGACGGACGTGGTTGGATGAATATCCATCCGCATAGTCAGACACAGCAGAGTTCTTCCTGCTGCCACTGATGATGGCCTTTTGTTGGTGCTCCTCGCTCATTGGGTCGAGGATGGTGAGATAGCGCCACTCTGTCCTGCCGCTCTGCGCGGTGTTGAGTTTGCCATCTACCTCGCTGTGGATCGTCTTGAAAGTCCATACAATCACTGCTCGTCGAGTCCATCGCTGGGATCTTGAGCCGTTCCCTTGAGGCTCGGGGCCATAGTGTGGGGCATCAGGGGGACATGACCAGATCTCCTGCATCATGGCAATCTTGGGCACAAGATCCATCTGTGTGAGCGGCTTGCCTCGGCGGTTGGGCTTGCCTCCTTCCTCGCCCTCCTCCTCGACCTTGACGTTGAGGTCCTTCCTTCGCTTTCCATTCTTGCCGGCGTCGCTGAAGGAATGGGCTGGATATTCAGCACAGTTCGTCAGTGTGCTGGCCCAGATATCAGCTGGAAAGGGGACAGTGACAGAGTCACGGTGACGTCGCTGAGCGATGCAGTCACAGTGAGCCCGCCCATCAGGCCGAGGACCTTCACACCCTGGGCGGTGCTGATATTGCATAGCGATCTCTGCCGAAGTCTCGTACATGGTCTCAGGGCTCGCGCTCTCGTGTGAGTAGCTCAGCTCCGCTGGCCTCACCAAGCGCGTGTGCACCTTCCACCGATGGCTCAGTAGACGTGGCTGCTCAATGTTGATTTCCACCCAGGAGTTGAGCTCCGACTGGCTTGGAAACCGCCGCTTCTCCTTGAGCTCGAGGGTGACATTCATGTGCAGAATGGTGCACCGCTGATCTATGGTCGAATCGCAGATGCCCTGTAGTCTCTGATGCAGTTCCGGAAACGAAGTCTCCCATTTCCGCCCGAGGTCGTTAACGCTGGTCGACTCAATCTGCTGCATCTCCTTGGTGAACTCGTGAAGCAGAGCGCCCTTGAAGATCTGCTGCTCTTCCTTGAGCCACGTCTCCCTCTCGAGGTTGCGCGCGAGGTGGGGATACTCGTTCTCATCGAGCTTGTCGCCAGTGGAAGGGAGAAAGCCAGATCCATCTTCCCTCACCGAAACGCCCTGGTGTGACACAAAAATCCAGCATCGTTTGGGTCGGGCAGTCACCTGTTCATTCAATGCAAGGATGTCGGCAAAGTACTCGTAGTTTGGCCGTTCGTCAGGGAGCCGGTCTTCGGACAGGGCAATCAAGACGGGGTTGTTCTTCAGGGAAATCGTCTCGATGCTGTCCTTGTCCTTTTCATCGTTGCGGCTGTTGAAGAAAAAGTGGACTGTAGGGATGAGCCAAGGGAGCCACCATTGTCAGCCGCTTGCTTTTTCTGGCGGTTATGCAAGCACTTCCGCACCGAACAAAGGGATCCGCCACGTGGGAGAATGGGAACGTGCAACTTACAACAACGGTGGTTTGCGAAGAACTGTTTGAGCACTTGGATGTGGCTCGACACTTGCTTTCGGTGCCTCACGAGGTTGCATTCTGCCTCGGTCCCTGGCGGTAAGGTCTGCAGGTAGTAGATCCAAAGATACTCCCCGATCAGCATGTTCCGCCCAAACTGTGTCTGCTTCATGGTATATTTCCTGCGCTTCATCTGGGGGATAAGCAGCAGCGCTGATGACAACCTCTTAGCAAACAAAACTAGACACTGCTCGTGTTGAAGATAGGACTTACCGTCAATGAAGCCCCATTCCAACACATCGGTCCATTTCTGGTCTGTCTTGTCGGCCTGCTTCTTCCTGTAGTTCTGAAAGGCTGCCGGGAGCAGCGGAATCAACGGGTTCTCTTCGAATTGCCTTCTCCTGAAATTGGTTACCCGGTGCCCCTGGTAGTGATGCCGCTGTTGCTGTCTGCCGTAGACCGACGGTGTTGATGAGCCATAGTCTGGGCCAAAGGACTGCGTCGGTACAATAGGCGGAGTTGGTATTGATGGAGACATGGAAGCAAGACCGCTGGCAGCACCCAGCTGGCGAATCTGTTCCGAGTACCAGGCTATGTGTGAGTATTGAGCATTCCCGGTCGACTCTCGAAGCGGCTGTCGTGAAGCCGAAGTTCCATGGCGGCCCTCAACCCCATCGTCGGGCGACGTAGAATAGCATTGTGAGGGAAGGACTGGAAACCTCATTGCTCAGCTCCGAGGATGAGACCTGGGAACAATGTGTAGAAACCTAAACCTCTCCCAGGTGGCAAACACTCTTGTTCAGCTCAGGAACGCTGACGAGAACGAATGAAAGAGGAAGGAATCCTGAGTGGAATGGTTGTTCGTCAGGATGCGGGCCAGAATCACATATAAGGTATGCCAGAGCAAAAGAGACAGGCATGAAGAGGGGGCGGCATAGCTTATAAGAGGGCTCGACACCGTCCCTGCCTCTGACGATGCTGCATGAAGCGAGGATCAACTGAGCCCATCCCGCCGTTCTTCGCTTCAGATTATTGCTGCACCCCATCATTGCCTAGGGCGATGGATACCCCTTCAGGGTCAAACAAGCAGCGAGTTGGGTCTGGGTCAGCCGTCCTGGGCTGCATTCAAGATGGGTGCCAACACTGGCACGCAAGGGCACTAGGCCGTCGTGGAAACATACGGCTCGAATCTGACCTGCACCGTGCCCTCTCTCGGTTGGCGGCACCCCTCAAAACCGCGGGGAGGGAGGCCGATGAAGGGGCTCATTTTCGGAATGAGAACAAAATTAGCCCTACACAGCAACAGATCGATCAGACGCAACGGCCAAGCCTGTGAGCAACGTGCGAGACAGGAAAGCAAGTTTGTCAAGACAAGGGTGGGGTTTTCTTCAACGAGAGTTGACAGGGGCAAACACACTTCTTGGCAAGGGGGGGGGACCGTTGAGATTTTGAGACATTCCATCCGTCGTCCCTCAGTGAGGTGACCGTCAACATTAATTTTATTCATTACACTCTCATGCCTCGTCTTCAGGATTATCTCCAAAATTGACCTTGCTCCTCCCTGTCCCAGTGAGTTGCTGAAGGGCAACCTTGCTAACCTGGCCACGCATCTTCTTCTCCATGGCCTCGATCTGTTCCTCGGCATCAAGCTCCTCAGCTTCAGCAAAGTCAAGCACAAGTCTTCTCCCGAGAAAATGCGTGTCTTTGAGTGCAGTGATCGCGTTGAGCGCCTCCTTGCCTGTGGAGAACTCGGCAAAAGCAAAACCACGCGAAGAGTGGTTGAATTTCTTGGGAATACGGAGAGCAACCAGTTTTCCATAGTTGCTGAAGAGTGCGCGCACGTCCTTCTTGGACGCTTCGAACGGAAGGTTCTTGATGACCACCTTTGTGCGTTGAGCATTCGCCTTCTTGGCCAGATCCTCCCGCCTCCTCTCTTCGGCCGCGTCCAGACCCCTGTGGGAAGCCTTGACCAGAAGCTTGTGTCCGTCAAGCACATGGCCATCCATAGCCTTTCGTGCAGCCTGGGCCTGCTCCTTGGTCCTGAAGGCGCAGAAGCCAAAGCCCATGCTCAACACCTGACCTGGTTTCTTGGGATCGGTCTTGGTCTTCACCTGCGCACTCACAAATCCATCCAAGGGCTTGAACGCATTTGTTAATCCTTCGGTGGTGGTGGAGAAGTTCAGGTTGCGGACGAATAGAGAGGCCGTCTCTGGCTGATCCTCACCGTCATCGCGTTCCAGCAGGTAAGAAGCTGACACCTTCTGAACACCGGCAGGACGATCTGCGGGCTGGGCCAGATTGTCGACGAAGAGCCCTTTCGGGCCTTTCTCGAGGTACAGCACGCCGTCCTTGAATCTAGAGTATGCTTTCTTGGCGAAAGCTGCCCTGCAGTGTGCTGGTTGCGCGAACTGGACAATGGCAATCGTCCCGCTTGTGGGCATAAGCACACGGAGGACGGAGCCATGCTCCTCGAAGAGGGTTCTGATCTCCTCGATGGTGGCGTTCTTGATGTTCTTGACCAGAATTGACGTGTCACCTCGCTGCTGAGACTTGAAGGCCTCGATGTTCACACCATGAGTTGCAAAGTAAGCCTTGGCCTCCTGGATGACGGTGGTCTCAGCGATTGCCTGTTTCACAGCGGCAGACGCGTCGGTGGGGTCCAGGAGCTCATGCTTGGACACACCCAGGCGTTCAGCTACGGCGGTGTTGACAGCATCTTGGCTCATAAAAAGCGAATTCCAGTTGAAGGTACTGGAGGCAGCTTCAGCCTTCTTCTTGAGCAGCTGTTGCTTCTTCAAAGGGAGCTTCGAGATTGCGTATTCATCAAGCTTGTTCTCCCTTTTGGCAGCAGCGGGAAGGATGTGGATGATGCGGCCCTGAAAGACGGTGCCGTCTGTCTGGAATGCGGAAAGCGCCGCCTCAGGACTGGCATAACGAATCATAGCAAAGCCTTTGCTTTGGCCCTGATTATCCAGCGGAACATGAACCTGCCAGAGAGTTAGCGAGAGTCGAGTGTCACTAGAGGCGAAACAGCAGGACAACAATCGGGCCTTTTTTCAGAATCTCGAAGCATCTACTAAAATACCGAGCCCAGGTTCTCATCATATGCTTTGCATAAGATGTCCCTATCAGGGGTTCATCATGAAAAGGCGACTGCAAAGAGCGAAGGAAACAGGAATCATGTCAAGCTTACCTCTTCAAGTTCGCCAAACTGGCTGAAGTGGTCCCTCACATTGTCCTCCGTTACCGTGTAGCTGAGATTCCGCAAAAACAGACGAGCTGTCTTCTGGATCAACTTCACGGCATCCTCAGGTGTGCGAGCCACAACAGGTTTCTCACCAGACCCGGCAGCAAGACCCGGTTCCTGTGTTTCTTGGACTTGGGCCTCTGGCAGAGGTGTTTGAGTGGTGGCAGGCATTGCACCAGCAGACTGTGCGGGAAACCCGGGGTCATCCGGGTCCACAAGGTCCAGCAGACGGTTCGTTCTCGACCGAAGCCAGTCATCATCAGTGGCTTCAGCGGATACCTGCGGCACTTCCCTTGCAGCGTCCCCGGCTGGTTGGGATGGTGCGGGGGGGATGATAGCTGCGACAGGGGTGGCAACAGGTAGAGCCGAGGTAGGTGCCTCCTCGATTGGCCGTTTGGGCCTCACTGGGATGTCCTCGTACTCATCGTCACTCTCACCACCCTCGATGAGAGCCGAGGGGATAGCATCGGCCGCTTCTGACTCAAATGCGCCACTCCCTAGGGCTTCTCCGTCCTTAGCCTTCTTGGTGGGATGACCCATGACCTCAAGAAACTCCTGAAGCTTGGGGTCAGCCTCGTCAACGACGTCCCGCTTCCTCTTCTTTGAGCTAGGGTCATCCTCGCTTGGCTCTGCGTCAGACTTGACGAGAGAGCTTGCCTTGGCTGCATCACGGCTCGGGACATGAGCAGCTTGTGTGGCTGATCTTGGGATGGCGGCTTCAATCTAGATGCACGACAATTAGTTGTTGGCCTTGTCGAACGGTGGGATCAAAATGTCCTTACAGGTTTGGCCAGATCGACGCCGATCCTGGACATGCGAATAAAGGACTTGTTGAAGTACTTTACGGCTTTGATTGCATCTTCATGAGACTTGTAACCAACAAACCCGATGCGGCGGTTGGGGATGAGCTTGACATCGGTGACCTCTCGTCCCTGAAGCGAGAAGTGTTTGCGAAAGTCAGCCTCGGAGATGGACGGCGGTAGGTTCTTGACGAAGATTCTTGACGACTCCATTGTGATGGCGATGACGATGACGATGATTGGCGATGTTGTTGCTTGCTCCTTCCGGTCTGCCGCGGGCAGTTGATTAGAGCAGTTGCTACCGTGTAATCATTGGAACCAGAGTACCGCGGAACAAAGCGACAACTCTGTGGTGGGTGATGTAGTTTTTGGCTTCAGTCGAAGGAAGAGGAGAAGGTCTAAGATTTTTTTCCGCACTGGCCCCAATTAAATTTTAAGCTTTGCCCCACCCACACCGGCTTTTCGTTATCTTATCGGAGAGCCTCCGCTGAAGCTCCACTGCACCAGTGGGCTCAAGCTCCAAAGTCCCGGATACCTTAACTCTGCCGACACTTCCACATATCAGCTCGGTATAGCTACATCGATTACCCCAGGTGAGTGGTGGGCCCCAGTCCTTCCCTTCCCCGTCGACCGCCTCACTGCGGACGCCAATGATTTTGTCCTGTTGCCAGGCTTCTGTCCAGTAGCAAAACAACAAACCAGACACGGCTCCCTTCGTCACTTGTTTGCCTCTTCTCCGCACTCCACGCTTTATTTTGTGACCTGACGCCAACTTACATAGTTGATAGCTCAACAACAAGCCCTCTCACATTTCCACCTGCACGGCCGAACCTGCACCGCCGCCACCGGGAGCTTTGAACTATCGATTACGAACACCTGCACCCCATTGTTTGCGCGTACCGGTACGTTGGGCCCCCATTCGATCCCATCCATCTCGTAACCGCGTGCTTGCCAGGAGGAGCGTCTGTCGCTTGTTGGCGGCAATTCAACAACACACACCGAACATCACCAAGCTTACCGTACTGTTTGCCTCCTTCACGCCACCGTACTAATTGCTGACCAGACCGTGGCTTTCTTTATCCGTCGACTATCCAACCACATTTACCTCGTTTCACGTTTCCGAGATAGACAATCATAATGGCAGGAGACGACACCAAGCCCGCTGCTGGGAACACATCCCCCGTCGCGAGGGAGAAGCTTGATGGTGAGTTCGTCTCGTTCTAGGCCCGGTGTACCTCACCAGACCTCCCCATCTCCGCCTGGGTTGGAACGGAGTGCTAAGAATATACGCGTGTGACAGCCCAGATCAAGAGTGCCGACATGGTATGACGAACCAACCGATCTTCCACCGAATTGTTCCGTTCTCGGCGAGCAGATCGAGCTGCTAACACGATACCCCTCTTTCCAGTCCGAAGAATTACAACAGGAGGTCATTGAAGTCGGTACGTAGGGGTCACAAAACCCGCGGGATCCTGGCCCCACTCGGAGGACGACAATGGGATGTGTGACTGACAGTATTTACAGCCCAGGAGGCCATGGCCAAGTACTCCGTTGAGAAGGTCAGCGGACCAAGGATGGGAAATTCTGCATGTGATGCGTTCGGACAGCAAGCAGATTTCACACCAAACCTAAGCCCATTTTTAGCAGCAAGCAGAAGCTAACCTCATCTTCAGGATATCGCCCAGCACATCAAGAGAACAGTATGACGCCCACGACACATTTCATTTAAGACCAGATCAGCTAACACGCCATCGTGTGTAACAGTTTGATGAAAGAAAGGGACCTACCTGGCACTGCATCGTAGGCCGCCACTTTGGCAGCTTCGTGACCCACGGTAAGCTTACCCCTGGGTTTCACTCAACAAGCAACAGCGTCACTAACAGCATCCCCTAGAAACCAAGCACTTCATCTACTTCTACCTCGGTCACTGCGCCATCCTCCTCTTCAAGACCCAGTAGGGGCGCGGCCTCCTCCATTTTCTCTCCAAGCTGTGATTTTTCTCGAAAGGGGTGCTCGTCATCGCCATTATCATTTTATAACATTCTTAACCCCTATGCAAGATACAAGACGAGAATCACACACAGCAAAGTCACCAACCGGCCAGCACGACAAAGGAAAGGCGCGAGGAAAAATAATCATGTCAATTTTTGTGCGTTATTTTTACCGTAAAACAAAGAGAGGAAAAAGACTTGAGATAAATTCGGAGGAGGCATTTTCAACATCAGCGATGACATTGCACTTTTTGGGGCAAGGGGACGTGGGGGGAAGTGTAGAATGTAAGGAGGAGGGGGAAGAGAGAAATAACAAAGCAATGTGGTAAATTTGTACCAGGTACCGCACCGTATGAGGGAGTAGTTTTGGGTTGAGGAGTTTGAAGTTTTTAATGAATGATATGTGGTTTTTTCTTTTTTGCAAATGAGTGGATTGGCAGGAGGGTGACTTCACTTGACTTGAGTGGTTATGCATCATCGTGGCACTTTAAGTTGTGGTTAGGGGAGCACAGCAACCGCGTTGTTGATGGAGTGGAATTGTCCATTGAAGCCAAGCGAAGCGTCTCTCTCCCTACATTTGGTACCTTACCTCCCTCACCACAAAATAGTTGACACACGAAAGCAGGTTAACATTCCTTGAAGGATATTTTATAGGCCTACAAACTATTTTTAAAGGCATATGGATTATCCTTTAAGGCATATTACCTACTTTAGTGTCTCAATTATTTTGTGGTAAGGGTGCCTACATGAGGCCGGCTCCCTTTCTCCGCTGGAACCATCCCGCCGGGAATATCTAATTTCTTCTTTTTCTCTCGAAGATCCGGGGAATGGGTGGAATTTTCCGAGACAGAAATGTCGGGGACGAGCCGGTGGATGCAAGGTACGAGAATCAGCTCGATGGGTGGGTGAAAGGTGAGAAAAGAAAGGGAGGCACGTGCCCCCTTTTTATTGGGAGCTGGGAACCTCTAGGTGTGTATGCAAGCACTTTAACCCTTTTTCATTCATGCCCATCTTCAGCCCTTGATTGAATTCTTCAAGGACAGACAGCCCTCGATTGAATTCTTCAAGGACAGACAGCCCTACTTGAATCCATTTCCTCTCAAGTTCCAAGCTTAGATCAAGTTGGCCTAGAAAATAAAAGTTGGAACGTAAGCTGTTGTTGCAGAAAGGGGATCACATATCTCCCTCCTTCTCAGCCTCGGTAAACACCACTTCATTCATCACAAGCACAGCCATATTTGTCAAAAAACTTAAAATTTGATTTTAATCTGTTCAACAACTTCAACTACAGTTCCCCCCCTCCCCCCACCGCTCTCTTCTCTCTTCCTCCATCAAAACCCAGGGGTATCAAAATCACCTCTACTATCCACCACCTCTCCTCCAAATCTGCAAGGCATAACCGGCATCAAGTCATCACATCCCCCTCTCCTCATATTTGTGACCAGCAGCCAAATGAACCCAATGTACCAAAATAAAACAAACAAACCAAATTGCAACATGATGAAAAAGAAACAACAAAAAACGCCCAAAAATGATCTCATGCAACTGATGATTGATGTTGTTGTTCGATGTTGTAGTCTGCCTGCCTGCCCCCCCAAATCCCTGATTAAATGACGGACACAAAAAAAAACACCCAAATATCAGAAAGACACTTTCAAGTCGTGATATTCTCGTTTTTTTTTGGAACTCCATTTTCCCCTGCCGCCAAATTTTGTATATCATCCCCCACTCCTTCCAAAACATGACATCCTGTGTCTCTGTCATGAAATTATCCTTCAACCCTCCCCAACATCCTGATAAATAGCCCTCTTCATCCTCTGCAACCGATCGTGCATCTCGACAAAATCGTGCAGTTTCGACTCTGGCGGGGAATCCCACCCGTTGAGCTCCTCATGCAGCTGCAAGTACCGCTGGTACGCCAGCTTGAACTCCTGCGCCTTGGTCAGTACCTCGGCCGACACCCGCATCCGCTTCGCCGCATGGTGGTGGTTCTCCGAGTACGAGTCCATCGGCGCCGGCCTCTTCCTGCCAACAACCGGGACGCCAATCGTGCTGTCGGCATTGCTGCTGGCACTGCTGATGATGGTGTCCCGGCTCGGCTCGCGGGCCCGAGGCCGGTCTCGTCCCAGCTCTCTGGCTCTCTCGCCGCGGCCACGCTCACGCTCCTTTTCGGCCCTCTCGCGGTTGCGCTCGCGTTCCCGTTCCTTCTCGACCCGTTCGCGTTCACGTTCCCGCTCGCGCTCCCGGTCCCTCTTCAGCGCTTGGATTTGCGCTTGCTCGCGCTCCCTTTCTCGCTCGGCGGACCTGGCACGAGCCAGGCGCTCCTGCTCCACCTCGGACGCATTCTGTGGTGGGGTCGCCAGAGGCGACGACTTGGTCGGCGAAGTGTTCTTCGCCTTGGGCGCCGAGGAGCTTGGACGACCGTTCTGGCTGGCGTCCGAAACGGTCCGTGGCTTCGTCGAGTTGGCACCCGTGGTGGGTGCCTTGCTGCCAGCCTTGACGCGCTTGCTGAGCGGCGTACCTGAGCTTGAGCTGTCGTCCTCGTCGGCATCGCGTGGTCGCTTCGCCGCAGGCTTGATGGCCTTGGTTGGCTTTGCGACAACTTCGGCTCGGATGGTGTCCTTCTCGGTTTCCTTGGGTACCGTCTTGGCAGCGGCGGCCGCCTTTGACTTCACGGCCGGGGCAGGAGCAGCCTTGACTGGCCTGGGAGCTACGACAGCTACAGCTTTGGATTTAGCCAAAGGCTCCTCCTCGCTGTCCGAGTCCTTCACAAATTCTTCGGAAAGAGGTCCTCGCCCGCCCTTGCTGGCTGCCGCCTTGGCTTGAGGCTTGGTCGGAGATGCTTTCGTCGATGCTTTGGCGGGTGCGGTCTTCTTGGTAGTGGATGTGAGACGCTTCGCTTGGGCCTCCGATGCCGAGGGCTTCTTCTTGCCAGCAGCTGAAGCTTGGGAGCTTGATCTTGACATGGGCTCGCCTCCTTTTCCTTTCTTCAAGACCGCAGCGTCCTCTCTCTCTGATCCGCTTCCGTTGGCTCCGTCCGGCTTTGGTTTCGGGACTGTCGGGCCTTTGGCGAAATTGGCTTGCAGTTTGCTCAGGCATATCCCCTTTCCGCGCTCCGCCACCGGTAGAAGCTTTTGCCAGATAGGGTCGGTAACTCCAACTCGCATACGATCGAACTGCTTCACCGCATTGTTGATGGCTGTTTGTCGGTCTTCCTCCTTGGCATAATCGTACTCGAAGACGTCCAGTTCCTTCCAGTATCGCTTTCTCAGAGTCCATTTCTGGATGTTGTTGTCGAAATCGGCAACCTTGTCCAGCGCGACTCTGAACTCGTCTTCGCTGCCCTCATTCCACTGCGCAAAAAGGTCCTCGAAGCTCTGCTCCGATACCGCCAACTGGTGAATGATTGGGAATGTATGTTGCTTGACTTGATCAAGGGCAGAGCCGCCTGGTGCGAGAGAGGGTGATCGAACTCCGCTGAGCGCAGGACTTGGCGGAAGAGACCTGGGGGACGCGTTGTCGAGCAACCGATTGGGGGGTTTGACCTTGCCTTTCGAGTTCATCAACCCACTGACCACAACAGCACTGTCTTCCAAGTTAGTATCACAGCCCTCCAAGTAGTCGGCGGTAGTGTGTCCATACGTATTCTTCTCTGCTTCCTTCCGGGCCAGTGAGCTTTTGAGGTTGGCAATAGCATCGTCGGCCTCGTTGCTTGAAATTGGAGTCGTATTGCTGGAGCTTGTCTTTTGGACTGGAGCTTTCGAAGCCAGCTTCTTGGCGGCAGGTCTAGAGACCCGTGGGGGCATGAAGACACCCATTGCAGGATTTGGTAGCTTCTTGAGCGATCTTGGAGAAACTGCGTCGGAATAGTACAGATCGTAATCGTAAGAATCGGGAGAGTTTGGAATTTTGACTTCATGATCGCTGAAGAGAAAAGCCTATGGGGTTTAAGCTGTTAGACACTGCTATTGGGCTATTGTGGAGGGCCGAGTGCAGTTGAACAATAGTTTGAGAAGCTATTCAGATCGAGGGACAATGGAAAACCCAACCTTGAAATACAAGGCTAACAACATAAACTTACCGGATTGGACCCCAACGATAGCTCAATATCCCCTCCATTTTGAACACAAGCAATCATGTCTTCGATGACACTATTGCTCAATGTAATTCCGAAGGCCTGCGCCGGAAGCCCAGCCATGGCCCTGGCTGAGCTATCCAACGACAGGCCACCATCGGGCACGTTGAACACCATTTTGCTGTCTCGACCACGCGAATAGCGTCCACTCCTCCCCACGGTTCCCAGCGTATTCCTCGTTCCTGTCCCCTATCCGTTGCTGTCCGTCGTGTGTACCCGTGTCTATATTATGCTCTGCCGAGATTGCGAGCTAGAAAGGGGGTTCGGTCGACTGCGCGTTTCGTCGGCCAGGATGATGAGGTGTAACTATTCAAAGCGTATTGCGTGTATGGTAAAAAGGTGGGTGTTCAAAAGAAGCAAAACCCCCTAGGGCCTTTAAGAGACCCGTTGAGCAAAGAAGTGTGTTGCGAATCCAGTGTGCAACAATGCAAAGCCAAGTTTGTCCAAACTCAGGTGAAGAGTCACGTTCAAGACATATGACGAAGAAGCTGAGGCAAGCGATGGATGGTTCCCGGTTACCCAAGAAAGCTCGAGTTGAACCCCTTGTTTTCGCGACGAGCGGTCGGGCTAGGAAGAGGGTAGAAAGACCTCCTCGCCGTCTTGCTCAGTGTTTCCAACTTGTTTTGTTGCAGGAATCCGAATCTCGAATCGGCGGCAGGTTCAATTCACCGAGCTGTGAAGCGGAAAGCGGAGAGATTCCTGTGTGTTGGGAGGCTGTCATTCGATGGAGTCAGTCGATCAGCCGGTCGTCGTTCCGCAAAAGGGATCTCTGGCTGGAGACAGAAGCGAAGGTTCGAAGGCAGAAGCAAGGCGAGGGCAGCACGGGCGGGCTACGGCAGGGTCAAGAAAACGAGAGAGATTCCCAACAGACGAAGGCTTCTGTGGTGGTGCCTTGGGGATCGAGAGTTGCGGAAGCACAAGGAGCAAGAGGGCAAGAAGACGCAGCAAGAGAGGCACCGAGGGTAGCAGCAAGTGAAGGAGAGAGGGCGGAGTGAGTGGGTTGCACACAAGTGGACGGCCGGTACCTCTGGTACTTTGGCACTGTCTGAAGGTACCTGGGCTACATTGGCCCCCAGCTTGGGGCACTAGCCAAAACCCACCAGTGTCGCCCACTGCCCGCCAGATCTTTGTTCCACCGTCTGGTCCGACAAGTGGACCGCGCAGGCTGGGGACCAGTCACAGGCTCAGAAAAGCTGGGGCCGGTGAGTGGGCCGAAGCGTGGCGGTACCGCCAGGTACACAACGGCACCAGGTCGCTTCTCGTGCCCGACAGGGGACAGGGATCGCGGGTGAGCAGCAAGCCTGCATGTCGTACCCTGCTGATTTACATCCTTACCGTATTCCGTACCGACCGTCATGTCATCAGCGAGTCTTCAGCGGATTTCCTCGCAGCTGCATCCTGTACGAACACTACGCAAATTCTAATAACTGGACCTGAAAAGACGGCCTCTGGACAGCGGGGGTTACATAATCAAATTGCCACCATGTGGAAGTGGAAGTGGAAGTGGAAAGCAGTGCCCGTTGATCAGGTTGGAAATTGTCTGTCTCTTTTTGACAATTCAAAGCAGCATTCCGGGTGAATTGCAAGGGCCGTCTGTCCAGGTCCCAGGTTTGGAGTTTGGAATTGCTAGAGAGCCCGGGGTTTGGCTGCTTTTCTTCCGGAGACAAGCCAAACCAGAGAGGTTGAGTGGTTGACGGGCAGCCAGCCATCATCCATTGTGTTGGGGACCCAGCACTGCCGAGCCGTTTCGATTTTTCCTTCTTTTGTTCTCTTCTTTCTTCTCTTTCCCCCTCCCAAAAAGGTCTCTTGCCAACTCTGAGCGATTCCGTGAGGTATTCGCTGACGAATCGACACCCTGGGACCCTGAGTTGAGCATGACCCTCCACACTTTCTCTTTAGCTGGGCTAGTGCCTGTGTCTCTGGGGGGAAGGTGGGTCCGGTCTTTGCCCACTTTTGATTCTCCCGCATCGGCCCTCCTGCCCCGATATCTCCAAGGCAACGCCAACCAAACCGGAAGCCATTCATGGAGGGAGTTGGGCAAATGTACAATTGCAATCATGAGAGGCTCAACGCCCAATTATCTTACTGTGCCATCATCGTTGGGTATATACCATCACAAGACCGCTGATAGGCTCGCTCTCCTGTGTTATGCATCTTCAAGTGCAATTCCGCTACAGCTTCGCTCATCAATACCCGCGGCGACAAGCCATAGGGAAGAAGCGGAGGCCCACACGCACTCAACCTCCCTCGCTTGCGGCTTCTTCAGGGCGGTTGTTGCGCCGTCGAAGAGTGCCATGCCAAGTCCCATCACCTCGTCCATCCGAACAGACAGAATATGCGAATCGTTGTAAGCAGACCCGGCATCGCTGCGGCGCATGTTGTGCAGCAGATGGATGGCAGTTCCAGGTTGGGCTCCGCGTGGTGCTCTGAGTAACCCCCCGCCCATGAGATCCTCAGTTTGCTCAAAACTCTAGGCTGCAAGGCAGGCCTCTTGCAAGAGATGTCATACCAGTGCAGTAACATCTCGCTCCCAACCGTGCCCTGCAATGAAGATGATTCACCGGGCCCGGCTGGGAACAACAGGGCCGCCTGGGCGAGCAGGGGAGAGTGTAATGTTCAACTGCCTGTCTGTATGGATATGGAAATGCCTGTACAAGCCAATTACACGCCCAATCTGCGGGATATTCCCCAAGCCTACTTCTGATGCACGGAATTCACTCAGCTCACCTGCACGCAATGGCCTTCCCCGTTGCTGAGGTGCGTTGTTGACTTTCGTGTGGCTCTCTTGTTGGACAGATTTGTATGTACGAAGTACAATAGGGTAAGGTATTCCGTGCTCCGTCAGCTGGCCACGGGCTGGCTCGGGGGCCAAACTGTTTCCTCCGTTGAGCCAAGTGCCCGAGCCTGCGAGAGCGGCCATAGATGCGCCAATAACACCGAATATGCGACTCATGGAGATTTCACCTTGTTACTTGAATGTTTGTAACATTAATTGCACAGTTGGGCACCTTTTGGAAGTCTTGGTTGGGAGTGTAGCCTTCCTTCATTTCCATCTTGTTCGTCTTGCCCTGGCAGCTGCCAACCAGCTCGCCGTCCGTGGCCTCAAATTGACAGTATGGACCAATGGACGACTGAAACATTCCGCCCTGTTGTTTCTTGCCCTGGTTCAATTCCCCTCGCCGTTTGAGATTCCAGCAACAGCTGTGTTTGGGCGACTTTGGCGGCCGTAGCCTCATGCCTCGCTTTGGCACTATGATGAGTATGCTATAATAGCACTAACCAAAGTACTCACCCGTTGTTGGCCGTCTCGTTGACCACCTCAAGCGTCACCAGTTCTCATCTATCTGCCAGCCAAACCTTATCGAGATCGTCGCTGCGATCGTAGAGCCAGCACGGCTTCAGCCCTGTCAGCTCCGTTCGACAGGGTGCTAAGGTAGGCAACGAATATGTCTATATTTCCCAGCCTTGATTTCGGGCTGGGAATGGTGCCCGTCAGCCTCCTGCCAGTCACATATCTGCAATGTTTTGCCCATTGCTAGTCATCAAGCACCGTCTAACGCATAATCGGCGGTTGGCGCGCCTTGCTGGAAGATTACACTGCGTTAGTCTGGGCGTCATCGGCCAGGCCGCCGAAGTTCTCTCCATGCCTTGGCAGGAATAATGGGCGTTGTAAGATCACGCACATTGGTTGGGTAGCTATGCGCTGCGGCTGTTCCCAAGTTGACCCAGCCTGCTGGAACACTCCGGATTGCAACATCTGCAGACGAACGAATGCCCGCCGTTTCTTTTTTGTTTGCTTTGAACCAGAACACACGAAACTGGCAGACCTTGGCTCGGTCGATGATCCGGCCTGGTTTTCAACAGATCATTCAACGGCCGTGACGGAGTGGAGGGAAGAACACTACCTGGTACTGTCTCTGGGTCCTCCGAGCCGAGACCCGGATAGCCTGGGCCGAGCCCCAGGCTGGAACCCACCTTCCTGTCTCTTCAGAGACAGGAAGGAAGATCCAATTCTGCCACATCTTTTCAGCAGCTTAGGGCTTTCCTCGCAGACACTTTCCAACGGCACATCCCTCCCTCAACACGGTACCTCCGGCCGGGACGAGGATGGCAGACGGTACCTCATAGCGTCCACACACACCTCAGAGAAGCACACAACTGGCTGAAATAGCCCAGATTGGGGTAGCACAGCGTCACTAACGATACGCATCTGCTCAGAACCAAACTGGCGGTGGCGGTCATCAAACCACAATAGGATTGGCCGGCTTATCTCTTGTTGAACCTGTTCCTCCGACTTGAGGTAAAGGCCCGACTGCATGCTTATTTTTACTGAGCTGTCTGTCTGCAGCAACAGACATTCCTCCCATCACAGAAATCCCATCTCTGGATTAGTCCGTATTCTTCTCTGGCTCAGATATCGAGTCAACAAATCAGCAACGGCACGTGGTTGGTAGGACTGGCTCCTAGAATGATCCCCCCACCCCGCTATTCCTATCCAGCCTTATGGGTCCAAGGTACGGACGGATGAGCTATTTCAAAGCCACGAGGTGGTGAAGATCATTGACATTGGGTTGGGTGTGTGGGTTGGGGGTCGATCTCACTGAAGATTATTTCTTGATGATAAAACAGCTTTGTAAACGAGATGTAGATATCAGCAAGCAGCAGCAGCCACAATTTGACATACGCGAGATGCGGCACATGCGTTCTGCGTTTGATGCAATAGGCACAAATTGATTACATACACAGAGTAACAATACCAGGCACCGACTTATTACTGTACCGTGAAGCATTGGGGGCGTGATGGGACTGCGACTGAGTGAAAAGCCCAACACGACGACAAGTGTTATCAAGAGGGAAAGGTGGAGAAGAGGAGGAGCATTCCGGGGAGCGGGCACTCTGTCTACACAGAGATACATTGAAGTACCTTTTGTCCCCCACAACCCGCCATCTTTTCTTTTCTTTCCACCTACCTACCTATGCCAATGGTTCGTTTTGGGTCGGGTCGTCGGCTTGAGTGTGCTGGTTGCGGTGGTGGATAACGCCGAGACCTTCCCACTTTGTAGACGTGCGGTACAATAACGCCTTTCTTCAACCCCCCCCCATTTTATGTACTAGGTAGACGCTGGGTTTATGTATGCACCTGCAAATGGAAAAGGCAGAGAGAGGTAGCCCGGATTGCAAAACAACATTCGGGAAACGGGGGACACCTGGTTCGCTTCCCAACCATGCCCGATTGTATGGTGTGGATTGGTGGATAATGTGTGGTTGTGGTGGTGGTTGTTATCCATCTGTCTGCCCCTCATTTTTGACAGACTGGGTCCCTCTGTGCATTTGAAGATCGAAGTTGTGCCAGTATGGATTGGTAGACATCTCAAAAAAAAAGTGTTGTTTTACAAGAAAGAACAATTGCTCTCTTGAGTATTTCCAACCCCCGCTCGAACGAGATGTTTTTAGTCGTCGGCCTCACACACACACACACACACAATGGCCTGAGCGGGGTGGGAGGAAACGTGGGATAGGGGACGTGTGCTTTGATGGCTGGTTGGTGACGGATTGAACGGCTGCTTACCTGAACCCTTTCTCTCACTCATCATCATCATCCGCTTCCCCGCTATTCTGGGGGGGAGAAAAGATGGGCGGGGTTGCGGAAGCCAGCACTGAATATTGGTATTTTCATTCCTTTACGGGAAACAAATGGCGGGGGTGTGTGTGGTGGATGGTTGTGCATAAGGCCAGAGGATTTTCGGTCAAGTTCAGGTCAGCAGGTTCCGGCTCTCTTGCCGTGAATTTTGTGATTGGTTTTTTTTTTTGTCAGTTTGGTTCGTTGTTCTTCAACGGGACCCCGATTTTTGGGTTGTCAGGAACCAGACAAATCAACGTGGGTGTGGCAGATGGGATGATGATGCTGTTTCGACCCCGCCAAACAGACCGTTTCGTCACCCATTGGGGTTTCTTCATCATCAACAACAACAACAACAGCTGGCAACTTTTACAACTCTCCATATTGCATTCCCAGAGGATCGTTACCTCCAGCTCGCTTTCGTCTCAGCTTCTTCACCCGCAGTAGAGCAGCAGCCAAGCAATCCAATTCAGGTTCGACTAGCCAGCCACTCACGTCGTTGAGGTGACATTACATATACAGCACTATGCAGCGTAACACACTACGACGGCGGCGGGCGAGGCCAAAAAGTGGGGATTTCTTTTTGGTTTTCAGGTCCGTCTACGCCGAGCGAGCTGGTTTCCCCCCCCCCCTCTCCTGGGACTTTTTTACCCCAGATATTTCTTCTTAAGAAAGGAGAAGTATTAATCTATGTGATATTCTAGCGATGCGACAGAACCGCGTGGTTCCCCGGGTGGCCGTTTTCTTAACACAGAAACGAGTAAGTGGCTTTTTATTCTGAGAGCTGCTTTGGTGAGCAGTGTGTGTATAAATTGGTAGGTTGTCATCTTTCGGCTTTACGGCAGCAGCATGAGATGAGGGGGCGATGATGAAGGACCTTTTCGGTGCTATCTTTGTCATCAGAGATCGAGCAGCCTCTCTCTGTTTTGTACCTGACCCGACCGAACCGACCGAACTGTGTCGGTCAGTCTGTCAGGAACAGGCATGTTCGTCCTACAATCGAAAGGGTTGAAGGGTACTTACTCACCTCCCCTTTTTGTAGAAGACGCCCAGCTGCAATGTCTCTTCGTATTGGGAGTTGTCCCTTCTTTCTCTGCCACACACTCTCTCCATCAGAGGCAAGCCTAATCGAAACAGAGAAGAAAAGATGTTAGCAGCATCATCGTGTCGACTGCTTTCGCTGCAAAACAAACGCCCCACATATTCATATACGGTATATTGATAAAAATATATTTGGCTTGCTGCTGCACTGGCGGAAGAACTGGGGCCGGTTTTGGTGGTTGCTGTCTTTTTCCCGGTGCAGCTTCGCTTGTCCCTCCGTCGGAATCGGATGGCTGGATCCGTCCCGTATATAGAGAGGGGATTACATCAGTTAGTGGTGGTGCGTTACCTGAATTCCGACGACAAGATCCTCGGCTTTATGGTCCATCCGTTCATTTTCTTGGTGAAGGTCTCAATCTGGATCTGTCATTATACTCTGGCACACTGTCTGGCAACGGTATGTGTGACTGGAATACACAATTGCGGGGGAAAAACGAAATATTTCAAGTCATACCGCACTCACACACGGACGCTTGGGCACATGATAAGGACCCCACTTCACTCATACTTTCATCAGTCGTCGTGCATGGCATCGCAGCCTTGGCTGACCGAACTGACCGGCCGGCCACTTTCGAAGGTCGACCAGTTGGTTGAAACGGGGAGATGGGCCAATGAGAAAAAGGTTTCCCAATGCGTGGGTTTGTTTGTGAGCTTTTGGGGGATTCGGCGTGACTTTTTCACAGCCACTGTGAAATTATCGGGGGTGAAGTGAGGAAGGGTGCTTGATCCGATGGGATGACGGATGATGTTTCTCTGTTGAAGACAGTTATCAACAATTGCTCTAAGCGACTGATGAAGTTGACGAGAAACACAGCGAACGCTCACTCTTCACATACCTACTCCCGCTGCTCAAGATTGAAGACCCCGAAATCCACCGTCTTCGAATCCAGCCCCAAAGTCGGTGAACTAGGCCCTGAGCTTTGTTCTTCAACGCGGACCGGACCCCGTCTGTCCATCCCGAACATCTTCCAGGCGGTGTCTTCGGGTAGATGGGCAAACACACCGCTGCGAGAGTTTAGTTCCCGGGTCTATTCGAACCCTTGATGCTCTCCGGATCCGATCTGGAATAGCCCGGATAACCCGAAACCTGAACTTTGAGAAAACCTCGAACTTTCGGGATTCAGGTACCAGTTCCTTCAAGAATTTTTTTTTTGGTCACTGTTTTGAGATCTACATTATTTGCTACTCCGTCCAGAAGAGAAAGTAAGATAAAAAGGCCGAGCGGATCTTGTGCAACATGAACCAAGACATCAAAACATCATCACTCCCGATACTGCCCGTCCGAAAAGGAACAAGTATCAGGCCATGAATTATGCGGCCACCAGAGTCATTATGTCCGGAGGCAAACCCACCCAGCCCAACAAAAAACTATTTTCACAATCCCCCTTCCCAATGACGATATTCCAAACCCCCTTCCGTCCCCCGTTCCCCGAAAACCTCGGCCGAAACCGGGGGCCTCGTTACGGCATCACTCGCCGGCATGCTTCTTTCCCTTGCTTGCGGTTTACAATGAAAGATAAAGCGTAAATTCAAAAGTACAGAAAGATAGACAGCCCATCCCATCCTTGTCCCGAACGTTCGTTCTTGCAGAATTGTGTCTCCATGTTTTTTTTTTGCTCCTATCAGTGGACCCCTCACCACCCCCCAACGCCAAACACAACCCAAGCCGGGCAACACACCTCAAGGGAACCTTTAGAAAGTTTCAATGACGAAAGACACGTGGGATCAAGAGATGGGGCCGTCTGATAAGATGAGAAAGGAACGGTGAGACGTGTGAAAGAAAAAGGAGAACGAGAAGCATGTGAAGATGGTTCCGGCAGGCAACTGGCTGTGAGCAAGGAAAATCCACGACTCCACGGACGACTCCACATCGTCATGGTCTGAGGACCGTGTGGTTGAGATAAGAGGTGGTGGTGATTGTTGACTGGACAACAGGGGAGTGGAGAGGTGAAGTTGACTCGATTCAGGGGTAAATGCTAACAGGAGACCATGGTCGTGGTTTGCTGGGTTAGGGTTTACTGGCCGTGACAAGACAAAAAAAAGGTAAAATAGAAGGTCGGCAACGAAGACAATGATGGTTTGCTGGAAGCGTGATTCAGAATGAGGTTTTGTGGCCATGAAATGCCACAGTTGCTTCCAGCGTTGTGAAATACTTGGCCATAAGATGGCATATGCCAGGCGGGAAGCATTTTCCAAGATGATGATCAGTTCTCGAGCCGACTCGCAAGTATCAGACGCGAAGTGCTCATGGCTTTCTTGCTTATAGCATGGGTTGATCGCGCTACCTCGTGACTCTTTGAGTGTAGAGGCGGATACTACTTTGTCTAGATACCGTGGAACATAAGTACCGAGTTCTCTCAAAGCTCGGGGGGCTCGTAATACGTTTACTTGTTGCCAAACGACCACACCACCGACTTCAGCGAAATCACAGCACAAAACAAGGCGGTGGATGTCGCAACAAAAGGGGAGCGACAGACACAGTGAATTTCTTGTAATATTGCTGAAGACCTGATGAATATAACGTTTCTGGAACTTTAGCCAACACCACACTACTTGATCAAACCCATGCGCTCATGACCGCTCCACTGCCTGATATCCAACAAGCGTACATAGTTGATGGATCAGCCGACAGCGGAAGCCATGAGTGTGAATATGAGCTCCTGTGAATCATTGGCGACTTCGCAGCTCCTAGATAACGCGTTTGACTTTACTTCCGACGTCCATGCTGGTCGAGCATCAAAACAGCTGTCCGGTCTACCGGCAGGCTGGAAATATAGTAACTGGGATGATCTCGTCCCAGAAGAGGACAACGTCTCCTGGCCCCAAAGGCCGACCTTCTGGTCGTTGCAAGCTGTTCGGGGTTCGGCCAGTTTTGTGCTGAAGAATTGCGCTTGGTCTCAGGGAGCCCAGGTCTCGTCTGGCCGCCGCAGTTGTCGTTCGTATTCTTGACGGAACAGTCCAAGCCACTTTCTCTTGTCGTCCAGTGGCTTCCGAATCGCCCGTTGCCCACCCCCAGCCTTGCCCAATTTAGCTTTCGCTCGTCTCGAAGCATATACAGAATCGTTAGTAGTATCCCATCCCTCCCAGTCCCAATACAACTCACCTGAAAAGGATGGTGAACCGCCCCCCTTTTCAAACCCCCCTCCCCCGCCAGAGTAATCGGAATCGAAGGATACGTCCCTCCTTTTTCAAGGAAAAAGAAGTCCGCACGCCGCGTATGGCACTGAAGTGTCACAACAACACAAGCTTTCGTAACGGCCTTTCCAGAGGGAACACTTTTTTATCACAAAAAGAGCCCTGCTTTTCTGATGCCAGTTACAACCTCGAGCGCCTAGGCAGGCCGTCACCGGCAGGGCCCGCTGACCACGGTCATCTCTCTAAAGAAGTGAAAATGGACGGGCCAAAGATGAAGCTGTTTCTCCGAATTTCTCATGCAAAGAAAAGGGTGGTGAAAGTAGCTCTGTCCGAGGACAAGAGAAGCCTTCCGTTTGTTGCATAGAAACGCAGCGTGGGAGGGGAGGGGGGGGTGAAGGGGGGATGGTTCACAAAGAAGAAGAAGAAAGAAGAGGAAGAGGGAGACTTAGACAAGAAATTGTTTTGATGGCCCTCTGCGAGAGAGAAACTGTTGTGGGGCTTGATTTTGAGGCTCTGTGGGGCGGCAGAATTGATGAGCCAATGGAAATGAAGAATTCTTCTGTGGGAGAAAGCTTGATCGTGACCCCCACATATCAAACTTCTCTTGTTCGGACTTCACCGTTTGGTAGCTTCCGGACATTGGGGCCCAGGCATCAGCTTTTTCTAGTGTGTGGCGTTGGTTTTGCGCTGCCCAAACCACGCCGCTGATGTGTCCGGCTTACGGGTGACTGTTTGAGGGCGGGCAAACTGTCCAGGTTTCGTCATCAGAAACGTGAGCCATGGGGTGCACCAAACCCCATATCGAAAGCGGGTCTACGATGGTTTCCCAGACGGAACGGCTCACCGCCGAGGGGGCGGAAGATGGGTCTTCCTTTTCTGGGTGAGACTCCACTGCAGGGAAGGTCCCTTAAGCATCTGAGCTGAACGACTGTGAGCATGAAGCCTTGAGAGTTTGTGAAAAGGCTCCTTCTTCTGGCTTTTCTTCTTTACTTTTTGTCGTTGTTGGGTCGTCTTGGTCGTCCTGGTTGGTTTGCGCCGTTTTTTGTTTTCTCACCTCTCTCTTTTTTCCCTTTCAGGTAGCCTCCTACTTGACTCTCCTCGCCCCCTTATCAACACCCCACTGCTAAAATGCGCGGCATCGAAGAAGACGAAGATCTCCCACATCTGTGGCAGAAGCCTGCCTATTCAGTCATTTTGGAGGCTCTAGAAAAACTTAGGGTCGAGCCGCCTGTTTGGGGAGCAAAGGTCTCTCGATCAGAGATCATCAAACAACAGGCCGCTGTTCATACTGCTCATGAGCGCAAGGAGGCTATTGCTTTTCTGTCTTCGATCATCAAGAGTGGGCTATCATGGCTGGGGGACGACGATGAGAGGGAGGTGATTTGGGAAGAGGCCAGCAAGCGCATGTCAGAGCGCTGCGGGCGAACAGGTTGGTCACGACACTCGTCTGATATACAACGGGTGAAAAGCTAACCACGACATTTAGCTATGGGCGAGATCATTAGGAGCTGGCCCTTTGAGAACCCCGATTATGGTTCATTCAGCCTCACTATCAGAGAACCGCCACTAACGGGAGACTCTCTCGGCTTAAAGACATGGGGCTCGTCGTACGCACTAGCCCAGAGACTTCACGAGTTCGCCTCTGGCCCTCTGGCACATTTGGTTCGCTCTTCTCAAAAGACAGAGGAGGTTCTCGAGCTTGGGTCTGGAACTGGCTTACTCGGCTTAGCCGCAGCGTCTATCTGGAGGAAAACCGTCTACCTTACCGATCTCCCCGAAATCATGTCCAACCTCGAGCATAACGCTTCACTCAACCGCGCTCTCGTAGAAGAACGTGGAGGCAGAGTTGAAGCTGCTCCTTTGATGTGGGGTGGCAGCGAAGAAGAGGTCGACCCGAGGTTTCGATCAGGAAAACGGTTCGAGGTATGTTTTGTACATTTGCTGTTTTTTATCTTCGAACTTCCCAAGCTGACCATCCGTAGCTCATCATCGTTGCTGACCCATTATACGACGATGATCACCCCGCTCTGTTGGCCAGTGCCATAGACGAGCAGCTTGCTCTCAATCCAGATGCTCGTGTACTGGTTATGGTGCCGCAAAGAGACGAGATCACCAAAGGTCTTTGCAGGACGTTGAGGGCCGAGCTCGGCAGACACACCAATCCGTTGATTTGTCACCATGAGAATATTGTAGATGGTGAGGACGACTGGGGCGATGGGAACAACGACGACTCACAGCAAGTTGGCTTCTGGTGGGGAATTTTGGGGAGAAGTTCTTAAACCACAATAACTCGCCCGCTTTCTTTTTGTTTACATTGATTATTATCACGACACATGACGATCAAGGGTTTTAATTTTATGTACAGACGATAGCGCTAGCTCCAAGCTTAGTTTTTTTTTTTTTTTTTTGGTACAGTGGGCAGCGCCACGGCTGAAGCGTATCTTGCGTGCCAAGGTTTCCTGTGGTTTTTTTCTTCTTTTCAACTCGAATTATACGATAGCGCTATAAAGAGCAATAGAAATAGACGGTCAATATGAATCATCGAGAATTGATTCCCACCCAGGAAATCAGTCGGCACCCAAGCTTAGTTTTTTGTTTTGGTGCAGTGGGCAGGGCCACTGCTGAAGCGTTGTATCTTGCGTGCCCAGGGTTTCCTGCGGTTTTTTTTCTTTTGTCCTCGAATTATCAGTCAGCACAAAAAGTGTCAGAAAGACACCCCAAAAAAACGTCCCGCGGACAACATTGCCAGAGGCGGAGCTAAACATGTAACGCACAAAGGTGACCAGCTCTCGTGGTGGATCTCTCCTAACCAGCACTCGTTTCCCTCTCCATGCTTTTCTCTGGCCTTTAACATGCGAGATTTGACTCCTGTAGTCTCAGCTCAGCACCTGGAGCTGGAAAAAGTCGTTCTGTTCGTTTGACTGACTTGGTTTCTTGCGGTGGGCAATGTCATATACCATGATCTTCCCCGGAACCACGGAGCATACCAGGCTGTTCCTGAAGAAATATCACCTTTCCCAGTACCGCAGAGCGTACCACGCAGTTTTTGCGAGAAATGCGGCACCGTGAGTTGGTATGTCGTTTTCAGAGTGATTTCGTAACTCACCTAAACCCGTTGTGCGATGTGCCAGGCGCGGATTTCATGGGAGCCTTTCGTATCCATTTTCTGTCAAGCCACCTTCTGACCCCATTCCATCTGTCAAAATCCAGAGCATATCGGCCTCTGCTGGTGGTTCGTAGGAGAGTCTGGCTCGAGATCGCAGGGGCTCTGTGCTAAGTGCCTCGCCAACAATCGACGTAAATGCCCAAGAACGGTTCAGTATCGCCCGGTCAGTCGCTGTTCGTAGCTTGAGAGGCCGAAGATCTCGTCTCCAGGTGTACGAACTGCTAAAATCACCATCCACGCGGTATTCCAGTTTCCTTGGCGGTTAGTCAAGTGTCGAAACCCTCCTCCCTCCCCCGGACAGTGTGACTTTCACTCTGCCAGCCGGCCCACAGCCACTTTGATAGCCTTTTTTTGTTTTGAGGAAGCCTGGGAGGTGTCTGCTCGCAAGCGTTGAACCTGCATTTCATTCCATCGTGCACCACAGATCTCGCTCGTGTCCTAACGTTCGAAGAGACGGATAAGCTTCTCGACGCCCATCTCTCCCTAAATAGCCTCGATTCAACTGTTAGCACTCTCCTTCTCAGACTTCTTCCTGAAAAAGGGTAGGCATTTCCTCCTTCTTCATCGTCCTGTTTTCAGCCCATTTAATACCCAGCAATCAGATCACCAGGCTCAACAAGGCAACCGATCCCATCACCGCCCAATTAATCTCGACCGATTCCATCACAAAGCTTCATCCAAGTCAAACCCCATTGTCGACAACACTCAACAACAGACCATCGCCCAAACCCTCTAAGACATCAAGCAGTTACCATGTCCAACGGAAGCCGTATCAACATTAAGACGCTCACCTCCCAGCAGAAGAGCTTTCTTCACGAGTGGATAGCGAAAAACGAGTCGCCCAGCCGCATCGCCATCGAGTTCAACCAGCACTTCAACCCGCCATCGCCTATCAGCGACCGTCAAGTGACCGGCTGGAAAACGTATCATCAAAAGCAATGGAACGATGTGGAGTATCGACGTACCAAGTATGCAGCATTGACATCCCCCGAACCTCCCCACCATGACCCTATCTCCTTGGCTTCGAATAGCGACCAACCCAAAACTAACCCTCCTTTTCTTGACAGTGGCCTCCCACCTCTCGTCCAGTCGCGAGCCCCCCGGCAACAAGTACTACAACGCGATCCTGTGTTTGGAAACGGCCATCTCGCGTCTGCAAACGAACATCCCGCGTTTGCAAACAACACAGCGGGCGGCTTCGGCGCGGGCCACAGTGCGTTTGTGTCCCAAGGAGCTTCGTCTGAAGGCGACGACCGGGCGCTCTCAGACGCCTACGCGCTCTCCTATGCGCGGCCGGCGAGCGGACAGATACCTGGAGCAGCACGCTCTCAGACGCTCCCGAGGGCCAGCAAGCGGCGGCGAGTGGGAGATTATCCTGCATATGACAGGCGTCAGGGAGGAGGAGGCCAGATAGGGCCGATGGGGAGGAACATGTCCTCCTCTACAGCGCCGCCAAATGTCATGAGACCTCTCCCGCCTTCAAGGCGGAGCACCAACCCCTTTTCTCCTCGTGCGCCGATGGGCCAATATATAAACCCGCCACCAAACTTCCAGGCTCCCGGCATGCTTGCCAAGAATGCTTTCGGCTCTCAGGCACTGGGCCAAACCGGCACGGGGTATATACCCGCAGGGATCATCTCGCCAGAGCAGATATCCCAGGGGCAAGCCGTCGCTTTTCCAGAAGAGCAAGAGGAGATCAAGGCCACCATGCCCTATGAAGGCTCTAGAGGAAAAAAGCTCGTTCCACTTAAGAACTGGCACTTCTTCCTGCAAAACTTCTCTCCCCGCCTAGACGGAATACCACAAGACATGCAAAGGTATCTGACAAGGAACTTGATGTCGGATCTCACAGTCTTTGGTCGAACTCCTGCGCAAGACTTTCAAGGAGACCTGGAGGTTTTTGTTTATACCGCCGCATGCACCCCTGTCGAAGCCAAAGGCGTAGACCGGGATGGCATCTGGTACATCGGGGCCCATGATAAGTGCGGGAGAGGCTTTGTCCACCGGCATAAATGGAACGGAGATATCGATTCCAATGAAGCGGGAGCTATAGACCAGTGGAAGATGCGACAAAGCGGCTCAGACGTTGCCGAGACATGCACTCAGAATCTGGTCAGAGAGTGGCTCAGCTCGATGAGAGACCAGGATTTGCAGCCGTGCCCGATGATAGTCAAATCGAACCGCGCCCATCAGAGGAATGGTCCCCCGAAACGGAAGCAGCCGCAGGAGCAGGAGGTAAACCCGAATTCCGACAACAGGCGAGTTGAAAGGGCACCCCGGCAAGACAGACTTGCACAGCTGGTGCCAGCACCGATCCCGTCTGACAATCCCCACTCCCAGCCTCCACCACATCTTCCAGCACAGCCAGCGGTAGAGGGAACCCAACAGTCATACCAGCCACCTGCAGATATCTTCTTTGACCCACGCCAGGCTCCTCAAAACCACGTCCAGCTCCCAGTCCGAAGTTACCAACAGCATGGCAATCGGGACCCGCCGTATCAAGCCCCTGGACCTGATGTAAGAGCACAAGTCGGTGTTTTCGGAAGGAGAGGAAAATATCCCGTATATTCTGACCGCTGTGCTCTTCCTGATGTATCTCCTCCGCCCTGGCGAGAAATTCCTCGCCAGCAAGATCGAATTCCACCGTACAACTGGCAAGGCGACCAACCTGGGGAGCAAGAGGCCAGTTTGGAAGCACCCCAGCAAGGCGCCGGTCCCAATGACGATTTTTATTCCTCAGTCGAAGACTGGATTCCGGAAACGGATATTATTCGGGAAGGAGAGTCAGTGGAGGAGATGCGGCAGAGACTGTCATTCCTAGATGGCACCACACCAAGTCCAAGCAACTCAGACCTAGGTGGCACCGATCTGGATCAAAGCATCTCAGACCTAGGTGGCACCAATCTGGGTCAAAGAAACTCAGACCCAGGCTGACCCCAGTTCCACTTGGAAGCTCCTACGACCTCGTTTCCTTACTCTGGGACGTCGGGGCAAAGGCTGTTCCCGACGTCCCGGAGCAGTGCACAGACGGTACCTAGTCGAAATGCTGAAGCATTCCGACCAGGGGAACGGACATTGCAGCTGTGGCGATGCTCTGGATCTGGAGGCGAGTTTGTGACATCGGGGGAGCTTGGGCGGGGATGGTGGCCGATGCAGGGGTGGTTGGTTTCGAGGCGGTTGGGTAGTCGATGGACGAAGCTGATGGCTGGAGGTCGAGGTTGATGGAAGGTGGGAGGCAGGAGTTGAAAGAGATCAAGACTGGCCTCAGAGGACAAGACACGCGAGACCGAGAGGTGCATGGGCGACGCGAGGAGGGGAACTATCAGAATAGATCTGTTAGAAAGAAGCCCCTAGGAACATGACGCGGACAAAAGAAGTTGAAGCACATATTCTTGGTGATTGAAGAAGACCATTGCAAGGAAATTGGGAGATTTGCTTGGAGTTTTGCTTACTTGTCTGCTACGGAGCTGATTGATGGACTGTTGTGTGAACCGTTTTTTTTATGAGTAGCTTGGAGGGAAGAGGGGGATATCGGTCTGAAGAAACCCTTACCCATGAAGAGGCAGCCTACGCTTCCACACAGTAATGCGAGCCAAAACAGTAAATTAGTCACGACGAGTGAATTTCAATTCCCGGTCACTTCTGTATGTCACCCCTTTTTACCGTACCGTAACCCGGCCTGACCGCTATGTGGATGTTCGATTGGCCTTTGAACTGGCTTGACCTTACTGTCTCTTGAGGTACTAACCACATGGCCAGCAACTTCTACTACTGATGGAATTTCCCTTGTCATAGCCCGAGTGTATGCTAGGTAGAGAACTGTTCACAAATTGATCTATCTCAAATAACCAGGACCGAGAAATTTGCATGCCGGATTCCAGAATATTGCCTACTTTTCATGTCGTGCCAAAGACATCCGCCCTCACTTACGTTCAGCAGAGCAAAAGACTTTGGTGTCAAACACATTCGCCCCACTTACAAAAGTGCTGGACAGGGAGGCTTCAAAGCCCAAACAGCCATAGAATCCAGATAGTGTCTGAGGTTAATCATTTTGGCGAGATCACACCTATGGCGAGCACCAGGGTAAGTGGAGCTGACGGCTTGTGTCTAAAGAGCCTTCAACATGGTTTCAGCAGAGACAACCCCGGGCGCGAGACAGCAGTCCAACCGAAAGTTTAAAAGTATTTTCTCTTTTTTTTTTTGCTTCCAGAGTAATGCAGTGCGACAAATGTTTCAGCCCATCATCAGGGCTGTCGTTCTCCTTGTTGAGCCACCACGAAGGCGACTCGAGTGTAATCTACAACCGCCAGTTCCGCTTACATGTCGAACACAAACGACCTCATTGGCCATAAAATGGAGGCACAGCAACTCTGTTACAGATTTTCCGGAGCGTCTCTCATTTTTTTGTATCATCATTCGATAACGCACGCGCGCGGTTGGTTGGGGGCCGTTCAGGGGCAAATGGAGCCCGCATAAGGCTGCAAGGTCGAGGCCCAGCTTCGGACCGCTCCGTACAACCACACGAGGAGATAGACAAGCTTTCACGATATAATAGAACCCGAGTATGGCATGTCCATTCCAGCTGTCTTTTCCTTGGTTTTTTTCTTTTCCTCTGGTTGCGTCAGATATTGGCGGAACTGGCCATTGGTCCTACCATGATGAAGAGAGGAAACCTACAGTTTACCCTATTCTTTCTTTATTGTATTGATAGATGCACGGCTGTAAACAAGTGTTACTACCCCGGTGGCGGGGAATCACTAGATGATGCTCCTTGCGACCCAGACGCCGAAGTCAGTGTCTGCTGCGGTCGCTTTTCATCAGGCGGCGGATGCCTATCAAACAAGCTATGTATGGGGATAGATGGGAGAATGAGCCGTGGCTCTTGTACAGACAAGAACTGGTTGTCACCAGAATGTCCCAATTTCTGTACTGGTAAGCACAGTCGACCAGGTTGACAGCATTGCGGTGAACAGAAGCTAATCTCCATATTCCCTTCTCAGTACTACGCCAAGGGATCGTCGTGACACCTTGCCTCAACGGAAACGACAGCAGCACCACGCACTGCTGCTTCCTCGACCGTATCTGCTGCAGTGACGAATCAGCCTTGTTCGAAGCACCTCCCGCCCGGCCAGTCACGACAGCGACTTGGAACTCCAAGTCTTCTCGGTACATCTCTTTCCAGCTCCAGCCCTCGACCTCTTTATCCTCAACCAAAACGTCGACTTCCTCATTGTCAACCGCCCCTCTGACTTCAACTTCGACAGAAAGCACAGCCACGACAGCATCCCGATCCATAACCACCACAGAGCCCGCTTCATCTACAACCACCCCAGAGTCAACCCCATCCTCACCCGGCAATCAACCACAATCCCAACCCCAACCTCAACAACAACAACAACAACCAGGGACCCCTCCCCCCAGCAACAACAGCCGGTATAGCCATAGGCGCCATACTCGGCGCAGCCCTCATCGCAGCAGTAGTCTACCTCCTCTGGAGGCTGAACAAAAGCCAAAAATTACTCGAGCAAGCAGTAGGAGGAAACCAAGCACCCGGAAACACACCACATTACAGCCCTCCATATGGCTTCCACCACTCCTCTCAGCATTCACACGCACCCGAGACAAACTCAGTCAAGGAGCTCCCCTCCGATCGAAGCGCGGGTGAGCTCGACGCAGGGCCTTTGCCAGAGGGATATTCTTTTGCTCAGAGACCTAGTTAAGATAGGAGAAAAGGGGGTTTCGCAAAGTGGAACAATGGTTGCTATGGCAACAGCTTCAGGGTGAACATTTGACGTCTATGGTGTAGAAATTCATAGTAATGGCAATACACAATCTGTGATACTTGGTCTGTTTTAATTCAGTTTACTACAACAGCTACTGGACCCCAACAGATATGCCACAGCCTACACGAGTCTCTGAAACCTCTATTCCCCTCTTGCGTTTGTTTACAAATATCTGGGCAGATACCAAGAAAAGGGGGTTCCACAGCTTCCCGAAGCCGGTGGATCCGTCACCGAATCTGGAATTTGACCAGCCAGTGTAAGTGGTTGTGGGTCGCAACAAATTTCAGGTGGCATCAGAACAGAAACATAAGATGATGAGTTGGGATTCATCTGAAAAAGATCTGAGGAAACTATATGTCATGCCATCAGACAGTGTCCATCACGTACCTGGATATCGCCAATCCCATAGGAATTGCGGCAGGTTCGGGGGTTAGGGTTCCTCTCGGTGGCAATCTTGGGTAACTAAGGTACATCTACGAATGTGACAATCGTCAACAAATGAGAAAGTTATTGAGTAACCTTTTTCATAGTACAGACTTTCCATGTCATCTAAATCTAGGTGGTAAAGGAGCAGGGAATCCTCATCGGGCACGGAGCAACTCGCCGCCCATCATCCGCCCAAAATCCTCGCATTACGCGCCACCAACTGAAGCCAGAGAAGAATCCCTAGGGGTGAGGCTACCGAGTTCAATCACCATCCTGAATCTTGTTCCTTCTTTGGATTTACCCGCTCTTCCATCAAACCAATCCGCGCCAATGCCAGCTCAGTCACTCTCTTCAGCGCCGTGATTCCTCCTCGTCAGCTTTCTTAGCTTCCAGGCCAGCTTGCTGGATTTTGTTCTCGGCTTCCTCCATCTTCTGTCGAGCTTCATTCATCTCCTTTCTAGCTTCGGCTTCCTCATCTTCTGCCTTTGCTCTCCTTGCACGAGCTCCCGTCGCCATTCGCATGACGCTGTCAAGTTCACCGCGAGATCTGGCCGGACTGGGCTGCTGCTCCTGACGTGAACTGTTCCTCAAATCGTCCTTGACTGTGGATGGCACGGTTGAGACCGGTGTCAAAAGAGCAGAAGAGTTTCTCTCCCCGGAACTCCGGCTTCCAAAGTCGCTAGATTCGAAGTTAGCAAGCAAGAAGAATTCTGGTTTTGCTATGACAACAACGTACCCCCAACCATGTTGAGTAGATACCATGGACAGACTCCCCGCGAGACGATCAGCTGTCTCAGGCTCCTTAGAAGAACTTTCCTGCTGAATCATTTCGGCTGCGTAGCGCCAGTTTTGCTCCCTCCTCCACTGTTCAGGCCAATATTGGAGAGCCTGCGGAAGACTGGATATCTCGTGGCTTCTCGCATCGTCCACGAAGAGAAGCATGTTGCAATTATCTTCGCATTCTTCCCCAAGCAGAAACCCCATGCGTGAGGGCACCAGTATGCCCATCGTCCATCACTGACCTTTTCGAAACCAGCTGGGACCGGATTGTCGCAGTAGCCAGGTATTGCATAGGTGCAGTGACCTGTTACTCTGAAATCAGCTGCCTGCTCAGTTCCACGGATGGCGAAGCGTCTGATTCAGAGAGAATAAGATGAAAACGGACAATACCAGATAGTTGAATGCTCGACACAATCATCCCACGCATCCCTGCCCGTGATAAGTCGACCTTCGGAGCTTGGGATGGTTCTGATGAAGTTGTCGCAATCCTCGGTACACTCCTTCACGGCAGTCGGGCCAAGCCGCCGAACAAGAATCTCGACAATTCTGTCATCGTAACTCGGAACAATGCCTACCATTTTGACCCTGGAACCAACCGACATTTCTCGGGGTTTTCGTATTGTTGATATCCCAGTGGCAGAGCCCACGATCGTGAGCTCAAAAGTAGGAGGTTGGAGAGAAGCCGTGATCAACGAGACAAGATCCACGAATTTTCTGTAAGAGGAACCAGAGAGGACGGAGAATGAGAGGGGAGAAAAGGCGGAGAACAGGAAACTAAGTCACAGCTGACTGGAAACGCGGGAGGAAGGTGCAAAAGCTGGCACCTGCCCTACCACTCACTCACCAGATTGACCGCACCTTCCAATCCAGTCCACAAAAATCAGGCAGCCAGATGCTGCCCGGATTTACATGGGCAGGTATGATCCGACTTTCCAGTCCTTCCTCTCCAGATGCATGAAGGCAGACTGTTACCTTATGCATGGCCGAGCCGCTCCCGTAGCCCCAACCTTCGCCTCAATGATACTGGAAAATCATCGAGCAGACCAACTCCAAAGTTCCTTCGGTTACATCAAATACTCCCTAAAAGTGGAAACACATCTCCGTCCACTGCCCTTGTTGGAGGCCCAACACAGCTCTATACATCTGGACACGCCGCAAAAGCCACCGGCACAGCGACTTTCATACACATCAATGTAATATTCATCCATAATTATACAAAAAAGCCCGCCTCTCCAATCCCCACCCCCAAGTCTATTACCACAACCCGCCGTATCCATCCAACCCCTTATAACCCCCCCGTCCGTCCCCAAACCCAAGGGGACAATGCTTCTTGGGATGCCAATTCACCGCAATGCTCATGTATATATGTTCATTTCACCAATGATAATTATTAAGACCACCGACCCCGCCATCCCCCTTTTAAAACAAACCATCCTATCCCAATACTCAATGTCATCACACAGCCTGACTATACCCACCCCCTGTCCTCCCACCCAACCCAATCTTTCCCTTCCCATACTTCAACCACTTCCTCCCCTCATCCACCCAGAAGACAGTGCTACACAGCACCACCAGCTTCGCCAGATCCCTCCACCCCAGCGCCTCCGTCTGGAACACCTCCTGCAGCCAAGGGAAGTAAATCACCAGCAGCTGCCCCAACATACTCAAGCTCACGGCCCAGTTGAACAGAGTGTTGCTGAACAGCCCAACTTCTCCTCTCAAGATCGATTTCGATTCGGAACGGCAAGCAAGAGCGTTGAACATGTCAAACATGACAAAAGCGGTGAAGGTCATGGTGGTGTCCCGACGGGTGACGATGCCGTCTTGCATTTCGTGAGTGTAAACCAGCATCGTGCCAACCATAATGACAAACGCTTGGGTCAACACGCGAGAAACCAACGGGCGAGTAAGGACCGCGTCGTTACGGCGGCGGGGAGGGCGGTTCATAACGTCCTTGTCTACAGCTTCGACGCCGAGGGATTGCGCCGGAGGCCCATCCATTATGATGTCTGTTGTACTGTGTTAATGATCGAAGTGACTGAAAAGGCGTCGAAGGGGGTGCTTACTGATCCACAGAATCTGCATCGCGTTCAATGGAGACTTGAACCCCAAAGCGGTGCAGATCAAGACAAGAGAGAGGCCGGCCGCGCTTGTGCTCAGCTGGAAGGTGAGGAAGTTCTGAATATTGTTGAAGATGGCCTTGCCCTCCTCGATAGCGTGAAGAATAGTAGAGAAATCGTCGTCCGTTAGAATCATATCAGCCGCCTCTTTGGCGACGTCAGTTCCATGCATGCCCATGGCAATGCCGATATCCGCCTTTTTGAGGGCAGGTGCATCGTTGACTCCATCTCCCGTCATGGCGACAATATCACCACGAGACTGGAGAGCGCGAATGATCTTCATTTTGTGTTCGGGGGTGGTGCGGGCAAAGATAGTGGTGTGATCCAAAGCTCGAGCAAGATCTTCATCGGACATCTCGTCAAGCTCATCACCCCGCAATACTGGCTTGACGGTGATCTGATTCGAAGAGTGTTCTGTGGGAACGGCGACCGCCATTCCCAATTGCTTGCCAATCGCCAAAGCGGTTGATTCGCCGTCGCCAGTAATCATGATAACCTTGACACAGCCTCGCATCAGTTTTCTGATAGAGCGGCCGACACCAGGTCGAGGGGGATCACTCATGCCTACAAGTCCGGCAAAAGTAAGTCCCCGGTACTGCTCTTCAACAGCACCAACAGCATTTGGACTTTCCCGGCCATTCGGAGTGGTGCTCCTGGCAGCCTTGCTCCTAGCAGACTTATTTACCGGACCATTGGCAAAAGCAAGGACACGGAGGCCTTGCCTAGCCATCTTCTCGGCTGCCTGTATAGCCTCTTCCCTGCGACCAGCATCCATGACGAACTCCCGCCCATCATCTGTCACGTATGTATCGCAAGTGTCGAGGACTCGATCAATCGCGCCCTTCATATATGCATGTTCCTTATCTCCGTCTGCAATGACGACGCCCATCCACTTGCGCTCAGAGCTGAATGGCGTCTCAGCAACTCGAGGTCCAAGGGAGTCACGGACGTCATGTAAACTGAACCGATCCAACAGGTCAAGCATAGCAACATCTGTGGGTTGTCCTACCCAACGGGTGTATGATGACGACCCTTGACCTCTATGTTGCGTGGAGGAAAAGACGGCTCTGGCAGCAGGTCCATTTTCATTGTGATTTCTCGCAGGACGGGCATTGTTGGCAATGTTGCCAATGCGCAAGATCCTGTGGGTGGCAGCGTCGGGCTCCTTTCCCGTCAATTCTTCGTCCGAATCAACATTGAAGGCATCGTCATTGCCAAATGTCCAAATCTTGGTCGTTGTCATATGATTCGTTGTCAGTGTTCCCGTTTTGTCTGTGCAGACCACATTCACAGAACCCAGCGTCTCAACTTTCGGCATCCGACGGACAATGGCGTTGTGTTTAGCCATCCGGTGAACACCCAAAGCCAGGGTGACCGTGACAATGATGGGAAGACCTTCAGGAATAGCCGCAACAGCCAGTGAGACGGAGATGGTGAATATTTCAAGCAGGTTCTTTCCCTGCAACCATCCAAATATGGAGATCAGACCAATGATTCCAAACGACATGCGTGTCAGCTGGCCTCCTAGGTCGTCCATGGAGAGCTGGAGAGGGGACCGCGGGCTTTCAGTTCCAGAGACACTGGTGGCAATAGTGCCAAAGTGCGTATCACCTCCAGTCGCAAACACAATTCCTTGTCCATGTCCGGATTTTACCAGTGTTCCCATGTACGCAATATTTTGACCCTTGTCGTCCGCATTGCCTGCCGCAAAAGTTGGACGAGGCAGCTGAAGGCTGGCATCGCCTGGGGCAGGTGATGCGAAGCCTTGGCGGGGGCGAGCATCTGCTGTGATCCTGACAGGTGCATTCTCTCCTGTGAGGTTCGAGGCGTCGATGGTCAAGTCCGCAGCTTTGGTGACTCGAATGTCGGCAGGGATACGATCGCCAGTGGTGAAGAGAACGAGGTCACCAGGTACAAGCTGGGCGGCCATGACTTTTGATGAAGTAGCCTCGAGAACCTCCTCCTCGGGCGTCGCTAATCCTGAAGCGCCGGCCGTCGGTTCGTTTGGGGTGCGGGCCCCAGGGGTCGTACCCGATGTTTGTTTCCGCACAAGATGCGCATGGTTCGGAACCAGGTGGTTGAGTGCCTCGATAGACTTTTCGGAACGATATTCTTGCAAGAACCCCACACTAATCACAATGGTCACCGCCACTGTGATGCTGACAGCGTCGTCCATGTTTCCTACCAGCAATGACAGCCCAGCCGAGCACAGCAGCAAGACAATCAGGGGCTCTTTGAACTGCCCGAGAAACCGCAACCATAATGGCTCAGGCTCGGCGTGAGGTATTTCGTTTGGGCCATAGTCGCGTAGCCTTGAAAGGGCCTCCGCAGCCGTCAGGCCTTGAGTTAACGACGTATTTAATCGAGATGCGACTTCGGCGGGGCTTTGGTAAGAATATTCGTTGGCAATGCTCTAGTAAAACACAGTTAGCCCATCGCGCCGCAACATTATGAAAAGAACATTTCCCCTTCCTACTCTTGATTGTGCAGACGTCGTCCGTGGTGAGGTAGATGGGGGGCGGTCACCGGCCTGAGATATGGTGAGCTGCGCAGGCACAGGGGAGTTGTGGTAGATCGGCAGCGCATCGCCGCCATTCGTTCGAGTAAAGCGATCCATTTCGATTCTGGCGGTGTGTTCAGGATCAGGAGGACGTGTAGATATGCCAAATGCCTGGCCTGGGCGCAACGGGCCCTAGCGAAAGCTGAGATCCAGACCGAAAGACATCAATGGCTGCTGCGATGGGTGTGAGGAAGGGGGCGAATGTTGGTCGATAGAGCTGGGCTGACAGACAGATGGCGGGATGAAAGCAGGGGAGCTAAAAGTTTGAACAAGAATAGTGCATCACGGGAGAGGCATCACCACATCCGTAGACTCCGTGCGGAATTGGGTTTGAATCCACTGGGAGGGAAACTTTTTGAGTTGGACGGCAGTGGTCTGGTTGGATACAAAGTGGAAACTTGGACCAAGTCGCGGTGCCATCCACCATTGTGGAACGTGTCTGCATCTGGACCGACCAGCCGGACTTCCAGGGGCACACAGGCCACTCCCAAAAGGCCTTGGCAACTTTTCAGGGATGTCATGAGGCTGAAAGGGGTGGCAGATAAAACGCAGGCTGCCATTGGTCAGAAATTCAATGCGACAACCTTTCGGCCATCATTTCGCACATCGGAGAGGATGAAAAGTTGAAGACCGACTGAAACACCAAAGGGTCTTGGAGCTAGAACTGGGTAGTACGAAGGATATTCCGGGATAACTGATAATCATGCTCTTCTTGTGTTGAAGAAGGTCTGGTCCCAGTTTCCTTGAAAGAACCGTCGAGTAGTTGATCATGTATCATGTGAGAGTCGAGAGTCGATTGCTTGGGAGACAGCGAGAGAGATACGGATATTCGACCGCAATTGCGAAACGAATGACGCGCAAGTTAGGAAAGCCACATCAACTTGCGACGAAGATGGCTATCGCCTGGTGATGTAATCCGCCAAGGCTGATGTCCAACAGGCGACACCAAGCCACGTGACTCAGCTCGGCGCGCTGTTGGCTGGTTAATTGATTGTGGCTGGTGCAGCTGTCCCCAGCCTCTCAAATTTCGCAGCAACTCGATTTTCAAACGGCAAGCAATTCCCACACTCACCCGGCCCTCGAACCACGTCCCCTCCCTCTTTCTTCACCAATTCGCCTTTGTTCCATCCAGCGCATCGCACCCAGACCCGATCGCGACTTCTCCGGCCGACGCGCATTGCATTGTCTGGTACAATTATCTCAACATCATCGCCATTTTTTGGTATTTTGCGCAACTGTCGGCACCAAAGCCGAAGACGGCGCTTCGACCACGCGCCCGTTCACCAAACAACGCAACACGCGCTTTCTTGTTTACCCTCCTCCGCAACCCCGACAACCCAACAACCCACCATCGTCACCTCCAGCAACCACACCCGTCTGCCCCGCGCACCCCTCCGCCGTCGACGCTCGAGATCGACAACCAGTCATAGCTGTATATTATTCACTTGCACTCGGTAAACCACCTCACTTGCTCCCGGTACTCCCGTCGCCGCCATGTTCTGGTCGGGCACGCTTCTCAGCGCCACCGGCCCCTTGGCCAAGGCATGGCTATCTGCCAACCAGGAGCGCAAGGTGTCGAAAGTCCAGATTTTGCAGCACAATCTCCAGGACAGTGTCGACGCCATTATCGCTCCCAACGATGCCCCCTTAGCTCTCCGTCTCTCCGGCCAGCTCCTGCTAGGTGTCGTTCGCATCTACAGCCGCAAGGCCCGCTACCTGCTCGACGACTGCAATGAAGCTCTTGTCAAGATCAAAATGGTAAGCGTTCAGCTCTTTGAACCCAGCTGCGCGAGACAATATGATTTCTAACATGCGCAGGCTTTCCGTTCGACTGGCAATCATGATATTCCCACAAACTTGCACATTCAGAACAAGGAAGCTCTAATGTTGCCTGATAAAATCACAATGTACGACAACCTCGATTTGCTCCCACCACCAAGCTCGGATTTCCTCCTGTCACAACTGGATGCGATCACTGCGACGCCCTCTATGGCCCGCAAGGCTCGTGCGCTGAACCGAGATACATATTTGCAAGAGGATTTCAACAATAGCCAGTTCCTTCAAAATACATATCAGGATGAGGACGAGGAAATGGGACTCGGTAATTTCGATGACGATCTTGGTCTGAAACTGGATTTTGGTGAGGATATTGTTGAAGGATCAAGGCTGGACCGGAGCGTGGAAATGGGCAGAGATGCGCCTCCCGTCCGGTCTGTTGAGGACGACATGCTCAGCGAGATGGACTTCGACCTGGGCAAGGACAGAAACGAGCGTGCCGTCTCCCTGGAAGGACTTGACTTTGGCGATGGCGTTCACATCATGGATGATGAGGGCGATATCGCCATGCCAGACGATGTCACGCTCAATGTTGGTGATGCGTCTGCGATGCCCGCAGCTGCTGGCCCCGATATGAGCCGCGCCCGCATCTCGGAGTCCCCGCTGTCCGACATTGATGAGGAGTTTGCCAAGGAGGTTGAGATGGAGTACAGCCGCCACATGACTACCGATCTGTACGAGCCTAGTGACGAGCCAACCGCCACCATTGCCAACGCCCCTCAGCGCCAGAAGAAGAGAAAGCTACTCCAACCTGATGAGCAAACTGTTCTGTCTACTCAACAGATCAGGGAACAGCAGGCGAAGCGCGACAACATCTTGAAGCCACAGTCCTTCCTCACTCACGACCCGTACATCACTGGTCTTGAGGACCTCCACAAAAATGGTGGCTTTATTCAGAACATTTTGTTTGAGGGCCGCAGTGATGGGTGGGCTCCCGAGCTGAAGGGTCTCTTGTCCCTTGGCTCGATTCGGCCAAATGAGCTCAAGCGGAAGCGCGATAGCGGCGTTGCCGACATGGAGACGGACGAAGAGCAAAACAGGTCCAAGTCTCCCCGTCTTGAACTTCCCGCCGACGAGAGCGTTTTCAACATGGACGGGACCGTTATTGGCAACCAGTCCATCGCTGCCGATGGCACAGTTCTCGATATTCCCGCTGATGAGACTGCTGTGCTGCAGCACGACGAAGAGGGGGAGAGGCGCCACGAGGCCTCTAGCCCGATGCCCAACTTTGATGAGACCAGCGTTCCCATCGTTCACCCCGCTGACAGCGGGCCCGTATCGATTGGCACCAAGCATGCTGTCCATATCCTGCGCGACCTCTTCGGTGCTGAGGCCGAAACCAATGCTGAAGTCCGCAAGAAGAATGCCGTTGTCTTCCAGGAACTCCTGCCAGAAGGAAGGACAAGCAAGGCCGATGCCACCAAGATGTTCTTTGAGTGCCTTGTCCTTGCCACCAAGGATGCCATCAAGGTCGAGCAACCCGAGGGATCCCTTGGCGGCCCAATCCGGGTGCGCGGCAAGCGTGGTCTCTGGGGTGACTGGGCCGAGAGGGAAGCAGGTGGTGAGATGGCTCGTGAGCAACATCAAGGTAACGAGCCCGGGCATGCTGTGGCTACGACTGCTGCCGTGTCTGTTTCGGCTTAGAGTCCAGCGCGGCATTGACAGCATAAACAGCATCCAACCTGGTGTTTTGGGTTTGCTTTTGGTCTCGGCTATTCACTGTACATCATTTGCCTCTTGGCGGAATTATCTAGGAAGGCGGCGGCGCATGGACGGCTATCTCATTTTCCTTTGTTGTCTTTTCTTTTTTATATTCTCTTGTTAACAAATGTTTTCACACGGTCGTCAAATACGAACCGAGTGGGCGTTTTGGCGTATCGGGGGAAAGGGAGACAACTGGAAGATACCATTGTTCTGGCTGGGCAAAAAAATGTAGTTGTTGTTGTTGTTGTTGTTGTTGGGAGATGTGTTATCGCAACCCGTTTTGTTTTTTTGTTTACGTCATTCAGAAAAGGAACCGTCATTGGGGGGTTGAGGTGGACAAGAAGAAGAAGGAAGCCCCTGTTGGGGATTAGGATTAGGGGGGCACCGCTTGTGTTGATTATCTCATTTTCAGCATTTGCACTCATGGCGGCAGGTGGTTGGCAAAGTTTCGATAAGCCAGGATTATTCCTTTTGTTGATGCAAAGCGGGCGGTTCATGGTTTGGGGCGAAGGAGCGCAATGAGTAATTATGTCAACTGTTATGGAATGCAGTAGTGTAGGATACCATTTGCTGCGCGCAACGAGAGAAGAGAAGAGGGGGGAAATGGAGGATGATTTTCAAATAGTTTAGCTTAGGTATATCTAGTATATTCGGTTGAATATGATGCTAGTTCGGTCATTTGTGTTGTTTCTACTGGTTCGTGCTTTGGTGGTTGTCGCTTGTTTGCTCAGTTGTTTACCTGGGCGATACTCACTCATCAATTGTTCACAGTGTTGGCTTTCATAGATGCATTTCAACTTGGGAGGTAGACGACTGGTGACGGTTTTATACCACTTGATAGACTGAGGCCTGGCTCAAGACACTGTCAAGTCCCATACTGATGAGTTTCTCCTCCTCCCATGTCACAGCAAAACCATGATCACAGCGGGGGGGGGGGGGGGGGGAATGGTAGCAGTCTCTTTGAGTATGTGGCATGCCATCCCCAGGTTGGAGTGCGTGCCCATCTTTCTTCTCTGCAATATTTGCAATTGCAAATCAGGTGACCAAAAATTGTAGCAGTGTCTCTGAGTAGCGTGCCATCCATCATCCTCGGACTGGGAACTTGGAGCAGGTGCAGGCCTTTCTGTAAATGTTTGCAAGATTGCAAACTAACCAAGGGCCCCGGAGGGCGAGGGAAGAAAAGAGGAAAGGAAGAGTAGGGGAGGGCGGTTTCTTATTCTTGGTGCTGGTGTGGTCTTTGAATAAGCTTAGGGTCTGGTGGGGTTTGTGACGTTCACGGTGGGCGTGTTTGGGGTTTGGGGTGGTTGATTTGAGGGATAGGTTCTGTTAAGCCATATGTGCTTAAGTCAAGGGGGTGGTGGTTTAGATGTGAGTAGCGGTCTAATATTGACACAACTGATGGCTAGGTAAGCCTTGGGAGAACAAGCATTTACAAAGAACACATCAGGAGATCGTACTTAATAACAGTTATATATAATGGCTTGCTGATATCAACATCTATATAACACTTCATTAATTTCCCTCATATTGCAAAACATGCCAGTCATACCGGTGTTTACAACCTTTCACCCTCACAACGCCAACTTGCTCACCAAGTTCGCAAAGGTTTCCTTGTCCAACCGCTCAGTCTCCCGCTTGGTCACATTGGCTTGGAGAGCCTGGACCTGCGCCCCAGCGTCATCTTCAATCCCAGAATACTTGTTAATCCAGCCCAGCACAGTCTTGTGCCAAACAAGCGAGTTCTCAGGTTTGAGCACCCACTAATTCCATGTTAGCCCCCGTTTATCAGAATGTGTGAAAGAGTAAAACTTACGTGATTCTCATCAGGAAACACCAACAACCTACTCGGCACCTTCTTCGCCTGCAAGACATTGAACGCCGCCAGCCCCTCCGTAACAGGAAGACGGTAGTCCAGCTCGCTGTGGATGATCAACTCAGGCGTGGCCCACTCGTTCAAATGGTTCGCCGGATCCCACTTTTGGTACCCCTCCTTGTTCTCGTAGATGGTCCCCTCAAAGTCGTGGATGGGGAAAAACAGCTCCTCAGTTGACCACTGGTTTGAGGTGGAGAACACTCCATCGTGGCAGACGAGCGCCTTGAACTTGCGGCCGAGGGGGTGGCCTTGGATCCAGTTGATCATGTAGCCGCCGTAACTGGCACCCAGTGCCACCGCTCTGTCGGTGTCCACGTAGTCCAGATTGTCTTGGATGTACTCGAAGGCGTTGACTAGGTCATTGTATGGCTTGCCGCCCCAGTCTCCCTTGATTCCGTTTTGTAGCGCCATGCCGTATCCCGTTGAGCCTGTGGGGTTGGGACTGACAACGACGTAGCCTTGCTCGGCAAAAACAGCTGGGTTCCAGCGTGTCGACCAAGAGTCAGCCCAGGCGCCTTGCGGGCCGCCGTGGATCAAGAAGCAGAGGGGGTACTTCTTCTTGGGGTCGAAGTTGGACGGTCTCATGACCAATGCATGGACATCATAGTCGCCAGCACCTTTGAAGGTGATGTCGTCAACGCTTAGCCGAGAGAGACCGAAGGATTTCCCTTGCTTGGAGTTGGAGGAAACTATGTGGAACGTGCTTTGAGAGGGATTGACAATGCTGTAGCAGGAGTTGTCCACCAAAGAAGTGGAAGTTACGAATAACCTGCCGGCCACAGGAGAGTGGGCCGAGACGGTGGTGCTGAGGAGGCGCACATCGCTGACAGAGCCGTCGGTTGTCGGAATGACAGAGGGTAGCTTCTTGCCAGCTTCGCATGGGGTAGAGGGAAGCTGAAAGATGAGGTTGCGAGCTCTGTGTTCGGCTGTGACGTAGAGTGTCTTGTCGTCGGCAGACCAGAGGATGGCATCTGGACGGGCGTCCCAGCCACCTTCGCCGTCCTCAGTGGCATAGAACTCTTCCGCCTTCAACTCGTCGAGATCTTTGACCAAAAGCAGACGGGTCTTATCGCTCTCATACTGCTTGCTTCTCATCCGCGTAAACGCAATCTTGTTTCCATCATTCGAAAACACCGGGCTCTGTGAATACCCTTCCAACCCCGGCGTCTCAACCAACCTCAGCTTCGGCTTCTCCTGCGCCAACTCCTTCAGCGACAGATAATACAAATCAGTCTTTGTATACATCGCCGGATCCAGCTTTGGATCCTTCGCCACAAACACCAACCCCTTCGGCCCAACATCAAAGTCACCCGTCCCCCCAAACGGCGGCACCGGCGAGCTCAACCCCGTCCCATAAAGCGCATCCACCAACCCCTCAATCTCAAACCCTCCCTCCTCCTTCCTCCTCAAAAACCCATACCTAATCGAGTTCTTATTCTCCGAACTCCACGCATCCCAATGCCTCACAAACAACCCATCATACACCCTCCCACTCGACAACCCCTTCTCCTCCGTCACAGGGTTATATATCTCCCCCCCAGGCGTAACCACCACCGTAAAACCCAAAACCCACCTCCTCCCCCTCTCCACCTCCCTCACCTTCACATTCCCAACCCCCCCCTCAAACCTCTTCACAACCCCCTTATTCCCCCTCACATCCCCCCATTTGATCTCCATCTCCCCCTTCTCCCCAACCCCCTCAACCCAAACAAACTCCTCCTCCCCAACCCAATTCGGCTCCGAAGCACCACTCCCCTCCACAACAACACTCGACTGCCCATTCGCAATCGTCAACACCCTAACCTCCGACCTGCGCTTATGCTCCCCAAACGAGTACGTCGACACGGTATACAGCGCCAGCGTCCCGTTACCGTTCGGCACAGCAGCCGACCGCCGCGGGGCAGAGAGCATCACCTCGGGCGTGAACTTTGTCGCCATGATGGTCATGTTGCCGGCTGAATCCCTCCAAACCGGGCTGGCAATAGCTGGGTTGATGATGAATGCCAAGAAAAAGAGGGTGGTAAAACAGACAAAGAAAAAGGTCGTTTCTACTCCTGGGAATAATAATAATCGCCGTCTGCTGCGGGGGAACAATTGTTTGAGCTCAGAGACAACAATGGCGGTGGTGCTGTTGGTGCCGTCCAAGTGAGGGGCAGCACCAGCACCACCACAACCATCAAGGTGCTTCCCCTCCCCTGAACAACCCCGCATTGAGAAACAGCTAAGACCTGCGGCTGCTGCTAGAGCTTCTTCACCACCACTCCCATCGTCATCGTCGTATCCGTCCCACCTTGGGTCTTGAGCTTCCCCCATCTCTGACGTAAAAAATCTGGCAAATAAATGAAAAGAAAGTCTCAAGAGTGATGAGAATAATGTCATCGGGAGAAGCACTTCTCACTCTTTAAATCCATTCCCCCACCCCCCCCTAGCAGCAACCCGTTCACGTCCACAATTCAACCCACAAAGGCGCTAATCACCGCCTATGGTTGGAAGAACCATGGCACGACATGCCAGTGGTGTAAGCATCAGGACTTCCAGATCCGGCAGGAGACAAAACATCTCGCCATCTTCCCAACCTCGACATCCGAGCCTACCGGGCCCCATTGCAACATTCCAGCCCTTATTCCCGGTGCTGGATAGGACACCTCCCGTCCAGCATATGCAAAGCAACCTTTAATCCCCGTGAAAAGTCTGTCCGACGCAAACTTGATCCTCCAGACAAGATACAATCCTGTTTTGTTCAGACAACTGCCATAAAACTACTCGTACAAGAATGCCGTCAACACCGCCAGTCTAAACGCCATATGCATCTTGAGGTCATACCTCATGCCCAGATAAAAAAGAAAAGAAAAAGAAACGCCATTGGTATCATGCCATTCGCTCCCAACCATCCTACCATAAAATCACAACTTCCATGTTGGTACAACACCGTCCCTGCTCATCACCACCTTCTTCAAGTGATCTCACTTCCTCCCCGCCCCAAAGCCAGTCCTAATTTTCTTAGCATCACGGGAATCAGTCTCACTATCTCCGTCCCCATCACCCGCCGCCCCTCTTCCTACTGGCCTTTTACTGCTCCCCTTCTTCCCCGCCTTACTCCCCCCCCCATTCCCACCCCCAGCACTAGTAGGTGTCCCAACCTTTGAACTGTCTCCTCCAGCAAAACTCCCACTGATCGGCGTAGGCCCTGGCGTACTACCCGGTGTGACACCCTCGGCAGCCTGCTGTTGAGCCAACTGAGCCTGTGCCGCCAGATTGTACGAAATCGAACTACGAGAAAAGACCCTGTTGGCATCATTCAACACCCCCCCTTGCATCCCACCACCACCCCCACCACCGCCCTTTCTCCTCGCAGCAGAAGACAAAGGAGCGCCTGGTCCCTGCCCAGCGCCGCCTCCTCCCTTGGCATAGTTGTCGAACCCAATGATGATGTTTCCGTGCGGCGTTGATTCGAGGTACTCCGTCTCCTTTTGGAAAATGTGTTCTTCTTGAGCGGCCTGTTTACATCAATCCCCGTTAGCTCCCTGCCCACAGTCACTCCAGAAAGAAAGGGTCAAACCCACAAGTCTCTTATCCAGCGCCCTCCTCTTCGCCAACAACTCCTTAAGCTGCGCTCGTTGTTTCTCGTAATAGGGGATTCCAGCCGCCGCTGCAGCCGCCGCCTGCTGCTGCTGCTGCTGCTGCTGTTGTTGTTGTTGTTGTTGTTGTTGCTGTTGTTGTTGTTGTTGTTGTTGCTGCTGCTGCTGCTGCTGCTGCTGCGCTTGTTGTGACTGTTGCGACTGCTGCCCTCCTCCATTTGCGGCAGACGACTCGTTCTTAACAGGTGTGTTCTGATGCCCCCCCGCGGTCGCGTTATTCCCCACAGGTTTTGGTGTAGCAGCTCCGCCTCCCCCTCCTCCATTCGAAGATGTTGTATTCTCCGTTGCCATGACTGGTTGTTAAGCAGGTGGTATGATGACGAAAGACGCGTCGAGAGATGCAGAAAAAGCGCGTTGAATTGGTGTAAAGTGAGTGGGTGCGTAAACGTGGGGTGTGGTGCGCGTGCAAAGTGATTGTTTCCTCCCTGGTCTAAAAATGCGTCAGTCAAGAACTCGGGCCTGAACATGTCGCGGTACCGAGTCTCGGGCCTCTTACCTTGTTGGCACCTCAGTGGACCGGGATGAAGCCCTTAGTGGTTGCAGTGCGTGGTCAAATTATAGTGCGGGCATGAGTAACGGTGTGTAGGACGGCGGGGGGAGCAGCCGTGCTCGGGGCAACACTGAATCCACAACTCTCCGCAAATCAAAACCGAATACCATCCAACAGATAACACAGCTGAAAAAGGCAACACCGATAGCCGAACTAAGAAACACGTACGACCAAGCCGTCAAGATCGCCTCCGCGACTTCCCAGAACCACTCCCAGGCCCTTCTCCAGGACCACCTGATAGCCTGCCAGGACCGGCGAGCGATGAACTTTTGGAAAACAAACAAATCGGCCTTGATACGGAGTACTGCAGGCCGAATTGGATGCCAAAAATCGATATTGATGATGTCCACGATGATGTCCACTCTGTCCCAGACGGTCCTCCAGAAGGCCATAAAGTCCATATCGTGTAAACCGAAAGGATGTCAAGACAAGCAAGAATGGACTGTAGCAAAAAGAATTATGAAGTTATAAAAGTCGGGTAGCAAGTGATGATACTTGGATTGAATTGGGTTGCTTCTCAACCAATCCTGGAGCTGGTCTTTTATCTCAGAGCATGCAACTCCCACCTTCTTTCCTTCTTTCAACTTGGAAGCTCTGCCTCCCGCTTGAACTTGTAATTTCGAGTGGGGGAAGGTGCCCCCCACCCACTCTGCACGTCACAGGAAGATACATAGGAGGCAGTCACGACTTCAATTATCTCTCATCAGACCACACCAACGCCCAAGCTGTGATGATCCGGGCAGTGACTTCCCACCACAAACCAGGTAGGTACCTATATCCTGGGAAGGAACCACTCAGAACTTCATCACCCTCCCTAATGCCGCACAACCCAACACAAATTTCAAGTACACGTCCTTGCCACTATATTACGACAGCTATCATTTTACTACGCGATCCACACAGAGGCTGCTAAAAATATGCTCAGATACAAGCCAAGACAATATTTTGGGGGTTTGTAGTCCTCACAGAGCCGCCTTCCAAACCTCAACGCCTCGAAACGCGAGTCTCCCAAAGCCATGCTAATGTCCTTCCTGTTTTTTTTCTTTTTTTTCTTTTTCTTTCTTTGATGTGGTTCAATGAACGAACGAATAAGTGATAAACAGCTTCAAGCACCGTTAGCCTCAACCACGTCACTACTTCTTGAGGATCTCATCTGCTTGATCTTCTCCTTGAGCTCCTTCTCCCGCTGCTCAGTGTCGATTTTGGACTCCTGTAGCATAAGCAATAGTTAGCCATCATATCTTGCAAATACTTGGAAACTTCAGAGAACATACCTGATCTTGGCTCGACACCGCCGCATCGTCATGGTGGGCTTTGGGGGGTCTGTCTTCAGCTCCTGAACCATCAGCCGATCTGTCCCGCTTGGAAAGTTGTGAAGATGCAGAAGAGGCCCTGCTTCGTCCTCCTCTTCTATCCCTCGAACCACTGCGGCTACGTTTTCTATCACGAGATCGACGACGTGGAGAGCGGGAACGGGATCGGCGTCGTCCGTAGGAGCTAGCAGGACTAATGCTACGGCCCGTACTGCGAGAGCGGCTCCTACTCCGATGTCGCTTGATGTCGGGGGAGACACTCCTGCTTCCACCTCTTGACCGCCTGGGGGGAGGGCTTCGGCTTCGGCTTCGACTAAGAGATCGGGAGTAGCGAGAGGATCCGGAAGAATAGGAAGATCGACTGTACCGCCGGTTTCGGGTCCTGGATGGACTGCGTGTTAGACTGCGAGAGCGGCTGCGGGTGCGGCTCCTGCTCCTGCTTCTGCTTCTGCTTCTGCTCCGGCTGCTAGATGGAGAATAACGGCGACGCTTTGGTGAAGGTGAGCCGCGGTCGGATGCTACTGATCGGGACCGGCTACGGCGGTCGGCATCCCGGGCAGGGGAGCGGCGTCTTTTGACTGTATCCCTGTAGGGAAGTGGTGAGCGAGAACGACGGCGTCGACGAGGGGGACTAGCCGATCGCGAATAGGACCGTCTCTTCCCATCCACACTAGGGTTGCGAGAGAGAGATCGAGATCTAGACCGAGACCGGGACGAAGCCGAGCGCACAGAAGGCGACCGTGAGCGCGACCTGGACCTTCTCCGCCTATCATCCCGCCTATCTCCCATCCCCCTTCCGCCACAACGGAGCGGTGAACTACCCCGTCCGCCTGGGACATATGAATCCCTCAAGCCACCCCTCGGTCCTCCTCTTCCCCCACGGTCACGGTATCTCGGCGGCGACCTGGACCGTCTCTCATCACCTCCTCTGCCCCTCCCAAAAGGCCGATCTCTGTTGTCGTCCCTCCCACCTGGACCTCTCCAAGAATCACCTCCCAGTCTACCCCCTCCCCTCGGCCCCCCAGCACCTCTCCCTCTCTCAGCTCTATCACCCCTCCCACCAAGCCCCCTCTGAAAGCTATCCCTCCTCTGATTCTCACTATCCTCTCTCTTCTGCCTCGCCTCCTCCTGCTCCCTCTTTTCCTGCAAGAGCTCCAGCTTCTTGGCCTCCAGCAACTCCTTCGGCACGCCCTGGGGAGAATCCTGCGCACTCAGCAGCAGCCCCCACATCTCCTTGCAAAACCCGGGCGTGTCCTTGTCGAGAAAGCCAGTGAGCTGAATCTGTAGAGCTTTGATATCGGGGTGGCGGCTGGATTCGATAAGGTTGAACACGAGTTCAATGACAACATCGTCTTCGTTGGCAAGGATTTCGGTTATGCGACCTGCGATCCATCTGATTTCAACTTGTTAGACCGAGGTTCCGACAAGAGATACGGACAGAGCGCGAAAAAAAAACAAACTTTTTCATAACCTGGAGGTTGACCTTGGTCATGTCGACCTTTTGGTTGAATTCCGGTGGGAATTTTGTGCTCTTGAGGAGCTTTGCATCGACGCCTGTCGCCATGGCTGCTGCTGTTTGGTGATTGAATCTCTCGAGATGTAGTAACCAAGAGGCGGTAGATGGTAGGATTGGCCGGGCTGGCGGCAATGAAGAAACTGAAATATAACTACGTGATGGAAGCAAGCGACCGACTCAATGGAACGAAGGATGTTGTCAGAGGTCGTTGTTGTCTCGTCCTCCAAAAGATTGGACGTTGTCGTGACGCGCTCCCAAAGAGAAAGTTGGACCACCAGCAATTTCTGTTTGTCAGGCAAGCACCTGGGAAGAAACAAAAAGTGGGGACGCGATTTGCAGGCCGGATCCACTTGACGCCAGCGGAGCGGTGCCAAGAGGGGCCGGGGACAGGGGTTGGGGTGCTACAGTAAATGCTAACGAATGCGGGGCAGCACCAACGACCACCTCTCTAACTGGGACTGGAAGACTGTCGTGTGTCGGATTGTTGAGATTGAGAACATATTACTCATGATTAGAGAGAATGAGGTTCAGAAGTCAAAAATATCCTCCGCTGTATCGATTTAGAAAGAATAGTCTTACAGTCTACCAACAACCACAAGCAGTGAATAAGGCAAGACTGTCACAATCGCGACGAGGGTACGTATGTACATGTAATCTTTCAACAGCAAGGTATATCAGACAACCTAGCTGTAAGGACAGTGCTGTTGTTCCTTCCATCAGTCTCGACACCAGTTTTGTCTCTCCTCACAAAAAGAAAATGCAAGTTCCAATATCAACCCAATCCATTAACCACAACATGATCCCTATCCCAGAAGGCTGTCTGTATGAGCCTGTCTGGCCCGAACTCCATGATAACGCCGTATACGATAATCAATGCTGCTATCGTTGAGTAAGTGAAAGTTCCGTCGTGCTATCCTCAATGAGAGCAGCTGCCCGTTGAGTTGTTTTGTCGGTGGTAAACGCCAGCCAGATCTCATGAATGTTTGGGATAACTGTATCTTGACTTGTTGGCGGTTTCGCCAGCGAACCCTGTTAGCGAAGTAGGCCCCTTCTCAAGTCTCTCCTGTTGTTGTCTCGCATGCTGCAACGACGTGATCTTCTCCCTAAGCTTGAGCAAGCTTCGATTATCTTGGTCCTTCAACTTCGCGCGGATCTCGTACAAGGCCATGAGTGAGCCGGCTCGGTCGACATCGTCGTCGCTTATCTGCTGTGGTTCAAAAGTACGACTTTTTTAGCATCGGGACCGAAGTGTGATGGAGACAAACACCAAGCCTTGAGCGACGGCAAGGAATACTGCTCACCTCTCCACGAGGGGTTCCCGGTATTGATCCATACGAGGAGTTGGCTCGTGTGTTGGGCGGTGTAAGAATGCGACGACCGTATTTATCAAACTTGGCCGGCGAGGCGGTACGGGAAAGGAAAGAAGAAGAACCCAGAGAGCCGGCGGAACCGGTGCGCTGGTGATTGCGCTGACCCGGGCGGATCGGTGGCCGTACCAAATCCGAGGGTTGGCTGGCGTCGGAAGGGGCAGTGGTGGTAGGTTGGTTGAGGTTCTTGTTGGCGTTGACCAAAGCCACAGCGGCCGAAGCTTCCTGCTGTGGCAAAATTTTAGCAAGGTTCTCATGTCTTTTGACAGTGCGCGTCCGTGGGCATGGCGTATATATACGTACAGCTGCATTTAGGTCGCTAAGGTCAGCTAGCATCTGTGCCAGTTGAATGCTCTCCATGGCGAATACTGTCTCCGAAAGCGGTGATAACTCTGGTGTTGTTTTTGGAGCGTGTAAAAATGCAAAAGGCGCAAGGGGAAAGGCAATGAGACTGCTTTGTCTTGATGGCTGTCAAAGGGTCGGTGGTGGCCGCCGTGAGGTCGAAGAGTGCAGCCCGTGACGTCTTTGCTGTGGATTCCGTGGCCTTTCTCAATGTCGAAATCCTGCTGCACGGGTGTGTGTGGTGTCACAAACCGAGATTTTCCGGGTGAGGCGAAAGAGAGAAGCCGCAGTTTTTATGCTCTCACCAGTTACCAGCTGGTTGCTAATGAAGTGAAGCTGGCTGGAAAGATGGGAGGGAGAGGGTGTGTGCGGGCTACGTATCTCAAAACGGCCCGGGCTGGTTGCTCTTGTTCACCCAGCAGGCTGAGTCGCTGGGGATGCAGGCCAGCACTGACCCCAGTGCTAAGCTTTGGCTTTGTCCACTGAAGATTGGTGGGGTCCCGGTCCCCTGTGATCCGAACAGGGGTCGGCAAATTCGATTTGTCTTCTTGCGTGGGGTCCCCCGCACTTTGACCCTGCAAGACATATCACGGCATCTCGTCGCCTTCTTTTACGATCTTCTTAACGATGGGAAAGTTGCTAATGTTAGCCATTGGCTGATCGTTATCTCTTTGATGATGAACAGGGCGAGAATATGCCGTTCAAGCCCGTTTCCGCCCCTTCCACAACGATCCAACACCACTCCCACGTGGGTTTTATGGCCTCGACTGCGAATGTACGTCGGCAAATGCTGTGGCCGACAATGAGTTCTTTGTGTCCAGGATGGCCAGGCTGAGCCGGGCCGTGGCAGGGGCGAGTTACTCACTGTGTTTGAGATCCGTGCTTTCAGAGCTCTCTTGTCATGATCTTGACCTCCACCCGGCCCAACACTGGTCTCGTCATACTTTGGTGCCGTGTATGTGTCGTACAGTTTCAAGTCGAAGTTCAGAGTGTGAGAAATTATGCCTGAGAGACACTTAAACTACTCCGGTCCTTCTCTTCACCGATTCGAGACCCTGTGCCTCGATTTAGAAGCAAAGCGATGTCGCAGTTGCAGATGGGCTCGAGGATGACATTGAACAGCGAGCAATGGCTAGCTGTTGTTGCTACCCAGCTCCACATCTCCACTATTCCTTCAATTGAAGCATGAACTTCTCGATTGAAGCAACGCCAGACTAGGGTTTTAGAGAGTAGCTTATATCGCAATACCAAGATATCATCCTTCCTCGGTATTCACCCAGTCACAGCAGGTGTGAAGTTGTCACCGTAAGCAATCCATCAACACTCTTTTCCCAACCGGGGTCGGCATTCCTTCCGGTGCTTCCATTGCTGTCGTTGGGATTGGTTACTCCAACCTCAGCCAATTGACCAATTGACCCGAACCGAGCTCACATCATAAGACGGGATCTCTCACTTTGGCAGGTACTCTGCAGAGGGGGGTTACCATACATCCAGACACCTTGGATTGCATATAAAGACCGGTTATCTCCAGCGGGGAAAAGAAAGAGAAAAGATGATGATCTTCCGGAGAGGTTTGGCTACGGCCACAAACGCAACCACAATGGCGTCGCTCAAGAAGGCTGGCAAGGTCGTGTGCATTGGCCGCAACTATGCGTGTGTGCTCCCTCATGCCTACCTTGTAACAGGAGTACTAAAGCTAACTTGAACAGGGACCACATTGCTGAACTCAACAACACCCGCCCCAAGCAACCCTTCTTTTTTCTGAAGCCTTCTTCCTCCATCTTGGCCCCCGGGGAGGGTCCGGTCGTCCGCCCCAAGGGTGTTGACCTTCACTACGAAGTCGAGCTCGCCCTTGTCCTCGGCAAGCGTATCAGAGACTTTGATGAGAATGACAACAAGGCCGCTCTCGACGCCATTGACAGTCAGTTCTCATCTCATCTGCGCCTCCCTTCCCATCGAACTAACACATGATAAAAAAGGCTACGCCCTCAGCATCGACATGACCGCCCGCAACGTCCAAAACGAAGCCAAGAAGAAGGGCCTCCCCTGGGACATCTGCAAGGGCTTCGACACCTTCCTCCCCGTCAGCAACGTCATCAACAAGTCGGCCATTCCCGACCCCCACAACATCGAGCTCTACCTCACCGTCAACGACAAGGTCCAGCAGCAGGACTCGACCGAGCTGATGCTCTTCCGCATCCCCAAGATCCTCGGCGACATCTCCAAGGTCATGACCCTCAACCCAGGCGACATCATCCTCACTGGCACCCCCAAGGGCGTCGGCCCGGTCGTTCCCGGCGACGTCATGAAGGCTGGTATCAGAATCAATGGCAAGGAGCTCGAGGAGGCCAAGATTGAGGTCCAGGTGGAGGAGTCAACTGGTGCTTACCAGTACGGCGAGACGTAAAATGTTTTGTTTTTTCATGTATCCAAAACAGATGATTTTTTGCATATACACCGCTAGAAACCCCCAAGTAGAAAAGTAAATATACACCAAAAAAATCAAGCCTCCTCCAAATTAGGATCCTTCAGACTCCCCTCGGCGGGCTTCCACGCCGCCACCTCCCCACACTTTTTACACGTCCTCTTCTCTTCGTCTTCCTTGAAAGCCTCCACCGCAGCTTTGATCTGCGTCCCCAAATCGGTGCAGTGAAAGCTCGCCTCGTGGACAATCTCCTTGCATGACTGGCAGTACCACCTCATCCGGTCGATGCTCCCCTCTGGACGCTCTTGCTCGAGGACGATGCCGACGGTGTCGGCGAAGCGGACGGGGTTGTGGGGGGTGTTGGGCGGGAGGAGGAACATGTCGCCTTGGCGGATGATGATGTCCTTGAAGGTGTTGTTATCGGTGGGGTCGACGATCTTGAGGAGCATGGCGCCGCGGTGCTGGTAGAACCATTCGGGGGTTTGGTTGATGTGGTAGTCGGTGCGGGCGTTGGGGCCGCCGACGATCATGACGGTGAAGCCTTCGTTGTAGACGCAGTAGTTGTTGATGGGGGGTTTGAGGAGGTGGGAGTTTTCTTCAAGCCTGGGGGTGTGTGTTAGTTTGGTTAGAGATCAAAGTGGTGATATTGGAGACTGAACCATTTTGGCAGGTTGATGGGTTGGGTGAGCATTTCGATGAGCGTTTGGTAGGATCTGTGAGAACAAGGTTAATGAGAGCAGCTAAAGGTATGAGATGGACTTGGAGGTGTGATAGTCTGGGGCGGGTGAGTGAGCGAATATGAAGACTTGTCATTCAGCAAAGCGATGCGGGTATCATCGGGAGCTTTGCTCAGTGCTCGTGAGATCAGATGAGAGCTTCACCCTGGAGATCTTGAAGCTCGGTGGTCACCCACCTGTCAATGCCGAGAGGCTTAGGTGTACAGCGTCACAACTGTAAAGCCTATATGTTTGATGATGATTTTAGTTCTTGAGATTTTAGAAATATGTCTCCATTCCCAAATTCCCTCCGTCATCAACCCAGACCAACCCCGCCATCAATCCTTTCCAAGCTCCTGCCCCGCGCCCCCGAGACAATGCCGAGTCGCCCTTCCCCAGAGCTGATTATCAAAAGTGGGGCCCCCGTGCATGGATCAACGGACCCCTGTTCGCGTCTCGTTCCAAACGTTGGGACAGATTTCATGCGCAACTTGAACCCCGAGTGAGAACTTCTTCACCATAATCTCAGTTCCTCACTTCTCTCACACGATTCTCATTTGTCCTGTCTTTTTCACTCACAAAGTAAACGCGAAAATGGATCACTCTCACCACGACCACTCCCATCACGAAATGATGGACCACTCGGCTCACATGGGCCACGGTGATCACGGCGGTGATGGCCAAAACATGTGCAACATGAACGTGAGTCCTTTTCCTCATATCCCTCTCATCAAAACATGATACTGATATGAGAAAAAGATGCTCTTCACCTGGGACACCAACAACCTCTGCATCGTCTTCCGCCAATGGCACATCTCCTCCAACTTTTCCCTCTTCGTCTCCCTCCTCGCCATCGTCGCCCTCGGCGCCGGCTACGAAGCCCTCCGTGAAGCCATCCGTCGCTATGAAGCCGCAGTCACCAGACGGGCCAACTCCGTCCCTCGTAAGTCATTCTTCATACTCTTCCCCAAATATTCCATAGGCTGAGACGATGTGTTTTTCCTTTGGTTCCAAGGAGAAATCGAGTCTCGATATCAAGACGAGGAAGATCATGAACAAGATGCTGAGACAGCCCCCTTCTTTGGCGCTGTGATTACAGGCCAGAACAGAGACGAGGTCACCAAACGGGCGCACATCATCAAGAGTGTCTTGTATGCGGTGCAGAACTTTTATGCTTTTATGATCATGTGAGTATCCTTTCGTAAATGCACTCAAGATGGCAACCTGACAAGATATAAGGCTCATCTTCATGACTTACAACGGCTGGGTCATGCTCGCCTGCTCCTTTGGCGCCGGCCTCGGATACCTCTTGTTTGGCGGCCAGACCACCGTAGCAAAGGAGACAGCCTGCCATTAACGATTTCTACTGTGTAATCTAGTCTCATGTGATCTACACCTATCTCACGCCCAAAAGAATAGACCATTCCATGATTCATACCCAAAACAATCATCTCACATCTTACTGCCTTCCTCCTTCTTGGTCATAATCTCCCCCGCCTTCTTCACATCCTCTTTGGTGACTGTACTCCCCCGTCTCTTCTTCTCCCCCAGCCTCCCCAACCTTTCCAATCCCTCAATGATCCTCTCATCTCCAAAATGACTGTTATGCTCAAACTCTGGCTTCTCCCCATACGCAATCGTGGCCGCATCCACCAGAATCCGAGCGGTCATCCCCCAGACTTTGTACCGCTTTTCCTCTTCCACTGGCTCCTCATCAGGGCTGTGATCTTCAGCCAGTGATGCCAAACCCCCCTCACGAATTTTAGGTTTAGTAACCCTCTGGTTAGTGACCGGGACATAAAAAAAGTGCATCCGCCAGGGCTCCTCGTGCCATTCCGTCCAGGAGCCATTATACCACTCCCCTTCTACCTTTTCGTGACCAGGTTCATCGGTTGACCTGAGGAAGTTGTGAAACGGGGCGGAGAACACGGCGGCGACTTCTTTGGCGTCGAGTCGCGGGATTAGGGAGTCTTCAGCGGTGATTGTTGGGTTGGGCTGCGGGGAGACGGGGTTTGACTGGGGGGAGGTGGCGGTGGAGGAAGGGGGGGAGGTGTGCAGGAGGGCGACGACGGGGCGGACGACGAGCTCGGTGCGGGCGAGATTGGCGGGGAGGTAGCAGAGGTGTTCGATTGTGAAGGGTGGGGGGAGGTGGGTGTTGTCGAGGGGGAGGCCGATTTCCTCGTAGGCTTCGCGGCGGGCGATTTGGTCTTTTTTCGCAGTGGTCAGTAGTTGTTCAGGGTTGTGAGACGATGGGGGAGTGGTTACAGGGTGTCTCGTGGATGGTGTCCGCCTTCCCACCTGGCAATGCTGCATGACCTGGTACATAGAAGTCAACCACACATTCCATGTAGTATCATCTCACAGCAACCCACCAGAAAAACTCCTCAACGTCGCCGCCCTCATCGTTATCACCACCCTCAAATCCCCCTTCCGGTCCGCATACAACAGCAACAACACCGCCGCCCGTCTACTGACAGGCAACCGATCCCACAACGGAAAAGGAGGCGGCTTGAACGCCCTCAGCCTGGCAACCGCCGCCTGCCATCCCAGACATCAGTCACCATCTATCTCATTTCACTCATTGACCCCAAAGTTCAACTCACAGCAGAAACAGCATTCAACGGCGCCATGGTCTCCCTTTTCCAGTAATACGAACCCTCGTCTTCCTCCCTCTCACTTTCTTCCTGTTGAGTATCTAAAGCGGTGGGACTCAAACTCGGTGAATCCCGCAACCCCTGAACTACCGTCTTTGTTTCTTCCTGGCCTGGGTGGGCTGGAGTAGAAATGAGATCTTCTTCTTGTTGTTGAGGGTCTTGTTGATCTGACTGATGAGGCTCAGAGACCATCAACGTGCTGGTCATTTTCTGGGGCCAAAGCTTAGGTTAGTTGGTAGGTTAAAAGGGGGGTGAGTAGTGAGGGGGAGGTGGCTGGATAAGCGTAAGGCTCGGTCGGATAAGGCGGTGCACTGCACTCTGGAGTGTACTGCATAAGGTAGGAAATGCACATGGCAATGTTGCTGGCACTTGACTAGACTGGGGAAATGCAAATGCGGGGCGGGTTCCGGGAGTCAAAAGCCGGAGGAGTGCTTGTCATAGGTGGACCTCGGCCGGCCGGTGTTCTGGAAGGGTTGGGTGTTGTCGAAAGGGGAAAGGGGATGGGGAATGTGGGGTAACTTTTTGTTGATGAAGAAAGAGTGGGGGGTGACGTCGTGTTGACTTGGAGATATAAGCATTTCGAGTCCAAACATCAACGGTATTCTAGATGGAAGAACGGGAAAAAAAGACGGTCGAACGACATTATCATGATCAAGTTAAAATTAAAAAGCTCGCTGGGCATCCACACTTTATTTGATTGTGGTGTTCAGCGCCGGAAACCGTGGGTTTTGCGAGGATTTGAACAGGAGGCTCTGTCACGGATGGACAGGAACCCTGGGAGGGTATTTTGGGCAACTTTCCTGCCGGCCAGCAGGCTTACCACTTGACCATTGGCCAGGAGCTACTGTTCCTTGTTGAGGGTTGTATGTCTAAACTAATATATATACCATGGCTCAGTTGTTCTCGAGGAAGGAGCAACACAACATGGAAAGACTCGAGACGGCAGTCACGGAGCAACATGGAAGGAGCTATCCCTCTCGAGCCCGCTCCTTCCCAAGTAAGAAGATAGACTAACCCAGGAAGCAAACCACCATTAACCGCACTTCAACCCATCAGCCTATAAATTTGAATCTATGTACACCACACAGTATAATCACAACACACTCCCCCTCGTCTACCAATGCCCCAAAACCAACACTACGTTTACCATCCCAAAATCCCATGTAACCACATCTACCCATAAATCTCAGTACCCAAAACACCAACCGTTTCAACCCCCCTTCTACAAAACATTCCTCACCCCCTCTACCTCCATCCCCTCCTCCTTCTTCTTCTGTCCCTCTATCTTCTCCCTCTCCTCCCGCTCAATGACACTCTTAGTCCTCCAAGGAACAAGAATACCCAACCCCACCGCCCCCGTTCTCGACCCTCCATACGCCGCTCCGTCAGCAAGCAAAGTGGTGTACCCAGGAATTTCAATCTCTGATCGTGTTGCGTTCGAAGGTTTAGGACTAGGCGTTGGCCTCGGGCTGGTACCCCTGGTTTGCTTGAGCGGGTTATCCAACACCGACACTTGTGCTGTAAAAGACCTGAACACAAACGGCGGTGGGACATGCACCGGCGGTAGCGGTAGAGAAGCTGCAGGGTTATATCGACTTTCCGTCGCAGCAGCACCTAGCCTAGGCCCGACAGCCGGACTGCGGCTATGACTCTGAGAAGAATCGCTTCCTCCTGCTGGGGTCTTGCGATACCTCGCCGGAGGGGAGGAAGTGTTGCCCCTTGTTGCAGTAGCGGGAGGAGGAGGAGGAAGGGAGGCAATGCTACCAAATGTTGTTCTCGTTGGCGTCCCTGTTGCTGATAATGTCGGGGCTCGGGACCAGACTGAGTTGGAGTCAGTACCAGACGCGGTAGCTGTATTTGCCGCCGAGAGCCGGGCAGACGTCACGCCTGGGGTGCCACTGGGGGTTGAGACTAATCTTGGAGTTGAAGAAACAGACGTCCCGTGAACATAAGTTGCCACTCCTGGGCCCATCCAGATTGGGTTGTCGTTTGGTGGAATAAGCGTTCCTTGCACCCATCAACTCGTGGGCTGACTTTGTCCTGTCATATCCAGCAAGCATCGAATGTTTTGACGCCCTTGCGGATGGAGTTTCGTTGTTGGCAGCCTCAGTCTTGTGCTTGAATGGTGTGGCACCTTCCTCCTGGCCCAAGAGCTGACCCTCGTCGCCATAGACTCTGATCTTGTTTTTGAGTTTGGAGCGTCTCCTTTCTTCGGGGGTTTTGAATGGAGCCGTGGCAGCAGCTCCTGCCTTACTGACAATTTGCGAGAAAGATAAATGATTTGGTGTTGTGGGGGTGGTGGGCTTCACGTCTGATCCGAACTGATGTTGGATCTGGTGTAGGGCTCGCCGCTGCTGTGCCGATTCTAACATCAGGTTGTATGGTCCTTTCTGCTTAGAAGGAGATCGAAGAGGTGTTACTGGATAAACACCTGTAGAGCGCCTAAAGACTTTGCTGAGGATGGAGCTGTACCTTTTCGGGGACGTGGGGGAAGGGGAGAAATGGCTCGACCAAGCATCGTGTGACTTGGCATCGATGCTGACGGTCTGAGTGACAACGTCACTTCCTGGCCTCGATATAGGTATCGACCGAGTGCCCTGCGTCCTCGAGATGCTGCAAGTTCGTCTGCCTCGGCAGCCCATACTTGAATCCCCGTCTGCGTGGACTTCCCCGTCAAGGTCACCAAGCCTATTACCGTTGTCGCCGGGCGGGGAAGGCTTTTGAGATGGAGAGGGTGATGGGGAACTCCGCGATGGTTTGCGCGAGTGGGAAGAGGAGGGAGGGTGGATATGGAAATGGGAAGGGCCGCCAAAGGTGCTAGTACTCGCCATGACAGACCGGTCGCCAGGCTGGAGGTGCCTCTGGGGGGCGCTTGTGGCACTTAGGGCGCTAAAAGCGCTGCTCCCCGAGGGACGGCGTATGTTTTGCAGCTGCTGGCCTTCGCGCGGGGACTGATGGTAATGGTATGAAGAAGGAGGCGGCCGAGGGGGAGAAGCTAGTAAAGGTTTGGTCGAGTGGTGGCTGCTACTATACCAGCTACTTGGTTCGCTGCTTGCGTTCCCTGCATCTGCTGTGATCATCTCGGTCAATTGGATGCCCTTGATGATTTGCTCAAGCGGTATGTGCTTCGACGAGCTCGCTGTCGAAGAGATATGAGTAGGAGAGTTAGGGGGTGTTTTGGACACCATTTCCACAGCTGCTTCATGATACATGTCGTGGCTGGACCTGTGCTCGTCTGAATCCGGTATGCGGTAGCCTCGAGACCAAGCATGATCATCATGCACGGCGGATCGTGGCGTCTTCTTCAACGGTGAGGGTCCCGGGGCCGCCTTCTTCTCTCGATGGAAGTCAGGTTTGTTGCGTCGAACAATGTGTGAAGTAGGAGAAGATGCATGTAGAGTCGAACCCAGTCTACTCCCTGGAGCGTTGAGGGAAGACGCATTAGAAAGGCGCCTTTCCTCGGGTTCTAATGTTCGCAACGCGGTGTTGATGTCCATCAAAGCTGTGTCTGAGATAGCTGTGACTGGCTCTCGACTGACTTCCTTCTGCAGAGGAGAGGTCACCGATTGATCGCTCAATGGAGAGGGCAGCCATGGCTCTGTCAGTGAGTTCTTTGGTCCTTCTGTCCCGGCATGCTCGTATTCATGTGGTTGTCGGCGTAGCTCCACTTCTTCGGGAGCGATCTGGGTATTTGACCTGTTACAAGATACGTATGCGGTCATGTGGTGTGTTGAGTCGATAGACCCTTCTCTTGATGCTGAGGTACGGAAGCCATCATGCCCCGTCATCTTCCATAACTTAGGAAGCGCCGATTTTGGCTGAGGCGAGATGACATCGTCAGATGCACGAGTCGAAATGGAAACGTGGGTGTGAGCTGGCATTTCTTGTTGATTACCCTCCTGCTCCTGTTTCTCTAATACCTCGCGTTGGTCAGTGTCGAGTGAAAGCATATCTTCGGTACCCGCAAATGCCACATTCATTTCCCTGCTAAGAACAGATACTGATGATAGTCTCCTATCTGGGGGAGGCGGAGGTAGGTTCTTGGTGTGGTATCTCTGAACCTGTTCGACGGGGGGAGGTAAAAATTGGTGGGCGGCTTGCATCTCTGCCCGGGCCAAAGACGAGACTGATCCATTGGGATGCTTCGTGAAGGCTACGTCGGGACCCATGATCGGCGGCTCCTATGTCGTGTCAAACATGTCATGCATAGTTGATCGGATTGAACCACGTTTTCCGAGACAAGGGACATGGTTGAGATAAAAGTGGTCGAAAGCGGACACGGAAATCTCGCGTGGCTGTCCAAACCAGACTGCCGGGACTTTGCAGCATCACGACAAAGAAACGGAAAACCCCGATGCCGCGCAGCCACACCTGACCCCTTTCAACCATACCAAGGGCTAGCTGCGGGTGACGGAACTTCTTCGGTCCTCGTCTTTGTTGGAGTTGGTCAACCACACCATCAGGTCTTTGTCCGGATCAATAAAACTAAGCGGAGCGGCGCCCTTGACGAGTCGAGCCTTCGCGGCCTCCGAGTCCAGCATAAAAGGTCAGATGCCGAAAAATGTTTTCGAAGTTGGGATGTTAATTTGATCAGATCATGCTATGTGATATCTCGCTGGCCCATATTAGCATAATGTGAGGTCATCATCAAAAGTACCAGTCCATACCTAATCCAAACGCTGCCCGAACGCCTGCTCCATGATACATATGTGCCGTGTTTCACATTCCAGTCTATACCAGCCTGTACCCAAGAATAAAAGTCAGCCGACTTTATTCATCTCCGCTTAGTCATGATGTAAGTGTATTGCCGAAGAGCCACCTCTTCAGTCCTCGTCTTCGTACTTGTTTCCTTGAAAGTCTCCCAGAAGAATATCCTCAGCGTCCAGCCCAACTGGGTTGTTCCTAATCCATTCCGTCTCAACCCGGAAGAAAATCCATATCCAGCGTCTAAACACCTCTAGAAACTGAATGAGAAAGATGGAACTTTCAAAGTTGCTGATTTGGTCAAGACTGGGGTTCAGCTTGATCATCCAGGTGCACCGCAAAGTCAGGTCCAACGCAATAACAGCGTAGTAAACCCCTGGTTTATGCACCAATAACCTCCTCCTCAACCCGTACGGATGGTCGGGGGAGTTTCTTTCCCGTGCATCAGAAAAGAGAGTCAGATCCCAATCCTTGGCAACATCCCAGTAAAAACTGTAGAAGGAATTCAGCAGACAAGCGGCAATCCACGCGCGGGACAGGCCAGGTGAAGCCTCGGTCTGATTCCTCAGCATGGCACCGATGACAATGACTGGGAAAGCAGTTGAGTACTTTGCGGCGTTGGCCAAGTGTTGACCACCCCACCCTGTAGCCTCTCTCAAAGGAGCGCTCCGAACACGAACGTACTCGATCAGACATTGCCTGAGTCGAATGGCGCTTGGAACAGCCATTATCACGGGGACAAGAACATCACCTCCGCAGCCCCGATCCGGTCTGGCAGTAGCAGAACCATTGCTAGTGAGGAACATGCAAAGGCAGACAAAGAGATCGGCCAGCACTTTGGCATAGCTGGTGAGCACATCGGCAAGCAGGATGTCCCCGAACTTTCCGTCTTTTGCCTCGGCCAGACCTCCAACGCTAACTCTCTTCAAAGTCCTAAGGAGTCGACTTCTTCCGTGGTGGGATACCGAGAGTTTGCGAAGCGGGACGGAGAAGAGCAGGGCGATAACGAGCAGGTTGGTCATGGGAATCCAGTCGTAGTCGATCACACGCTGAGGATCTCCTCGCGTCAGCATCCAGAAGATCACTATCGACAGGCCGGAGGCGGAGGAGAGGAGGGAGGCGATGCGGTAGGTCGAATGGTGATGGGTCAGTTGGGCCGAGCTCGACCTGCCCGGGTAGCGGATCAAAGAGGGCACATCGATTCGACGAATGTGAAGGAAATGGAGATTGAGACCCCATCCCCACACGGCTGTAGTAAAACGTTAGAAAAGGAGAGCTTCACAGCAAGTTCAAAGGGCAGGGCATACCCAGAATCACGATGATTGCTACTCGGTAGGGCAGTGGGAAGGCCAAGCTGAAAGCATCGAGCTGCGGCTCAACCGCCGGGTCACCGTCCATTGTGCCTGTCTTCTGGTGATGCCTTTACCACAGGCATCGAGAAGTGTCGAAGAAGGGCGAGGTAAGTAAACAAAGAGCAAAAGCGAGAGACTGTGTCAACGACTATAAAAGCTGAAGGGGAAGAAAAATCGTGTTTCGAATTGAATAATTCGTACGTACATCCGTCGCGTGCTGTCCTGTGCCCCCTGTAATTAATTTTGGAGACCGACGTCAGCCTGGACGTTGGGGCATGTGGGGACCCCCTAAGTCTAAGCCCGAAACGGCCCCCCTGTTGCGTCCGCATCCAGGGACAGGGATACCGGTGCGTAGACCCAGAGCTCACCGAGGTCCAAGACTCCAAAGCCGAGCATCAACACCACGACCATTTCTCTTCACGCGCCATCGCATCTTCGACTGTAAACTTTTTTGGAACCAGGCAATGCGCTGAGCGCTGCAAGCAAACACCTTTCTGCATATTCAACTGCGACAGACACAATGGCGTCACAGCCCCCCAAATCGCAGCCGCCACCGCCTCTCACAAGCTCTCCATACCCATACGCTGCCGCGCCAGACATCATCCGCGCCCACCAAAAAGACGCCTACTTCCAAGGCCTCCTCACCAACCAGATCTCCGACCTCCACCGCCGTCTCCGCGGCGCCCGATCTGCCCACTCCTGGGCGACCGAGACCCGCACAATAGGCGATGCCCTCTACCTCTGCCTTACAACCCTAATCGGCAACCGCACGCTCGGAGAAGAATACTGCGATCTTGTCCAAGTCGAAGCGCCCCCCTCTCCTCCCTCGCAGCAACAAGCAACCACCTACCCCGACTCCCACATCCCCCCCAAACCCACCTCCCAACCCGGCCCCCTTCTCCCCTCCCTCTCCCGCCGAGCAGGCTTCATCGCAACCTCAACACTAACCCCCTACCTCCTCACCCTCCTCCTCCCCAAACTCCGCTCCTCCCTCCGCCGCCTTCTCACCACCCGGCTGACAACCCTCACCACCCGCGGCCTCGACACAACAAAACAAGGCCAACCCACCTCTGAAGCCCGCGCCCTCCGCTACATCCTAACCCACCTCTCCTCCCTCACCAACCCAGCCCACATCCACGCCATCACCCTCGCAACCTTTTACTTCACCGGCGCGTATTACTCCCTCTCCAAGCGGCTCTTCGGCCTCCGCTACATCTTCACCAAGCGCATCCCCGACACCCCAGGAGCAAGCCAAAACTCTGGTCGCGGAGGCTACGAAGTGCTCGGCGTCCTCCTCGTCACCCAAATGCTCGTCAGGACCTACCTCCACCTCTCCCAACAACTGTCTTCCTCCCCTTCGTCAAATATAGACGACATCCCCACATCATCAGACCGGTACATTCCCTCCGGCCCCGTTGAAGTCTCTTTGGACGACAACGCCTACGCCCTCAACACCTCCCTCCTTGACACCTCGGCCCCCGCTCCCCAGAACCAGCGCTCATTGGCGGAGATTGCCAGGACGACTCACACCCCGTTGGTGAAAGGGGGGACGAAGCCGAGGTATGATCTCAGTGACGGGAAGCAAATGGCTTGGATAAAGGGTTACAATCCCAGGAAGTGCACGCTCTGTCTGGAGGAGCTGAAGGACCCGGCGGTGACGAGCTGCGGGCATGTGTTTTGCTGGGAGTGCATCGGGGATTGGGTGAGGGAGAAGCCAGAGTGTCCGTTGTGCAGGAGGGAGGCGATGGGGCAGAAGATTTTGCCGCTGAGGATGGTGCATGTTCACTAGACATGATGGTTTTGGTGGGGAAAAAAGGGAAAGCGTAATGTAAACAGGGGCTGTCATGTAAATAAATGATGTGTATGATTGAGGGAAGCGAAGACTAGTAACTACTAATATCAAGTTTGGACACCTCGGGTTGTTTGAGACATGGTTCAAAATTCAACTAGTAATGATTCTGCTTGTTTTGAATTGCAACAACTCAAGTATAAAAATACGTTATACATCTGCTAAAGACGACTTCAATCATAGATTTCACACAAGATAAAAAAAATAAAAAAAACCACTGTCGAGAAAAAACAAAAGCAATCAAAAAAGCCTCCCCAGATATTCACTCCAATCAAATAAAAACATCTATCCTGATTCTTCTTCCCGAGAAAAAAAATGGCAGTACAGCAAGAAAAGGTATCAAGTAACCCCCCCTTCAACCACCACCACCACCACCACCATTAGTTTTGCTTGTCCTTAGTCTCCCTTTCTTCTCTTCCTCAAATTGTAAAATAATACAAGAAAGGAACACTGCAATCGAAAACTTAACCTAACAAAACACAAAGATGGAAATCAGGATATTAGAAAACCGGTAAAAACCACCAGGGTCCACCAAGCAATCCATCTTCTTTCGCTCCCACTTCTATTAGAGAGATTAGAGAGGAAGAGAGAAATAGCCAGCTTGCGCGGACCAGAAAAGATGAAGAAACCCCCAGTCAACCAAACCACAAAAGAAATCAAGGTGAGTCTGCGACTTTGCACCCCGTGTGAGAGAAAAGGAAACGACCAAAAGAATGCATCACGTCCATCGCCGAGAGGTATCATCAAGAGAAGAAGAAGAAAAACCGTATGCCCACAATATGCCCATCATGCCTCGCCACTTAACTCCCAGATCGGAATGATGTTATTACCCAGGCCCCATGCCCTGGAGCCCCCGGATGCTACCCGTTTCCCATATGCATACACGCTTCTCAGACACCATGCTAACGCTTCAAATGGTAAACAACACAATCTCTCCCCGGTCATTCCTCTTCATCCGCAGAGTCTTGAACAACTCCTTCTCTTCCATCAACTTGCTGAGGCTGACGCCCGAGTTGCTGCGCTCACGGTGGTACCTCTTAAGTGCCTTGTTGACGCTGCATCCCTTCTCACTCTCGGGACCCTTGGTAACGAGGCTCAAAAAGTGGTCGGCGGCGGGCTTGTAAATGACCATCTGGCCACTGGCCACATCACCCTCCTTGCTATCCTTGGATCCAGGTCGGTATTCGAGGAGCTTTGGCTCCTTGCCGCCTTCAAGGCGCTTGGGGCTGCTGGAGCTGGAACTCTTCTTCTTGGAGTCCTTGGAGCTGGAGCTGGTCTTGGCCTTCTTCTTGGACAACTTCGTCTTGGAAGGTCCGGCAATCATGGCCATCAGGCCGTTGCTCAAAGACTCGGTTGTCGTGCGCGCAAGGGACTTGTGGTGATGCTTGGACGACTTGGTCTTCTTCAAAGGACTTGCTGGTGTCGCAATATTGTCTCCAGAATAGTCTGGAGATGGTGGGAATACGGACGACCTGCTCATAAGACCCTTCAAGCCACCAGTCAACCCGGAGTGCATTACTGGTGGGGCATCGATCATGACCTGGTCGGTTTCGATGTGTAGTCTCTTGCGCTTCTTGTCTTTCTTGACGCTACTTTCGCTGTCCTTGGTCTTTCTCCGGGGCTGTTTTGGCGCGGGTGTCTGGAACTGGTTCAAGGCTACAGCACCATTTTCTTGGTGAATGAGGGCATGGTCTTCGAAGTTGTCGCCGCCGTTGGCCTCCGGGTCAAACCGCACGAGGGACATCTCCTCGTTTGTTGGAACCTGAGTAGGGACGGGAAGGGGAAGCGAAACATTGGAAGCGGTTGGCGTGGGGTTGTCGACCATGAAATCAAAGACATTCACGTTGCCTCCCATGTCCACGGCAGAAGGCGGGGTAGGCGCTTCCGGAAGGTTGATGGAACGGCTATCATCGTCACTGCGTTGCTCGTAATTCTTCCAGTTGTCCTCCTCGGCGACTGATTCAACATATGCTGGTTGAGCCATGGCGGCAGGTGGAGGAGGTGGTGCAAGAGGGGGAACGCGCTGCTGGTGTTGTTGCTGCTTTGGCTTCTTCTCTTTATAGAGGGCACCCTGATACTTTTGTTCCTCACTCATACAACTCTGTGTCCCAGTCAGCTCTGCTGGTGTAACACACATGACCAGGTCGTCGTACCGTGTGCCAGCGATATTCTGTGCCAGGAAAATGTACCATACAGTCGATGCAGGTAAAGGTAGCACCTCGACAGCGGTTGCGGTGCGGGTCGAGTTTCTTCTTGGTGAAGATGTCTCCACAGGCCTGTTCAGAGTCGCAAAAGCAATGGTTAGATATAGAGCGGGGTGAAAGCAAGACTAATTGGTGGGTGTCTGGGGAGCGCGGGGAAGATATGGACGGCAGTGTGTGTGTTCTCGTGGCGATGTGGGAAAACAAGCAACAGGGCAAAGGAGGGAGGGAGGGATCAGCTTGATCAATACTGGGGGAGGGGTGCGGGAAGGAGGGGTGGTGTGCCAGGGTGGGTGACCAGTGTTGGCCGCCGTGACCCGTGGAGGTGGGTGGTGTGCGGCAGTGTGTGATGTCAGTTGAGATTGCCCTTCGGGATGGTCATGGGGGGTGAAAACAGACCACACCAACAAGGGGGAGGGGTGACAATTGGGGAATCAACAGACACACACACACACACACACACACACACACACGGCCGTTGAAGCTGTGTTTGGTCTCAACGGCAGCAGTATCCGATATGGACGACGGAGGGATGAAGCATGAAGGAATAGAGACATGATGACTTTACCTCGCACGAAAAGGAAACCATGGTGTCAGTTGGCCCTTGGTATCCTCGGGGTTGGTCCAATTGGTGGTGCAGAGTCTGCAAAATGTGTAGCGGCTTGTTGCCCTGCCGTCGGTGGTCTCGGAGGCGGCTCTTCTGGCTGTTAGCTGGCAGTTGCAAGCAGGTCGAGTTCTGTCCAATCGTTCCAGGACGGTGAAGACGAGGCAAAGGAGGCTGTTGCCCGGGCTCTTAGTGTTGGGGGTGCGGTGAAGAAAAGAGAACTGAAGAGATGAAGAATGGGTCTCGGACGGGCCTTGTGGGCTTCTGTCAGGTACGGATGGCCTGGGTAGAGAGTATGCGGCGGCACAGGGTAGAGATGGGGCTGTGTTGGGGCGAGCTGAGGGTCCGGTTTGTACATACAGCGAGCGTCCCTCAGGATTGTCAACAAAGTGGGCTCTGCTTGCTGCTGCGCTGCGCCGTTGGGCACGAATGAGAGCGGATGAAGCTGACGGGCAGAACTGTAGAACGGCGCACTAGCAACAGCGGGGGCTAGCGGGCTGGTGATGCCGATCCACGGTAGTCGACGGGAGTCCGGTCTTCGTGGCCGGCTTGGAATCGTGGGATTCGAAGAAAAATTTGTGTGCGCTGTCAACAGGAAAAAGTCGAATTTGGATGGCTTGGACTGGTGTTTGGTTGGAGGTTTTTGGGCGCCGATGCATCGCTAGTCTCTGGGTTGCCCTGTTGCCGGGCCCGCAGTCCCGCAGCCCACGAGCCCACCCACGAGCCACAGCAGCCCCTCCACCCGCTCTTGGTTGCGGAGCTGCCCGTTTGTCCCGATTTGCTACACAGTGCCCTGAGTGGCTGACAGAACCGCTGGAGATGACCCCTCCGGGTTCGAAAAGCGGGGAGATGTGGCACAACAAACTGCATCCTCAACACGAAACTTGACTTGAAGCGCGTCTTTGGTTGGTCAGGAGACAGCTCGAAGCGCGTTTCAATTCATTTAAAAAAGAGAAGCCAATGCCGGCACAACACCACTTCTTGCATAGATGACGGTTCATCTGACCTGTGATCAGTCCCGAGTATTGCTCAAAAGAGATAAAGGAAAAGGGGCAACCCAGCCTTCTTCGCGGCCACAATACAGACATCAAGGACCAGCAAAAAACCCTTCATGCAGAGAGGCCCAGAATGATGTCGTTTGGGCAGTCTTCTTGTACCCAAACGCAGCTAAACAGGTGGGGGCTTACCCGTGAGGCGGTTCGGTGGATTCACCGCGGCCTAGCTCAGGAACAGCGCGCACAGGCACTCAATTCGTCAATGCAGCCCCCGAATTGAGTTTGCCTTGATGCTTCTAGAGCAATTCGGCAGCGCTTACTCCATCAAGAGCTTGAGCTCTTGAACTGGAGAAGCTGTCAAGCCGATTGAAGCACGCCGTCGGGTGTTGCAACCTTTGCCCCTTATCCAGTCGTCTCCTGTTTCAGACCTGGCGCGACGTCTTCCTGCCGATTGGTACGAGCCAGTGATCGAGCCAGCCTGAATCGCAAACGAGTTGCATGAACAGTGGCACAATCCAATGCGAGGGGCCCGTTCGCGCGCGCGACAACAGGCACCTGCCTCCTGAACAGTGCCGGCGCTGGATGGATGGATTTTGAGATGGCATTCCCACAAGCCACAGAGTGTGGTTGGTTTAAAGCCTGGTCGTGGCTTGGTTGTTAACCCCCCCACTCCCTGTCAGATCGGCCTCTCGGGTCCGGGGTCGGGGCAACCTGACAGCAATTCCAAGGTTGCAATCGATAAGCTTGAAACCCCTCCACGATGCCACTGTGGCCGTCATGACTGTCAGCTCTGAGCTCTGGGCAAGGCGAAGAGCAAGGGAGGGAGTAGAACATCTCGAAGGCCTCAACAAAAAAAGAAATTCGGACGATAGCGGGAGGCCGGGCCCGTTCAATTCGGCCTGACAGGCGGGCCAGGTGGAGGACGGCCGAACAGCTGGCCCGGCCGGGTTGAGCTGGCTTCAGTTGGAGAGTGCGGACGGCAATCAGCGGCAGATCTGCTCGGTTGAGGTAAAATTACATCATGCCCAAAAAGACTGCATGTCCAGCGGTAGATTTGGAGCTGCAGGCATATTTCCACTTTGCTCCTGCTGCATCTGCATTTTGACTCTCCATCTCAAATCACCTTGTCTCAATTTGAGCCCCCCTTGCCCGTGAGACTCACTGCTCACAACAACGTCTCCCAACCCCTGTTTGTTTCGCCCATCGCATCCACTCCCGCCTCGTCTCTCCTAAATAAGCTCGGATAGCTAAGGGTCCCTGCTTTGCTGGGCATTTGCTGTACCTAACCTGCCATACCCACCCGCCCTTTTTTACTGGCACCCGCTGCCCAAACGTCAACAAACCTCATCATGTCCTCGTCTCCTCACGAGTCGTCATCGTCTGCAGGCAATCCTCTCGTGCAGCAGACACTCTCGTTGATGAGCACCGCAGCGGGCTACATGCGCCTGCCAGCCATCGCGACTTCTGTATGACCCGATACTCCTCCTGCCTCTCCCGCCCAGTGCCTGAATGGCTGCAACGCCAACCGCGCAGACTGGCTCAGGGGGCAAGTTTTTTGAGAAACACTTTCTGATATCCAGTCCTCATAACTAACCAATTGTTTCCTGGCATGTAGGGGCTTGCAGCCTTGCTGACAGCTCTCCTGTACTTCAAGCAAAAGTATATCCTCCATCGCCCCCCCGATTTCAACGATAACGTCATCCTAACCTCATCTTCCCCTCTCAGAGCACTAATCTACCCGGCCTCCATCCCCGCCAACGCCCGCACTGACGTGCCCCGGCCGAGCCAATACCACTTCAGCGACTACGAAGAGCTCATCATCCCCACCAACGATGGCGAGAAGCTCTCGGCCTTTTACATCCGGGGCCCTCGGCGAAACAACCCCAACTCGGACGTGACCGTGCTTATGTTCCACGGCAACGCAGGTAACATTGGTCATCGTCTCCCCATCGCCCGTATGCTCATCGCCGCCACGGGGTGCAACGTCTTTATGCTTGAATACCGAGGATATGGCATCTCCACTGGTACGCCTGATGAATCAGGGTTGAACATGGATGCCCAGACGGCATTGGATTACCTGAGGGATAGGGCCGAGACGAGAAACCACAAGATTGTGGTGTATGGTCAGAGTTTGGGGGGTGCGGTGGGGATCAAGCTGGTGGCTAAGAACCAGTCCCAGGGCGGGAAGGGAGGGGATATTGTGGGGTTGGTGCTGGAGAATACCTTTTTGAGCATGAGGAAGCTGATCCCGAGTATTATGCCGCCGGCCAAGTATTTGGCGTATTTGTGCCATCAGGTGTGGGGAAGCGATGGGTTGATTGGGGGGATCAAGGTGCCGACGCTGTTTTTGAGTGGGTTGCAGGATGAGATTGTTCCGTGAGTACTTTGCCTCGGCTTGTGGGTTGGGAAGTATACGCTGACGCTGAAAAGTCCAATCCATATGAAGAAGCTCTATGACTTGAGCAACGCCCCGGTCAAGATTTGGAAGCCGCTGCCTGGGGGAGATCACAACTCGAGTGTGATTGAAGAAGGGTATTTCGAGGCCATTGCCGAGTTTATCAACAGGGTTGTGAGGGAAAGGAGGGAGAAGGACGAGAAGGATGAGCTTTGAGGTCTACGTCATGACAGACGGGACAACAACAGAAACGGTGAGAGGAAACGGAGACACAAAACATAGTGATACCCCCCTAACCTTTTTTGCGGAAGAGAGAGGCGAAAGGTTACTACTAGATATACAAAAACTCAAGAGGTACAAGACAAAAAAAATATGAAAGAAAAGATTGGAACCACTGGTGGTCATTTGCTACGGGTGTGTGATTATTGTACGGACAAGAGTTTTCAACCAGGATCATTTTCTCGGGACCGGACAGTCGGATCACGGGCAGGAACGAAACTGGTGAGGTGATAGAGGGAGCATGAAGGTGGAGTGCTCTATCCCAAACATGATAGTTCCTAGTTAGTTGGCGATACTTGCCGGCTGTTGAGGTTGTGTCGTGTGTGGGTGGTTAGATATTAATTGGCTGGGCGGGACTTCCCAATGCGGCGGTCCATAGTCGGTCCCTTGCGTTCGGTTCGCAAGGTGAGCAAGTTGCGCAGCTTTGAAGAATAAGCGAGGAATGGATTGGGGATGTGTGTCTCGTCTCGGGATGGGGTGGTGGGTTTGTGTGTTCAGCTCGGTAGTGGCTTTGCGGGGGGATTATTGGATGGTGGGATGGGGGAGTGACAGTGGCGGAGATATAAAAAGGTTATAGTAGGGTTGGTATAGGGCTGCTGCTTGCTGCTTTGGGATTTGAAGAAAGCCACGCAGGTTGGATTACGCAAGTGCATTTGCTTTTTGCTGGGAATAATGAAATGGGGAAATCTGGGGTGAGGGGCATGAGGTAGTGGGCGGCAGAGAAAGAGGGGATTGGGGACTGGGATTGGTGAGTTGAGTTTGAGGGGGAGAGGCAAGGGAGAAGTCATTGGATGATTTTTGGTTTCTAGAATTACTCCGAAGTGTTGCCTTGGGTTTTGGAACATGAGACTTTTGAGTGAGTTGGTTATGTGTGGGAAGGCGATCATAGCATGATATTGGATAGGGGCCAAAACAGGAGATTTTGACGGGATCTTCGGTTCTGGAAAGGTCACTTCATCGCCGGAGGTAAATCAGTTGTCCTGGCTGAGAAGATCAGTTAGTTAACAAGGGGTAACTTTGAGAGTTCTAGAATGACACTTTGTCACGTTACAGAGCGGCAAAGGGTGAAGCGTGAGGTGATCATAGCAGGACTAATAATAGACATGGGCTATGGGATGGGCGGGAAGGGAATAAGGGGCGTGTGGAATGCGCATCTTTTTACTTGGTACGGGTTTCAATAGCGGCGATTGAGTGCATGAACTTTTGGTTCTTTTGGGATTGAATTGTTTCAAGGCTTTGGGAACGATGGTTTATTGTACTGGAGATCCACGGCTCATCCAAACAACACCTGAAAGCAAGATTGCAACTGGTCCAAGGATGTCAATTAATATACAACATGATATTTCATACATTACAATCATCAATCGACACTGATATCGTAAGCTTGTAGGTTTAAGCATCAGTGGCAACCAGAGAACTCTGCTCCTGCTCAGAATCATGATGCCCCTGCAGCTCATCCTCGCTGCTCGTCTTGACAACCTCATTCTCCTTATCGCTGCTTCCACCCTCCAACTTCTCTGCTGCCGCTTCCCAATCCTCCTCAACTTCCGCCTTTTCCTCCTCAACCTTCTTCTTCCTCAGCTCCAGCTTCCTCAACGCAAAGAAGCCACCTCCAGCTCTGCTGCTGCTCGCCACAGGAGGAGCGACCTTCCCACTAGGAGCTCGCCGCCATGTCCCCTTGCTAGCAACAGCACTCCATCCATCAGCACCAGCAGCCTGATCTCCTTCTCTTCTAACAACATTGAGCGAACTGTCTGCGTGGCACAGTACCACCCCGTTTGCCAACCCTGCCTTTGAGATAGTTCTTGCCACAGCAGACTTGAGATCCTTCAGAACTGACTGAACTGCCTGTGGTGTTGGTGCCATGGACGTTGCAATAGCTGCGGTCGTGAAATTAGGGATGGCCTTGATCACAATGTCTTCCGAGGGGAGGAAGCTGGTCGTGAAGCTGAGTGCCGGACCAGAACGTGCCGCGGCCGCAATGTCTGAGGCCAGGGCTCGATCGACCTCCTCGACTGTAAGTCCAAACCGAGGTGTGGTGAGTAAGAGGGCATTGAATGCCTGCGGTGAGGGTTGGCTATTGGCGGGAGTGGCTGGTTTGGCAGCAGCAGCAGCGGCAGTGGCGGCAGCGGTCTTAACTAGGCGAAGACTCTGAGCCAGGGTCTTTTTGGGAGCAGACACAAACCGTGGTGTCTTGAAAAGGCAAACATGACGGTGAGGCTCAGGATCTTGAGACTCGGAATCAAGACCATAGTCCTCAGCTAGTGAGTGCAAAAAGGCACGCTGGTGGTTGGCCATAGGCTTGAAACGCATACGCTTCAACTCTGGGTCTGCAGCAAACATGCGAAGTTCCCGTTCTTGTGATTGAGCCCAGGTAATATTCTCGCGGAACATCTTCAAGGTCTTGTCGGCATACGGCACATGATCGTCGGTGTGATTAGGGTCGATATTGAGCGCGTCGGCAAGCCGCTGATTCCGCTCCAGTCGAAGACAGTCGTCATCACACTTTAAAGTGATGTGTTTATCTGGCCCCGAGTTGAAGCGAGTTGCACCGCACCGAATTTGTTTCTTTTGCCGCTGGCAAGGGCAGGTGGTGAATGTCATGGATTGACACGGCTTGTCCTCGTTGCAAGCTGTGACTGTATCAGCAATGTCCTTGGGCACATAAAAATATAAGGCTGTAAACTTACGAAAAGGGGCATGGCACTCGTCCACGCAGGTGTGATCACAAGACTTTCTTGCCCTTCCGCATAACTGCGTGCAATGAGAACCAACTACCTCAGCATCCTCACATTCCCCGGGCTTATGGCACGACTTCCTGCACTCGTGGGCTCCGCATTTCAGCTTCTTCCCACAAGGCAGTCCGCACCTAGCATCCTCAAACCAACAAGGCTGATTTTTGAGAATCCTCTTGCCACAGATACAAGGCCTTTCCACCAGAAAGGCGCACTTGGGGCAAGCCACATCGTCTGGATGACACTGATGGGACACTGCAGGATGTCCGCATGGCCTCGCTCTGCGACAGTCAAATCGGCACTCTGGCGGTCTGGTTCCGCATGGTTGCGGAGGGTGCAATACAGTTCGCCCGCAAGAGCAGCTGATCTCGTCAAAGATAGCCTCCGGGCAAGCATTGCAAGACCCCCTGTGACATAGTTGCTGGCATGTGTGCTTACTGCATTTCAGCAGCCGGCCACAAACCTGTAGGCAGATATGTTCGGGCTCGTAATTCTCGTTGACAGCCCGCTTCTGTTTCCGCCTTTCCGCTGCCTTCTTCTCTCCCGAGCAGCAGCGCTCTCCACACTCATGTCTTCCACAGTTGAGCTGCGCTTTGCACACCCGGAAGCATTGTGGTGGTTCAACACAGCCTAGATGGCACGCTGAACGGCTGGTGACCCTGCCGCAACGGCAGGAGACGTCCATACTCTGGAAGCAAGGGGCACATGCACCAGTATGGCACTTATCCGGGCAATGATGACCGCAAGCCAGGATCTTATCGCATGGCTTGTCGCATCGCGGGACGGGGTCTTGACACGACGTCCTGGGTTCGGCGGGTAAGGAAGCAAGCGGTGTCTTTCCACAGGGGCAGCTCAACACCATGTCGGGCGAAAGGGGGCAATGAGATGTCTCTTCATCTTGCGGGTGGCAGGGCTTTTGACAAGTGTGATGTCCACAGTCAAACTTTCTGCCGCAGACTTTTGAGCATTGGAATGATCCCTCAAACCACTCTTCTTCGTCATCGAGCTGGCCATAGTTGAACGATTCCAAAATGTCGTCTCTCTGGTTGCAAGGTATCTCTTTCCGCTCCTTGCCGCAATAGCACGTTGATGGCATGGGAACGTCGCAAGCGCCACATAAGCCTGGATGGCAAGGCTGGGAGCAGGTATGCTCCCCACATGGAAGGAAATCACCGCACACCTCTTGGCAGCTCCATCCATTCGTGTAGTCAGTCTCACTACACCGTTTGGTAACAGTGTTCTTGCCGCAGAAGCAGGTCTGTGCTGGGCCCATGAGTGTACATGGCGGACATGGTCCGGCATGACACATCAGGGAGCAAGGATGTGGACATGTAGCTCTAGGCTTGGAGCAGGTCTGTCCGCATGTGTGAGGAGGCAAGCCAGGAATTGCTTTCATGTCAAACTCTTTCCCACACCAACAGTGATATGATGCTGGGTCTTCCAACAGATTGGAGTTGCACCCTGGACAGCGCCAACCGTCGGGTTGGTTAGGGCTTTGGTTTTCCTCCTTCTGTTTCATTTGGTTTTTGTGCCACTTCTTGACACAGTGAAGGTGGGTAACCGTCCAGCAGATCAAGCAAGACCAAACTCGGGAAGATCGGACAACCTCGCTGGTGCAGATGACACATTCGTACTGCCCATTGTCGATGTCCTCGTGAATACGTGTGGGAAGGTCCTCTGCTGTTGATTTTTCCATGACCGGTTTAGGAGCAGGGGCAGATCTGGGTGGTATGATTTCTCCAGGACCCCGTGTGTTGGTAGTGACGGAGACTGGTTGACCAGGGACAAACTCGACAGCACCAAGGTTGAACCCATGTCGTATCTGTGACTGTGACTGGGATGATGAAGAGTCGGTTTGTCGAGGTGCTGAAAATGGCGGTCCTCGACCTCCACGATGGGAGGTTACTATTGATCTTTGAGCCGCGCCTCCGCGACCACGGCCTCTGCCCCGACCTCCCCTGCCCCTATCTCCTCGCCCTCTGCCTGGTTGGCCCTCTTGATGCGAACTTGAGGCATCTGAAACGATTGGTTGAGATGCTACACCTGTTGGTTGCTGCGGTACTGGTGTAGGTACTGCAGTTGGTGGTGGTAATGGTTGAGTTGTTGCCGTAGTCGCCTGGCCCCCTTCCACATTTCCATTTCCACTTCCGGATGCGTTGGCATTGGACCCTCCACGACCACCTCTATGCCTTCCTCTCCAGCCACGCCCTCGCCGAACTCTACCTCCTGATCCTCCTCCACGGCTCGAGCTTCCCTGGGGTTGTGGAACTACTTCGGCCATGTTTTCAGTCGTAAGGTTGTATCCTCTTGACTGTAGCGGTGGAATTTTGGGCGCTGCTCCAATTTGCCCCGCCAAACAAAGTTTCCTTTCGGGGGGGTGCGCTTTTTGAAATACAGCGACTTTGAAACGTAGAAAATTTCTTTTGCAAAAATGCAGTTGGACAAGAAGAAAACTTGACAGGAGAATACCGTCCACCGGCTAGATAAGTGCTGCCCAAGAAAAGACCAAGGTTTGAGTGATGGTAATAAGATGGGTTGAAAGTTCGCCGCATGAGTAATATCTCTTGGCATTTGCCGCAGTCTTTTGAAGGGGAAGCTTTTACCCGGCGCTACAAGGCCTGGATTTAAGAGCTAGGGTTAGGGTCGCGTGCCGGCCCGGCGGTCTGAAAACACCAGCTCTTGCCACTCCGGCCGAGGTCGCTTTTGCAGTTACAAAGATAGACTTTACCCCAATGGGCATCTGGAATTATGCTTGTGTTCTTCACTTTTATCGCTGTCCGAAAATTTCCAAATTGATGACGAAGATGGTGGCACTGGTGGGTAGTTGTGAGGATGATTCATCGTGAAATGAAGGATGGAAGGCTCCGGTGCCCAGTCTGTTGTAAGGCTTAGCGGCGTAGGCTGCATTAGCGTAATGCTTAGCGGGAGTGGTTCCAGCTTCTCTCCCATATCTCCCATCCCAGTATCACAGTGCCTTTGTCATGGACTTCTCGGATGAATGTCCATGATATTTTGTTTTCGTACACCCAACCATCATCAGAAACCGACAATTTGAATCTAATAGTAGAGCTTTGTCGTCTCTCAACTCGTCAGATACCGAACTGGTCTGGCTTATACCGAACATCTTCCTAATATGCTCTTCATAACTGATTCAAGCCCTTGGATTTTCGCACTCATGCGCTACCGATGTGGAAACAGTGTGGTCAACTCAGCTTCAGCACGTACGAGAGTTCGACGGGCTCGTCGGATATCTTTAAATATAGTCAAAATGATAGAGCAGTATGGGCTATTTCAACAAGCAATGGTAAGGAGCTCAAGTCACACAATGCACGCCCCGCGATTCTAGTACTCTTGCAGATGAGGCTCGCAGCAAGGCTATGTGTTGGGCAGCAATCTTGGTGTCTCTTTGCGTCGAGATGGACTGGACTTCTTCTCTGAACGAGGAAACTAAAAGTATATGGAGACACTTGTTCATCTTGCTCTCCGGTTGCTTTATTCGATTGTAGGGAACGAAGGCTTCACGTTTTGCGACCCTCCTTGAACAAGCCCGCTGTCCAGCCTTGGACTGATATCAACAGGGAGCTTGGGCACCCATTTGTTCAAGCACAAACGCTACGCATCTGGACTTCCACATACCTATACATAAGCAGTCATGAACTCTCTAGGCAAGCTCAACGTGTCCCGGGTCGCCGTCCAAATCGAAAACACTCTTGCTTTGGTCAATATTAACCTGGACTTTTCGCTGTGGCGTTGCGCACCTTCGCCTGAGTACCATCCTGTCGGCTTGGCATTGACACTCAAAAGAAAACACGAAGCAGAGAAAGGCGAAATCCATCGAACGGCTTGTAAGCTCGGCTTTCTTTTCCATGAGCTCGTTCCCGAAACACCAAGATTATTCAAGACTTTTGGTAGTCGCGTCCCGAAATCTTGGCCCGCTCTGGTATCAACCCCCAGGGATCAGAGAGAGATGGCCCTTTTCAACCTTTCATTGGAGCGGACTGTACCTCTATATGGGCTGCTGCGACATCTGGGCCTTCCTTAATTGGTGTCTTTCTACTGGACTGCATGCTCGCAGATGCTTGGGAGGCCAAGGCAGCCACGTCGATACGGGTTGAGCTGGTCGAGAAGAGAATACGGACTGTCAAAGCCGACCTTGAGAGTGGAAAACTCGTCAACCCGCACACGAACCTGAAGTCTCAATAAGCTTATACGAGAACCGAATTAGCATCTTGGGATGCGAGCGCACGGTCTTGGCTGAGGAGGGCAGAAGCCTCGATGAAGTTCCAACATTCCCAATTCGATTTGATCGCCCAGAACCTCAACATTCCTTACCCTAAAGGTAAATCCACGTACGAAACTGCCGTCATTACCTGGACTCTGGCGATGGAGGTGTTTGAGAAACTCCTCCATAACACTCCTCAGCAGGCCTGCGATCGATCGGTATTGAGGGGCATATCGGCTTGGAACTTTGTTCCCCAATCTTCTTGTCTTTCAGGCTGAGGCTACCAAAGTTACTTTTTCTGACGACCTCTTCCCCAACTTGGCAGTCCTGAGCCTTGGACTGGAATACAGGGGCGAATCCTCCGAAAGCTTTACCCAATGGTCCCTCGCCCTGTCTCATTTAAAATATTACGGTGCTCCGGTCACAGTCCACAGCCACGAGTAGCTGAGTCGCATTTACATGCCTCAACTTTGGCCTGTTGCTCTCCGGGCTTTGTTCCGCCGGGGGGAGGTTGGATACACCGACTTTGAAGCCGCCATGACATGGTTCGCAGAATTGGGAAAGGTCTTGAGCCATGTGAAATCCGGTCGCGCACCTAGATCATGGCTTTCAAGGCTCTGCTCGGTGGTCACAGAACTCGACGGGAAAGAGAAATATTCCGCAGTAATACTTATCAAATACGGCTGGAGACGAAAAAGGGGCCTCCTGGGGGGTTCTCTTCGCCGCGGCGAGCACATAGAATTTTTGGGCTTTGTAACCCCCGTGTTATGCAGGCTCTCTGCTGCGGCATAACCATTGGTGCCGGAATTCACTACCTGCGCCAAGTTGCCACTTCACCACACCTGGATCTGAAAGCCCAGAATGCAATAATCACGTACCGGTCTTACATTCGAGGCCAGAGATATATTGAATGGACGACGATACATCCAATCGAGGATCATATTGCTGGGCAAACCCAACACTATGGCGCGTTGAGCTAAGATTACATCCCTAGAAAGCGATATGCCAGATGGTTGCACGTGGACTTATCTGGACTCAAAGAATATGTTGTCATGGGTATTTTTGCTTGCCAGTCGGCAAAAGGCGCTATACCAGCTGGAACAAACAAGGTGTTTGCAGGTAGAAATGTTCGGATTGGCTCATAAATCTTTCACCTGGCACTCACATCGCAATGTACCCTTAGAGATATTTGGCGTGGCACGTCGATACAGAGCTAACCACACATCAGACAAACTCTTCTTCTGATGACCTGACAGAGGCAGCCGTCGGTCGGGAGCGGAAACGGAAACGGAAACGGAAACGGAAATGCTCAGAGCCAACAGCCTTCAAGGGGACCTCCCCTGAGACTCCGGGATGGGAGCGGCTCTACGTAAACTACAACCCTGAACACAACTATACACAAGAACCTGAACAAGTCGACTGTGAAGCTGGGCCGCCCACAGGATCTTCTGAGCCAGTGGACCATAAATCGGGATTACCTACAGATTGGACAGAAACAGCTAGTTGGAAGTCTGAATTTTCCACCGAATCATTCTCTAATCCGATGGATGTTGAGCCTAAGGAGGATTCCCCTCCCGTCTTGTTGGCCTCTGAAGACATCTTCAGTTACTGGGAAAGCTCTGGCAATTGCGAAGCTCAAATCCGACAGGACTGTCTCTTATTTGGTTAGCAGTGGGTTTCGGCAGCCACCCGACCTGCTCCAGTCTTTTCTAGTCCTTGAAGTTGCAGCCCACGTCTACCAAAGGATGGCACAAGCTACCGTGTCGCTGCAAATCATCGAGCACACGCTGACAGCCGCGAAATGGTTCTGTCTGCCCAATACTGCTGAAAAATCTGCAGAGGAATATTTCAAACAGATGACACGCGCGGAGTTGTTCACCTGTATAGCAATGTTTGAGTCCGGCCGCTTCGATATAGACCTTGCGAATCTCGCGGATGTCATTGCGTTATGCTCGGACGACTCCATATATGTCGCCGACATATTGCTCTCCGACCCTTGTACCAGCCCATTCAACTTGGGCATTCGGCATCTGGTTGGCAATGTTGGCCAGACGTGGATGGTATGTCTCGTGTCGCCAACCAAACCTCGTATAAGACAAATCGGGCACGATGCTCTGATAGTATCTCATCATGTTTTCGACGGAACCTGTGAGGACAACTTCAAAGGAACCTCGCTGCAGCTTTCGTTCACCAACTGGACAGTGCCCTTGGCTCCGGGCCCCAAGGGAGAAATAGACCAAGAGATATTTCTGCTTGAGCCAGCAGTCTCGGTGCAGGACCAAGGCAGATGGGTCGCGGACATTGATGTCCTTGGTGTTGAAAGGAGCCAAAACAGGGATGTGATCAACACCGTATCATTCCCCCATCGGGATTGCCAGTTCGGGCATTCATTGCCATTGAAGTATTGGGATGCTGTTTCCATTGGTTCGCAGGAAGAGCTCCTCGACCAGCCCCCTTGCACAGGTGTTGTACAAACACGCAACAATGCCGTTGCAAGACTGGCGGCTGATTCTATCCTTGCCCAGCAAGGCAAGACGGCAGAGACTGCGATTCTGGAAGGAGATGAATTTTGTTGGCATTGCTGTCGGACAAGATATTCGAGGTTGGAAACACGCCCTCAGATTCTCATTCTCTGATCTTTTTCTGCATTTTGATTCCGTATGCTAGGCTAGATTTCTGGTTCCTATTTCTCATAATACTGAACGCTTTGTAATGTACCTACCCAAGGTGGTTACCGTCTTGCTTAGTGAACATACATATGTCTAGAGCCGAGAGAGTAAAGGCCGGGGAAAACAGGGAGGAAGCGGAGTTGGAGGAGGCACAGGCTCGGGAACTGGTGAGGACCTGCTGGACTGTGGAGAGGCGTCTGGTGAACTGTGCATGATTGTGTGAGACTTGGGATGGGGCCGATTATGTGCTTTCTATTTCTTTTTCCTCAAGATTTTTGGGCTGTTTCAAGTTGGCGGGAGAATGGCAAGACTGTGGGTTGAAATGGTAATTAATACCTGAAGCTGCTTTTTGTGAGTTGGAGTTGGGAGTCTGAGAGCTTGGGTTCTGCGGATTTAGAATGAGAATATCGACGCCAGATAGGCAACTAGCTAGTACATATTCGCTTCTGCAAGAAATGAATATACGTGAGTTTCTTACATAGGTCCGTCTCCATGGCTTTCTAGAACGCGTCTTTGAACATGTATCTCAGCGCCTGGGCACGTCATGGACCAAATCACTGGCATAAGTTGACAGTTATCACACATGTTATTACTTACAACACCATTATTTTGTCCAGGGCGAACGCTTTCCCAACCAAATAACAACAACGAGAACCAATCCAGCATGCTTGAGAGCTGTGATCCTCCGAATACCCTATATAGAAGCAGGCATCTCGCTACATTACATTCAGACTGGCTAGAAAACTTGATCATCCGGAGCTTTCATATTTGTCTTACACTGACAAACTGCCAAATCCAGCCTCGGGAGTCGATCCCAGCGGTCCTGCGGAGAGCTCAGTGGGGCCTGGGCGCAATGACGTCGCTTGGCTTTGGCGTTGCAGAGCCGATCTCTGGGCGTTTCTTTTTCTCCATTTTCCTTGTTACTACCCATCAATCCAATTCGGCAAGGACCAACCACCGCGCGCATCAAAAGTGAAGACATTTTGTACTATTCGGAGGATTGCAGACTTTTGACGACAGCACTCAGAACCGTTATACACGAGAGTTTGTGAAGGGGGATTGTTACACCGCTCAATCTGGTAACTGGCGGATAGTGGGAACAGATACAGCGACATCTGATATCTGGCGGAATGGCGTCCTCAAAACGAGCACCGTCGGTCTTGGTAGGAAGGAACCACCTTTTTCAGATGACAATGATGAAGTTAACCGTTGATTGTCTCAGGTCACCGATTCCCGCGAACGGCCATCAGCTCGCAATGGCACACAACGACCAGGAGCAATGGGTAGCGCTGGGCGACCGAGCACCCGTCTCGTATCAGTCGACAACATCCTTCAGTACTCATCAGATATTCCTTCCGGCCAGCCCCGAGGCCATCCAGGCCAGCGACCAGCACGCAATGTGCGCCGCCCAAGTGGTGTACCTACCTTCGCCTCTGCTCGAACCGGCCAGCAGGTCCCGTCCCGCACAACGAAGGTTAGCGAAAAGCTCGTACTTCTCCCTGAGGCTCCCGTCGATGATGATGTCAGTGATGATGAGATGGCGGCTAGGCGGGTGTCGATACTGCGCGGCGAAGACGAGAACAGACCGCTTAAAGACGAGGAATTAGACGTGCTGAGGAAGAGGGGCGGAATTCGCGGCAAGAGTTATGCGGAGCGGCTGCCTAAGATGCAGAGAGGGGAGAAGGTTTCGAGGTTGACGGCGTATTGTACGGCTCAGGCGTTCAAGGTGAAGGAGACGGCGGAGTTTCTGAAGACGAAACATGAGGCCAAGACGAAGCTGTATGATGATTGCTTGTACATCGTCTATCACTTGCCATTGCTGCCTGGTGTGGATGGGTATAGGCTAAGGAGTCGACCGGTGTTGAAGACGCCAGGGACGGGAAAGACGGTGCTGGATTTGGAGATTGAGAGGAGTGAGAGGAGGGATGAACATGAGGGGTACTGGGATGAGTACTCGTATGGTGCGCAGGGACTGGGCGGAAGTCCTGATACGGGGACGGTGCTGCAACAGGCGAGCAGTGCACCTGACTCGATCGGGAGACCGGACGATCACCAAGTGGAACAGATTACGGTGAACCCCATCAATCGGTTGGTTCCAGATGCCAAGCACTTTGCGGAGATGTTTGTCTTCTCGTACGGAGTGGTGGTGTTTTGGAACTTTACTGAGCGACAAGAAAAGGATATCTTGGCGGATTTGGCATTTTCAGAGCACGAGACAAACATTGCGCTTGCGACGAGACCATTGGACGAGGCCGACTTTGAGATGGAGGAGTTCCACTTCGAGTACAGCGCTGATGTCAAGCGGCCGCGTGTATTCAACGACATGATCACGCTGCTGCCGCGTTCAGATCACATGGTCAAGTTGACGATTAGCCATGCTATCGCTCAGAGTACCAAGCTGTGTTTCTTTGAGGAGCGCATGTCGGAGACGATGTCGGACGCACAGCATGTGCCCAAGCGGTTAGCTATGACAGGGGAGCTCAACATGACCCGGACGGAGATTGTGAAGATTTTGGGGAGGTTGTTCAAGTCGAGAGTGGATATTAATCTTTGTAAGCATATCCCATCACAACGTTTTGGGCGGACAACTAACTCTGTCTTCAGCATCTAATATCCTCGATGTACCCAACTTCTTCTGGGACTCGGAGCCCACGCTGCACCCGCTCTACGTGGCGATCCGGGAGTACCTTGAAATCGACCCACGTATCAAAACGCTCAACGAGCGGTGCCGCGTGTTTTTGGACTTGTCCGAGATTCTCGCTGATAGTGTGGCCGACTCCAAGATGAGCTACATCACCTGGATTATTATTATTCTGATTATTATCAGCATTATTGTGACAGTCACGGAGGTGGGGCTGAGGTTTGGAATGTTGTCGAGAGAAAAGGGGAAACAAGGAGATGGGGTTGTGGCTCCTATTGTTGGGGATCCAGAACGGGGTGGGGGGCCAGGGAATGTGATTGGGGGAGGGAATGGACAGATTGATTTACTGAGGAGGAGTCTGGCGGAAAGGAATATCACGCTGGAGGATGTGAGGATGTGGAATAGCATTTTGAACGAGAAGGAGAAGGAGGTTGTTTGTGGGGGAGAGATTGTGGGGAGGACGTTTAAGGGGGTTTGAGGGGGTGTCTACAATCGTTATGGGTACGGAAGATGGTACCGGGCGCCGAGGGTGGTATTATATAGGATATTGACTGTTGTAGACCGGCACAGCGAGGCCATGGATGTTTAGCATTTCCCAGCATCGGATAACAAAGTAAAGCTGGTTTAGTGCCCTGTGCCCGGAGGATACGAGCTTTCTGTTTGAACGGAAGTTATACTGTGCATGTTTATCTTCGACCATTTCGATTAGGTCGAAGACAGATGGCAGAGCTCAACTGAGCAGTTCTCGATGCTGACCTTTAAATGCGCCAGCATTGGTTGAAGGGAAGGCATTCCTGCCCGAAGCATCTGCGAACACATGGATATTCGTTATACCTACCTACAAAACAAGGAATGAAATAACACGTCGTTAACGGAATCAGATGATTCACCAGTTAGGCCTTCGAAAGAGATTCCATACCAACCAACCCCTCCTTTCGCGAGCCTAACGACTTCTCTGCTCTGTGTTGTCGTCGAGTTGGAGAAGTTCGAGTCTAGAACATTTATTTAAGCTCGCGATCATTAGCCCGTTTGGGAACCGTACCTGAGCTGCCAGCCCCGCAAGGTGAGGGGCAGCCCCGCTGGGTGCTCTGACGTTGCCGGCGTTGACTCGCCCATTCGGCTGTCGGCGGTTGTACTTTGGGGGGGCGCGAGCGATAACATTGATACCCGATAACAAAGGGCAAAACTCGGGCCCCTCCTTCTTTTCTCCGTCAAGGTACCTACATACATAGATACAGCTCACCGCCGTCCACTACCCATGCTCTGACTGTTATTCTTCTGGAAACCCCGCCCGCTCCACCTCTAGACAGACAGACGACGGGATTGTGCTGTTGGGAAAAGAGTTGTCAAAATGTCTGGAACGAGTCCCCAGGAGATTCTGGATACGCTGGTATGTATTGCCCGTTTGTGGAGCTCGGGAGTTCTCATTTTGGTGGTGGTCGTGTGAGGTTGGTTTATGCTGATTGCAGGGGGTTGGGTTTGTTCTAGTTATCGTACATCCCGGACGACGCCAAACGATATACTGGTGACGTCGCCGAGTTTGTCAACGGATCGGTCGACAAGGCTGCGGACAAACTGAGAGATACCCTCTCGAACTTGCCAGAATGGGTTCCCGAATCGTTTCGCCCTCAGGCACCGCCGCCGCCGCCGGTGATTGCTGTGCCCGTTGGGGCCCTTGAGAGGGTGCAGAACTGGGTTTCGAGGCATAAGATCTTAACGGGTATTGTTGTTGTGGCTACGGGGACGGTGGTTTACAAGTCGTATAAGGCGAGCTTGTCGCTACGGAAGCACCGTAAGGCGAAGAGAGCGAGGAGTGGGGGGAGGTTGGAGGTTGTGGTTATTGCTGGTTCGCCTGCGTTGCCGCTGACGAGGTCGTTGGCGCTGGATTTGGAGAGGAAGGGGTTCATTGTGTTTATTGTGGCCAACACGCGGGATGATGAACTTTTGATTCAGGGGATGGCCAGGCCGGATATTCGGTCGTTTGCTTTGGATATCAATGATGTAAGCCCGTCTCCTTTTCCCCTATTTCTGCACCTGGCTAACATGTTTGTCACAGCCTACCCGTGTCGGTGCTTCAATTGAGGAGTTCGCCCGCTACCTCCAAGAACCTCACGCGGCAATCCCCAAGGGCAAGAAGTCCCACCTTCACCTTAAATCCGTTATTCTCATCCCCTCCCTCAACTATCAAACTTCACCTATCGCCACCATCCCTCCCTCCAGCTTCGCCGACCTTTTCAAGACTCATCTTCTTCAGCCAATCGTCACTATTCAGGCTTTCCTCCCCATCCTCACTGCCAGGTTGCATCCTCCTCCTCCACCAACAGAGCTCGCAAGCAGTCTCGCCAAAGACGCCAGCAAGCAAAGAGAAAAGGAAGACCTCTCCCCCAAGGTGTTGGTTTTCACGCCTTCTATCATCTCCTCAATCAACCCTCCCTTCCATGCCCCTGAAGCAACCATCTGCTCCGCCCTCTCAGCCTTCACAGAAGTCCTCGCCGCCGAGCTTCGCCCGCTCCAGGTCCCCGTAACTCACATGCAGCTCGGAACCTTCGACTTCACTGGTTTCACCCCAGCTCAAGGCACCAAGTTCCAATCTAGCACGGCCGGTCGTGCCAATCAAGGTCTCATCACTGCTTCTGGTGTCGAACAAACCCACAACTGGCCCGATGCCGCCCGAAAGACCTACGCCCGGAACTTTGTCTCTCAGTCAACCTCCCCTATTGGTACAACTGGAATCAGGGGTATGAGAGGATCCAGCCTCAAGAACTTGCACGATGCTGTGTTTGATGTCATTGATGGCACCATCACTGCGTCAACAGTGAGAGTTGGTTTGGGAGCGAGTGTCTATGGCTTTGTTGGGCGGTGGGTGCCGAAGAGCATGGTTTGTTTCATCATGGGCATCAGGAAGGTTGATGAGCTGGCTACTTGGCAGGGCAGTGCTCATGGGAGCCCAAGGGGAGGAAGCCATGATGGAGAGGACGAGGACAAGATGGCGGGGAGCGAGAGCTTTATTAGTGTGGCGCCTTTGGAAGGTGTCGTGGGGGAGAATGTGTGGAAGTCTTGAGAAGACTGAGATTGAGGCAAAACAAGAAAAAAGAAAAAAAAAAAAAAAGGCATGGGGGTTGTATATGAGGAACACAGGACACACACCAGAGCCAGGAATAGGCTTAAGCATGTCGGCGGGAGGTAGGGATCTCTACTCATCTTTTAGACTAGGGATGGGGGACATGAATGATACAGAAAAACATATCAACGACATGGTATATACACTTGGGAGAGGCGGGTTTGGGTTTGATTGGCGGTGGTGGGGGAACAGCTTGCTCTTACTGTTTTTCATTCTATGGTCTTTACCATCTACATGACACCATTCAAGTTGGAAATCTCTGTGGGTGCAACGAACCTAGATAAGCAAGGACAATGAAGTCCTGGAAGACGACAGCGGAAGACACGACTCACGCGACTGGTCATCTTCCTCGATCCTTTGCCGGACTTGATTGTCCTTGATTATTTAAATTCGTTGCAAACGCGGGGATAAACCACTTTGAATGGTGTTGTCTTTTCTTTTTTTTTTTTCCTTTTTTTTTTTTTTTTTTGGTTTTTGAACAATTTTGGATGATAGGAGGACAAACAATACATGACGCTTTCCGATGCTTCTATTTATTTTTTTCGTGTCTGGATTAACATGATGTGATTCTGAGGTCAAATGAGGCCGGGTCTCTCTTTTGAGTGCATTCTCGAATCACGGCAAGTCCACACAACGTCCAACATTTTTTTTTTTAGTTTTCTCTAGAAAGGTAAGACTTTTTGTATTATATCTGTTGGCCCGAACTCCTAATGCTTGCCACCTTGCCTCTTTTGAATAAACCCTAACGCCTCTCTGTGTCTGCCCTCGTGTGGAATACAAAAGCGGATTGATACTTGTCAATCATATACAGACTCCCCTGCTCGCTCTCTATCATGGTGGCTACTTCTCCTCATGATCTTTGTCCTTTTTTGTCGGCACTCGTTTATTTTCTTCTCGATAGGCGGGGCGAGTCGCATAGCACTTCGCCTCGCTGAACTCTCTCGCGACGTTTCGGCGCCTGGACTCCTGTTCTGAAGACTTGTCTCTTTTTTTCACTTGTGGCCGACTTCCAGGTTTCGCACCACTGGATATTGGTATATCCACCTCCCCCTCCCCTTCCTCCCATCCGTAAGCACACTCTCTCTAGATGCAGGCCCCTCCTAATGACCCCCTCTCCCTCTATAC